CAAAGTAAGAAGACTATATTGAAGGCTTGAAATAATATTGCGATCGATTTTCATCAAGAGATGGGCCAGGAATATTCCACAATAGTGCAAATAATCGTGAAGGCGGATTGCAGAAAAGCGATTGCGTGACGCGCGGTAAGCTGTAAGATGACATGTTATTATGTACCACACGTAAAAACTCTTCAGATTCTTAGTCTGCATTTTGTACCCACTCTGCAGTCTGCAGTCTATATTTTGTATCCGGTCTGCAGTCTGCTGTCTGTAATTTGTACTAACAGGTATCCGTGGCACCAATACAGTTTATTTTTGGTTACATTTATTCGCTAAACACACATAATCTAACACAAAATACCTGTGAGTGAGGTAATTCGACATTTTCGTTCTTTCCCACATTAATATTCTTCTCTCCTTTTGTAAGAATGTAGACATCACTCACAATGTTTCAAGTAATCCACCCACACTACAAAAAAGGAACTCTTACACGCATAGCATGCCTATGTTTTGAAATAGGTGTATGCCCTTGGCCAGACTTGAGCGCACTATTTCAGTATACTAGTCCGACACCCGTAGTATCACTACACTTGATTCCAAGGATCCAGTACCATCCAGGTATCCCAGTTACCCTGCTCACAGGGTCTAGTTTTTTTTTTTTCCTCCGCCACAAAATGGAAAAATTGCGCAATAGTACCCAGAGGTCATTGGGCCCCCAATACCATGACAACTAACTGTGATCCAATGAGGTGTTCACATACTGATCACGCGTGTTATCCCTTAACTCCATGACAACTAACTGTGATCCAATGAGGTGTTCACATGCTGATCACGCGTGTTATCTTGATGATGATTGACGTTGTCATGCACAGACAGGGCCGGGTCACATGACGAACACGAGATTTTGCTTATAAAACTCTTAGGTCAGTTGTTTTGTATTTCAACGTATTTGGATTGCGATCTCCTGGAGCATTATAGCGCAAACGCGCAAAATACTTACAGACGCATATACAAGTCGTATTAATCGCGGCTAATCCACACTGAAAGATGTTATTGAGCGGTAATTTTGGAACGGATTGAGTCGCCAACGCTTGAAAGCCATGAAAGCCTTGAATGCCTTGTATGCTAAGTATGCCAATGTCTTAGTTGAAAAATGTTCACTTGTTGTAAAAAGCAAAATCTGAAATATGAAACCAAACTGCACATACTCTATGCAATCTATTGAACAACGCTACTACCGTGAGACTGAAGAACATAACTATATGGGATGCAAACTGCTTGTGAAGAAAGACGACATGTTGGATTCACTTGATGGCAAGGAACGTAGCTACGATAACAGTACGAATGGTATTAATTTCACGATCAGAAAGGTGAATCTTACGTTTGTTTTCATTGTAGTTGTATGGATATTCTTTTTTAATAAATACGTGATCCAAAACCCTGTGTTTTTTTTGTGTATAATGTTGTTATGTTAAATATTGTTTACGCAATTGTCTTGTCACAAGCGGCCCAAGCTCACGTCTCGAGAAAAAGCCAACGATTAATTTATGAACGCGTCACGCGTTGTGTGACTCGGTGTTAAGTTACGAGAGGAACTGCACGTTATAAGGAATAGTACAGGGAACGAAGTATGGTCGATTTACAAGGATACATATTTCGAAATATGAACATTTTTCTCGTAAAGTCAATAAAAATTACTCATACCCTGTGTATCCGTTGTATTTTCTGGCGATTTCTGCCGTTTTAAGCTTGCTTTACCATCACTGTTGTTCACATCATCTACTTTTATTACGTTGATAAAATCTGTACAGACATCACACCAACCAACTCGCGCGCAAAGTAATAAGACTTTATTGAAGGCTTGAAATAATATTGCGATCGATTTTCATCAAGAAATGGGCCAGGAATATTCCTCAATACTGCAAATAATCGTGAAGGCGGATCGCAGAAAAGCGATTGCGTGACGCTTGGTAAGCTGTTAGATGACATGTTATTATATACCAGACGTAAAACCTCTTCAGATTCTTAGTCTGCATTTTGTACCCACTCTGCAGTCTGCAGTCTATATTTTGTATCCGGTCTGCAGTCTGCTGTCTGCATTTTGTACTAACAGGTATCTGTGACACCAATACAGTTTATTTTTGGTTACATTTATTCGCAAAACACACGTAATCTACCACAAAATACCTGTGAGTGAGGTAATTTGACATTTTCGTTCTTTCCCACATTAATATTCTTCTCTCCTTTTGTAAGAATGTAGACATCACTCACAATGTTTCAAGTAATCCACCCACCCTACAAAAAAGTAACTCTTGCATGCATACCATGCCTATGTTTTGAAATACGTCTATGCTCTTGGCCAGACTTGAGCGCACTATTTCAGTATACTAGTCCGACACCCGTAGTATCACTACACTTGATTCCAAGGATCCAGTACCATCCAGGTATCCCAGTTACCCTGCTCACAGGGTCTAGTTAATCAACAAGTGAGTTTATAGGAATTAGTTGGGTGAAAGTCAACTGTAGCTTCTTGCGTAACAAACTTTAAAACAAAGGAAACAAACAAATTTTTAAAAAGAATCGATACAAAAAATTTTACTCGCCTGCCAAACCAATTGATTAACATCCTCTCCCATCCCCTCCCCTGACCGAAATTATAAATCGACTATGAGTTGGAAGGGAAACAGCGTGGTTTCCGAAATACATTTACGTATTTTCCTAAACAAAGTGTTGTTTGAAATACGTCTATGCCCTTGGCCAGACTTGAGCGCACTATTTCAGTATACTAGTCCGACACCCGTGGTATCACTACACTTGATTCCAAGGATCCAGTACCATCCGGGTATCCCAGTTACCCTGCTCACAGGGTCTAGTTTGTTGGGTGGGTGGATTACTTGAAACATTGTGAGTGATGTCTACATTCTTACAAAAGGAGAGAAGAATATTAATGTGGGAAAGAACGAAAATGTCAAATTACCTCACTCACAGGTATTTTGTGGTAGATTACGTGTGTTTTGCGAATAAATGTAACCAAAAATAAACTGTATTGGTGTCACAGATACCTGTTAGTACAAAATGCAGACAGCAGACTGCAGACCGGATACAAAATATAGACTGCAGACTGCAGAGTGGGTACAAAATGCAGACTAAGAATCTGAAGAGTTTTTACGTCAGGTATATAATAACATGTCATCTTACAGCTTACCGAGCGTCACGCAATCGCTTTTCTGCGATCCGCCTTCACGATTATTTGCAGTATTGAGGAATATTCCTGGCCCATTTCTTGATGAAAATCGATCGCAATATTATTTCAAGCCTTCAATATAGTCTTATTACTTTGCGCGCGAGTTGGTTGGTGTGATGTCTGTACAGATTTTATCAACGTAATAAAAGTAGATGATGTGAACAACAGTGATGGTAAAGCAAGCAAGCTTAAAACGGCAGAAATCGCCAGGAAATACAACGGATACACAGGGTATGAGTAATTTTTATTGACTTTACGGGAAAAATGTTCATATTTCGAAATATGTATCGTTGTAAATCGACCATACTTCGTTCCCTGTACTATTCCTTATAACGTGCAGTTCCTCTCGTAACTTAACACCGAGTCACACAACGCGTGACGCGTTCATAAATTAATCGTTGGCTTTTTCTCGAGACGTGAGCTTGGGCCGCTTGTGACAAGACAATTGCGTAAACAATATTTAACATAACAACATTATACACAAAAAAACACAGGGTTTTGGATCACGTATTTATTAAAAAAGAATATCCATACAACTACAATGAAAACAAACGTAAGATTCACCTTTCTGATCGTGAAATTAATACCATTCGTACTGTTATCGTAGCTACGTTCCTTGCCATCAAGTGAATCCAACATGTCGTCTTTCTTCACAAGCAGTTTGCATCCCTTATAGCTATGTTCTTCAGTCTCACGGTAGTAGCGTTGTTCAATAGATTGCATAGAGTATATGACAACTAAGACATTGGCATACTTAGCATACAAGGCATTCAAGGCTTTCATGGCTTTCAAGCGTTCGCGACTCAATCCGTTCCAAAATTACCGCTCAATAACATCTTTCAGTGAGGATTAGCCGCGATTAATACGACTCGTATATGCGTCTGTAAGTATTTTGCGCGTTTGCGCTATAATGCTCCAGGAGATCGCAATCCAAATACGTTGAAATACAAAACAACTGACCTAAGAGTTTTATAAGCAAAATCTCGTGTTTGTCATGTGACCCGGCCCTGTCTGTGCATGACAACGTCAATCATCATCAAGATAACACGCGTGATCAGCATGTGAACACCTCATTGGATCACAGTTAGTTGTCATGGAGTTGAGGGATAACACGCGTGATCAGTATGTGAACACCTCATTGGATCACAGTTAGTTGTCATGGTATTGAGGGCCCAATGACCTCTGGGTACTATTGCGCAATTTTTCCATTTTGTGGCGGAGAAAAAAAAAAAAAAAAAGACAAAAAAACAAAGGCATTTTATGACTGGGCTACCACAGGTATCCCAGTAAAAAAAGACAAAAAAACAAAGGCATTTTATGACTGGGCTACCACAGGTATCCCAGTAACAAAATTGTCGTGCCCCATGTGCTAAAGGCCTTTTTTTCCATGATCACAAGAAAGAATGATCTTCTCTTTTGGTAGCTGTGCAGTGTAATCTTGACATCAGCCGCTCTAAATCTTCTAATTCGAAAATAAACAAATACGTCATACAGGGAAAAGCCCCCGCCACGCCTCGTTGAAACAAATTACGGAAGGTCATTTGAAATCTTCAGTACATTGTTAAGTCAGGGCTGTGCCGAAACCTTTCAGTTTCATTGTTCTATTCTAATTTCTAAGTTATTCGAAGACAGAAAACGAAGACCAAAAGTGCCACAGGCGTTCATACCGGAAGAAAGAGGCAATCTATCATTTATTCACCTCGTTAACAGATGTAGGAGATCAGGAACGCAAGACAAATCGTCTATGGTGCAATAGTGTTTCAAAATGGCTCACGAGTTCATGTTATTCGCCTTCACTTTGATGGGATTCCACTCATCTTTCGTAAGTACTTGCTCAATATATGCCAAAATATTAAAAAACCACCGTGGTTTGACGCTAGATAATGCTCTAGAACCATCGTAATACCTGTCTGCTCGAGATACGTACATTTGATATTTGATTGAAACAACGGTAGCGTGTCGTATCGCAACATCTTCACTGCTTGATATATGATCCGGGCTGAATTGGTTATTCAACAGCTCAGTTTACCTCATTTCGACCTGAGAACCTGATTAAATTTGGTAAACGAGTTTATTATTTACGCTGAAATATCATCATAGCCTTTCGACACGCCTGGTGGGAGTAGTCGATAAACATTTTGGTCCCACGTTTCCGACTAGGTATTTAAAGTGAAAAAAAAACTCTGGTTCCTGTCTCGACCGAACTGAGAGGCAAAAGCGTCACACGAACGTCAACTAACGATATAGTCACGACCTGCTTATTTCCATCAATAGCCGTTTGAGCGCCTGTAAGAGACATCTCTTGATCGGTGTTGATCACGTTGCGATGCGACCTCGTTACAATGCACAGCGCAATTGAAATTGTTGTGACCACTTTCAAACAGTTACTCGAAAAATTCAAGAGCCCTTGTTTTCGATTTTGGCACTGGCAATCAGGTGTAATCAAAATACTTTTAATTCACTTATCAAGAAAAATCGTTTAAATGGGAAACCACTAAATGAATACCACCTTTTCGTGATCACGGTCACAAAACCGTGACAATTTCCTATTTTTAAAAGTTCTAATTTAGTTTTGAATTTTTTAAATGGGGTTAACATCAGATTTCAGTTTTTTTTCCCATTTGCGTTATTAATTAAAAAGATGGCTAACGTAAGTGCACAACACCTTAAAGATGAGTATTCTCTTCAATCGAAAGTCATGAAGCAAAACCTAGCAAATTGAAAGCAAAACTGAAAGGAAACCTTTGACGCAGAACAAGGGCACTACTGTTTCCTGACGACACGAACAACAGTGATGACATTTAATTCTGAAAATATCAGTTCTGATAGATGATGAAACCACCAATATGTGTTAAATATATTGCTTCAGAATTAAATTATCCATTACATCACTCAGAATATGTAGAGCAAAACTTTACAGGAGCTCAATGTGTTGTATTGCTTCGTCACGCGCGATTGCTTTGCTTCGCTTATCGGACTCAGTAATACGTTAGTCGTTTATTTATTGCCATACCCGATCAAGACTATAATAAGAACATCAGAATATGCGAAATTCATCGAACATTGTGAAGGCTTTTTGTCAACATATGCCTCCAAGATTCTATTTCCCGAGCAATAGATAATCATAAATACATTCTCATAGATTTAGCCGTAAAGTATTCCTTGAGTCAATTAAGTTTATTTAACCATAAATCATCATGTCATCGCACACTTGCGGTTTCCATGGTAAACAAGCTTCGATAGAGGATAACATAGCTGCGTGCAAAACAACACGTATCGTTTGCAAATCACAAACCGCTGCGCTAAGGCTTTGACACAGGGCACATGAACTTTTTGCTACTAGTTTTTTAAATTTTATCATGGCAATTTCAACCTAATCTGAAACCGCAAGGCCTAAATAGTGGGTAGCAAACAAACACATTTACTTAGAAACACTAGGATTCCATTTAAGCTCTTATAAGAATCCGCTTCATCAAACGACCTTGAAATGAATCTATGTTTAATCCTAGGATCCTAGGGAATGGAGGGGGTGGGGGGGGGGAAGAGCGTTCGGTTGGAAAAGCACGGAAGAAAGCTGATTGCAATTTTTAAGGGTGCGCACTGCATCGCCACGTGAGAAAGTGTGTGCGAAAAACCCTTGCCCAGAAACAGGGGGATGAACTCGCCTTCTAAAAACTCCTTCCTGAGAAAAAGAGATACGGACTATAAGTAATTAATTTGCGTGCCGCTTCCTTTCTAATGTCTACTGATAGTCACTGAGTGGAACAGAAGTACCGTTCTATCCGGTCTCTCCAAAGTTGATCAACTTGGCTTGTAAAAAGTGCCCGGCAGGATTCTCCACAGTGTGCAACCAAAATGAACAATCTCGTTGCGTAAAATGCGCTGAAGGAACATACTCTGAGCACGCCTCTCGCCGCGGAACATGCAAACGTTGCGCCAGATGTGGTTTGAATGAATTCGAGGTCCTTCCTTGCACTCTGACGTCGAATGTTGTTTGCAAAGAATGCAGCACATGTCCTCCTGGATTTGGGGTACTGAGGCCTTGCGAAAAGACAAAAGACACAGTCTGCAAGAGATGCCCTTTTGATAAAGATGGAATAGGGATCTATGAGGACACAGATTGCGGCAGAGGTGGAGGTGAGGGTAATCTTAGGTGTTTTTTGCGGAGAAGATTACGTATGTGCTTGGTATGATGGTTTGTGTCTGCTTACGAGAGTTGACCTTTAGTTGGTGTTAATTCCGAAAAATGTTTTAGCTCTGAAGGTTATGCTTTAAGAATAGTGTGATGAGAAGGGGAAAACTTCAAGTTGTTGAATGAGAGAAGTGTAAGGGTTAAAACCAAGTGATTTTTTTGTATTACACGAGGCGATCATCATAAAATATCTTCTGAGTTATTGATTTTCCCCGGATTAAAAATTTTCTTTTTTCATATAGATTACCTTGTCCACAATAGAAGCAGACATCACGAAGAGACGAAAGACCGTGTGACTGTTGTAAGAGCTGAGAACCCTTGGGTAGATGGCAGAAGGAATCCCAAGTTTCAACACAAATTGCCGGTTGCTGACAAAGAAGCAGACGAAAAACTCATCGTACCCGGGGTTCATTCTGTAAGCCCTTCCCCTCCAAGCTTATTCTCGTCGAGGACGCCAACTGATGCAATTGCACGGGGAACATTTCTCATAATTTCTCCCGTTGATAGTTTGCCTGCGTCGTCTCCACAGACAGAGAAAACAGTTTACGACAGGCGACACCCAACAGATCATGAAGTGCAAGGAGATGATGGGAACATTCCTCAAAGTTTATCGCAGAAGACTGGTCACAACAGTACAGACACAGCGAATCCGCGTAGGATATCTTCCGTTTCGTCATCGGAGTCTCTCAACGCTAATGATTTTGGAATGGACGAAGAGCTGGAGCATAGCACAAAGTCTCCCCAGGAAAAAGGTTAGATTTAAATTCTCTGTTTCTTATGCTGTCCCTAAATCAACTGTTAGGTTCTAATTGAGTATTGTGATGGAGGTTTTGATATGCATTATCACTTCAGGAGGCGGATTTAAATTGGGTACAGAAGGGGTGGTGGGCGACAACATGGACAAGGAAGTGATGCTTCCCGAGCCGAACTCTGCAAATGACCAAGAGATTTTCCCACACACTCAACACTGGCAGTGGATTGTGATTGCAGTAGTTGTTGTCGTTGTGCTAGTGGTTGCATCGGCACTCAATCGACTGAAACGCTCCAAGAAAACTAATGGTAAGATTTCTGCTTTTTAAGGAAACTGTGACTGATAAAATTCCTCTGAAGACGTATTATTTCACTGTCTAAAGAGCAATTCATGTTTCTTGGATAAAGGACTTGATTCATGCATTCAAAGCAGATTTCCATCACTGCCCTCAGTATGACAGATGTTTCCACTTCTTCGCAGGCCGAGTAATCGTTTTTGACACTAAAAGTGTCGGTCAAGTGATTTCTGTCGTTGTGCAAGTTAATATGGTAATTATTTTATCGACAGGGCGCCTCTTTGTCTGCCCCCGGTTAGACTGCAGACGTCCGCGTTGTATGACGCCATCCGACTGCTGTGATAGCACATCAATATCAAGTGCTGCAGGTTCATGGGCTGAAGAGGTGTGTCTTGATTCCGTCCGCATAGATTGACTTTAACATTTTGTCTTATTGTAGTCAGTAAAGTATGCTACCTGAAGTGCGGGAATCGCGACTGAATAAGTCCTGACTGGTTTTAATTTTGCGTCTGATTGGTCGAAGGGGTAGCACGAGTTTTCTAGACCAATCACAGTGCAGAGTAAAACAAAACCAATGCAATTTCTTTCGACACTAGAATTAAACAATTTGCTCTATTTTCACATTCACTTGCCTATGTTACTGGCAGGGTGCAAATGTCATAGGAGTGCCTGTTGACGTACATGAGTCTGATTCAAACCAACCTACGCTACACACCTTCCTGCCCTCTGAAAACACTATTGTAGCCGCTGATGTCCATCATACCACAGTATTTGATGTGTTCAACATAAGGTACGTCATCAAGCTAGTTTATTTGATAATTTGAGTCATGGAGATCAGAAAAAGGTTTGTCAATGATCATTTGGTAAACGGGGCGCGTTGTAAAGTGGGTACAATAGTAGTACAGAGCGGGAAAAAAGGAAGTGTGATACAGACGGGTCTCATAGGCGACCTGACTCAACTCAAACCTCTACAATATCGCGTATTCTCCTCTTTCCGGTCTGATTTACCAACTGAACGCGTGGAATAGGCTAAAACCTTTGTCGTCAACTTGAAATATACTTTTTGGAGCCGTTCGCATGCTCCTTCTATTTGCCCTAGAAAAATGAAAAAAAAAAAACATCTTGCAATTTCGTCAGTTATTTAGAATAATTACTTGACCTCATGTTACTTATGACTTTTCATCGCGTAAACGTTTCAACCGACTGTAAGCTTTACTCAACTGTCCAAGGAGAATGCAAAATAAAAAAGTAATTGGGAGGTACATTATAGTAGTTGAATGAAAAAAGTTGAGGAGTGACAAAACCTTCTGCCTCTTGTTTGAGAGAGTGCTGGAGAACGTGAGGAGGGTTTATAGCTCTAAATCTAATAACTATCAAATGCCACTTCATGATAACAGGTCGCTAAGATATCTTACTCAAGCAGAAGCCACGCTCGACAGCACTGGTGGGAAGTTGTCTGCGCCAGATTCCGATGTGACGATTGCAGTTGATAGTGGTACGGTCCCAGAAGGAACTCACCAGAAGTTTTTCTTCCGAGTGGTCTATGACGAAACCTCTCTATTGCGGGACATCCCGGAAACACCTGATAGGACGCTAATTTCCCCCGTGATTGAGTGTGGACCACACGACATCAACCTGCTTAAGCCGGTTGAAATCACTGTTCCACATTGTCTGTTCTTTGACGAGATTAAGAAAGACTCGATAGCTGTTTACAGATGTGAGCAATATTCTGACAAAGGTAAGTTCATGATCATTTACTCCTGTATATTTCCCGTAACACATAAATATAGCTGGAAATGGTGTTTTAAACTAACGCTTGATATTAGCATATGTATTAAGAAGGTCTAAGACCATACCATTCTGAAGCTTTTTCGCGCAAAAACAGTCGATGGAGCGTGGCTAAGCTCACGGTCGGAAAGAAGAGAACAAGATAACAAACCAATGAGCGTCCACAAAAGTATAGATGACTTGAAAAAAATTTAAAGAAGGAAAGAGGTGTTCTGTGATCATTTTAACTATTATGTGATGGGGAGTGGCAATATTTTTAGTCACAGCTACCGCTCTGACATTGGGATAAGTTTTCAGTTGTGCCCATTTAGACTGAATGCAGTGCTATGGATAGATCAGCTTTAAGTAAACAAAAATATACACTGCACAATTATAATTATAGTTATGTTTTTAAAGGAACAATCCAATGGGAAAAGGTTCCATCAGCATCGGAGAAAAATGGCCAATGTAAGGCATGGTTCACGGTAAAAAAAGATTCCATCCACATTAAAACAAAAACCTTCTCTTTTTGGAGCATTTTTGCATGTGGTGGATCAAAAAAGAAGAGAGCGACTGTTTTCTTCAGCAGACCAAGCCCATCAAGCGATTTGATTTATCTCAGGTTCTACATCTACGGTGATAGCGAGGATTCAAAGAAGGTAGGTGATCAGAAGGCTTATAACCCCTTCGATTTTGGATACAAAAGTTCTCAGAATTGAAGGAAGGGTGATACACAGATGCCTATCATTGCGCGTGTCTCTGTCTAAATTCGAACCCAAACCTATCCCGAATTCGCGATAGGATAATATAACAATTGAGCTATATGAACAATTTGCAAGGCCATATAATAAATGCGTAGGTATAGCAAGAGTTTTGCATACTTCTAGGCTCAGCAATGTTCTAGACGCGGATTTTGAAGTTTGATCATTCGGGAGAAAGTAGTTCTGAAAAAGATTTTTTTTCCCGTAGTATATAGTCTCCGACGTTTCGGCAATATTAGCCGGAAGTCATATTCATAGTCAACAAGAGAATATCGACAGTTGATATTCTCTTGGAGTCGACTGTAAAAATTTCATATATGGAGATTTTTTTTTTAATTTACGCAGGTGAGTGATAAAAATGAAGGACTGTTAAACAAATCTTTCCCTCTTCCCAGATCGCTCTTAAGTTCGAGACTCCAACGCAGTTTCCTTGAGTCGTGTATCTCGTTAAACGAGGACGTTATCAGATTTCATTTCAATGAAGTGCTGAATGTTGTTCTACATTCAGGCCTCATTCAGATGCATCTCTATTGAAATAATCTTAAATATCATATCAGAGACGACAAATGTTAACGATTTTCCCGTGAAATAATTGTGCGCAATCTTTTTGTATACTACAGCGAGTTGAAACACGAGACAAAGAACGTTTTCCAGACTCGTGGAAGGCAGCTAAGGAGAAACCTTGCACGATACATAATGGCGGTAACAATATCGCTGTGAAACTCACAGAGATTCAAGACGGATGGGAGCTCGACAAGACTGGAGCTATTCAGGTAACTATGATTTAATTATAAATTAGAAAAAATAATAACCACATATACGTCTCTCTTGCATGATCCCGTATGATGTTGTGTATTGAGTCGGTTTGTTGAGTAAATACTGTTTGAAACGCTTGTCGCTTCAAAGGCGAACACTGTCATGCAAATTCGTAATTGGTATTGTTACAATTTTATGGTCATTAGTTATTTATTGTTTATACGCAATGTAGGGAGAAAAGGACGAATGGAGAGGGGGGGGAGGGTGGGGGTCTCCTTTGGTGCCTGTCTAATAATTATGATTAAAAGAACACCGGTATGCTCCTAGATTCCGAAAAGACGCTGATATAGGACCCCCTTGTCAAAAAGTCTTGCTTTCGCCACTGCTTTGTACGAAAGAGAGAGGCCGTCAAAGGCTTTTGATTATAACTAACACGTGTATTTCTTTAATGTTTCTTCTTACAGACATACCCTTTCGAGATCGCGTATCGCAATGGATTTCGTTCCAGTGACTCATGCGATTTTGCTGTGAAACCCACAGGAAAAAATGTTAAACCATTTTCATGTGTTCTTTGGTTCCAGCAGGAGGAAACCAACAAAGAATACACGATCTATCTAAACCCAGGCTATGACCTACGCGAGGTAACGTATCCATGTTGTCGCATAATACTCCTTCCCCAATCGAACTCTAGTAGTGTAAATTTTGACCCCAGAGGTATGGCATTCGTACTTCGGTCGCACTCGCACTCGCACTCGCACTCGCACTCGCACTCGTATCCAGTCGTTTAACACTCGAACTTCGGTCGCCAAGCTTTCGTACCCAATCATCTTGCATTCATACTCCAGTCGCATAGCATTCGCACCCAGTCGTAAAATATTCGCGCTGCAGAGGCACGCCATTCGAGACTTGTTCTAACCACTTTCTCGATATCTGAGCTGACTAAACTTTCGTGATGTAAACGTGAGATAATCGAAACAAGAAGCAATCACGTGAGGGATCAATATCAGTATCTGGGTAACTGCTCACCTGCTCCTCCCCTAACCCAAAATTAACCCTAAGTTGTTATCAATAGACTGTTGTTGGGTTAGGGGAGGGGTAGGTGGGCAGTTGCCCAGATACTGATAGTACGTGAGCATAAAAACCTGGTTGAAAGATAAAGGAGAATCAGTTAGAAGGTAGGTGGTCATTATTATTTCTTTTTTTTCTTCTTATTTATGAACTTTCTCTGCATACAGACTATTCCCTCGTCTTCCAACGAAATCCAGCCCTCAAACGACGCAAGCGTGATAGAAGAAAGCCTTGCTTCAGAGGGGCAAGAGGAATGCGAAGGCAGCCGAAATATTGAAAACGGAGCAAATACAGGTTGGCAATGTAGCCATTGTTTTTGTTACTGTTAGTTGACAAAGTTAGGATAATCCTCAAGAAATCATAGTTCGAATATGGAACATGTTGTATAACGCTGCTTTAAGAAACAGTTCAGAGAGATGTAACATCATTCCTTCGATACTCATGGATTGATAAATGTTCTAGATATAAGTTTAAATACAAGTTGTTCTGAAAAATGAGTTTGTTTTTTCTTACAGTAACTGCAGATGTTACAGGAGATGCTTTGAGGCAAAGTTATGCCTCGTTAGGCAGTAATGACGAGCCTGTCACAGAAAGACACTTACTTTGCGTACATCAAAGGATTGCGAGATGGGAAACAGTTCTTCGGTATCTGGGCTTGGAGAATGTCAGAATAGAAGTTCTAGACGCGGAAAATAGGACAATTTCGGAAAAATGTTATCAAGGGCTCCTAATATGGATGAGAGGGGAAAGGAATGCTTCGACGAGAGAGCTTTGTGACGCCTTGCAACGCGCAGATTGTCGGGAAGCGTTGGATCAGTTGTCGAGAGAGGGTGAGTTAAATTTTGCAAGTGACGACCACTTCATCCCTCAAATTTCAAATTTATTAAATGTTTAAGGGATACATGCAAGAACTTTAAGGAAACAATGGCATTCATGATACCTGCTACTAACGTGAGGTATGACTCATTATTCCGGCTTACCTCGGTGTAGAAACTTTGCAATTTTTCTTTGTTCTGTCAGTGTTATGTTCCTAAGCTCTGTTGTTTTGAATTGTTTTGCATAATTGATTTGTCGTAAGGTGTAAGCAACAGAAAGATTTGATCATATGTACAGTCTCCTCTCCCAACATGACCATTAATTTGATCTTTTGTCATTTAAGGGTTAGTAAAAGAGGAACAGGCTAAAATCACAGATGAAAAAAATTCAAATAACTGGACAACTGTGTGATACGGAGCATCCTGTGAGACTCTGACCATGGATCCTAACAGTCAGTTGGAAGAAACATGACAGTGAGTTCCTCGTTTGCTTTTCGACTCAAGATTCCTCTTCTTCGAAGTCGGTGATACCAAAAAGGAAGAATAACTCCTATCTCGGCAATCGGATGAACTCAACGGATTTAAATTTCAGTAAAGAATGCCACATAAAGCTGGAAAACCTTAGAAAACAAGGAACTTTGCAAGCAGCCAACGTTTTCATGCTTTAGTTGAACACATTCGTCGAAACTTAACTCGTTCCATCGACTTATGCATGTCTCAACTCATGCTCAGGTGTGAACAAAATCTATAGACGGGGCAAGTTTCTATAGAAACTGTGGTGCCGCATCGGTGGGAGAGTATAACAAAACAATTTGGTATTATCAACTGAGTTGATGACGAAAATTGGCCGCCGAAACGGTTTCAAACCTGCGTTTCGAGCGTTAGCCCTTCGTCGGAGCGAATGGCTCTACAACGTTTTAATCTCCAATCGCACGTCTCCCTCCACTTAAATATCTCTTATTTATGATCTTTTTTCAAGATTTTCTGATTAAAAGAATTCAAAGACTTATCAGCTTTAAAATTTCATCCATATCGCAGAAATTATATGTCGTATTTCTAAAATTCTTAGTGATGCATACACGAACTTTCTACTATCATATACAAGGAACTTTCTGGAACATTTTCTTAGGTTATGTTTTTATGATGTAATACCAGAAAAATTGTTGTGTTGTAGTCTTCCGAAAGTTCCAGAATACGTTTTAAATGTATATAAGGACTCAGTCGTCGAAATAATTGTTGCTGTTGTCGGGAGAGAATGATTGTCTGGAAAGGTAAACCAAGAGAGAACTATTGTGGACGATCGTACATTTCAGGGATATTTGAAGACAACCGTGAGATTTTGTCAGTGGTGAGCTAAATTAATTATAGTCCGCAATAGGCTTAAGTGAGTTTATTTAGGATAATTACTGTATTGCCTTCAAAAGTTTCTCCTCGGTAAGAAAATCACATGTTGATTAATAGAGTAGGTGAGTTTGCAGGAGTATAGTGTTCTTTCTTTCGACTAAATTATACTGTAATACTGGTTACATTAATCAGTCCAACTTTGTAAATTTAATGGATTGGAAATAAAAAGTTTCAGTTTTTGAACTTCAGTTTCTACCACGTCCGAAACAAAAAAGAGAAAAAAACAATGTTGACATAATATTCCCGAAATAAAAAATTTTGACTTGTCATATCACATAAAAATACTCCTGTTTTTGTAAAACTCGCGTTATCAGTTTTCTTAATTACTGCTTACCTAATCTTACTCTAAAAAAATTAACTTTGTCTTATGTATCTTTCTCTTATTTAGACACTACTACATGCATAACTGGCGTCAAAAATCCTAAAGTATTTTTAATTTCGAAATTAAACTTCTTCAGCCTTTTTTTTTAGTTACGGATGGCAAGCTATGCACTGTTCTTTGTGTTATACAACTTAAGGTGGAGTTGACGACGGGTTTTCCAAGGTACGGTCAGCGGAACTTATTCGCTGGTGCAACGATCGCTCAGGAAATTGGATATTTGATCCCTGTCCGCTCGCGCCCTCTTCTTTCTGTGAACAGCGGATATCAATTCCCTGCCACTTGCTCTCCTGAAGACAGCCTTGCAAGGCAGTGGTAAACTCGTCACTCAAATTGATACGAATCGTCTTGTTCCCGTCATGCAGTTGTGGCTGATTCTGATTGGTTACCTGAAAAATGACAATTTAATGAGTTGTTATTTTTTACGTGGAATTGTCAGTTTTTAAGAATGCTCATCATCGATTCAAGAGGAAAGTTTGCATTCAGAAATAATAATTTAAGTAATTTTGACTTAAATAAGGAATTTTGACACATCAGAAGCATCTGAAATTCTGAACAACGAAAATTGATTTTCCTTACTGGTGATAGGAAAACACTATAAAACGAATCACCCTCCAGAGCTCCATTTCCTAGAAACGTCGAAATCAATCGGAGTTTTTCAAACTTCACCACTTTTAGGAGCGGGAAAAGAAGTTTGAACATCAACCTTTATGCTTCAATACAACTGATTATTTTTCTTACACTATGGTTACATCATAATCTGTGATACACTATTCCTTTATTCAGTGTTTAAAAGGAATACATCGCAGTGATTTTTAACAAAATTCAGCTCACAGGGTTTAATTTTCAGCTTTGCAGGATGTCGGACTTTGATGGGTCAATAAACAAGATCGACATCTATGCAAACCTCAGGAGTGTTTTTGATTTAATATACCGTGGCCAGGATAACTTCCTTGCTTACTTTAAACCTTTAAACCTTAAAAGAAGTCGGACCTTAAGCAGTAAGACAGTAACGCCGAGGAAGACGTCAATTAAAAAATGGCTGATGTGTTTAACGTCTTATTTGGCGCCACACGTCACTTTCAGCATAATTTTTGTGAGCACGGTTGAGTTCCAAATTGAAACTTACATAATTTGTCGTCGGGTGTTCTTTTTTTTTTTTTGATCACGTAAATTTCGGTAACTTCACATTATTGTGTGACAGAGGAAGGCTAAGAAATCTACAAAGTTTTAAAACGTACGTGCTGGGCTATTGTCATGCCCACTACATTTTTTGTTTTGCAACTTCCTCCTTCTCGTTGCCGTTTGCTAAAGGTCTTTAAAGTGTAAAGGAAAACACCTTCAACTGCTGCGAGCCACCTTTGTATGAAATCTTACCTGGCCTCCACTTTCAACTGCTGCAAAAGGAGATTCTCTGTTGCCATGGAGTCCAGCACTATCTGATGTCCCGGATGAACGGCTTGGTAGAACGGAGACGTGAACTTGCAGATTATCAGCTCTCCCGTTAGGTCCGCACCTTGACGAATCATCTTTCTTCTTCAAATAGGTTTTAATTTCACCATAAACGATCACGAAGACACCCAGAAGGAGCAGAGCGCTTACAAACAAAACGCCCCCAATAACCTTTGAGCGAATCGCTGCCAGAACAGTATTCTTTTGATAATTGTCGGGGATGTCCGTAATATCGCAGTAGCCGGTGAGTGTATCATAATCTGGACCAACGTGAGCGCAAACGTAGTAAAACGTCTGGAGAAAACTAAGTGACAGCCACATTAAGGGATACAGAAGGGAGAAAATTGCTGACAAGGCGACCTTTACCAGGTTCCAGTCTCGCCAGCGAACCATGCAACGAATACAGTGTTCGGCGTGAGAATCCCAGTCGGTACGCCCATCATAAAAATTACAAGCACATTTGAGCTCGTAAAGTTTCTTCACAGCTTTCCATGGAACGCTATCGTTATCTCGACGGAAGTATGTGAAAAATGCGACCAGAAAGGTGCTTAGTGACGGGAACAGAAACATGATGGTACCATAACCAGTCGGCCATGTGCAAGGGCAGGTGTAACCTTCTTGCCCGTAAAAATTTTGCTCCAAAAACAACTTAAAGGATACAATCAGCAACACCAGAAATGCTCCATGCCATCCCAGAATTCCTGCTAAGGAGAGGAGGGCCAGTTTCACCGTTTGAGCCATATTTTGAAGGTTAACTTCTTGCAAAAGTTTATATTCTCTTGCTATCGGCTAAAGATAATGACGTAAACCTATAAAAATTCAAGCAGCAAAAGAAGGGATCAGGATTCAGGATAGGTCAGTCAGAGAATTCAAGGAAGGAGTCCTGGTATGTCGAGGATATTGTGTTACTCTTTGATAAAATAATTTTATCTCTAATTTTGCCTTTTAAATCTTGATTTCTCAGGCGATTGCAGATCATGTGTACTATATGTAAACCCAAGATTCCTGTAGTCCTTTCACTTCTTTTTGTTTGTCTGTTACAAGACTTTTTTTGTAGTTTCTAATCAGCTCTTCCTCATGATTGAAAACGATCCCTTCCCGAAGTTTTATTTATGGTCGCTTATCGACTATGACGTTTACTTTGGAGCCTATCTGAAATTAACTTTAGGATAATTATTTTACTATTTCTGATTTTTTTTAATGATATTTTATTCAGTCGTATCGTAAATCATACTTTTTAACGTCGATGTGTCGGAAAAATGCGGAAGACAAGGACAACTCAGAAATGTAGTCAGTTCAAGAAACAAATTTCATAAACGACCAAAAAATTCTCAACTCATTTCTTTTTTGAAAGCCTACTCCCAAAAAAAGGAGATTGTTGACCGGTCTGTCTGTATTTAAATACTGTTAGTGGATAGCATTCCCTTTAGTTACTTGCGTGACTTTGAAAGTAATTATTCAACTTGTCGTGACGTCAGGTAATCGTAACTATCACAGGATCAAATTAGATACGATAGTCATTATCAGCAGCTTTCGTTTTCTACGAAATCATATTTTGAAATGATTTTACGAAATTTGTCATGAAACAAAATAGCCCGGGTTTTTACTCAGGTAATTTACGCCTTGAATAGCGAAAGTAGATTTTTAAGTCATCAGAAATGTGCCTCAGAGCAAGGTTTTGATTTCATACACGAACACCGAAGTTCCACGTTTACATTTATCAATAGTAAAATAAACATTTACAGCTAGTCTTCTTTCTTTGGATGATGCTTATCAAAACTCAAAACGTTTGTTTAGAAAAATGTGCAAGATCGTAATTCACTTTGGGCGTAATTGTTTATACATTAATTTGTTTATAAAGATACTTTAGAAGCTCCGTGATGAAACATAAGACAAATTTATTTTGAACAAATAAGATTCAATTTTAGAAAATCGTAAGCTACATTAAGCAAAGTAATAAGTATTTTGGTGAAATTTTAGTTCCCTAGGTAGTTTTAGCAACCCAAGTGAAAACACGCCGTGAAAATTTACCCAGCTCCAGACAACTTAAGCGATCGGGTTGGAACGAGAGGTTTCATAATCACCGCCCTATTATCAGCCTGGATATCGCTCGCAGAATGCAGTTGTATTGAAAAATTCTGATGACCCATGACATTTGGATCAATAAAATGGCTCAAAATGAAATCTTTTATAACCTTCGCTCGCGATTCTCAATGTATGAAATACAAATGTCAACTATCCACGTAGACATACACTTCCTGTTTTCCTCGGCGTGACCGCGTGGCAGAGCAACATCTATGGTTCAACTTATAAGAGAACTAAAGCATAAATTGAAAGTTTTACCGGTTCTGATGTCTTTCAGTATCTTTAAGCTTGGTTTCCAAAGAAGCAATGTCTCTCCGAAGACAGCAAAGTCCGGGAATTTTGAACATCAGCGCTGACAAGTAAGTTGGATCTTCAACTCAGGAATTCGCTCACAAAGGAGACTCAGATTTTAGCCCCACATTTTAGTCCCACATTTTTGTCTCTAATATTTATGGCCCTTGGGACCCACTTCACTTGATATATCACAGAAAGGGCTTCGCGTCAATAGTAGCTTGAATGGCGTCGGTTGAAATGTGTGGGAGAGATCACAATTTAAAGTCGAGCTGCGATGACTTATTTGGGACGTTTGAGGACATATGCTATCATGGCTATAACTATATTTAAATTTGAGGTATGTGCGTTTTTTTTATGGAAAAAGAAAAAATATCACGGTAAACCTCGGTATGTTTGCTTCACATTTATCAAACCAGATGTCGAGTGCACGTCGGTTTAATCTGGGTGCACGGTCGTTGTTTTTATGACTTGTTTTCCTAGGCCGTCATGGCGTCATGGCCTCTGCCAGCTATCGTTTTTTCAGTTTTCCTAAGGGTTCTCTTGTTTTTCGTTTCAGCTCATGGATGATTATATCTCCTTCTTGAGAGCAGTCTATCGACTTTATGATGAAGGACTGTCCAGTAAGACGGTATCACAAAAGCTTATTCAAAAATGAGCTTTCGGTTCAATTTTGAAATGATATCGACCAGGACTATGAGGAAAATCCGTCCTGAATGGGTCTGCTCGGCGTGCAATTACAAAGGAATACTTTATTGAGTCTGGGAAAATTCTAATCAACCAATAATTATTTCGACCTCAAAGGATCTTTTTGTGAACATCTCATTGTGAACAAGACTGCCCTTAGCTTGTATGGAAAAAGCTAAAAGGCGCCCTTCAGATCAAGCAAAAAAACAACCGGTGTGTTCTCTGAAATTCTTGCAGAACTACTTCTAATACGCGACATTTCCTTTGTTAACATTCATGTGGAAATTGCAGATGAATTTGAAGTAAATATGTTACATCAACGGTCGCTAACTTCTACGAGGTGTCTTTTTTATCATTACTAACATCGACAGATTATTTTAGGAAGGAAAGTAGAGCTTCTTAGTTATATCTAAAGCAAAATTCACGGTCTAAGAACTCGATTCAGTTAAAGAAGAGACTCAGAAAATCGACATTAAGGTTACTATAACAACGGTACAGCCTCTAAGAAACGCCCTTGTTTCGGCTTTATTTTCCTGTGACTCAAAACGAGTTCATATATAGACCCCATTCTTTTAGATAATTAAAATGCTCCCGATTTCTCAAGAATTATCTTTTCGCAAAGCACAAAAAAAACCTGTACGTACAGTTTAGAGCCATTCTTGATTATCAAAATACTAAAGTAGCGCTGGAACGGTTAAAACTGATATATATTGTAACTGAAACCCATCCCAAAAAATTTCTGCATCCCGGGGGAGGACACTCCCCTAAGATACTTTATACAGAAAGTGTCGTGGCCAATGGGGTCTGTGATACTCTTGATCTTGAAGGAAAACTCGGGCGGCATGCACTAATCCCAAAAATTAAAGTATGGGACCGTTTGAAGAAACAGTTGTCTTCGACTATTAACTTAATGAGTTCCTCTTTCCTTTTCTAACCTTAGTGCGCATGTGTGGAATCGGCGGCTGTAACATGCCATTTTTATCATATAAAACCCAGCCCCCCCTCAGGTCAGGGAAACAGGGATGTCATAGAATGTTAAACTTTTGCGAGTGATCCTCTCCAATCAGTCGATAGTTTTGGTTACTTAACTATCGAGAAAACTTGCGTTATTTTCCTTAACTTCTACGTCTAAACGAGCGTTCAGAACGTCGATGAAAAACGTCCTTTTAACCTCGAGTAGTTTTATCTACTACTTCACGCAGTGATTCGTACTCATGCTTCCTCTGAGCGTCCGAAAGTAGTTTGGTTCGAGATGGCGAGCGAAATGGAAAACATCCTAGCAGGTTCCTCTGTTCTTCCTGTTGTGAACAGCGGATATCAACACCTTGCCATCCGCCATTTCGAAAACTCCCTTGGAGGGCAGAGACAAGTTTATCGGTCAAATGGATTTGAATTCCCTTTGCTTTATCACTTGGATCTTGTTTGATAGTGGACTGAAATATAGAATGAATTGCAAAATATGTCATAAATTATATTGCGAAGTCACCAACACGCCCTTTCTAAGTCGTCCAGTCCTTATGTGATTCTAATATCTCCTTATGAATCTGGCAGAAATCCATTCCGCTGGGTTCTAAATGTTTGCGTTGGTAATCGCTTTGAAATAACTCATAGAGTCCTTTCAAATGAGAAGACTCTAAATAGGGGTGGAGTGGTTTGTTCCTCAGTTGTTTTTCTGATGCCGCCACTCATTTTCCTTGAGCCAACTGGTGCATACTATAACAACACATATTGGCACTCGGACTTTGAGGCCCTGTGGGTGAGGGGGGGGGGGGCTCGGTCGTCGGATACGATTTTGTCACGATGAAATTCACTTGATTCCCCCCCCGTAAGGCACTGTAGCATTCTAATGATCCACCTCATGGGCAGTCAATTTTCTATAGCCTCGCCTTTATTTTCTGTTGGCGACGATTGATCCCCTCTTGATAAATAAGGACTGGTTCCTTACCTGACATTTGAATCCAGGAGCTCCTGGGCCACTTGGGATGATCGGTGCACTGCTGCGGCGGGAAGTTGCTGCTCCTGATACATCTGTTGCCCCATGTGAATGGTCTGGCAAGACAGTGACACAAACTGCAAGTTTACCAGTACTCTCGTCATCGTCTGAGGACTTTTCAATCTTTTTCAAATAGTTTTCTATCTCGCCATGGAGGATTACAAACAACCCAGCAAAAAACAGCATGCAGGCAAACAAAATTCCTCCGATGACTTTCGAGCGAATCTCTGCCAATGCGTACTCTTTAGAATAATCTTCCCCAATTGTTACATTGCAGAAACTAGTGACAATTATTGGTGAGGGACCGACTTGAGCACAGACATAGTAATGAGCTTGAAGAAGACTGAGTGTGATCCATACAAGAGGATACAGCGACGAAATCACTGCTGAAACTGCAATTTTCACAAGTGTCCAATCACGCTCGACTTGGTGGCAAAAATTGCAGACCTCCACATGGAAATCAAAATCGGTGGACTCTTCTAAGAAATCACAGGAACGTACCATTTCGTAGAATTTTTTCAAAGCAGACCAAGGAACGCTACCGTCGTCTTGACGGAAATAAGCAAAACATGCAATCATGTAGGCAGCCAAGGATGGGAGAAGAAACATGATATTGCTGTAGATGGCACCCAGGGTACATGGGCACGCTGCGATTTCCTGTTCGAGGGGCCTTTCGTGTTCCCAATGGAAAATCTTGAACAGTGAAATGATGAGAAGAAATAACAATACCCCATGCCATCCCAGGATTCCTAGCGAGGTGGAGATCACCCGTTTTACAGATCGAGTCATGATAGACTGTCAGTTGAATTAGTCTTATTTCAGTCTAACCAACCTACAGTCAGTAAAGAATATGATAATAAGACAAAAAAAAATGAACTTGTCAATTGAATTCCCACTCCAGCACAGGGTGGGAAATATAATTTCTCCAGTGAGCGTGGAATAATTTATTCTGAAAATCCTCCGGCCATGGTCTATTGATAAACGGAGCGATGGTAGCAGCTGAGCGAAAAATAACGGTTTTTCTCGGATCCCGAAACGCCGCGAAGTCTCTTATTTGCTAACTAAACGCCAGGAACATGCAACAATAAAGCTGCAGTTTCGTGACTAAAGCTACGACAGAGTTCGTGGTATCCACGTAACGTGGTAACCTAGCTAGAGATATCGGGGGTAACACCTTGAAATAGTTCATTAGATAGTTCAATCAAATTATATTTTAACAGAAACAATAAAAAATTGTAGTCTGGTCGAAAAAGGCGATGACTCGTTTATAAAATCTATAACACACGAGGGGTAGATACATCTTTTATAACCAAGCCATTAGCGTAGGATCACGATCAACAGCGTGACCTGATAGAGTCATCCGTAGGTTCTGGGGTCTATCAGAAAAGGACTCTGATGGATACGAATACAGTTGAATTCTTACCTTTTGAGGCAAATAATTTTCTTGATTTCGAGAGAGAGGGGAATCCTGTCAGCAGTTACCTTGCAACTAGTGAAAAACGTGTAAAAAGAACTAATGCCACACGCAACTCACATGATGATCACCCAACGATTTGTGGTCGGTCATGCCATGTTTACGGAATTTTCCGATTAGGTCTTTATTGTTGCGCGTGATAGAGTCGGCAAAAGTTTTGACAATAATATTTTCATACCTCGAAAATTTTTTTAAATTATTTGGGGCTCGAGAAGCTCACTCAAATATGAATCAATCCAGGAGTCTTCCCAATTGATCTTACCTATCGCGCACATTATAAAGACAGAACTAATCGCTTTGGGCACCGGAAACAACAAATTAGACAAAAAACGTGACAAAAGTATTGTATCAGTTCTTCTTTCTTTCAACCTTAAGATATTGAAACCTAAGGAGGAAAACGACTCAATACATTGCCAATGAACCGCAAAACTATGATTTCGAATTTTTAATTTGAGACTTATCATCAAGCAGAGTCAACTATATCCAAGAGAAAAACTATACCTCTCAGCTCTTCTTCTGTCTAACAGCGAAATCTGAAAATCACGTTACTTCCGCTGTGCTAAACGAAAAGGTTTCCCCATGTTGCTCTAGCGCTAAAATGTCACCATCAACACTGTTCAGACGACGATTTTTTTAAACGTTCGTCAGGAATAAGAATTTTGTACACTTCGCAAATTTCTTATCAGTAAAATTCATATTTTGAAAGAAATTGGCTGTGCTCTAACACTAAGCGCGGCAACCCAGACAACTTACTCTAGTCTTTGGGTAAGGTGATACGATCTGAAGCAGTGTTGGGTCGCACGAAAGAGTTAACTCTCCTTGCTGATGGTTCGTTTTAGCTCCCGCAAATTTTCTTTTTCTTCTCAAGGCGCCTCTCCACGTGGCAAAAAATTATATTTAAATGTATTGTGACGACCTACCCTAGGAGCATTTGCAAATTTGAGAGCTTCCTCAGCTAAAGAAAAGATTGCTCATGTTGCAACACCTAATGTAAAGAGACCGAACTGAACCACTCTTGATAGTTTATACAAAGCTTGATGGTAATCATGTTTAACGGTCGAAACTCCAACCTCGCAAATTTACTTTTGAAAGAAAGGAATCTAGCTCACGGAAAGGGAAATATGACAAAGTGAAACTAAGAGGATTCTTTCGGTTCGGATGGTCGCGAACCATCCCTCTGGATAAACAAAGTGGCAAAGGGGCATCACTGAAGTTTTACCTGTGATTTTCCAGAACTACACAATTTTTGGCTTACATTGTAAACGAAGTAAGAAAATTTTCAGTGATTTTAATTATCGAGCAGTTCAAGGTAAAGTAACCCGCTTTAGCGTACGTTGAAAATCCTTTTTTTAGCATTTAGGATATTTGAATGCGCCTGTTTTTGTAGGTCGTAAAAGTGGAGTCTCGTGATTCGATTATCGCACAAGTCACAAATGTGGTCGCGCAAGATCTGACCAGGAATCACGGCCAGCTTTACAATATTTTTACATGGAATGAGTGCTTTTTTAAGACAGTTGAACTCTATGAATAGCGGTAAACAATGAGAGAAAGTATAATGGAAAAAATAAAATGTTAATAAAAATTGGCACTCGGATGATTATATCACATGCCCATATTTTCCCTCTTAAGAAGGAATGAAGTCGGCAGGTCATCACACTTGTCACGCGTACCATGACCGAGTAAGTCAGTTATGTTCTGCTGGGCTCACACAAGAATTCTAACATCATCATTTTTACTTTTTTCGGTGCTGCTGAGAATTATCAAGAACAAATATTAATTAAAAAAAATAATAAACTAAAAGAATCTTAGTTGCAAATACAACCACCAAGTTTTACAAGTTATAATTTGTATTTCTAACTTTATCCAATTTTTTGGTCTATACACATAGTTTAATGCCTAAAAGTGTATATCCGATTTTTGTAAAACATAATTCAGAGATTTCTAGATTATCTTAACTTAGAGACGAAATGTCTCAATACAAGCAGGCTCTTACATCCAGCTTAGTCCGGCGCAGGAGGAAAAAAAAATTAGTGAAGAGTGAGTGACAGCGTAAAAACTTTTAAAGTTTTAATGAGCGTGCGTAGGTAGCCAAGTGGAAATTAACCAGCGAGGCGTGCAGCTTTGGCCGGTGTCAATCTTAATGCAAGTACGCGACGAATAAAATTTGCCATTTTTGCGAAGAATCTTTTGGTTTCCCCTCCACCACAGAAGAGAATTTTAGGAATGAAATAACAAATGAAAAAGATAAACCCCACCTTACTCGCGCAAGCATGTTTCCGCTAGGATCAGAGTCCGGTATCTGAGCCATTAGCGGGGATTTAGGAAACAAATCGGAATTATAATAATGCTTTAAACAGGAAAATAAACGCCTGTTTTTCCACTCGCGCATTGACTGATGTGAAAACAGGTTTTTGCCTTCACAGATAAACGGGCGTACGGGGAACAACCCGATAAACTTCTTCTGGGAAATGCGAGAAGGTCGGGATTTATTACGGCTGCTGACTGTCTTTGAGACAATGACTAACAACAACAAAGTTGGCTTCAACGTAGATTTATTCTGCAAGCACCATTCAGCCGACCAAAGAAAGCTCTACAAAACAGCTCTTTTTAAGCCCAAGTTACAAAGGATTAGGCAATGCTATGAATTATCTAAAGGATCAAGTAACCTACTACAACGATTGGCAAGGCAGGAATTTCCCCTTTTACAAGATTAATCGCTTTCAATAAGCTCAGGTGGATAACAACTACACAAAAGGCCATGACAGGTGACGGTTAAAGTTTAACACTAATTACAGTTATGATCTAATAACAACTGTTTTCAGCTGACTGTATTGGTAGCATTTACGCATTGCTGAACTTAATAAAATCTCGCAGTTTCTACGCTGAATTTTATATAAATTTTTAGCGCTAGCATAAAAACTTGATAACAAAAAATTATATCGTTACACTGAAGCTGGGAAAGTGTGGTGCTATTTCTACCCTTGAGGCAATTCAGGAGTATTAAAATAATTTAAAATTGGCAAATGTTCCTAAATTAATCCATAATACGGGGTCCCCCAACTACTAGCCTAACTTAGTTCTTTAGGAGACAAAATCGTCAGTTTACCAGATGCATCGAGAACCTCTTGTAACACAAATGTGAACAGTAAGCACGACATGCCTAATTGATAACTGACAATTGATAATTCTTCACGGCCAGTGTTCTATCTCAATCAACTGCCCATTTATTCGCAGCATTCAAAGTTGACTGGAAATGGCTAAACAGCTGCGATAAAAAAAGAAAGCAAAGGTTGAGTGGATTAAGGTATATTTATAAAAAAAGAGAGGGATAGATGACTTGACTTCAAAGAAGAAAAACATTTTGCCTCACCCAATCCAGCCACCTTTCATCATCGAGACATTTTTTGATGATTCCTTCAGGTGTTTCAGTTCCTGCCATTTGTTGCACCTTTTCTAACTGAGATTAAAAAATATTTTAAATTCTTTCAAAGTTTGTGAAGTTAGCTAAGGCTTACAGTCTATGGTAAGTCTTCCTCAACCTGGCACTTTCATCACAGTACACTGTGCAATTCTAGTGACTGATAAACATAATCAGTTAGTAAACTTTAGTAAATATCTTAATATTCTCCACAATCTAGAGTTATGTATAGTACTTGTTAAAATTGAAATAAATAAATAAATAAATAGGTAAAAATAGTAATTATAATAACGATCACAATGAAAATAATGATAAAACTATCAAGGAAAAAAATAAACAAATAAACAAAAAGACCTTTGGTTGAAGGTTTCTCTTTTTTACTTGATTTCCATTTTTTTATAGTTTTTTTCCAAAGCATTCTTACACTCTTCATGTCAACAACTTGCCACTTGAAGATTATTTCAGGGGTTGAGAAGTGTGCAAATTGCTGTATATATTCAACTGATCTTTTACAGTGTAGCTAAAAAAATAGAATACTGACTATGGCCTTCATGAACATACAGCTGTACATATCTCTATCATCAGCTCATAAGTTTGGTACCTGTTCAGAGCAGTTTTCCTTCAGCTGCTGCTTGTAATGGTGAAGGTCATGGTAGACAGACCCTTTTGCTGCACAAGACTGACAAACTTTAAATTTCTACAATGAAGGTATAAATATTCGCTAAGTGTGGTTGAGTCTCAGAAAACATTTGAGTAGCAAACATATTGTACTCACAGAAGAATTACTGGTATTATCCAAAGTAAATCACATTTAATCAAGGTCAAATAATCATGTTACATGCATGATGTGACCCAATGAAAATATGGCAAAATAGATCTAATTAATTTAACCTTTTAGTTGTACCAATTGTTCATTTGCTTACACACTAATTGCAAACTTAAATTGCAAGCTGATTTCTCAATTAATCATAAAAATCGCAATTTACCTATGCTTATTCTCCTGCCAAGTTGATATCAGACAGTTTGTTATCAGACAGTTCAAAAAGGCAATCACATTCAAAGTTGTAGTTTAAATCAACCAATCACAACCTTTGTCAGTATTTTGATGCAAATTTTCCCTTTCTTTCATAACTTGGCTATTCTTTTTTTCTTGGAAATTGTAATTGCTTATAGGGTTAGGGTTAGGGTTAGGGTTAGGGTTAAATGGTACTAAAGACATTGTGTTGTCCAATTCAGTCTGTAGATATACTTGTGATAAACAAATCAGACTCCTGCTGCACAGCTGTGCAATTATGTGATCACTCATATTATTACAGATGGAATTGGACTCCACTCTGTCCTGTTACCATTACTAGTTTATGAAAAATAGAGATACATGTACTTAGGAGTTAAGCACCTCTGTAAGGTCCCACTATATAAAAGAAAGCTGATACTGAACGAAAAGTGTGTAGTACATACAAGCAAGAGACTGAAGGGAACAATGTTCATAATCTGCATCACCATAATAGTGTTCTAAAAATGTATACATTGACTTCAAAACGAAACCACTAATAAACAGAATATCCATCACAAAAAAAAAACCTTTAATTTTGAAAAGCCAAAAGTTTTCTTTATACTTTCATACTTCTTTCCAGCTCTCACAAATTTCCATGCATTCCCAACACATAACTGGCTACTGTGATGATCTCACAATCACCACCTAATCAATTACTTATATCAAACTTTGCATGTTTACTAACACAAGCAGCTGAGCTGACCCATGCACATACTATGATCTTACTGACCCGCACTAAGTCAATTTCCCATGTGATCACTTTGGCTTGCTTACTAAGATGAAATTTTAAAAGTGAAAAGAAAAAGAAACATTCCCTGACTGGCCATCCTTTGTTGATCTGGAAAGGCCAATTTCTTGAATTAAATAAAACATTAATTTATCACACAGCCACAACAAATTAGAATGCTGTGTTTAACCCACCTGTTTAACCTCTCCATCAGGCTCTTCATAACAGACCACACGTTCCGTCAGAAAGCGAGGCATCAAACATGCCTATCATGGAGATATCACAGAAATTTTGTTGGATTGTATCATGAATTTTTAAGTGAAATATTATGGGATGAAATTGAAAAAAAATTAAATAGGTCTAAATTACTGAGATTTGGGGCTCTGCAAAATGTGCAGATTTCACAAAATCAATTTTTAACTGAAATATTGCTTATTGGTCTTACTCAAGAACTTCACTAGCAAGTGTCACTACAACTGACAGTGGAGTATCCACAAATTATTACCTTTTGTTTTCCTAAACATCTCCATACCCTTGTCTCTTTATCTGAGACACTATGTATGTTCTGATTGGTCAAACCTATTATTCTTGGTACCAATAAACCAATGGCTATTTGATTATAACAGCAACAGACTACACTTTCTACTGGTTTACTGGAATAAAAATTCCCTCAGAGTATTGGTGGAAATTTTGCAAATACTGTCAATCAATACCTTTCAGCTTCTCAGGGTTCTAACTAAGTTTTTTCATAGCAAGTAAAAAATAAGAAACAGCAGGTAACTTTGTTACTTTACCCCATGCTGGGGGAGTGGGGGCTGCATGGGCCCCCACTGGGGTCCAGGGGTAGAGCCATGTGTGGACACCATGTTAGCAGGCTTTTTGGTTTAGTGGTGAGAAGAATGGAAAGGAAACATGGCAGAGGTCGTTTTGAGAGAAGACTGCGAGGGATTAATTTGGTAAAAACAAGCAGGATTTCTTCAACATATGATGTATTTTCAAGCCAGCAACACGTTATAGATATCTTCACAGCATTGGTTAGAGGGAGATAAGAGAATTTTTTCCAAAAAATTGAAAAAACTGTTGGATTACAGGTAAATATTTCAGTCCCAGGTTTCAGCTCTAAACAAGCTCTAAACAAGAACCCTGGCTTATGCTAAACAAAATTTTCTCAAGTTCTCCTGACAACCTGTATGATTCGGTTATGATAACACCAAGCCAGTAGAAAGAGCCACCTATTGCTTTCATGACTTGGCTATTCTACTTATCTTGGAAATTGTAATTTTTTGGATTAATTGTGCACACTCTCACAACTAGTTTCACTTCCTAAAATTTAACAGACTGTCCAGAATAAAATGAGACACACTGTCTTAAATTATCATTAAAGATTATCAACAATAAAAGGAACAAAGATGTGTTTATGCTGCTGTATCAACCAATCAACCATGCAAGGGCAAAATATCACACGCAAAAGATGCTACTGTCTATGAGGCAACCATTGTATGTGTAACTTTATCAGGAAGTCACCTGGGTGGCTTTTGGCCAATTCTAAGGCAAGAAAAAGGCAACAGTGCTTAAACTGAAAATTCAGAGGTTTGACTGATACCCAGTGAATGAAAATGTAATCACTTGGTTCAGTAAGTAGGCCATTATAGGTAGGCATACAATTTGAAAAAAAATTATTAATAAACAAATCTTACTTCACATTTCTTACGCTTCATTCTTTGTTTGAGGGGTAGGAAGTTCACCACCACATAATTCATCAGCATTTCCTGCCAAAAAAACTTGTTGTTACTGTTTGATGTGATTGGTGAATACATCAACTATGACAATAAAGATTTTAATTTTATAGTGTGTTATGGACAAAGTGACTGTTCATGACAACAACAAACTGCAATTTTGATTGACTTTTTTAAAATGTGACCTTAAAATGACTCTACCTCACTTTGTAATAGACGGTATACATATATGCTTCACTCCACTTTTAACCCAAAAGCACAAACTATACACCTGAAAGACCTCCTACATGTACATGTATATGTATGAGCATGAGTCAATTTGGATACAAGTTGGTTTGACCAACTTTTATTTCAAAGACAAGCTTTAGCACCATCAACTTTGCAAGGAGAAGAATCTCCCGTCCACAGAAACCCTATGTTAACAGTTAGGGACTATAATTACCATAGAATGTACATGAAGCACTCATTCTGTTATATGACTGTGTGTACTGTAGTCACCCAGTACATATTTTGAGTGGGCAATAATGCATGTGCAGTGAACATAGCCTTCAAATATAAAAAATGATGGGGTTTATTGTAGCAGTGAAGACTAACACTGAAATAGTGTTGACTATTTTTTTAAAGATGAAAATTAGAAATTGAGAACAGGGTGTTTCAGTGACAATTTATGCCACACTACAACAGAATCAGAAAGTTATCAATATTACTTTATAATCTCTCCATCTACTGCTTCCCACTTGGCTGTCTTTCAAGGTGTTGATTATTTTTTCCCAATATGTTTTGGCCTTCTTGAAATAATCATCTACAGAAGAATATAACAACAGAAGTATTAAAAATTAAATTTACAGTAAAGATTGTCATTTATAGAGAGTTCCAAGCAATTAAGTCACAGTTAGGAGAGAGAAGTGTTTGTGGAACATTAATTTTGTAATGCATGGACTAACACTAATAATTGCTTAAATGAAATCCACACTTTTAAAAAGTTTTAAGTGTTTTCATAGCAGCATTTACTCAAAAGGGCATGAAAATGTGTTTCAGGAATCATGGACAACAACTTGTAACAGTACATCATTTTTGAAAGCAGTATTGAAAACAGAATGCCTAAATCTTTTTATCTCTTCATTTCCAAAAGTGGTGTACTGACTTTCACTATGCTTTTTGTGTTTCCTTTCCTTTGACATTCTTGTCAACAGGTGAAGATTTATTTTAAGGGTGGCATTTGCTGATAATTCTGCTTCCATCTGCTGCATTCATTCAAAATAATAAGGCTATTATACACACCAGCATGGATTTCTCCTTTATATAAAATGTGCTATCAATTCACTGCACATAGTACAATGGATGTTGGTAAATACAGGTATGGCTTACTACATGTGCATGTATATAATACTTCTCTGTTTGCGAGGTTCATTTTTCAGCCTTCCCTCCAAATAAATATTGCACAATACACAGTGTGTCTTAGCACATTGCAGTTGAGTACATTTTTCCACTAAGTTAATCAGAAGTTTATTCCAGTTTATGTTTATTTTTTCCATTTATTTTTCTTTCCAGTTAGCTTTTTAAATTCAGTTTCAAAATCTTTTTCTCATAATCATTATCAACTTTTTATGTGTGGGAATGTTCTACAAGTTAGTTATTGAAAACAGGTATCTATAATAATGTACCTGTAGTGTATGTTTTTCAATAAATATTAGAACATCAAAACTTAAATGATGTGTCCTTTTAAAGTATGTATACATTCATGTTTCAAACTACATTATCAATAAAATCTCTACAGTACTTACTTTGAGTAGTAATATAAACAAATTAACAAATAGATTCCAAGTTGCCATGCATCTGTTCAGTAATAGATCACAGATGACGTCAAAATGTGGTAAGAACAAAAAGGTGACACACAAGGCACAGCCGAGTGTGTCACTGATGTTCTTACCACACTTTGACGTCCTCTGTGATCTATTAATGAACAGATGCATGTAGCAACTTGGAATCTATTTGTTTTAATGATGACTTCATCTATACGTCTGTCCTCCAATAGATCATAAGTGAGAACCAATCAGAATGCATGCATAACTGAGCTTATTATATAAATAATATTTACCATTTCCTTCCAGCAATGCATCTACAATGCTTCTCAAGAGATTTTCAACAAGTAGTCGAAACAGTTGTTTCTCTCTTGGGTTGAGCTGAAATAATGAGAAGGCATGGTCTGTATATGGTTAAGGAGCATATTAATGTTACTTAATCAGACAAGATCAAAAGGCAATTTTTTGGGGCTTACACTATTTTGCAAAATGAAACCAGACGAGATTATAATAAAAAAACTAAAGGAATGAAGCAGGTATATTTTATCAATAATGGTAAAGATAACTTTCTCAATGATCTTGGAGTAATCATTAATTAACAAGAAAGATTTTTATTCATTTTGCCAGATGAGCCTGCAAAACAGGCAAGAAAGGAGGATCTTGCTTTTGAATGGAGGATGGGATGTGCAGTGGCCAATGTTTGTTCAATTTCATTTCTTGAAGGAATGTCCATTTACTTCCCTAAAAGTGGCATTAATAAATGTTGTATCAACCAACATTGTATCAATATTTCAACATGTGTCAATCTTGAGCCTGGTCAGCTTTGTTTCGAGTGAATGAACCATAGCTTTTCAACTGATTTATATCCACCTCAACAAGGTTAAACTAAATTTTCTAATCTTATTACATTTAAATTCAGCCTCCATCACTCTGTAATTCATTATACTAAAATTAGTGAATCTGAAAACTTGAATTACATATATGAAGGAGAAGTTCCTCATTTGATTGATGCACAACAGCAGACATGGTACTGCTTACCAGCTCTTGACTTTTGGTGACTTCATCCACACCAAAATTTTCAGGATCTGATTCATCACTAGATCTTTCAAGTGAACTGCTTGCCTGTAGATAAGCACAGGGTATTGTGGAAAAAAGCTTCAAAATTCAATTACAAGCAGTTGTCTACTCTTCCTCCAAACATACATGTTATACATATTTTCCAGTGGCTCAATATTTAATTCATTAGACAACAAGAAAAAAAATTTCCCTTAAACATATCCTATCTAGTATATACAGGGCGTGAAATTGCGCCTAATACAGGTGCCAATGCGACTAAATTTTTCACTTTGGCAACCAAATCCTGAAAATAAGTCACCAAATCGGCGACTAGAGTGTTTCATCATAACCTAACCAAGAGATATAGTGAATTAAAAAGTTTAACAGAGATAAACCTGCGACAAACTTCCACGTTAAGTTTGTTTCCAAAAAGTAGCACATGCATCTCGATGGTTAACTAGACACCATCTTGGATTTAGGTGAGCTTGAATGTTGTATATCATCTGTCTTGGTGCCCACTTTGTAACACATTAAAGATCTTTTCCTTAACTTAATTTTGGAAGATCTATCTAGAACGCTGACAGGGTAAAAAAAGGTTTTGTTTGGCTTTGAAAATGGCGACCAACTCTTTTTGAATTGGCAACCACTTTGAAGAATTTAGGAGCCAAGTGGCTATCAGAAAAAAAAAAAAATTTCACGCCCTGATATAACTATTTAAAAAGAACCTCATTTGATTTAACTCACAAAAGCAGACACTGTACTGCTTACCAAATCTTGACTTTCAGAGTCCTCGTCCACACTAGAAAGGTCAAGATCTGATTCATCCTCAGATCTTTCATCACTTCCATGGTAACTGCTAACCTAAAAGTAAAAACAGGGTATTTCAGTTTTCAAAACTTCCTCCAAACATACATGTTATACATCTTTTCAAGTGGCTGGACTAGACATTTAGTTAATCAGACTATTAGAAAAAATTTTCCAGAAACACATCCCACAAATATAAACCTGTGCTAATCTGCATCAAGCATGGAAGAAATTTTATACAAATTGTACAAGATCAGTGCTCCAAGCTAAGAATGATTTTTGGTAGCCATTAGGTAGGTGGAAAAAAATTTTCACAACTGAAATCCTCTGGTCAGTAAAAGTTGTCAAATTGGTGACCTGTATTTGGCAACTTTAGCTTTTACATTCTCATTCTGTTTCTAACAATCTGCATAAAACATTTGTACTTCTTAGTTGCCTTTCCCTCCTTATTACTGCAAGCGCTACATGTAAGCCTTGAGCTGTGATAAACCATTTTCTGGCTTTTCCCATTGCTAATAGGAAACTTTGAAAAACCTTAATATTGGAGAATTAAGGAAGGAAAGAAAATTCCAGTTTCACCTTAATTTAATTCCCAAAAAGTTGACGATGAACACAAGCCTACTTTTCCATCAGGATTAGAGTTATTAATTCCAGAAATGATCCCAATGAAAAGAAAAACAAATTTTCTGTTTCTCATAGCCAGGATGTAGCCCAATTTAACTTAGAGTGGGCTACAGAGGAGGAGTAAAAGATGATATATTATCGATGACATAATATGCTAAATCATATATGCATTTTCATTACTTTTTTCTTGGAATCTTTTAAAGGACAGACATACAGATGACCCTTCCATGAGCAACAGTTGGTTCCTTTATCAAAAAACAAATAGATTCCATGTTGCTGTGGGTCTGTGTAGTGGTGAGAATGTTAGTGTCACACGTAAGCTGCACCTCAAGTGGGCTTTTTTGCTTTAATTAAGTAGACTTTGTCATCATCTCTGATCAAATTCATAGAACAGACACACTGCAGCAAGGAATCTAATTGTTATAGTGACCAATCTACATGTATATATAATAACTACATGTATATACATGTATGTTGAACAATTTTAATAAATACCTCAGATTCTTCAGATGAGCCCTCTGAAGCATTACAAGGCTTGCTTGATGGCCCTTTTTGTTTAAGGTCTCTTTCATTCTTCAACTCATCAAAAGCTAATTTCCTTCTCACATTCCTTCCGCTTTCTGTTCTAAACTTCTTAGCTTGCTCCGGAGTACTAAACAAATAAAAAATCAACATAATCCTGAATACTGTATCTTGTAACTAGCATAAGTACTTGTACATGTAATGCTAGTACCAAATTTGTTTAAAACAAAATTCAATAATTGTATTGATTTATATGTATAAGGCCCCGAAAAGTTTTGTTCATGAAAGATTAAACTGACTTGTGTAGCACATTCTGCAGTCATTTCTGTGATTTCTGCAAATGATGCAGAAAACACAGAAATCACTAGCTTATTGGAGATGCTAAGTTTGGGAATGCTTTATAAATAAATATAAACAAACATCTAAAAAAGTGGGCATAACAAGCCATGGCTCAATTATAACCTCTGAGTGTTACTAATTTTGAAGTGTACCATAGACCAAAACATAGGCATGCTTTACTTGCAAGAGTTTTTTTTTTTTTTGGATGAGTGAAGTAATTGAAACATTGTAAGTGATGTCCACATTTTCACAAAAGGAAAGAGTATTAACTCGGAAAAGAACTAAAATGTTGAAGTAATTGACTCATACACAGGTATTTTGTGGTAGATTGAGTGTGTTGTGCGAATAACTGTAACTAAAAATAAGCTGTATTGGTGCCATGGATACCTGTTAGTACAAAATGCTGAATGCAGAGTGCAGATCAGATACAAAATGTAGACTGCAGAGAGGGTTCAAAATGCAGACTGAGAATTTAAAGTGTTTTTTCGTCTGGTATGTGATAACATGTCATCCTACAACATTCTCGTTTCTTTGTGTAGAAAGTCTTGATGAGTTCAAACGAGATAGATATTTGCATAAAGTACCATCAACACTCTATCCCTTCCTTTCTTAAAAATTGGCCCTTGCCTCCTTGGTTGTCCGAGTACTAACCCTTTCACTCCTGGAGGCCTCACGGCCTAACAGCCTCTCATTCCTGGAGCAGTCACAGTCAAAAGACCAAAATACAAGTTTAAAACTTCAAAATGTACGATGAAATGACAAGTGAATGACACTTTTAGTTTCTGTTGCGTATTTACATGATCTGCACATTGAAAAAACTGGAAATTAAGAATTGTAAAATCGATTTGTATGTTCATGTGTCTTCACTATGATAACCGGCAAAGTACCGCACTTTGCATAACGCAACACCACACTGTTAGCACTTGTTTCTCGTTCCAACTGGTTAGCCTTTCAGTGTTTTTCGACCAGCAGATTTGCACTGTACACATTGTTTCTTTCGGCCTGCTTCTCGAATCGCTTGGTGGTTTCTAGGGCCGGCACTTGAGTTGCGGCGTAGCCGTCTATCAGGCGCTTACCCAACTCTAAAGGGGCTTGTGGTCGTTTTCGCAGGTTTCGTATCCTTAGGTATTCACATTCCAGAATATATCTATTGCAAGCAGCAACGTTAAAAAGGAACCAAAAGATGTACCTGTACCTCTTTCGCGACTGTCTTACGATGGTATAATAGGATCGAAATTGGTCAGCTCTTATCTACACCACCCATGTTTGCCGTGTAAAATCCGAGACTCACGGTTTTTGGATATCGATGTTTCTTCCTCTTTTCCTACGTTGCTCTTCTGGGGAAACGTTTGACGACAAAAAAGCCACATCTTGCTTGTCGTGCCATTTTGTAAATAAAAGTCGGGAAACTAATTTGTAAATAACGCACCTCGCCATTTTTCCACTCAGATTATTATCAATTTAAAGCTGATAAAGCAAATAGCCACCACTTAGGAAGAAACTGATCATCGCTGTCAGGACTTCAGCCTTGTAGATTCTGTTGACCGCCAGGATACATAAAATGCAAATTATTCGCATCCGTCTATCCCATCCTCGGGAAGCATGATCTATGTGCAATAACGACGATTTGATTGGTCAACGCCTTAGTAACGATAGGCAAATATTCAATAAACATATATTATTTGATGGGGGAGGGGAGAGAAGGGGAGCCAATGGCTGTTTTCCGGCGAAGTGCGTCCGAAATGCCGAATTTCGGTTTTGTTGGCCGTAATTCAGAGGGTTAAAACCCTGGCAGCCCACATGTCCAAATTTCGCAGTCTCTTCGAACTAGATGAAGCGTCTTCATCAAAAGTTAACTCCATAACAACTCTTTGTTTCTTAAGCGGGCTATAATTTAGATTTTCCACAATTTTACTTACTTTTCATGTTGCTCGTCATCTGAATTAATTATTCTTCTCCTCAGCGCTGCCTTTTTCTTCGCAGATGCGCACGCTATCACCTCTTCCACTGACTCATCATCAGTGATTTCCTCCTTCCTCGGAGTCAGATTGTTCTTTTTGCTTTTTGGATCATCTGGCTCCATAATTTTGGTGGTTTGAGGTGTTTCTATTGAGTAATCACGCGCGCTTGGTGGTTCCCGCCACTTTGACAAGCAGCAGTTCCTACTTGCACTTGTCTTAGCACATCTCTCACAATCAAGCATAGAAGCGAGGCTTGATCGGATTCAGGAATTTGCAGACTTCAAGATGGCGTCTATGGTGAGAATTCCGCTCACTTTTTCTAAATTTCTTAACTCATTTTTCTTTTCCTTTTGCTTGAATTCTGAGAGGATTGTGGATGAGAAGTAAAAATGAACAAGTTTATCTTCTGAGCTGAATTAAAAGGATATTGAAAATGATACGAGCAACAACAAAAAATGGCGATGAACTGGTTCACAAGTAGCACAATTTTGGTAAATTAGTGTATTAAAGTCATAATAAATGGAGTAGTAGCAAAATAAATAGAATGTAAGATTTAAAATGTGGCCATTGAAGATCTAGAGTTGCTGTTGTGTTGTTGGTTATGAAATCCACATTTAATTTTATTTTCGTACTGTCATTTATGTTTTGGTACATACTGATTCAACTCTAAGAGCTTTATATTCCATAAGTTGAATTACATTTGCAAATGGATGCTTTACCCTAAAGGTTTTAAGATGCCAATATAAGGGTGGAAGACGTAACAATCTTGAAGGGCTCTCTGCCAACTCTACCATTGCTGATTTGCAGGAGAAGATATGGTTGCTAACAGATGTTCCACCACATGCACAGAGAAGTAATTACTGCCAATTTTATTATTTTACCATCATTTATTTTATGTTACTTGTGATGACATTTGCATGCACTTGATTTGCACCTGTTGGTCATGGGAGATGTCAGAGATGCCTGGTTCTAAAGAATAAGATTAAAAAATTGTGTCTGGTCATCTGCGTAAAGCAAAAGCAAAGCAAACTAGAGGCAGAGGAAGTGGGAAGTTGTGATCTGGTCAACCAAGTGTTTGCACTGAAATAGACTTGCTTTGAACAGGCCTTTGAACAGGAAAGAGGCTGAGGGTGATGAGACATGAAAACAAGAAATCAATTACTGTAATAATTTGATTGTGCACTGGGGACACTTATTTACTTTTGGTACCTCAAGGGAGGATGCTTATTAGGGACAGGGTACTAATTTCTTTTTTGAGATACAGCAAAATAGATTATTTAAGAACACTGGAAAAGAGACTTGTTGTCCCTGGATCTTTTCTGGGCAAAACAACCAGCCAAGCAATTGTTACAAAATTTTAAGATGCTATCATTTGTATGAAGGAACTGTGCATTCACATGGACATACTAAGACGTAGCCTACTGTTTTAGTAATGAAGCTTTAACCCTTTAGCTCCCAAGATCTCATCAGTAATTCTCCTTAATGTCTGCCTTACAATTCTTACGATTTTAGTTCAGATAATTTCATATTGGATCACCTAATAATACCCCTATTCATATTTTTCTTTTTTCTCATCACTTGTCCTCTTGATTTTGTTTTGATATTGTAAGGGGAAATTCTGTCTTGATCACTCATGGGAGTTAAAGGGTTAAGTTAGAAATTAAAGAAAGATGGACCAAAGTTAATCTGAATTTACATGTACAGTAACAATGCTGGCTCTGAAACAAAATAGGGCTTCTTATTGATATATGGGGTGCTTATTGGAATGAGACTGCTTACTAAATAGAAGCACTTAACAGAATAGGGGTGCTTATTGACAAAAACCAAATTCAGAGGTGCTTATTAGAGAGAGAGAGAGGTTATTTGGAATGAGGGTGCTACAGTAAATCAAATTGTTGTGGTAGGTGTTTTACAGTATTTGAAAACAGCAATGTTTATATCATAATTACATGGTCACTCCTACTGTCTCACTCTTGTTGGAGGACCTGACAACAAAGCAAACAGTTTTAAAGTGGACTATGGAAAAATAAGATTTTTAAGTACAGCTCTATTTTTGTAGTGCATAGACTTGGGTTCAAAGACATGATTCTCCTTTAAACATTCCATGATAATCTTGCAACTCAGGACAGATTTTATCAGTGGATGAACATAAAGACAACTTGCAGCAAGATTGTAGGAATGATGCCAGATTATTGCACCTTCCTTTTGCAACAGTCTTAATTTGGTGTGACATGCTTATTTTACTGACATGTTATATGTGAAAATTTAAAGTTCTTTCAGGATTTCCACCAAAGCAGTTGATCTGTGAAGATAAAAGTGACTCTTTGTCCTCATTGGACATCCGCTCAGGAGACACTCTTATCATTGAGGAGGATAAAAAAGCACCAAGAATACCTTTAGACAGTTACAAGAAATCTTTAGGAAGTGCTGCACTAGGAAAACTGACGAGGAAGTAAGTGACACATGGCACACTAACTGCCAACTATTTAATGAATACTGTTCAATTCTGGGCTATAAATGCAGGGTTTAAACAGCTTTGTAATTATAGTACATGTAGTTTTGAATGTACAGGGCTCTTTGGGAAATAGGGATGGGAACTGGATAATGAGACATGCAGTAAAAGAAGGCTTTCAACATCAGGGAGAAGATTAAAAAAGTTCATTTTTAGCAGACATAAGATTTCAATGACAATTACATATTTATAATAATAGTAAGCATGTTCAATCTATACAACTGACACTGAAATCTCCATACTGACTAGACCACAAGTATGCCATTCTCACAAGTATAATGCAGGGAAAAAAATTCCATGCCCTTATGCCTAAGTCTTGCTCATATAGTTCAGACAGGAACTTGCATCAGAGGAATAGACTATTTTGTTATAGAATCAAACAGACAGTATGTATATTTGCTTACTGTTGAGTCTATGAGCTCAGAAGGGCTGCATACAGTTGACCTCTTGGCGCAAAACTGATTTCTATCATATTCCAGTCAAATAAAAAATAACAGTGAATTGTAAATGATTGATCATTATGGTCTTAACATACATGTAGCTAGATCTACTAGAATGATTTAAAGAAAGGCCCGAGTGTAGACTTATAAAAAAACACCTTTCTGCCCTTAGAATCAGAAAGTGTTTGTACTGTACTACCATTGAACAAGTGCTGTTTTTGGTTTTCCATTCAGAGTTGTTCCAGCTGATAATTCCTGCCTGTTCACAAGTGTTAGGTGAGTCAGTTGCTCTGATAGCTTTTGATTTGATTGCAACATTCAATTTGATCAGTAATTTTTTGCAATGAGCAAACCATGGGCAAGAGAAAGCTAAGGATAACTGAAACCCATGAACATTTTCATCTGTACACTGGCTTCATGTATTGTGCCAGTTTAGATAACCACTGCCAGAAATAACAGAAAGTTAAGCAAGAGGTTATTCATGAACATGTATGAAATATGTGTCTTGACTGGCTTGCAAAAATATTGTGCTGCTAGCATCAATTGTGTTAAAAGTATCTTTTACAATGAAAGAGAAAATAAAAGATTGCTATAAAGATGTTAAATTCAGCTATCACACTGCTCAAGCATTTGATTAAGAGGACTTCTAAATTTTAATCTTTGGTTTGGATGTGCATTTTGTAGCATACTTGTATTCACTTTAAAATAAGAGATCATTTTTGTTTCCTGGACAGTAGGTGTTCTGACCCCTCTCTATGTTGCATTTTTTATAGTTATGTTATGGTGGGTGACTCCTCCTGTTCTGCTGAATTAAGAAAGCTCATTGCACAGTGTGTTTCAAATGATCCTTTGACGTTCAATACTGCTTTCCTTGGCCAAGATAACTCAGATTACTGCAACTGGATATTGAATAAAGACAATTGGGGAGGTATAGTAGTCTTAAGCTGGTAACACAGGTGCTAGGTGTGCCTAGATGTGCAATTATTGTTTTTCTACTGATCACTGTGATTGCAGCAGAAAATCGGTGATATCTGACATGTCAGATATTGCCAATTTTCTTGGTGGTCAAATTTTCTGCGACCAGTGATTTAAATCGCCAGGTATGTCACCAGCTTTAAGTTTACCTTACTGTAAATGCTATAGAAGAATGTTTTGTTCTTTAAATCTACAATCGTAATGAAAAAGATTTAAAGCTTCTAGATACTTTTTTTTCTGGCTTCCTTTTATTCATCTCCATTGATCTACTTAAACAACATGCAACACACTCAAGGATTTTTTTTTTTAAATCCTTCTTTAGGAGCAATTGAGCTTTCAATTCTGAGTAAGCACTACCAAACAGAGATTGCTGTTGTTGATATTGAGACTGGGAGAGTTGACAGATATGGTAAAAATCACTTTTATATCTGCACGATTAGGGTAGTCTTACTGTGTGGTGAAAGGGGTTAAGAAGGGTTTCTGAAGTGAATAAAGATGCACTCCCCCCCCTCCTGAAAATTGTTTGAGTTGTTATCATTTTTTGGGGACAGCATGAATGAATGATTTCACTTTAAACCTTTAACTCCTAGGAGTGAATAACGCCTAATTTCTCCTAACAACATCACCCCAGAATCAAACATTAAGGTCAGGAGAATAGAGGAGATGATCATCAACTGAAGAAGCTCTTGATTGTTGAACAAATTCTCCTTGTCAGAACCCTAGGAAAATTTTGTCTAGGGAGTAGTATGGAGAATATGCATACTGATGTTAGAGAGTAAGGGGTTAAGTGATCCCAATGTTTCTTAATCCTCTGAAACCCACATTAATTGCTAACATGTTTGAAAGTCGGGCTAGAATCGTTTGCTTGTTTTTCTATAAACAGTTTTCCAGAGGCTTAAAAAGAGGAATCCATTGGGTCAGTTAGGACAACTAGATTATCCTAGGCTGTCAGGCGGTTGCCCTTTAGGCAAAGCCTTAAGCAAGCAAGATTACAATCCACGCCCAGAACGCAAACTGGAATTCACTCAGCTATTTATGCAAATCAGAGTGTTTTTATCAACAATCATACATAGAACTTTCTTGAACTCAGTGAGATTTTTCAGCAAATATTGCAGTCCAAGTTGTAATTTTTACTTGCCAAAATAAAGCTTATGAGATGTTGATAACTGAGCTTCATAACCAAACTTGCTTTCTAGGGGAAGGCATTGGCTACAGCAAATGTGTTTATCTGATCTATGATGGCATTCATTATGATCCTCTCGCTGTACAAAGTTCTGACCGTACAAAAGAACCTCTTCAGACTGTTTTTCCTGTTGGAGACGACATGCGACTAGCTGAAGCTCTTGAAATTGCTGCAGGGGCTAAACAGGTTAGAATAATAGATAGTAATAGGTAGTATAATAGTCAGAATATAGAATAGCTTTATTTTTATTCAGAGGTTTGTATTAAGAAGAGTTCAGATCTCTCTGAATTATTAATTCTTGTCCGCCAAAATGGCTGCCTTTTTCGGTACTCCGTAGCATCCTCGATAAGATCGAATTGTAAATGTCTCTTGCTCGTAGATCAAAATTACTTTTGCGTTTATCTCTCTGTTTTGAGGAGATTGAATATATGTTTAAAGTTTTCACGACGTCAAAGAGCCTGTAAGCCTTAGGTACACTTGGTGCACTTGCGCGCATTCGAGAGTGGATCCACCTTCTTCAGCTTTTGGCTCCGTTTACACATTCCCTCTCTTTCAATCATTTTTAATGTTTCTACTGCATGGAAACGGATGCTCATTAGCCGCTCGGCATCAAACACGCGTTTTTGCACCTACATCTGAACTTCTTCCTTCCAGAAACGCCAATTCACGAACCTATCTCAGTTTTCTATCCGCTGCCTCGTCTGTGAAACACTGCTTGCTGGGCAACAAGCGGCTCAACATCACGCAGTTACCACAGGTCATACGAACTTTGGAGAAGTGTGAACAGGCCTTGAGGTTTGGTGGTTTGGAATTTTTCCAGTTCCTCCTGGATTCCGAATACGGACGGATAAAGGCTGGGCGTGGCGTATTCCTGAGCGCGCTAAAATGTGGTTACCCATCAGAAGTGGTGTTTAAGTGCATTCACGAGAAATGCTACGTCTGACCACGGAGTGAACGAAGTCTAAACGCAAAATGAACGCAGTCCGCAGCTGAAACTCCAATTTTGCGAATACTTGCTTAAAGAACTGGAAATGTGATTTGAAGAGCTTTTATCATTTCCAAGTGTTAAGTTTGCCGTGGAAACTAACTGAAAAACGATACGTTAGGATATAAAAACTTGAAAAAAATATTATTTTTGTTGAATGTGAATTTAAATGAATTATTTATTCAAGTCTTGAAATCGTCAATATTTGACTAATCAGATTTATTCTCAATTTGAAATAGTTCCAAGTGTCGTAACTATTCAATCTAAAACAATTGAATGGTTCTTTTATTTCAATCCTTTTTGAAGATTTAGATAGCAGTACTTTCGTAATTGCCAGTCAAGTAACTCATCTGAAGAACTATTTTCGATGGATGAACAACACTAATGGCAGATCGATTGAAATCTGTCAACCATCAAAGACGTATTCGGAAAGGGGAGCTGGCTTAAAGTTGTTCAGTGATTTTGACTGTAGGGTTAGGATCCCCGTTATTAAGCACCGTTTTTTCCCTCAGGAAGTACGTGCGCCATAATTGGTCAATTTAGCGGGCCGTATTTAACTGCAAGGCCCACTTAATTCAAAAGATTGTTTCTATTGAAAACTTCCCTTTTTAATTGAAGATTTGATAACTATCTTACTAACCTCGTCTTCACGGCCCATACAGTAAGTCACAGAACCTTGTTTTAAGGCCCGCACGCTACGCACTCACGCCTTGAAATCCTCACTAGCAGAAAAAGCTCGTTCCTTAGAAAACGAGGTCAATAAGAGGTAAATGAAAGAAATTAAAACAGAACAAACAAGAGAAGCTTTAGTTCGATCCGTCATATTCATTTAGAATCACCGCGACATTATTTCAAAACGAAAACTGTAGGAGATTATAATCTTCAATCTCTTGAAACTCAAACAGGTAAAACCGCTGTGAGTGTTGTTTTATATTGGTGGTAAGCTGACTTCATTTTCGTATCCTGCCAATTCACAATAGCAAATGAACGTCTGGATCGTACCAAGTTTTAAATCGTGTACCACCACCTAAATATAAGGAGAAAAAATGTCAACCAGTAGAATTTTATTCAGGTTGGTTACTTCGACGCCCAAGGTAAAGAGTTTTGTTACAAAGGAGAAAGTACTCTAAAGACCTTGCTTTTCTCGTGGAACGAAAACTGACCTCCCCACCCCACCCCAAAACCCTACCCCTACCTCCTCCCTAGGCGTAAATGATAACTGACCGGCCCCCAACTGGCAACTGACCGGTAACCTCAAGAGGGGATATATCGGTTGGAAGGAGTGTTGACCTTTATCAGGCGATAGATTTCTGGCAAGACATTCCTTATTATAGGAAAGACCTGAATACGTTCTCTTTCGCCAATAAAGTGAAACGATATTTCTGTCAGAACAACACTGTGTAAGTACCTTAAATAGAAATTCTAGTATCTGTCTCAATGAAGCGGTAATAAGTACATTAACTATTAAATATGGCTTCTTTCTCTCTTACCGCTCTTTTAAATAAAAAAAATTTAATACAGATATGGGAAGAAGTTGGCTCGAAAACCTCACGGTCCCTTCAGGTTCCAGTAGTGACTGAACTAAAAAAATTGCCAATTAATTACTTCACTGTAATGCCTCCTTTTGCGAGCAATATGTTTTTTTTTCGTTTGCTGCTTGTTTGAATCATGATATGGAGGGACTAGGAATCGTATTGAGAGCAGGGAATTGTATTGATAATTCCTTCATGATAAAAACACCTCGTAAATAAATCCGCACGGTACCTTGTCCAAGTTCCAATCTGGTAGCACACCTGTGTTGTCATGCTCAATCGTAATTCTCTCAACCAAACCAACAAATTTCGTCTTTAGAAGGAATGAATCCACTCTGGAAATCAAAAACAAAAAGAAACATTTTAAAAAAATACAATTTGACCCTAAGTTAAATGCCCATCATTTGATAGTTCACCGCAAATTTTTAAAATCTATTTGGAACGCACCGTCCTCTTGTAAATTCCTTCATGTTATGGTTAGTAAGATGAATTTTTGACGTGCTCTCTTCCACGCCATAAACCATTCCATAGATATTGATGTACACTTGAGACGTGGTTGCTGCCAACCTTAAGTCAGCGGTATAAACAGTAACGTTGAAAAGGTTCTCTGTCAAGAACAAACAAAATGAAGGAAAATTTCAGTCAAACAAGCGCGTGAGTGGAGCAATGCAACAACTGAAATGTAAATGCGTACAAAATAGACGCCATTGTAACCCTGATCTTTGTCGAAGTAAAATGTCTCCAAGCTTTAATACAACCTTACGCCTCTAATTCTCGCGAGGTCTTGCTGATTACACTGCAACGACCATCCCGACCCCACCCCACCACACCACCCCCCCCCCCCCTCTGCACTTCATTATTGCAAATCTTATCGAACCTGCCTTTACAGTCCATAAAAGTCGCTTTACCCTTTGACCCCTAAGAGTGACCAACATCTAATTTCTCCTCACAATCCCACCCCTGAATCACATATGAAGGTCATAAGAATAAAAGAAATGATCACCAACTTAAGAAGCTCTTGATCGTTAAACAAATTCTCCTTGTCGACACCTTAAGGAAATCTAAGGAGAACAGTACGGAGAATATACATACTGATGTTGGGGTATAAAGGGTTAAAAGTCACACCTTCGGCTGTTGGGCATCCTTTCTCATTGATAGCTTCTAAAACTGACTCAGCTCTTTCAAGTACTGCCTTCGCTGACAAACTTGAATATTTAGGACTTTTCGGAGGTGCACGATCCCTTTTGTCGACGGAATTGTCATCTCCACTCGTCTTCTGGCGGGCAGAACTTTGTTTTGAACTCCGGTGGTCCGTGTGCGGATCATTGAAGTCTTCGTTTAGATCTAACCAAGATGCATCTCTTTCCAATTCGCTGTTTCCTTGGGAGTGTAAAAATATAAACAGAAAAACTATTAACAAGGAAATGTGCGCTCAGAGGCAAACATGAGAAAAAATAAAATGAATTAAAATTAACTTCTATTTAAATTATCTTCTGTTCGAGAAACTGGTATAATGTTTCCCATGACAGTGATAGACAGTTGTCAGTCGTGATGTCATATCATGCGATCCGGCAAATAAAAGGCGTCACTATTCCTTCGGTGTCGACTCTGCCATCAAACAAATCCTGACAAAGGTTGACAGTAACTGTATGTAAACGATAGGACAGTACCTTTTTCAGAACCGTTTAAAAGAAAAGAGCTCATTGTTCCAACAATATGTATATCGATTCGTAAATTTCTGAATCGATGGGAATTTTTATTTAAGGTCAGAGTAAGTTTATCAAGGGGAAATAAAGGCCTTGTTCCTAAAAGCAGACGAAACAGTTTACACCAATATCGTTCTCTCGTGCATAACTGCGATTAACCATCCGGAAAAATTAGCATTGAATGTCGGCATGAATTATCATTAATTTGGCGCCTGCAGATGATTTAGCAAACCAATAAATATACCATAGCTTTATTGAAAACAGAAAAGGAGAAAGAAGTAGTTAACACACCTATAAGGCAGAAAAAAATACTTCTGGGTTGCGAACAAAGCCCTAAAAGTTTGACCATTGACAGATGCATTACTGAAAATTATGAATAAAACGTTTATAACGAATTCCTGCTGTTCTCATTCTAAAGAAGCAAGAATTTGTTTTGTGTTTTTGAGGGAATGAAAACTGAATACATATTACTGGGCTGCTTTTTATATATCTGTGCATTATCACAGTTGCAGCTTTATAAATTTATGGACAGTTCTTTCTGGTTAAAATCGAATATTAAAAAAGTTTAATTATGCAAAGATGTGTTTTTCAAAATCAAACAAGCTTTTACTAACAGAAAATTGAATTAAAGAGTATTTAACCGAATTAAATACTGATTTATCTTGAATAGCCTGTGGAAGGAAACTCTCTTTAAAAATATGCCGTCTTGAAAAAGTAAGTAAGCAGGTAAGATACATTCGAAGGACGTTACAATAAATCAATCAAGCATTTACAAACCTTGAGTTTACTTTAGTAAATAAATTTGTAGCAAATTCAACATTTCAGACACTTCTCATACCTTGGTTTCTTCCTCCATGAACGACTAGACTTGTTGTTATCAAAATCAGGGCTATAGCACTTTTTCGCCAAATGTTCCTCATAACCACAAATTTTTATCCCTTCTCGACTGCGTTTAACTCAAGTTTACCTGTCTGTTGGGTGTCAGCTTCGTTGATTAACTTCGAATGCAAACTATGGTACTGAACAATCGGAGCAATCTTAGTTTGGTAAATCAACCGAGTTTATCTCGAGTGGAAACTGCTCCTGTGTTCGTATGTTACTCCCGCATCTAAGTCAAGCTCACTGGTTTGTAATTTTGTCACCGTTTTGCACCAATTACTTTGTATACAATTAGAATTACGCGGGAGATTTAATGTGCTGCACGCGTCAATAACTGTCGGTGCAAACTTAACAACAATGCTAATTTCTCTGTCAGGGCTTCTTTTAACCGTGTAAATCTTCTCAGGGCACAGGCAACAATTTTTTCGCTTAAATTTTCACGTGATAAGCTTGGTCTACGTGCTCAGTTAGGAACGGGCGCGGTAGTAGCGCAGAGCGGAAAACAAGACGAAGGCTTTTATCTCCTACCCAGGCTTCCTCTTTCTTTCTCTCTGCGCACATATTGCGCCCCCACAGCAGCAGGCTGCGACGTGTTAAAGTCACTGCGTTATTACTAGCCTTTAGAAGAAATAAATGTTAACATGGCATTTAATTTTTATTAGTTAAGGAAAATAATTATGTATAATACAGAGGATGCAGCTTCAACACAGAAAGGAGTTTTACATTTACTGCAATATTAGTTAACTGTCACTAAGATTATAAGAAAAACACCCTTAAGGTTGAAATAGAGCTCCTCTTCACATGTCACTTGAGGTGAACGTGAAAATTTACTTGTCTCAAATGACATAATTAGTGTGGTAAGTTAATGAGGATGGTCGTGTGATCTGATCATCCCGGCGAGAGACGTCTTAGAAACGAAGTCGTCCGTTGAATTCTAACCGCTAGCTGTGACAGCCATCACCCCACTAACTCTAACAATGACTAGCCTTCTGGCAACCTGAGCGGAAGTGACACTAAGAGTCACGTAAAAAATTTGACTGTCGTCCGTACCCGGGAAGGTGGGAAATTTGAACCGTGCCTGGGTGGAGTGGGGAATTCGAACCGGAGCTGTCAAGTCTTTACAGCGGAATAAACGTATTTTATCCTTTAATAGGGGATTGTTTAAAGTTCACTTTTACAGTCAAATGGATCAGAAGTAAGGGTCTACAAGAAAATAACAGCTAGGCCGGACCCGATTGTGCTCAGCAACTTGAATGAACCAATCAGAAATTTGAATGAACCAATCTTTAAAAGTTCTAATTCCCGGAGGGTTAATTATTTGCCCGAGGGGGAAGGGGCTGTTGAAGCTTCGAATTGATCGATGCATAACTTCGTTGACGACTTCCGCTCAGGACTTAGATCACCCGGATGATCAGACTACACGATGATTTTTTACTCCTGGGCTTAAACCGTTTAATACAAAAATTGAAAATTATCTCGACTTAAATTATCACATTATCAAATAGAAGTATATAAACTAGGGAGAAGGTTCCAATATCTTGGTGTCAGAACTTCCACCAAACCAGCAGAAACACGGAAAAGAAACATTCACACGCCTTTTTCTGTTTTGAACTTGGATCTGAGAAACAAATAAAACCACAAGGGTTGTTGGATCACAACAGAGCTGAGGAAAATGAAACCATTCTGGCGGAAGGAGACAGAGAATCGCTGAGGTAGGTTTGGAAACAGAGCGGATGGGAACGACCCGCTTTCATTTCAATCCTCCTTCCTTCATTTCCCCCTCTCCCTCCTCTGCCCAGCCGTAACCACAGCCTCCAGTAACGGTACCACGCCTCATCCTACTTAAGCTACCAAATAGCCTGACTTCAGCAATTACCTTAGGGCAGCTTGGCTTTCAATAAAGATCAAACTCTGAAAATTGCTGAAATTACAATTAGCCACTGAGAGAAGTTCTTCCTATGGACCGTAATTTTCTTTTCCTTCGCTTTATTCTAGTTGACCATCTCTTCACCTTTAAAAAAAAATTGATCGATCTAAACTACTTCAAAACTACTCGTTCAGTTTTAATGAGTTCTTTTTTTCTGCCATTGTCATTTTCATCGAAAAATGAGAATTAGTAACTTTACTTGTTTCCCCCCACTCCTACCGGACTATCAGTCCATTGAAACTACCCGCCATCTCGGTCTCTTCTGGGGTATCCTCTCAAGCTGCCTCCAAGTTTATATGATTAGACCAAAAAGGTTATAAATCTGTACTCAACTCCATCTTGCGCGTTTAAGGTTACTCATCTATACTAGACTCCAGACTTCCGCGTTTCAAATTATCACCTTGTCTAGGTACCATGCTCCTCCGTATCCTCTGTCGGTAAGTCTGACCGTCAGTTTGATCAGTTTTCCAAGGTTTGGCGAAATAACGTTAAATCTGTCCACACTAAAAACAGGAGAAAAAATATGAGGCCACAGTTCAATTCAGTATCTCTCCCCCTCTCTACCGAAGATTTTGACGCTCTGATGTCCTCCGATGAGGAGTGATAACTAAAAACATTACAGTGCCCCTTTAATAACCTCTCATAACGGTTGTCAGGCTGACGTTAGCATTGAACTTGATTCTCACCTTCTCATCTCAAAGGCGCTCTTTTTACCCGCTAATTCTTCCTCGCCTGAATTCCGCAATTGGCCGACAGCGTTCTGCCCAAACAGCTCTATAAACACTTGTCCATCCGTTCCCGCCAAATATTTGTCTCCTGTGTACACGGTTACTTCATAGTTGATCACTGTGAATCAGAGGACACACATTTTTTGATGCAGTGAGTAAATGATTTGAATATGTTAGTGGTTGTATTTTTAAAGGCGTGGTTTTCTTGCGGTGGTAATGATATGACCCTGATTAGGGAAGTCAAACGAGAAAAAAAAAGTAAGAGTGATTTTTCAGTCGAATGATCGTGAATTGAATCTTGATGATCAGCTTTTCCATTTCAAATAGAGGTCTCTATTAAATGTTTATTCGGTCATCATCAGTCGTTCTACGAGTAAGATCAGTTAGGGTGGTAAAAAAGCATCATAACATCAGAATACTTAAGCACAAACATCTTTGAAAAGGAAAAAAGAGTGACTAGAAGGTGAATGTGATTTAATTTGGCGCACTGTGATCTTCTTGCCGTGAATTTCAAAATACCCTCGGACTCTGGACGCGTTGCGTGCCTATGTTATTGCAGTACCTTGTCTGAGTGCCTCGGGACAGTTATAGAGCAGGTTAATTTGCAAGACATCTACAGCAGATAGGGAGTTTACGTTACCAAGAGGCATGTTTGGATCTGATAGGGCCTGGATAGTGTCCTTGTCGTTTTTACTAAACTCCTTGTTGGAGTAGTGCATGATGGACTGAAAGTCGTATGGTTGACCAAGAGTTGTAACTCCTCTCTTGCGGATTTCAAACTGCTTGTAGTGATCTGGAGTGTATGAAAGAGAAATCGTCTTGTCAATGCGACTACCAAACTCTTTTAAGAGTTGACCAAGAAAGAACAGCAAAAGTAGTATTGTGTAAGACGGCTCACCTCTCTTGATGTTATCCCATAATATCTTGACAAACTTATCTCGATCTGGTCTGGTATGCTCGTGGAAAAATCCCAAGGCGTGCATCAGCTCGTGAGTCACATGACCTCTGTTCTTACAGCCGCTTCCCAGCGACAAAAGCTGTTTCCCGCCTTTTTTGCCGATGTACGACTCACAGACATTACTGGAGTGAATAGTAACAAAATATTTTTTACATCACAGAGTAATATTCTCCAATGAAAACGGTGGCAGGTTTTTACATTTTAATTGCTCAAATTTGCGCGAGTGCATCGAACAATCGAGAAAGATGGAAAATCAGACTGCATTTTCGCGCAGGAGCTTAGCCCGCAAATCAACAACAACTATAAAAGTATTAAAGTACATTACTGATTACATGAACAGGGAACCAATTGCAAGGAAAGGGAAAACTACAAGTAAAAAATATTATACAGAGTGGTGAATAACAAAGCAATGTCTAAAATTTGCCCCTACTCCTTACTTGCTGTCTTCGTAGAATTCGATGTAATCCTTTTCATCTTTTCGCTCAACGAATCTGATGCAAGTGTGCTTAGCGATAACACTCGCTGCCTCTTTGATAGTTTGCTCATCGCTATAATCTAAAAATTTAAAAGACTTTTCAGTTTGCATTGAAATATAGAAAGTTTTTATCTCCTGTTGATCCGAAGAGTTTCCTCAAACTCGCCTGCTATTGAAAACTATGAGTTGAAGAACAAACACATCGTAGCCAGAGGCTGAGAGAAAGAGTCATTTATGGTAGTGAAAGGAGTCTTGATGCCAGTTACTCAAGGGAAGGAGGCAAACAAAAGGAATGATAATATCAACAATAAAACATTAAAAAGAGTTTAAAAAGGCTATATTTAGTTGAAGCGTTACTTAGAAGAAAATTGACTTCAAATCAGTCGGATGGTAACAGATCAGAAACCAAATCATTCCTTTCGTCTTTCTTATGACACATCCTGAGGTAGAAAATGCCAAAGATGCCATGTCTTTTACTAAAGGTTTTTGAAATTTGTATATCATTCCATGCATTCGACACACAAAGAATGAGTAGATTTTCGGTGACAGGCAAACAGAGGTGAAAGTTTGGGCTTAAGAGAGGGGCATACCACTACCCCCCGCCCCGCCCACTCCACGGGAAAGATCCAAAGGCTAGGGGAAATTCGTTAGCCGAGGAGGAGCTTTGGACTTACCAAGTCCTGAGAACCATCCTCCTAACTTAACAGTGTAAGGAATGAAGACATTTGTGACCTCCCTGTTGTTATCATAAGTGGCTGACCACAATTGTCCACGATAAAGTACGGCTTCTCGTTTATCCTGAGAAATATTTCCTTCTGCATGGTTTTTCCGTTCTGAAACTGAAAGAACTTATACAATTAAGCTCATTATAGGGAGACAAGTCATTATTTTTCGCCTGAGGGCGGGGAGGGGGAGGGGGAGATTTTTGGGGATCACATGGTTTTCAGGGGAAATGCTGGGGGAAAGCAGTCGTCGCCAAAGGCTGCATTTTGAGTCCTTGTTGACTGTAAACCCTGAATTTGTCGAACTTGACCGAAATCGTTTAGCAAAATATTAGTAACCCTCATCTTTCACGATCATTCGCACTATTGTGAAATATTTCTTGCCCGTTTCTTGATATCTTTTGTTTTTAACAAAGCGGCCATTGCATTTAGTTTTTAACGAAGCGGCCACAATCGTTCTCAATAGAATTTCAAGCTTTCACATAGTCTGATTTTCACTTATTAATATTTGCGTAGTCACCAAACAGATGAGAGGTAAAAACACTAGCCTAATGGCTAGTCACGAAAGCAACGCTTCACTTTTCCCCATAAAAATTTGCCGATTCCTCATGTCAGTAACGATATAAGGCACATATGTGAAAATCAGTGTGTGTACACCCCTGAACGTTGAAAATATATCAAGTCGAAGGAACAGTTTTGGTATCGGTCCGCATTTTTGTCAACAAAATGAACACATATCGGTTAAAAAGATGAAACGTACGGACACGTGCAAAGCTGTCGATTCTCACGGTTTCTCAAATAGTGACATCTCATTTACATCTACATCTACTTTTAATAAGTTGGTAAATTCTGTACAAACATTACATCAACCGACTCAAAGCGAGAAGAATATATTGTGATCCAGAAACGGGCAAGGAATATTCCACAATAGTGCAAATAATCGTGAAAGATGATCGCGGAAAAGCGATTGCGTGACGCTCGGTAAGTGGTAAGGTGACACGTTATCACGCACTAGACGAAAAAAACGGTATAAATTCTCAGTCTGCATTTTGTACTTAGTCTGTAGTCTGCACTTTGTACCTAGTCTGCATTTTTTACCCGATCTGCAGTCTGCAGTCTGCATTTTGTACTGACCGGATTAGATAATATTGGAGCTCCAAAAAAACAAATTTTAGTGAGACTATCTTGGCCGCTATGATTGATGTGTGGACTGTATGTTAAAGAGCTCCCGAGGAAAAGCACAATGATAGAGCAATGATTACTTTATACCAACTGAAGACGAACGCAAATGCGCGGCTTACCAATATGGCTGTCTCTGGTGCTCTTCCGCGTGATCACAGCGTGTGTTGAAATGAACCCGCTACGGATCCTTTAGGTGAGAACATTTTGGCTTCTCGACTCAAGTTGCACTTTTAGAAGTTCGGAAATGTGATTTGAGGTTATTATTTTTATTATTATTTTTATTATTTTTAATATTATTTTATTTTTTTTATTTTTTTTAATTATTATTATTTATTATTTTTATTATTATTAAACCATACAAAAATTTTATTTCTTTCCACGTGAGTTTCTGAACTTCATCGAAATTAATTTTGACGTTCACTTAGTGGGGAGGGGTAGCATGCGAGACTACTTCCGTTCACGGTTTACAATGCAACTTCCGTCTGCGGTCGACAACTTCCGTCAAAATATGCTTCACCACAATACCTCATTCATTGCTTTCAGCATGAATGACCTAAAAACAATACATTGCCTTTGGGACAACGGCTTTGTTTTAGAATAGAATGGGATTATAAGGAAAGCTTTAGACTCTGGCAATTTTTCTGCCTGAGCTGCTTCAATGTTTTTGTTGAGTCAGCTCGAAAACAAAACATTTCAAAAAATTCAAATAGTTTCGTACTTCGTCACGAATCGTCAACCCTATCTCCACTTTTGATTTAAATCACAATCAGTACCATTCCAGCTCAAATTGCCGAAAGTTTAAGAAGCGACGAACACTAAAGAAGTTTGGGAGACTGGGAGACTGATTTGGAAATGTTCATTTTGGACATGAGTTTTCCTTCATATCATCCAATGTCCAATTCGTTTGACAACAAGTGCTCACTTACCTGAATAACATGATACGTTTATCACCCAAGCAAATACAAAGAGCAACGTGAAACCTCTTATTTTGAACATCGTCCTTTTGCAATAAAATTTTCAATCACCTATGGGGTCAAACAGCCGTTAGAAACTACTGGAATGGCTCTAAGCCGTAGTCACTCCTCAGACCGTGGTTTTTTCTTTGACTGAAATTCAGCGACCGTTACAACTGAAGTTTTTTTTTTGTTCCAAAACAATCAACTGCTAATTATGATTTGCAAAGCGTCCTTTGTTCTGCATATTAACGGTAATCTGATGCAAATGAGGAGCGATAGATATCAGTGATATTTGTACTCGTGCCTCAAAGTCACGCGTGCTTTGTATTCAATTTTGAAATGTGTGATTGGCAGTTACACCCCACAAGTGATAACGGCAATTTTCACAAGAGCCGCTTTTTTCTAAGTTTGACGGGAAAACGCAGTAAAGAAGATTAAATAGGGCGAGAAATTTTTACACGCTGATCCACAAAAGCCAAGATTATTATCAATATTTTGATATATTCAAAAAAATGATACCCCTAAACAACTTACAAGCTCGTCCTGAAGGTGAGACCGACATCTTCTCCACGAGGCGTAGAATAGGAATTTCGTGATGATGGTTTATGCTTATTCTCTGTCCTACGCTCGTCCCAGAACGAACGATATCTTTCTCTGTTCAAAGGCCGAACCAGAAATTTGTCTTTTCATGTTATTATTCTACTTACTTAAACTTTTGTTGATCTCAGAGGTATGCAAGAAGCGTGTCACATGTGAAGCTAGCAACGACCCTCCGACTCAAAAAAAATGTCTGAAGCGTAGCCAATGCTCTACTGGTGGTGGAGCTTCAGAGGGCGAAATAAAAAATATCTGGGACTGAATTATATCTTTCTCTAGGGGAATATCTCTTTCCACTCTGGAGAAATCAATTTTTGGTCATATTTTTAAAATGTTCCCATCACGTTTTCATAATCTCCACTGAAGGAACGTTTCGTCTATTTTACCCTTTAATGCCCAAGATTTCATAAGTAATTCTCCTTACTGTCTCCCATACAGTTCTTATGATGCTAGTTCTGAGAATTTGGTACTGAATCAACTAGAAAATCCTCAAACTTATATTTTTCTTTATTCTCACCACCTGTCTGTTTGATATTGTATTTATATTGTAAGGAGGAATTCTTTCTTGGTCACTCATGGGAGTTAAAGGGTTAAGAGACGCAATGGCCTCATAGTCAGTGCACTGGATTCCAGGGGGAGAGGTTCGGATTGGAGACTTGAACTGGTTAATGTGTTATGTTTTTGGACAAAACACTTTATTCTCACAGTACTTCCCTCTACCCTGGAGTATAATTAAATGGGTACGGTCATGGGTACTGTTAGGAAAGCCTGATGAAATGCTGGAGGGGAGGGGTAACCTTGCGATGAACAAGCATCCCATCCAGGGGGGGAGTTGTAATACTTCTTGTCGCTTCATGCTAAGGAAACCGAGATAAACACCGGCTGGGTGGGCACTAAGCTCGAGTACAGACTTTGCCTTTATCTTGTTGCGATCACGAAGGTGTCCCCCGAATGCAAGATTCACTTATTAATGAAAGAACAGCAATATTTGTCTCCCGTAAATTTGCTTCTAAAAAGGGAGAGCCTAGCCAGATCTGCGCTACCTCAGGAGTTAATGGCACGGCACAAAGACTCTGCTCGCATATGTTTGCGGTAACCTTGTCTCAGTAACCTTCAGTTTTGCAATTTGGATCAATAATGAAAAAATGATCATCAGGTGAGGCCATTCTTGTGGGGAAAACGCTCGTAAAACATAAATTGGACTATAGAACCATTCGGAACTGCTTGCTAAAATTGTTCATGTCTAGTATTGGACTTGTGCTGATTGTATTCCTCCAGTTTTCCTGCCCTGTGCCTTACTGAAAACTGCTATTATTAATCCTTGAATTTTCGAGAATCAAGTTCGAGGATTATCACAAGAGATTCTTAGCCTAACTATTTTCTCCCTCAACTTGCTTGAAAACCTATCTAAGACTAGTTCGTCACATAGCTGTCCTTTTCTTTGGGATCACCTTGCGCATGCGTGCATTACAACATTCGTCCTATTCAGTGTAAGCAACGTGTACGTCCAATTGTAACGCCAGAGTAACTACGAGGCCCACTCACTCGCGCTCATTAGAAAGATTTAGAACGGTGTTTGTGCGAAACGTAACACGTTTTTCCCCATTTTTTGCCCCTTTTTTTTGAGTACTGGTTGCGCTCTGCCATTTCTATTTGAAAGTAGCTGTTTCGCGTTTGTCTTATTCGTAAGATTTTCTTCCCTTATTCTTTCAGAGTAGAAGGTAACTGTCGGAAAAAAGTACACCAAAACTATTTCCTGTAAGTCATACAAGGGAAAATGAAGTTTCATGTTTAACATCATTCAAACGCCGAAGTGACACAAATCTAAAGCAGAAAGGTTAATTCTATCTTTCATGTAAACGCGATGCTAAACCTCTCTAGTGTTGTGAAAGCACTCGCTCAAGAGCATAGCTTATCCTCGTGTTGCATAAGATCTATATCAGGAATTGTACAATTCTAGTTCAGTATGTGAACGAAGTTTTTGCCGTGATGTAGTTGTGGCATTACAAACTCCGCACTTAAAGAACGCGTACGGAATAACATGCAACTGAATGTGTTTTATTACCAGATGAGTCGTTGATTAGTTCACAAAACTTAACTTTTACAACTTTTTGCTTACACATTCAGAGTGTGAATCAAAAACCAATGGCAAAGATTCTCGTGGCCTCGATTTCTAACAGACTAATTCAGTGGGTAAGTCCCTTTACTTCTTCCCAAACGGGAGGCGGGGCTTTGGAAATCTTGGAATCCGGAATCTTGGTTTTGGGATTCTCGGGATCCGGATTCTTGGTTTTGGAATTCTTGGAAGCGGGATTCTTGGCTTCGGGATCCGGAATCTTGGTTTCGGGACTCTTATTCTGCGAAAAAATGGTTTTGGATCTTCTTGGACATCATTGCTTCTGAAAGAAGACATGAGAAGGCAATTATAATAACATTTCTTTCAGTTTCCTTCAGGCAATATATGGAGTAACCAGCTGAGTTATTTCCCAAAATAAGCTAAATCAGAAATATTGTTTCTTTTTGGAAAAATTCTGATGCGGCATTTGGTTGGGAAGAAGATGGGGCAGGTCATTTTTAAGACCTGGATCCGGAAGGAGGTCATTTCCATATTACTCCGTGCTCTTTCCCGTTTTCGTGAATTATCAGCTCATTTTAAAGAGGATATTTCGGCAAGTACCAGGTTCTTATGTTTGCACTAGCAAACATTACGCCAGGCTGCTGATCGGAATGTAAATGAATGAGAAATCCTCCGAAATACCAGACCCCGAACCGCCCATGACCTCAATTCATTTATAGAGGCGATATCTGCAACCCCGTGGAGTTCATAGATTTCATTGTAAATACTGATAATTTATTAAGTGCCCTTTCTTTCCTCGCAGATCTTCATTAACTTTGGCTCCAAAACCATAAGTAGATAAACAGCGGTTTCAAGAAAAAAGCAATTAACGATCATCATCCGAGCTTAGAAATGCCTTCATTCCGATAACACAAATTGCATGGTGGCTTAAATTTTCGATCCAAACTCGAATGCAAAATGAAACTGATGTTTTGATTAGCTTTTCTCAAACATTTTACAGCTAATTACAGTTAATTAATTTTTAACCCAAATTCTCTTTTTCCCTTTAGCCAGAGTATTCTTTGCTGGTGGGTTGGGTTTGGCGTCTGATACCTTTAACTAAAAACTGACGCAGTGATACAAACAAAAAACGTCCGCGTTTGTGATGGCAGAAGAAACACTCACCCGTTTGCATCCTCTTCACTCTCTTCATCTTCATCATTGTCAACTTCATCTTCGAAATGATTGTAATCGCTCAGATCATCTTCAAATCCTTCATCTGCATTGGCGTCGACAGCATCCTTCACTGCACCATAATCGTCGGATTGTTGGGTTTCATAGGCAGCTTTTTCTAGGGGTTCATACGATACAACAACTTGCAAAGATACAGCCGCGCAGAATGCCACAAGGGCGGAAAGAACGAACTTGTTCATTCCGGTCTGTTCTTGCTTGGTTACCAAACAACTTAGCAGCTCCTTTGTGGAAGCAGTGTTGCTCTGATGATTTTTTTCGTTGGAGAGGAACATTTATATTGGCGGGAATCAGGAAAAACGTGCAAATAACTTTAAAATATTGTTCCAGTAATTGATTATACCGGCCTTTTCAGTCAACACAAACTTTTTTGGGTTCTACTTGCTCTTCAAGAAGACTTTACGTTTTTCCGTATTTACATAAAACGTCTAGTCAATGCGTTATTTTAAGATTTCTGTTGTACTACTCAAGATCCTTTGTATTTCTTTTTTAATCTAACAAATCAGAGGAATGTATTTTCCTGAGAAAAATTGCATATTTTGTTTAAGTTACAAAAACGAAAATTTTCATCGCTGTTTCAATGATGTGCCACGTTTTCATTTTCGTTCTTTTCGGTGCAATTTTTTTACTATTTTGTTTTTAAGAGAGCTTTTTCTTTGGTATTTCCTGTGTCGTGCACAATTGAGCCTATATTACGTAACTGAAGGGAGAGATTCACATCGGAACCAAAATTGGCTATACCGGAAAAAGTATATTTTGTTGCTGTTTTTCTTCATGTTGGAAAACTTTGATTGGTGCGTAAATGTAACGAGGTTACCCATAAAGCGACGCACAAAAGTAGACAATAATTAATGTAATACTCAGAGCTTCGTTTTTAAACAAATGAGGGGTGCACCATCTACGTTTTTGCATTTATACTAAATAAATACTTTGTCTATGTTCTTTTTGATGTTGGAACACTTCGATTGACGTGCATAGTTGACGATATCACAGCTAATGTCATGGCACGACATTTGACGTTCAATTCCCCGATATTGCAGTTTTTTTTTTATTCATTAAGGTATGTAGCCATAGTTAGCAGAGGTGTCTAGCTAATTGTTTTAGGCTACTGTTAGGTTTTTTGGACCTGATCGTGCACAACATTCATAAGAATTTCCAATCATTCACAACCAACTAATAATATTCAAATATCTAATGGCAAGGTTTATTTAAACACATGAAAAGAGATTTTGCACGCTTAGCGAGATTACAACAAACACTGCGGCTTTGCTGCTTTCATCTCAGATCTAACCATATGGGGAGCACGGAAAAAAAAGCCTCTTCAAAGAAATTTACAGAAGGAGCAACGGTTCCCAGGCCACATGCCCTGAGCCAGGTTGGTGTGTAAAGACCAAAGCCAAGAGATTATAACCTCTTGCCTTAGCTCAATACTTAGCAAGGCGAAGGAGGGAAGTGTACTACAATATATTTATTGAATATTGCGCTGGAGATTTATCTCTCACGGGGTTATTTAAGTTTTCTTGAGAAAATCAATTATTCATTATGACGCTGATGATATCGGACAAGAAAGCAATGTTACGAAATAAAACTCGCAGTTTTGATTATGTCTTATATTAGTTTGGCATTCAATTTTCCTTTTTATTTACCAATTAAAGAGGAAAGTAACGCAAAAATTTGTTTGGCCAACATCATTAACAGGTTTCCAATATTATTTTGAGATCTTTTGCTAAGGTATTTTAGCCGTAATTCTCTGTAACAACGAGAGGTGATCCAGAGTAAGAATAAATTTTGAGTTCGTGTTCGAGCAGAAAGCTGTTTTTCCTTTTTTCTATTAAAGAGAAAACTTACGCGTATACTAGTCTTTTCGTCAGGTTGCCAAAGAAAACTTGTAGAAAATATTCTCTTTCTTAGAACTCGAGATAGTAATTCCGCAGGCATTTGCTGACCCTTATCAAGGCTTGGCGAGAAACAGAGTTTTCTTTTTTCTTGTTGCAAGGGTGTCTCCCGAATGCAAGATTCACTATTTAATGGAAAAACAGCAATATTTGTCTCCTGCAGTATTGCTTCTGAAAAGGGAGAGCCTAGTCGGATGTGCCACATTTTCATTTTTGTTCTTCTTGTTGCAAATTTTTTTTACACTTTTCACTTTTAAGTGAGCTTTTTCTTTAGTATTTCCTGTGTCGTGAACAATTGAGCCTGTTATGACGTAATTGAAGAGTGAGATTCACATCGAAACCAAAATTGGCCATACCAGAAAAAATATATTTTGTTGCTGTTGTTCTTGATGTTGGAAGACTCTTGGTGTGCTAATGTAATGAGGTTACATATAAAGCTGACGCTAAAAAAATTGACAATAATTAATTTAGAACTCAGTGCTATGTTTTTAGACAAATGAGCCGTGCATTGCTTCATTTGACACTGTTTCAAGTACTTAATAAATACTTTGTCTATGTTCTTATTGGTGTTAGACACTTCGATTGACGTGCATAGTCATCTCATATGTAATGTCATGACACGACATTTGACGTTTATTCCCCGATATTAGGTATTTATTACTATTATTATTATTTTACTATTATTATTATTATTATTCATTATTCATTCAGGTGTGTGCCCACAGTTAGCGGGGGTGTCTAGCTAATTGTTTTAGACTACTGTTAGGTTTTTCAGATCTGATCGTGCAAAACATTTATAAGGAATTCCAATCGTATCTGGCATTCACAATGGCATTCACAACCAACTTAGAAGGTACTGCACATCAAAATATCCAATGGCAAGGTTCATTTCAACACATGAAAAGAGATTATGCACGCTTAGCGAGATTTCAACCAACACTGCGGCTTTGCTGCTTTCATCTCAGATCTAACCAGATGGGGAGTACAAAAAAAAAGTATCTTAAATGACATTTACAGAGGGAGCAACGGATTCCCAGGCCATATGCCCTGAGCCAGGTTGGTGTGTAAAGACCTAAGCCAAGAGATTATAACCTCTCGCTTTGGCTCAATACTTAGCAGGGCGAAGGAGGGAAGTGTACTACAATATATTTATTGAATATTGTGCTGGAGATTATTTTTCACGGGGTTATTTAAGTTTTCTTGTGGAGAAAATCATTTATTCATTATGACTCTGATGATATCGGACAAGAACGCAATGTTACGAAATAAAACTTGCAGTTTTGATTATGTCTTATATTACATTGGCTTCAAGTTTTCCTTTTTATTTACCAATTAATATTTAAGGGGAAACTAAAGCAAATATTTGTTTGGCCAACGTCATCATCAGGTTGCCAAAACAAACCCGAGGAACTTGCTGGGGTGTTTGGCGAAGGTATTTTCAGCCGTGTTTCTTTGTGACAACTAGAGGTGATCCAGAATAAGGATAAATTTTGAGTTTTCCTTAAAGTTCGTGTTCGAGCAGAGAGCTATTTTCCGCTGGCATTTGCTGACCCTTGTCAAGGCTTGGCGAGATACAGACTTTGCCTTTTTCTCGTTGCGGGGGTGTCCTCCGAATGCAAGATTCACTATTTATTAGTAATATTTGTCTCCTGCAGTATTACTTCTGAAAAGGGAGAGCCTAGCCGAATCTGTGCTACTTCAGAGGTTTATTGCAAGGCACAAAGACTCTGTTCGCATACGTTTGCGGTAATCTTTTCCTAGTAACCTTCAATTTTACAAGTTTGTATTAATGATGAAAAAATGATCATCAGATGAGGCCATTTATGGGAGGAAAACACCCCCACACGCAAATTGGATTTTAAAACCAGTCGGAAGTGTTTGCTGACGTTGTTCATTTCATGTATTGGACTTGTGCTGATTGTATTCCCTCAGTTTTCCTGCCTTGTACATTACTGAAGACTAATTTTTTCAATCCTTGAATTGTCAAGAATCCAGTTCGACAATTTTCACATGAGATTCCTAAGCTAACTTTTTTCTCCCTCAACTTGCTTGAAAACCTAGTTAAGATTAGGTCGTCGCATAGCTCTCCTTTTTTTCCGGATCAGCTTGCACGTGCGTGCATTGCAACATTCGTCCTATTTAGTGCAAGCAATGTGTACGTCCGATTCTCATGCCAGAACCGCTACGAGGCCCACTCACTCGCGCTCATTATAGAGACTTAGCACTGCGTTTATACGAAACATAAACGACAAGATTGACCACGTGACCACGATTTTCCCAATTTTTTGCCATTTTTCCTGTGTACTGATTGGGCTTTGCCATTTCTATTTGAAAGTACCAAGCTATTTCGAATTTGTTCTATACTTAAGATTTTCACTCTATCTTTCATGTAAACGTGATGCTAAACCTCTCCTCAAAACCTCTCCACCAGGCTAGTGTTGTGAATAGCAGGTAATTTAGTGTTAACAACTGATCATGAGTTGAAAATGTAAATTAGCCACCGTAAAGGGTAAAAAAGCTGACGTTTCGAGCGTTAGCCCTTCGTCAGAGCGATTATTGTGATAGATAGTGTTGTGAATGCACTCGCTCAAGCGCATAGCTTATCCTCGTGTCGCATGAGGTCTAATATTAGGAATTGTACAATTCTGAGTTCAGTATGTGAACGACGTTTCTGCCGTGATGCAGTTGTGGCACTACAAACTCCGCACTTAAAAAGACGCGTATTGAATAACATGCTACTGAATGTGTTTTATTACCAGATGAGTCAGTTGATTAGTTCACAAAATTTAACCTATTACAATTTTTTTCTTACACATTTAGAGTGTGAATCAAAGACCAATGGCAAAGATTCTCGTAGCCTCGATTTCTAACAGACTAATTCAGTGGGTAAGTCCCTTTACTTCTTTCCAAACGGGAGGCGGGGCTTTGGCAATCTTGGAATCCGGAATCTTGGTTTTGGGATTCTCGGGATCCGGATCCTTGGTTTTGGAATTCTTGGAAGCGGGATTCTTGGCTTCGGGATCCGGAATCTTGGTTTCGGAACTCTTATTCTGCGAAAAAATGGTTTTGGATCTTCTTGGACATCATTGCTTCTGAAAGAAGACATGAGAAGGCAATTATAATTACATTTCTTTCAGTTTTTGGGCAATATATGGAGTAACCAGCTGAGTTATTTCCCAAAATAAGCTAAATTAGAAATATTATCTCTTTTCGGGAAAAAAAAGTAACTAACGATCATCGTCCACACTTAGAAATGCCTTCATTCCGATAACACAGATTGCATGGTGGCTTAAGTTTTTGATCCAAACTCGAATGCAAATGAAACTGAATTTTTGATTAGCTTTTCTCAAACATTTTACAGCTATCTTAGTTATGTACATTTACTTAAACGAAGAATCGTTTAATTAATTTTTAACCCAAATGATCTTTTTCCCTTTAGCCAGAGTATTCCTTGTTGGTGGGTTGGGGTTGGTGTCTGATACCTTTAAATGAAAGCTAACGCAGTGATACAAATAAAAAATGTCCGCGTTTGTGATGGCAGAAAAAACACTCACCCGTTTGCATCCTCTTCACTCTCTTCATCTTCATCATTGTCAACTTCATCTTCGTCGAAATGATTGTAATCGCTCAGATCATCTTCAAATCCTTCATCTGCATTGGCGTCGACTGCATCCTTCACTGCGCCATAATCGTCGGATTGTTGGGTTTCATAGGCAGCTTTTTCTAGGGGTTCATACGATACAACAACTTGCAAAGATACAGCCGCGCAGAATGCCACAAGGGCGGAAAGAACGAACTTGTTCATTCCGGTCCTGTTCTTGCTTGGTTACCAAACAACTTAGCAGCTCCTTTGTAGAAGCAGTGCTACTCTGATGATTTTTTTCGTTGGAGAGGAACATTTATATTGACGGGAATCAGGAAAAACGGGCAAATAACTTCAAAATATTGTTCCAGTAATTGATTATACCGGCCTATTTAGTCAACACAAACTTTTTTGGGTTCTACTTGCTCCTCAAGAAGACTTTACGTTTTTCCGTATTTACATAAAACTTCTAGCAGATGCGTTATTTTAAGATTTCTGTTGTACTACTCGAGATCCTTTCTATTTCTTTTATTAATCTATCAACTCAGAGGAATGTATTTTCCTGAGAAAAATTACATATTTTGTTTAAGTTACAAGAACGAAAATTTGCATCGCTGTTTCATTAATGTGCCACGTTTTCGTTTTCGTTCTTTTCGATGCAATTTTTTTACTTTTTTTGCTTTTAGTGAGCTTTTTCTTTGGTGTTTCTTGTGTCGTGGGCAATTGAGCCTATATTACGTAATTTAAGGGAGAGATTCACATCGAAATCAAAATTGGCTATACCGGAAAAAATATATTTTGTTACTGTTTTTCTTGATGTTGAGAGACTTTGATTGGTGCGTAAATGTAACGAGGTTACCAATAAAGCTGACGCACAAAAGTAGACAATAATTAATGTAATACTCAGAGCTACGTTTTTAAACAAATGAAGGGGTGCACCATTTACATTGTTGCATTTATACTAAATAAATACTTTGTCTATGTTCTTTTTGATGTTGGAACACTTCGATTGACGTGCATAGTTGACGATATCACAGCTAATGTCATGGCACGACATTTGACGTTCAATTCCCCGATATTGCAAGGTTTTTTTTTTTATTCATTAAGGTATGTAACCATAGTTAGCAGAGGTGTCTAGCTGATTCTTTTAGACTACTGTAAGGTTTTTTTGAACCTGATCGTGCGCAACATTCATAAGAAACTCCAATCATTCACAACCAACTAATAAAATACTGCACATCAAATATCCAATGGCAAGGTTTATTTAAACACATGAAAAGAGATTATGCGCGCTTAGCGAGATTGCAATCAACACTGCGGCTTTGCTGCTTTCATCTCAGATCTAACTATATGGGGAGCACGAAAAAAAAAAGCCTCTTAAAAGAAATTTACAGAAGGAGCAACGGTTCATGGGCCACATGCCCTGAGCCAGGTTGGTGTGTAAAGACCTAAGCCAAGAGATTATGACCTCATGCCTGAGCTCAATACTCAGCAGGGCGAAGGAGGGAACTGTACTACCGTATATTTATTGAGTATTGTGCTGCAGATTTATTTCTCACGGAGTTATTTAAGTTTTCATGTGGAGAAATCAATTATTTATTATGACGCTGATGATATCGGACAAGAAGGCAATGTTACGAAATAAAACTCGCAGTTTTGATTATGTCTTATATCAGTTTGGCATTCAATTTTCCTTTTTATTTACCAATTAAAGAGGAAACTAACGCAAATATTTGTTTGGCCAACGTCATCAACAGGTTACCAATATCATTTTGAGATCTTTTGCCAAGGTATTTTTAGCCGTGTTTCTCTGTAACAACTAGAGGTGATCCAGAGTAAGGATAAATTTTGATTTTTCTTTAATGTTCGTGTTCGAGCAGAAAGCTGTTTTTCCTTTTTTTCTATTAAAGAGATAACTTATGCTAATATTAGTCTTTTCGTCAGTTTGCCAAAGAAAACTTGTAGAAAACATTCTTTTTCTTAGAACTCGTTGAGGTAGTAATTCCGCAGACATTTGCTGACCCTTATCAAGGCTTGGCGTGAAACAGAGTTTGCTTTTTTGGTGTTGCAGGGGTGTCTGCCGAATGCAAGATTCACTATTTAATAAAAAAAAACAGCAATATTTGCCTTTTAAGTGAGCTTTTCTTTAGTATTTCCTGTGTCGTGAACAATCGAGCCTGTTATGACGTAATTGAAGGGTGAGATTCACATCGAAACCAAAATTGGCTATACCAGAAAAAACATATTTGGTTGCTGTTGTCCTTGATGTTGGAAGACTCTTTGTGTGCTGATGTAATGAGGTTACATATGAAGCTGACGCTAAAAAATCGATAATAATTAGTTTAGAACTCAGTGCTACGTTTTTAGACAAATGAGCCGTGCATTGCTTCATTTGACACTGTTTCAAGTACTTAATAAATACTTTGTCTATGTTTTTGTATTATTTTATTTGTCTATGTTGGACACTTCGATTGATGTGCATAGCTGATGATTTCACATGTAATGTCATGGCACGACATTTTACGCTTATTTGCCGATATTAGGTTTTCATTATTATCATTATTATTATCATCAATATTATTATTATTCATTAAGGTGTGTACCCATAGTTAGCGGAGGTGTCTAGCTAATTATTTTAGACTACGTTTAGGTTTTTCAGATCTGATCGTGCACAACATTCATAAGGTGAGGTGGCTCTTAGAACTCGTTGAGGTAGTAATTCCGCAGGCATTTGCTGACCCTTATTAAGGCTTGGCGAGAAACAGAGTTTGCTTTTTTCTTGTTGCAGGAGTGTCTCCCGAATGCAAGATTCACTATTTAATGAAAAAACAGCAATATTTGTCTCCTGCAGTATTGCTTCTGAAAAGGGAGAGCCTAGCCGGATGTGCCACATTTTCGTTTTTGTTCTTTTTGTTGCAATTTTTTTTTACACTTTTTACTTTTAAGTGAGCTTTTTCTTTAGTATTTCCTATGTGGTGAACAATTGAGCCTGTTATTACGTAATTGAAGAGTGAGATTCACATCGAAACCAAAATTGGCTATACCAGCAAAAAACATATTTGGTTGCTGTTGTCCTTGATGTTGGAAGACTCTTGGTGTGCTAATGTAATGAGGTTACTGACGCTAAAAAATTGACAATAATTAATTTAGAACTCAGTTCTACGTTTTTAGACAAATGAGCCGTGTATTGCTTCATTTGACACTGTTTCATGTACTTAATAAATACTTTGTCTATGTGTTTATTGATGTTGGACACTTCGAGCCTCTTAAAAGACATTTACAGAAGGAGCAACGGTTCCCAGGCCACATGTCCTGCGCCAGGTTGGTGCGTAAAGACCTTTGCCAAGAGATTATAACCTCTTGCCTTTGCTCAATACTCAGCTGGGCGAAGGAGGGAAGTGTACTACAATATATTTATTTACGAAATAAAAATCGCAGTTTTGATTACGTCTTATATTAGCTTGGCTTCAAGTTTTCCTTTTTATTTACCAATTTAAGGGGAAACTAAAGCAAATATTTGTTTGACCAACGTCATCATCAGGTTGCCAAAACAAACCCGAGGAAATCATTTTGAGATGTTTGCGAGGGTATTTTTAGCCGTGTTTCTTTGTAACTATTAGAGGTGATCCAGAATAAGGATAAATTTCGAGTTTTCATCAACTTTCGGGCCCAAGCAGGAAGCTATTTTCCCTTTTTTTCTATCAAAGAAAAAACTTACGCCAATACTTTTTATCAGGTTGCCGAAAAAAAAAAATTTGTGGAAAACATCCTTCTTCTTAGAGCCGCTTTTTTAGCTTGTTGATGCATGTCTTTATTTTGTATACCACGTGTGCTTAAGATCCTCAAATCATGACACGTAAAAACGCAATATCCTATCTACCTCGTTTTTCGTTTATATTTGTTTCTGTTTGTGACAAACATTCTTGGTTGCAAAAACGATCATTGGATGGTTGAGGTAATAGCTAGTTAAACAGTGGTTGAGTATTTGGACGATAGTAAAGGTGGTATGGTTCTAAAAAAAACTATGGTGCTGCAACGGTGAGAGAGTATAACAGGGTAATTTAGTATTAATAACTGAGTAGATAACGTAAATAGGCCACCGTAAAGAGTTTAAAAGCTGACGTTTTGAGCGAATGACGAAGGGGTAACGCTCGAAACGCCAGCTTTAAAACATTTTACGATGGCCAATTTACGTTATTAACTCAGTTATTAATTCTAAATTACCGGCTAATAGCGGTGATAGCTTTGTAGAAATCGAGGAAGTCGATAGTTTTAGAGTGGTTGAGGTAATAGTTTAAAACAGTGGAAGTGATATATGTACAGTGGTCGAGGTATTAGACCGTTTCAGCTTGTTTCACAGATTTCAAAGCTCCAACAGCAACAATATCATGTATTTTCTAAATTCGTCTTTTGTCTCGGATTTTGCGAGAGACAAACATTCTACGAGCTAAAGTATCAACAGTGAACCATGAAAATTTTGCTATATATGAGAAAATTTTGTCCTCTTTCTAACGTGACTATAACAGCAACATGTTTTTTATCTGTATCTCTGCTTTATCCTTTCCATATTGGCTGAATTTTGAAATGCCTTATGCCAAATCTTAAATAAAATCAAGTTTTAAAGAAATCAAGAGTAAAACACAATATCTGACATCACGAAAAGCCGATAAAATTTATTTTGGCTTTTTAATGTTTTTCAAGTATAATCTTCTGCTTAATACCACAAAGTCATGGCAGGCAAACGCAAATTTACTCTTTTCAAGGAACTTAATATGTTTTTAGACAGACATTCAAATCAAAATTTCCACTTATGACCGTTAAAGAAGTAGGTGAATATAATTGCACCCAAATAAAGATTCTTCAGTCATGACTCATTATCATCTATTGTATTAACCCGGGCCCCTTACCTCCCACGAGTGACCAGGAGAGAATTTCTTTTAATATCAATACAATATCAAGCATAGAAGTGATGCGAATAAAGAAAAATATCAATTAGGGGATTATTGGTTGATCTAATATCAAATTTTCAAATTGACGTCATTAGAATTGTATGTCAGAGGGTAAAGAGAATTACCAATGAGGTCGTGGGAGTAAAGGATTAAAGATGGGGTATATCCATTGCATGAGTACAGCCTGAGGAGTCTCATATACGAATTTTGTTGAAGAAAATACGAAATCAAACTCATATAGAGACCACGAGGACCAAGAAAACGTCTTTTGGAATAACGCTGAAACTGGCCAAAACACTAATATACATCTACAACTTAACTTTTGTCCAACTACAGAAAACTTTTTAAGTGACCGTGAGAAACTTTTAGCGATACTTTTAATATCAGTAACTTCCCGCTGGAATTTTCCTCGAAAGAAAAACGTGGCCTTGGTTAGGATGTAAAATAATATCGATTTAAGTCAGGAAGTCCTTCAAAAAGAAATTTGTTCTTCTAATGCACGCAGAAGCCATTCAAGCAAGAAGTTTAAGGTGGAATATTCGTAACGCAGGCTGGGTAATCAAACAATTCCCTATCACGACAAAAGCGCACTGAAACGAATGAAAAAAAAAATGCTTTATCGCTCACAAAACCATAAAGTAGAATTGTTGAAGAGCTCCACGTTCAAGACACCTTTTACCAACTGATAAAAAAAAGAGAGGTTGCGAGAGAATGATGCGGATGTTGAAGTTGCTACAACCAAGGCTTCTCGCATTCTGCGGTAGCTATTCTTGATGACACCCTGTCTTTCAAACTGCACATTGCAGATGTTTTCAATTCTTGCTTCTACCATCACAGGAAAATTTCAGGGATTAGAAAGTATTTAACTCGTGACGCCACTGAAATAGTTATCCACGCTTTTGTCACCTCGAAGCTTGATTATTGTGACTCTCTGTATCATGGCCTTCCTTGGTTTCTTTCTCCTGAGTTACAGGCTGTTCAAAATTCTGAAATCTAAAGCTCCTGCGAGACAACCTGGCTCTGACGCCCGAGCGATCGCTTTTTGCCCATCAGAAGGTTCACACGTGCGCAGACGTTTGACCACTCGAGTGTGGTCTACGATCCTCAGAGCACGGGGGCTTTTCCCGAACAACATGGTCGAGTGTAGACGTGTATCCTTAATGTTGCACGTAGGTTTAATGCCTTATCCTTCCCCTGAAGGTAAGGAAGCAGTCGACATGGAGGGGAGGATGCCGCAGTCAAAATATGTTCCTCATTGTTCTTAATTTGCGCGATATTATCACTGTATAAAAGGCAAACGAATGCCGCGTTTGAAGTGCATCTCTCGAACTCTACCAGCCATGCTAAGAATCGTTGCGGCTTTTCCATGTATTTTCCAACGGTCGCCTGCTCTGCGGAAGTTAAAATATTGGCTGAAAGAGCGTCGTTTCTGACATCAATGGAATTGTCCTTTAGAATTTGTAAGGTGATTGCTAATAAATTTTTCCTTCAGAATTATTAGGGTAAATCTGGAACTACATGTATGTGTCCACAGTTCTTACTCAAATCAATTACATTATTAGTATCATTACCTCGGGTAAACAATACGATTTCAGACGACCAGTCTCTATTTCACTGAGAGCTCACGCGAATCAATATCAGCTGATAGAAACGCTGTTAAAAATTACAGGAAAATGAACAAGACAATACTATGGTATTGTGACAGTGATATGATCTTTCAGTTTTGTAACTCTTCCAGCTCAATAAAGAAAAGTTAGGAAATACATAACAGTACCGGACTTTAGCAAGTAACGCACGCACTAGTGATTAGTTCTAATTCCGAATCGGAACACTTTAACGGTTTTTCCACTTATTAATCTTTTTCGTGGCGACGACTTATTAGTCAATACCAATATATTTGATCGACCTGAGAAGCTGGCGCATAAACTATAATTGGAGAAACAATATTTTTAAGTGTTAAGCGTTTTTCCAGAGTGACGCTTGCATAAAAAAATCCCTTCCCAAGGAAAAAACTATCAGTGTAACTTGACCACCTTTCAAAGTTATCTGTCCCTTACTAAAGGACCAACTTAGACAAGGTCACCACTATGAACAAGTTTGTTCTCTTCGCCATGGTAGCATGGTCCACAGTTCTATTTCAGCAAACTGTCGTTTCGAAAACATTTGGGAATGAGGAAGCGAGAGATTTTGACGCCGAGAAAGAAGTATCAGCCAATGCAGTTACTGATGAAGGATGGGGTCTTGATTATCTGAACGATGACTATGACTTCGACGAAGACGAAGAAGAAGAAGAGGAGGAAAATTTTCCGGAAAGGTAACAGCTTCTCTATCCTTTCGCAAAGTAAACAATTTAGTCTTATTTCGCTATACCTACATTTTTCAGTCATTCATTAAAAATGTCTTCTTCTTCCTCGGGAATTTGTAATGAGTTTGCTTCAGTTAGCAATGCGAACAAATAATCATGCTGTGTTTGTAAAGGCGTAATACAACAACTAATATCCCTTTCATGGCCCACGAAAAATTCAAGACATTGGAGAAAGGGAAGAAAAAAACCCAGAGAAAAAGCCCTAACTAGCTTGGTGGAGAAATTTACTTTTGTTGAGTAAATGTTTGCAAAATGCGGCCGCGTTTCACTCAGTAAATTAAAATAGAAGAACTGAGTTAAATATCACGGTGACGGTTAGAGCGATATATTGATTGAATTTCTGAGACGAAAATAAGTATTTTACAATCGTGTATATTTGTAACAGTTGTCACATCCATAAAGCTTGCATTACTAATTTATGCATGTAGCGGTAGTTGGGTGTAAGGATTTTTCGCGCTCCATGCTCATGTAAACTGCTTTCCCCCTTCCATCCGCCCCGGCTAAGTAGGCTATTGTACGTTGCGTTTTTAAATTCATCCGGCGTGGGATGAACGGAGCCCTAAAAACGCGGATGTCGTCAAAAACTGTGTAACCGCGTGGGGTCTGTGTCGAGAACGCCGTGTCCGTAGCCGGGAAAGGTAAGTTAAGACAACGGGATTCAACGGCGCGACTAACCACTGATAAAAAATATTGTGGCGAGCTTTTTCCGCTCCAAAGTAGTAGGAAATGAATATTATTACAAAGTGATTACCTCGGCCACCAATAAAAAAATTGGCATTATACATGTACTAGTATGTCAACCCTTCACCCTTATGAGTGACTAGCATCTAATTTCTCCCAACGATATCAACCCTGAATCACACATTTAAGTCCTGAGATTAAAGCAAATGATCACAAATGAAAGAAGGTATTGATTTTTTAACATATTCTCCTTGTCAGCAGCTTTAGGAAACGTAAGGAGAATAGTTTGGAGAATATGCGTACTGATCTTAGCTTTAAAGGGTTACAGAACTACGACCAACTGCTGATTGATGTTATCCTGTGACTGATGTTCATGAATCTTTTGTTCAAACTGAAAAATTATGTCGTTTGCCAACAGCTTTGTGCAGGAAGACCCAAAACCATTCTGGGGTCGCAAAGAGAGAGTGGGATTGCATAAGGTTCGGAGAAATTGAGTCGGAGAATGCCGCGTATAAGGACCTCGATTTCAAGAATCCCACACACAGGAATCCCAAGGATCACGATCATGAGAACAGTAACATCTTAATTTCTTAAAGAAATAGAAGTGAAAATATGTTAATCTGCTGATCTGAAGTGTTTCAATCTCCACTTTAAAATGATGTGTACTGAAAGTTAATTACTCGCTTGTTGTCTCAGCCGAAAGTTTTAATAAAGCACGCTTTACTTCACGTCATCAGAATGACTGGTTACTCTCGCTTCTGCTTAAGATATTACTTTTTGAAATCCAGTAATGAGGATATCTCAGTGTTTCTGCTTAGATATGACCTAATTGAAGCGACGTGTCTGCACGCGAGGGCGAGATGATTCAGCTTGGGAGCGACGCAACTGAGGGCGACATGGTAAGGGAAGCAAAATCAACAACATTCGCTTGTGAAATAAATTAAATGAACAACAGAATCAGTGTGGTATTTCATAACTCCCTTAAATTCCGATTACAGCAGAAGAGAGATAACAGTTTGACTCTTGGTCTCGTTAAGAAATAAACGATAACTTCCCAAGTTCTCAAGTTTTTTAATTAATTAAAAGTAATTATAATTTAGACATGTCCGATGGTTGTGATGCTCTGACGTCTCAGAGTCTCTCCTCCCCCATAGGCTCGGAAATAGTTTATAGAATCTCAACAAAGATGCTGAACACTGTCCAAAAAAGGCAGTCGCAGTGCAGGTGTAAACCACGGGATCTCACTGCACGATTACTACCATCATCTCTTGTTTTTAGATTCTCTGTTGATTCGCGCTCCAGCACTGTTGCTTTTCTCTGTTGTCAATGGTTGTTCTCCACTGGCCGAGGACCTGGCTAGGAGGTTGGGCACGGAATGAGTTTTGATGGCGGGAAAACGCACGTGACCCTCTAGATAAGGAATGAACAGTCCTTACAACACCGGCTTCAAGGAAAGCAAATCTAACTCACTCAGCGTTATCTTAAACGATCCTATTCTCATTTTGCGCCACTCTCCTCGTTGGTATTTTTCAATTCAAGGGTAAGATTTTCCAAATTTTTATGTTATTCAAGGACATTTTTCATCACATAAAATAAATCATTACAAAAACCGTGACCCTGCTACTCGTGTTCCCGAGATCAAGCGATCCAAAGAGACAAATTCCTCTTTATCAAATCTCACCAATCCTTCTGAATTACTGAATGCTAACCTGAGGAAAATGAATTCCTCCTCGGAGAGAGCCCTTCGGGTGACGATTGTTCCAGGGATTGCGAAAAGTGTGGACTGGACTGCGAAAAAAAAGCGGAAAGAACTTAGCCCAAACTAAAATCAGTCTCAAGTGATGGAGGCCGCAAAATCATAGAGTGTCACTAGCTAAACAAATTGATCCTTCCTCAACACTATATTCGAAAATGATAGACATAACTTACTATCAGAGGGAGGGTACGTCCAGAGAGAACCACGGGATCCATGTGGGGGAGATTGATAGAGGAGCGATTGTTTCTAGTGAAGAAAAATAACAGATAACATTACTTCTGAGAAGTAATGCCGGTTGCACGAGGAAAAAAATTACACGAGTTAGCCGGGGACAGAACTATTATTTTTGTCTTCATTTCAAAAGTCTAGAACGTTATCGGAGCTGGTTGACTTCTAGGACTGAATTTTGCATCAAACAATGAATAAAACAGCCAACCATTAGTAGATCACGAAACTCTACACTCCCTACAGATTAAGAGCGGGCAAAGCGGAAATGTCAGACTCGGACTTTCCGTCTTCTGAACCTGTAACGATGAATAATTTCAAGTCCTTATGCATGTCAACCAAAAAAAACCCGTTTTTTATTTTTTTTTATTTTTTTAGTGAAGATGCACTTAAACCTTTCATTAAGGAACAAATTTGTAACTTAAGGGTTCTTGATTACATTTTGTTACGTGCAGAGCTCCTGTGTCCCACAGGTACAAAGATGCATATCCCGCCGTTTTTAAAGCGTTATGAAGCTATATAAAGAACACTCCGATTTCGCACTGTATAGGTTTCTAAAACATGGTTCATTACTTTTGTGGCGAGGTTTTCTTAGCTCTATTGTCAGGAGAGTATTCCTTTCTGTCGGCCATGATATTTTTCTCTTCGTCTTCGTGAACAACGGCCTGCCTGTAAACCCAACTAGAAGCCGCACAAAAATATAAGGAGTGTTAAAAACTAAGAATAAGAATCATTTCAAATGACACAACGGGACAAGGTAAATTCACGAGGTAGAGCAGAGAAGCGAAGTTTCAAGATGAAGCGTAACAACAATAAGTGACAAAAGTAGTTGGAACGCATCCCACTAATACGTGGCCGGTCTAAACACCTCCGCTTAATATAATAAACAGAAATCTTGTAATTCATCAGTGATAAGTTACTTGAAAGCGCCCCTTTTCACCCAATCATTGTTGCACGAAATGAGCGACGATTTCGTTGACAACAGGCAACATTTAAATCGAAGAAGGAGGAGATAAATGAAAGCTATAGAAAAAATTCAATAGCAGAAGTATGTGCCAGGACTTTCGCCACTCGTTGTAGTCTCTACGGTAGTAGAAAGGTTAGTGTAAGGCACGGTGTTGTCCCATCACGGAGAAAACTTCCTTTAATCTTATTACCTTCGTGTTCCTAAATGCGCTGTATCATTAATTGGTAATTTTCCGTAACCCCATGATCTTTGCGCAGATTTATGAGAATTTTAAATGTAATTACTTGATAAAAACAAAAACAAAGCAGAACCATCTACAGCAAAGGTTCAAGATTAGTAAATATAAATGCTTACCTGTAAGTCATTTTCTCTCTATTTTGCTTTTCAGTAGTCGGCGATGTAGAATTCAGATGACTAGCCATAGCTTCACGCGCTGAAGAGAACAGGAAATCGAAAAGCACAAAAGTAATAGGTTTAAAATGGCATTAGACGGTTACCGCAACTCTTTATCAACTCTATATCTTTGTTGAACTCTGTGAAAATTTGATACCAGAGATCTTCAAACACCTGGTCCTCGTTAATCATCTTCCTGCGCTACATCACCTGTTACAAATTTTATTATTCTGATTGTTGAATTTTCCTTTGGCGGTGTGTTTGATCAACAGGCGAAACTGCCAGCCGTTCTCTGGCCTTACTTCACCAAGACAGCGATCAAACGTCTGGGCAAGTGCGAACTTTTCAAGGCCAAGGTGGCGCGCTTTGAGGCTGTCAGAACCAAGAAGCTTCACTGGAGTTTTAAATGGACAAACAAACCTCAAAGTCGCGCTGTTTTAAAAGAGTATATCTTTTTGATAAAGCTCAAGCTGACAAAATTGTAAATAAACAGGATAATTGTAATAATAGTTAAAAACTACACTAAGGTTCGAGTTTTCCTTTTCCCAACTTTCGTTTTCTTATGCAGATTTCTATTTCTTTTGCATATTTTGCGTGACAGCGGTAGTCTCGTGCTTTCCTTGGAAATTTTGGGCGGAAAATTGGCGCGCAGGCGGCTAAAATTGATCCCTCCTAGCATTTCCGACGTTTGACCGCTGTGTTTACCTAACCACAGACCATAAACAAATCAAAACGAAAAGAAAAGAAACAGCTACTTCTTGTCTCTTATCAAGCAAACCTATTTCCACACATGAATGTTGCAGCTAAAAGCAAAATCCGAATTTTTCGTCGCCAAAATAATCAGTTTAGCTTTTTAAGTAACAACCCTCACCCGCAAAATATTCCACTCTATTTGGCGGTTGCCTTCTAGTAGGCGGTGGTTTCACCTCCTGTAACTTATTGGTTTCTTCCAGCTTCTTGAATAAAGCCAGACGTTTATTGGGATCTCATGAAAATAGAAAAAAAAACTAAATTAATCAATGAATAAATAAACTATTCGAGCTCAAGATCGGACCTGGGTGAGGTCTGAATCCTACTGGGTAATGAGGGATCCACATCTTCTTTGCCCCTCAATTGTAACCAATGTTTCACAACTTTTTTGCAAAACTAAACTTCCAGTGCACACTATAATTTATCTATTTAGCACTTGGCTCACAGGAAAAGCTTATTTTTGCGTTTGTCGGACGTACGCAGGCAGGCTCGTGGCGAACGCGAGGAGTGAGTCACGTGCACGAAGAGAAGTGTCATCCTTTTCGAGCCACTCCAATTGCACGAGTCACGCCCTCGCGCGCCCTCGCGCGCCCCCGCGCGCCCCCGCGCTTATCTCCCTCTTAACCCCGCTCTTCTGAAAAACGCAAAAATGGCGTCCATACTGCAGGAGGAGAATCTCCTGTAGAAAAACGTAATGTTTAAAAGGTATGTCAAGGAAAAGCTACACAAACCGCCTCAGACGTAGTGGCGGGCTAAACCTTTCTCTTCTCTGAATAAATTTGACATTAAAACCTACCAAGCAGCTTTTTCCTTCTGGCGGGATTATATTTCATCTTTTTCGCTCTTCTCATCATCAGTTCAGCTGTCTCGGAACTCTTGAAACCCCTAAATGTAATAGTGGTAATAATGCTAGGTGTTCATAACATGGGCGTTATTAAGGTTTACAAAGGCCACAATAAGGTGGAGCATGCCTTGAACCAACAGAAATTCAAGCATAACCCCTCCGTGCAAGACTTTGATTGGCGCACTTATTTCAAACACAATTGTAAGCTAATCGGAGACGATAAATGGATCTTAGCACGTGTATACATGCGTCAAAAGCAGAAGGAAAATTCATCACCTGAACTGAGAACTTATTTTCAGTTAAGCTTTCAAGGCTTTCTGACCTGAATAAAAAACAGAATGAAAGAGGGCAACCCTGTCTTAAAACATCAATTACATCCTTACCACTCGCTGCTCAGTTCTTCTGCACGATGTGACAGATGACTTTGCAAGCCAGAAGTCATTGACATTTGGTCATGATCTATGGTTGCCTTGCCAACAGGCAGTTGATTGACATCGGTAATGGGTGAGTCTACTGAACGCCAGGCGTGACGAGGTTTTGGTGCCGTGGGTTCTGGTTGGAAGGCAGCTCTGGAATTCTTTTCGAGATATGTCTAAAAATGAACAAGGATTGTGGACATGATTACCACGTTTACTAAAATTATCAAAGGATAAAGATACGAGGTAAGAATGTGATAACATACTTATTTTCCACTATCTCGTATTTTCCCCAGAATTCCATCTCAGTAAAAAACTAGAAGCCGTTTCTTTGGCCTCAAATTTATTCTCCAATTTTAATTGATCTGCATTTTTTATTCAAATAATTTATTCCACGGCGTTTGATATGAGGAGCTTGGCAACATCTCCAGTTGTAGAACACATAACAAAACTATGAGGAAATTGTACAAAAGTTCTGATAAGAACCACAACTTCGTGGATTACAAACTCTGGTCGTTAAAGATTGAAGACGATGATTAGCAATGATGGCATCTCACTCATACCTTAATTGGTTTCCCAGGTGATTTTAACACTGGTCCCCTTGAACACAAATCAGAGCACTTCAAGTTAGTAACAATGAATTCGGCTTTTCTACACCTTTAAAATTTGTTCGCTTAATGTTTTTTAAATTACACATTGGGTTTTCCTTAACAAGTGTGAAGTGACGTTTAGAGAAGACTTATTGCCAGCTCCTGAGCCAAAATCTCAAAGAAAATGGTTTCGCTTTACAGGTAAGAGGGTAAAAAAAATTAACAAAGTTAAGCTCTATACCCGTTCCAACGGTGGTAGATTTCTCGTTTTCGAAGAACTTTGCCATGAACCCTTTGATCCCTAAGAGTGACTAACATCTATTTTCTCCTTACAACATCACGCCTGAATCATACATTATGGTCATGAGAATAAAGGAAATGATCACCAACTGTTAAACAAACTCTTCTTATCAGCAACTTGGGGAATGTACAGAGAACACTAAGGAGAATATGCATACTGATGTTAGAGTGTAAAGGGTTCACGGATAGTACGCGTGGTTTTTTACAGGGGGAAACAGCCAGGAAAACTACCACAAAGACATGGATAATCGAAAGAACCAACAAAAGCAATTTGTATTCGATTCTAAAAACAATCGAAAAAAACAGCCATTGATTAGAAGTTGTTACTTTGCCAATCAACCCGCTACCCATAATTCAACAGTTCTAAACCAACGGTAGAACGGTAAGCCAAGTCACAGCTGAGAAACAAACATATGAGCTTTCCTCGTGTAACCAAACAGACCTGGACGGAAGCTGTGGAGTTTCACTCGGTGTCCATCCTAGTTCTAAAACGTTTTCGTCAAAATCGAAAGCCGTAAGATCCACTTCTTCATCATAATCAAACTCTTCCTCTTCTTCATCGTCATAAAATTGAGCGGCCCTCAGAGCTTCATTAAGCCGGCGACGAACCCGCTGACCACGGAAATGCGCCTGAATGAGAAAGAGGAATAATTTGGTCTTTCGGTAAACAAGAGTTATCATGGCGGGGACTCTGAGGAAATTCACGACCACCAATATTTTTTCTTTTGGAAGAAAGCCTTTGGCAGCATGTTTTATAACCAGAACCATCCTTATTAATGCGCATTTCAGACGAGTGCCGTAAAACCAAACACCAAGGTTGTCATTGCGACGGCCAGCCATGAGATAGGAAAATAACAAAAGTAGACGATGAGAATTTAAAGCAAAAAAACATGCAAACTTCATGATAGGCAGGAAAGGGCGAGTGACCTGAGGCCGACTCCCTTTGGTTTCGCATTTGATTTGTCGAAAGAGAAGCGAATTTCTGGACTAATCACAGCACGAGGCAAAGAAAAATGAATGCGATCTCGGATTGCTTTTGATGGTTCGTCCATTTCCAATCTTGAAATTAATACCAGTAAAAGGAATCACTCGTGATGCTGTCTTCACCTGAATTATGGTGGCTGCAGAATTTCTTTTCGGATCCCATGGTTCCTTGGGTTGTTTCTTGAGTTGTGAGCGAACCAGGTAGCCCCGCCAGGCTGACTGAATGGTCACAGCTGCGAGCCACTGTGAATAAAGACAAAACTATCAATCATGTTTGACTGTTAAGTGAAGAGAAGGAAGAAGTGTTTCGTCTTACATTTTCCTTTGGATGAGAAATCTTTCTAGAAATATCCGAACTAGTTCTCACATCGAAAATTCTCACTAAGGGCACCTTCGCTATCATTCTAATAGGTTTGGACTTGCTGTCCAATCAAATCTATCCTTGGTATTTTTGTAAACTAAAGGTTCCGACTTCATTATCTAATCAACTCTTCTGAGGTGTTTTTGCAGAAACTCGAAAAGGTTCGAATTTAGTTATCCAATCAATAGCCTCTCGGTTCTTACAAGCACCTACAATAAACCATGATCGTACCGTAAGCCACCACGAGCAAAAGACGAAAGCTGTGAAGCACTTTTTCACAGCCAAACCGCTGGCTTTAACCCTTAAACTCATGAGTGAGCATGACAAAATTTCTATTTAAAATATCAAAATATCAAGTGATGAGAATGAAGAAAAATATCAATTAGGGAATTGATGGTTGATCCAATACCAAATTCTCCGAACTGCCATCGTGGGAATTGTATGCCAGACATTAAGGAGAAGTGCTAATGAGATTTTGAGAGTGAAAGGGTTACCAAACGGTTAAATTGTTTGCTTTATTATCAGTAGAACAATGAACTTACTTTAGTGGTGTTGACATCAATCAAATGCCTGATGTGCCATCCCCTCCAAAGCGCCTGGATCTTAGTAGCAGCCACATGTTGTTGTGCCCTATTTAAACAGATAAGTTCTCACTGATCTGCTGGTGTAAACAGCGACAAAAATCGAAGGAAAATCAAGATGAAAGTGTGCACAATTTTACGCGCAGCGCAGCGTGATGCGATATCACGTGACGCATAAGTTGAGTGCCACTCCAACAAAAGGAACCGCGCGAAAATAGTCGTCGCATAAAATCCGATGCTGCTCAGAATTCACGTTCTGTCAGATTTGTCGTTCATCAAAATTATCGTTTCGTCAAGTTGGGCGCAATGCCCTAAAACCCGCGCAATACGAAATAAAGGCGGAGTCACAATTTCAAGCTAAATTATCCGCTCCATACAAGTATTTAGTGCAATGGATTGTGAAATTTCGCAGTGACTCTAAATTCAGATATTAACTTTATTGTTAAACTTACAGAAGATCTATTGACTGTTTAGTTTTTCCTTCCTTTTCATTCCTTGCACTCGGCTGGTGCAGCTGTGGATGGTGCAACTGTGCCTTCCCTTCTCGGTTTCTGTCGCCGTCCAAAGTTTTCTCTTCCTTGTCTACACAACTTGCGTTTTCTGAACTGAAATTTTCGTGTTCAAGCAGGTGTCTTACCGCCAATTCAAATCTTTCCTGGTTGTGTTGACTCTGACATTCATAGAAAACAAAAAACTATCATTATTATAAACGATAACAACAACCACGACAACAACAACTACGACAACAACGACAAATGGAGAACTAAACATTATAAGTAAAGAAATAAAATACCACTTCTCGACCTTCTCATTTATCTTTCCTCAAAGAAATTCACTTTCACATTGCAGAACAGTAGATAGTTAAAAAAATCTGTCTTACCTTTAAGCGTAGTCTTCTTACAACACTTTCTGGGTTTCTTGCGTCCGTAATCTCACTGTTGGATAAAAATGTATACATATTGATACCTGGTGACTACTACATTATTTACATTTACGGTAAAAAATTCCCTGAATACAAGCAAGCAGTCCAGTCAAAACGTCTGATTTTAAATCTTGTTACTATGGCTAAAACAAAACCAGTCTAAAAAACAAAGGCACACAGGCGAGTAACGCAATAACCCTGAACCATTTGTTACGTCGTGGCTTCACCGTACACTGCACGTTTTGTTTCAAAGCCTACCCGAGTTCTTTTTCTTGCTTGGCCTTTAAATTATCCTGAGAATGGAGTTGGTTCTGACACATTTCAAGGAACACAGCTTGATTCTCAGCTGAAACCTGCGATGAGAGAAAACGCCAATTGTAGGCCAGTGAGACAACGTAAGAAATCATTCTTCAATGAAAAGATCTATCAAAGCTGTGGAAATTCTTCAGTTTGTTTAGAATTTTTCTTACTCTGCTTTTCTGGTGCGTAATCTCGTCGTCCAAACTCAATAGGTTTGGCAGGTATTCCAGTATCAAGGCTCTGTGAAGATGATGTGATATCTCAGTCAGTGTCAGCTACAACAATTTATGTTCGCAAACACCAAGAGTATGAATGTAGAACAAAATACCTGCAGTTAGGATCTTCATAAACAGGATTTTCTGCAGCCTTTAATGTTCTAATTCTGTGGCAGTTTTGTAACCCGTGGAGAAGACTGTCAGTGTCTGTAAGAAATGTTTATAATAAATAGGTGTGTGGTGAATCACTTCAGATAAAGATGGAAACAGAAACACAGTGAAAACTTCCAGAAGTCGATATCCACCAGACCCGCGCTAGTTTCTCCTAAATAGAGGCCTCTGAAAAAATTACTAGAGTACACACGCGTCAAAATGTTTTGAGACGTTTTCTCCTGGGTACCAATTCACTGTCAAAATATCAGTTTTGCAAGAAAAAATTAAAACATTAAGGAGGGGAGATTAAAATGGAAATAAACGAGGATGTTAAAATTGAACATGGATTGCGCACGACCACCTTGGCTAAATTTTTCTTTTCATGCACAATTGAAAAAATCCTTAATGTCCTGTTTGGAAAATACAAAATAGCAACAGTTAAAAACAGCAAGTCTTCGAAACAAACGTATTTTTCGAATGCAGCCGCCTCTCATTGTTAGAAGCCACTAAAAGTGCGAGCCAAATCAAACAAGTTGGGTTGCAATGTTCATACCTGATATTAGGTTGTTGCTGATATCCAAAAACTTCATCGTGATCAAATTACCGAGAGGCGCCAACCGAGATATGCTACAAACAAACACGAAATATCGATGAAAACCTCAGTAAATTACGAAGACAACTGTGTGACTGAATAAAAATACAACTACGAGCTTGTACAGGTGCTATGAGCGATCACTCGAAACTATCTTCAGAAAGTGCTTCGAGTTCTGGAGTCTCGACTTAAATCAACGGTGAGACGTTATTGGGGTTCTTGTACGGTGTTGCCACTCAAAGGTGTCCTTTAGTAAAACAGGAGTGAAGATGGGAACCTGAAACCTAATACATGATCCTAGCGGAGAAAGTTACAAATAAGTGTCAACAGTTTTTTGGAGGGAGGAAAGTCGAAGGACCCGGAGGAAAAAACCCAAGTGATCACAACGGCCGATCAGAACAAAACAAACACGCAAACTCCCTGTAGCGCGGGAAAACGCGGGTTACCACGTCGCGATCGATTTTAGTTTTGCATTTGATTGGTTGAGAGATTGGCGCGAATTTTCTAGATCAGTCAAAGACCGTAGTGAGGCAAAACCAATCCAACCATGGATTACTTTCCACACTCAATTGAAATTTGCTCTTACTCTCCGTCATGATTTCTTTGGTTCTGGTTTTGCGACACTCAATCGAAAAGACCTCCATTCTGAGGGGCGAGCGGGTTGGACAACATAATGAGGAATTACAAGAAGCATTCAGAACCCTGCACCTTGTATAATAGGTATCCTTATGGTCTTTTTGTTTCTCACCTGTTTTGGCTCACACTGAGAATCTGAAGCAAGGGTAGCCATGCAGTCGACAGGGCATCTAAGGAAGAGATGCTGTTATCATCAAGTCTAAGCTCTCTCAAGAGAACACTGTTTACAACACGAGGAGGCTGTGATGAATAAAAAGAAGTCTCTTCAAAATAATTATCACATGAAAAAATCAGGTTATCAACGTGCACATTTTGAAAGATGTAATCTACTCACTTCTAGTAAATTATTTGCTCGAAGATTCAACGTTTGAAGCAGCAGACAGTTGTCAATCTCATTGACACGAGCCAAGTGATTGTGAGCCAGACTTAAGTGCTGAAGTCTTGAGAGACAAGACAAACCCTGTCGAGAAAAAAAAGCTCAGTTATTGACTCTACAGTACTACTGAGAGAATATGGTCTACCAATCGGTCTTTTATCATTTTTTGCCCAAAGAGAACCTTCTTTCAAGGTCGTGGCCCAATTTGAATATTGCAGAAGTTCCATTCGCGAAGCATCCAGCATCACGACATCATCCGTTTCACATTACCTTGGTGTTTATGAGTTGATTGTTATCCATGAGTAGTTTCTGAAGCCTCCTGCAGGATGCTAGATCTCCTGCACAAGAAAGAAACGGCACTATGTTGGTGGACAGAAGACGGTTATTTCTTAAACGAAACATTCGTACCGAAACAACAAAAACCGTCAAAACAAGCCAAGAGTCCTTCGTGCAAGGATATCGATCAGTTACAATCGTTAACATAACGGTGAGCAGTCAACTGAGGTTACAGTTCCAAATCAGCAATTGAATGGTCGAAGGAAGATCGTAGACGTATTGCTAATTCACAAGCAGTTAACCGAAAAGAAATAGCAATTGTACGCCAAAGAACCTGATCCAGAGTGTCAAGAAGATCTTCTGCAATTCTAGTACTTCTCAACGGTAGCGCAACACCTCTTTTCCCGTTTCTCGTAGAACGAGTTTCGTTTCTCGCAAGTCACGACCCATTTCTCATGAAATAACTAAATCATTAAGGATGAAATACATAAGGAGTAAGAAACAGTTTCTTCTTCACTTTTCGTGGTTTGTCCAAGGCCCTTCTTTCCTTTACTGTCGCTCGAGGAGGGAGAAAAGCGAGCCACCGCGCGAGAACGAGCGGAAACATGAAAGCAACATTCCTGGCGTTCGCGTTTGTTTAATTTTCTGCGCTTCTTGATTCGCACGCGCAAAGAGTTATGATCTAAAACAAAGGTCTGTGAACAAACTTTAATTTGCTTTGCAAAATTTCACATCAAATTTTGACGGCCGCTGGTGCGAAATGAGACTCAGGTCACGAAAAAAGGATATCGCGTCTAACGATATGCAGATACCTTTCCTTTGAACAGTATTCAGCGTATACAGTGTACGCGCCATTAATAATCATAACATAAATGGTTCTATTTCTTTCTTTCTTTTTACCTATTCTGGTAATCTTGTTATTGCTCAAGTCCAAAGACATAATGGAACCAATTCCTTCTAATCCATGGACAGAGGACAAGTTGTTGTTGGCAAGAGATATGTCTTCCAGCTTAGGAAGATCTTTAATGTTGATTGCTTCAATGTTGTTACCCTGAAATGAAAGTGGGAGCAGAAAGCTGACTTATCACTTTCTGTGTAACCAGTATCTTAATTTTGGGAGTCTGTGGGTTGATTCGTTGGTGGAATTATTGCACACAATGTGTTTAATGTAACCATGACGACTAAATGCAATACTGATGTCTAAGGTTTGGGCATCATGTGCGAAAGGTGTACTGGCTGAGAGACGCACTTCGTTCTGCGGCTTCTTAGGACAGTCATTTTTTTTTTTAAACAGACGTTTTTTTATCTTTCTCTACAGGTTAAATTGCGTCTTTGTTTTTTACAGTTAATTCAAACGGATATTTTATATAGTACAGTACTTTGCTTTTTTACAAAACACTATCAATTTTTTGGTAAGGTAAAGAATCCGATCCTACCGACGCGTCGGCCGACACACTACCAAACACACTACCTAATTTTTTTGGTCTTCAATTGGCTGCCGTGTGATTATGAAGACGGCTGGGAACTGACACGGAGTTCCTTACCTGTAAATGAAGTTCTTGTAGTTCTTTGCACTTGTCTAAACCTTCAACTACCAACAATCCGCAGTTTTGAAGTGACAAAGACCTCACTTCTGGACACTGACTAAGCCCTTGCATACTACAGCTTGGAAGTTCGTTGAGTGCGATACACTTCACCTGGAAAAAATTAACCACCCTTCATCTTGATCTAATATTCCGCTTCCCCTAAAACATTCTCACGATTTTGAACGAAATACCTGGTTAACCGGCTGGTAGCAGTAGCAAACTACTTACTCTATGGAGAGACGTATTGGAAGGAGATGACATCAAAAGCTGTTCTTCAGTTAAAGCAGGAAGATGTTTGCCAGCAGAAAGTGCTCTTCTATAAAGATATAATTCAAACAAGAAAATTACAGTATTTTTTAGTCATTTTCGTTGAAATTTGAAATTTTGTCTTAGAAAGTAATTTGTTATCTGTTAATATCCTTTCCTTTTCCCTAATTATACACGATTACCCTTTCGTTGCTGAATTTAACATTAGGGTCGTAAGCATAAAGGAAACGATTGCCAACTAAGAAAACTCTAGATTGTTAAATAAATTCTCTTCATCAGAAGCACAGCATAGTTACAGTAGTGCAGTAGAGAGAACATGTTTACTGATAGTGGAGTGTAACGGGATGCTAGTGCCTTCTAGTTTAACTTTCCCATTTTAATTTCTTCCTATTTTTCCAAACTAAATTTCTTTAATTTCCTCCACAGCACAAAATATTGTGATGTGCCACATTTGAGTTTCCTCTTGCAGCAAATTTCACTGTAAAACAAATATGTATTACCTTGGTCTTGACTTCATAGCTACAGGATGAGTTCTCCCCTCTGAAGTGGATACTGTGCTAGAAAAACCAAAACAATGTTCTGTTTGTGGCTTTGCAAACTAATTTTCAGTCAGTAAGGTGTTGGCAACTTGCCATCTGATACATTTTACATATGAATGAGCATGCGTCAATGAGTGGCAAAGGTACATGTAATTAGCACCCTTCCCCTTAGAAGATGGTCAACAATTCTCCACCACACATAATTAACAGAAATCTTGTAATTCATGTGTAATAAGTTTCTTGAAAGCCCTCCTCTCCCCAAAACTTACACTTGTCCCCCCTTTCTATCTCTCCCCCTCCCTTCTTTCCCTCTCTCTCCCCCCTTGCCTCTCTCCCCCCCCCTCTCTCCCCCCTTTCCCTCTCTCCCCTTTCCCTCTCTCTCCCCTCCCCTTTCCCTCTCTCTCCCCCCTCTCCCCCCCCCTCTCTCTCTCTCCCCCTCTCTCTTCCCCCCCCTTTTCCTCTCTCTCCCCCCCCTTTCCCTCTCTCTTCCCCCTCTCCCTCTTTCCCTCTCTCTCTCTCCCCCCCTTCCCCTCTCTCTTCCCCTCTTCCCCAAACAATGTTACCTGGTGGTTTCCACTGTTTGTTTGACCCTTTAACTCTCAAGATCTGACTGTCAATTCTCCCTTCTCCCCTCTACAAATTTCTTCATAAATTAGTTGCAATAATTTGGTTTTTGATCAAGATATCAACTTCAACTGGATAAGTTTGAGTATTCTCATCACCCATTTGCTGGATAAAGTATGAATATTATAGAGAGAAGTTACATGTTAATCACTTCCAGGAGTTAACATCAGCACCAGGAAACAACAAAATAGGTGAGAGGGGAAAGATAACTGCAAGTTACAGAAAAAATTCAAAAGATATTAGAGCATGCTAAGACATTTGCCACTTGTTTTTTGCTTCTGCAGCAGCTTGAGAATGCATGCACCTTTCAAGTTAGATCTGATACTTGTACAAGTAGTAATTTTAATCACTTTTTTTAGCTGGTTTGCAAACATTTGTTGTGAAGAACATACTTTCTTAAATGCTGAAACATCATCAGTGCTGCAAAATATGAAATTATGTTCAATTTACCTCCAAGGAGTATGTTCTTTTACCCACTGCAGTCTCCTTGCCTCTAGTTCTTTTGTTAATGCCAATCTTGTTGAGAGTTTTGTTTCTTGTCCAGATGTGTTAGCCTGCTCCAATAACTTTTCCCTTTTCTCTTGTGGGATTTCTTTGTATAGTGTTTCAGACTTCTGTTGATCTGAGAATCCTTTGGCTTCTTGCATTAGTTTTTCATCTCCTTGAATCCTCTCTCTTTCCATTTTCTCTTTCTCCTCTTTAGTTTTCAATTCTTCCTCCAACACTTTCCTCCTGTGCTCTTCTTTGAGTCTTTCCTCTTCCTCCCTTCTCTTTCTTTCGTCCTCTTTTCTCATATTTTCTTCCATCTCCCTTCTCTTTCTTTCTTCCTCTTTTCTCATATTTTCTTCCATCTCCCTTTTCTTTCTTTCTTCCTCTTTTCTCATATTTTCTTCCATCTCCTTTTTCTTCCTTTCTTCCTCTTTCCTCTTGTTCTCTTCTGCTATCCTTTGTTTCTCTTCTTCAATTTTCTTTTGTATTTCTTCTCTCTTTCTTTTCTCCTCTTCTTCCCTTTTCTTTCCCTCTTCAATTCTCTGTTGTTTCTCCTCTGCTTCTCTCTGCTTTTCTTCTTCCTCTTTCTTTTTCCTGGCTTCTTCTTTCCTCCTCTCCTCTTCCTCAATTCTTCTTTTTTCCACTTCTTCCATCTTTTTTTTCTTCTCCTCTCTTAATCTCTGCTCTTCTTTCAGTTTCCTTTCGTTCTCCTCCGCCTCTTGTTTCCTTCTTTCTTCTTCTTGTCTCAACCTATTTTCTTTTTCTTCCCTTCTTCTCTGTTCATCTTCAAGTTTCTTTTTCTCAGCTTCCTCTCTCAGCTTTCTCTCTACCCTTTCAATGCTGTCAAGTTCTTCATTTCTTTTCTTTATCCTCTCTAACTTCTTAGCTTCCAGTATTGGTTGAAACTGTTTCCTTGTTCTTAATCAACAAATGATTCATAGAATTAATAATTAATGCACTTTGAATATATATCTTTGGAAAAGCAATTTACAAATTCCAACCTTAAGGCTACGATTATAATTTTATACCTAAAGCCTTTGTAAAACTTCTGTAGTTTGGTAGCAGCAACTTCTCTCTTCCTAAGTTGATATTCTTGCTCCTTTTTCTGTAAATTGAGTTAGGCAAAACTTTAATGTGGGCAGGAAGTACAATCAACATTGTCATTAAGATTAACATGTTTTGCAAGATAAATTTATAATCATAAAAATAATAATAATAATAATAATAATATTTTGAGAGGAAGCCTCCAATCACCTGAAGGTGGTTTTCAGGAGGGTCCGCATAAAAATTTAAAAAATAAATTATATTAAAAAAGCTAGGACTAAGACTACAAGCCTAAGTTTAAAACTAAGAACTGAGACTAAAAATACTAACTAGAGGTTAAAATAGTTGAATAGAAAAAGTTTCAGTATGTGATTAAAAATCGTTTTTGGCATCAGTCTCTTGAGCTCACTCGACAGTGAAGTTCAATCATCGATTGCTTTATAATATGTTTTGTTTCTGCCCCATTCTGTTCTTGGCCTGCTGACTTAGGGTATGTAACCATTTCGGGTATTACAATTTGTTATATCAACTGCGTTGTTAATGTGAATTGGCCAGCACCTCAGATTTTCGTGTATCAAAAATAGAGTACAATCTTCGTACCTTTGTCTCTTCCAAAGCTTCACTCTGTTTCCTTTTCTCTTCCTCTATTGTCCTAATCTCCATCTACAATTTAATCAAATGAAACCTCTGTAAACACTTCTTGGCAATAACTTAACCCTTTAACTCCCAGATCAAATTTGTAATTCTCATTACTGTAAACCATATAATTCCTATAATGTTAGTTTAGAGAATTTAGTATTGGATCAACTAATTATCCCCAAATTGATTTTTTTCTTTATTCTCATCACTTATCTGGTTGATATTGTATTGATATTGTATTGATATCGTATTGATATTGTATTGATATCGTATTGATATTGTATTGATATCCCACAGGAAGATTCCAAAGCTAACTTTTCTACTATTGGCCCTTTGTTAAAGAAAATTGTGGGTAGTGTGTAGTTTACATACAGAAAAATTGAGCATAGAAAAACTCTTATTAACCCTTTAACTCCCATGAGTGACCAAGACAGAATTTCTCCTTACATTATCAATAAAAAATCAAGAAGACAAGTGATGAGAACCAAGAAAAGTATCAATTAGGGGATTATTAGTAGATCCAATACCAAATTCTCAGAATTAACATCTGAAGAATTGTATAGCAGACAGTAAGGAGAAATACTAATGAGATCTTGAGCCAGTCATGTTGTCAGTGTTACCTGGAACTGCTCCTCCATTTTTTGAAGTTTCTTCTCTTCCTCCCTGGCTTCTGCCTCCAATTTAGCTTTGAGAACCTATTAAGTGGAGTAAAGTTAATATGAGTACACAGACCTTTGGCAGCTGCTTCACACAAATCATAAAGCACAACATCATTAAACCTGCTCTGTATTAAAAAAATGTGACATCTACCACGTCATTTGCATTACACATGTTAGAGATGCTATGTTAGTTTGCACAAGCTTCCAGACTTCAAGTCACTAACAAACCTAGAGAACATGGTTTTTACGGAGTGTACCTCTTGTTCCTTACGTAACTTCTCCTGTGAAGCCTCAAATTGTAATTGTCTCTCATAACGAGCTTCTTGTTCTCTTTTACGTCGTGCCTCATCTTGTTGCCTTCTTTCTTTGTACCACAACTCTCTCTCCTGATCTTTCTTGGCTTGTTTCTCTTCTAAATCTCTTAACTTTTGTTTAGCATTTTCCTCAAGGGCTTGAATTTCTTCAATGATGGCTGATAAATGATTTTAAATCACTAAAGTTAGATTTACAATCACAGACATTTGGATATGTGTACTTCATGTATTTTCTTGGGGAAAAAGAAATTGTGCTTGTAAATAAGGTGACCATCCCAGAGAAGTGGCCATAAGTAAAGGTTCATGTATAAAAATATCTTAAAATTTATTACCTGGTCTGACAATATCCAAGGCAAATTGATTGTCCTCTTCATTCTTGTTGTCTCTTGCTAACCTCTCCCTTTCCTCTTTTAGTTCTGTTTCTTCAAGTTCTGACAAAACCTAATAGATAGCAACAAAATGCAACTGGTTGGTATTCTTTAACTCTTTCATTCCCAAGATGTCATTAGTAATTCTCCTTATAATTGTCATACAGGTCTTATAATGTTAGTTCAGAGAATGTGGCACTGGATCTATTAATAATCTCCCATTGATATTTTTCTCTATTCTCATCCCTTTTCTGCTTGAAATTGTATTGATATTGTAAGGAGAAATTCTGTCTCGGTCATGCATGGGAGCTAGAGGGTTAAAGGAGCAATGGTGCAGTAACAATATGGCTGCTTACTTACATATAGATGTACCAAAAGCATATTCAGGATCAAGGAGAAGATGTGCAATACCAAACAAAAATTGCAAGACTTGCCTATACATATTTAAGAACCTTTCAAATTTCTCTGGTTAATACATGTAGAATCAATCAGCTCACCCTATCTCTAATGACAAGAGGATTTTCAGAATAATCATCACCAAGTTCTTCCTTTATTCTCTGCGAGAGCAAAGCTTCATCTTCTTTCACTGAACTCCCTGTGGAGAAACATTTACACAATGTATGTGCACATACCTATAGTCACATCAAATACAACAATGTGACAAGATTTCATTGATGTCTAGCCCCTTTACATCAGCTTCATCCTGTGTAAAAATCACCCTCTACTGAATGCGAGGGTTCTCAGAATAAAAACTCTGAAAGTTTGTTAAGATCAACAACAAACACACTTGACCAAATTTAATAAGTTACAAGAATCTGTTAAAATATCTCATTTAAGCAACAGCTTACAGACAACATCATATTCTAACATACCAAGAGGTAACTTCTCCAAGATTATCTCACATTCCTTCACTTCTTCTTCAGCATTCTGTGTCCGTGACTGAAGAAGTAGCAGATATTCCTGGATAGAGTCTGGAAAGTTTTCCCCTTGAGACTAAAATCAAGAGGGAAACATATGAATCAATACTCAAATGTTTCACTCCAAAGCTCTCAGTAGTTCTCTTAACTGTCTGCCATATAATTCTTACTATGTTGGTTTGAAGAATTTGGTATTTGATCAACTAATACTCTTCTAATTGATATTTTTTTCTTTATTCTTTTCTGCTTGATAGTACATTGGTATTACAAGGAGAAATTCTGTCTTGGTCTCTCACAGGAGTTTAAGAGTTATGTTAGCTAATTAACTAATATTTCCCATGTTTTCAACCATCTGATTAGTAACAGATCACAGATATAGTCATTTTTACATCATCTGCAGTCTATTGTTTACCAGACACTCGGCAGCATAGAATATATTTGTTTTATGTAACAACAAAACAAAAATTTTTCAATGGTGAAGTCATCTGTGTCTGTCCTCCAAAAAATCAAAGGTAAGAACCAATCTTAGTGCGGGTTTGATTCATCAGCTTATCATAAAACACACTCTAGTGAGCAGTTCCAGTTTTTAAGTACCTAACGAACTGAATTCAATTTACAGCGTTAAAAACCTTTTTTCTATTCAAACCCACCTGCATAAGCGACTTAAACTCGCACAATAAGAAACAATATGGTTAGATTAAACTCGTTTATCTAATCATGCATAATTCAGCTCCGCAATAATGAATGTGATCCCTGTGTTTACCAAAACTTCTATTTCCTTTGCTTGCTGAGCATAACCGTATCTGCAGTGTATTTATTTGCAGTGAACTGGAAAGGCAAAAATCTCGAATATAAATCTAATAATGAAATTACGATCAAGTTAACTCATTAACCTGTTCAGTTTTGACACAAATTAAAACTGTAAATTACCTCGTCTGTTTCCAAAGTTGATGTCTCATCTTCAACATCTTCGATATGCAAACTGTCATCTTCAAGGGCGTCGAGTTCTCGCTGAATTTCAGCTTCAATGTCTACTTCATCGTCATCTAAGATGCAAGTCATCCTCTCTGAACAAGACACATCATAACTTCGCTCTTTTTTTCTCGTAGAACAATCTTTCGTTCATATCAAAACATCGCCGTAGCTACCGTCACATTGCATTTCAGTTACATGATATCCTTTATTCTTCTTAACTATCCCCGCTGAAATCCTCGCTGGCTCCAAATTTTTACTACCAGATCTAACAACGATCGGTACTGGTCGGGAGAGGATTGGGAAGGGTAACGTACGGTTGTGGCGCCAAAAGGATTCGTCTCGATAACGCAAAAACAAAAAAAACAATTGTATTGAAGAAACTACGACCTTCTTCATGAGTAAACCAATTTTTTATTGTTTTATCCCCAGAAAGATAGTGAATCAACAGTTCCAAAAGCGATTGTTCGTGCGCTTGCCTGTGTGGTACAACGAAGTCCTGTAAAGAACTGTTTCCGGTTGATAACTTTGATGAGACTGTGATGATGTCTTTTCTGTGATTATTAAAACGTCAGTCACTTTCATCAACAACATTCCTGACGCTCTCCACGATCGACTGCTGCCTTTGATGTCACGCAACGCTTTGGCAGCGGGGGAAGAGGGCAAATGAGTGATGCGTCGCGTGACATGCCATAGAACGGTCTCTTAATCTCTTTTTGTTTAACATCTTTCTCTACTATTTAGTTTTTTCCTCGCACTGAATAGAATTTAAGAAGGAAGAGAAAACAAGTGAATACAAGACGACAAGTCTGGATCCATAGGTTTTATTAAAATACAAGCGAGTCGTTCCCGCGAGTTCTTTGTGTAAGTTTATATAGTACGTAGCTAGTGCATGAATGGTTCAACTTTCGTTACCGATGTTTAAATGTAATTCATACAAGGTTTGTAAATGGCTATCGGAAATAAATTGTAGCGTTGCAAGAAGATCCACAGGACTCCTTTCTGACCAAGAAAGGTTGAGTGGCTGACACAAGCTAAATTTCGCCTTTGGTTCCATAATTCAGTTTCTCTCTTTCTCCTTATTTTTTAAATTTTTTTTTTTCACTTTTTTCCAGTCGTTCTTTTTTTATCACTGCACGATGCTAACTCAATTTTAAATTGTTGAGAATAACTTAAAAATGTAAGTGTTACAGGTTTTTTGAATCCATTATTTAGGATTTCTCCCCTTTCTTTTTTCTCTTGTGTGTACGCCAGGTTCTTTGTATTACCTCTGCCGCATTGAAAAATTTCCGAATTTCCATTCTTCTCTTTTTCTCTTCCCGACTTTTGAGAAGAATCACAGAGGTGAGATTTGGTTCTTCTCCAGCCTTGTTACCTGTTGCTTGGCCTGATCCCACTTGGTGAAAATTCTCCAAATTTGTTAATTTATCTTCTTCGTCGTTGTGGTCAGAGTGATCGAGTGCGACCGAAACTCTTTCGGGAACCGTTTCGTCTGGAGGTAATGTAATGACCCGATCCTTCTCGCTGAGATTTGCAACGTGTCTGTCCAATTCCAAAGGAACACTCGAAGAGCTCCTCGACACGTTAGGTTCATTATTTGGTGGTTTTACTTGCTTTTTTGACTCTGTTCTCTGGATACGTTTTGTTCCACGCAAGCTACAAAATCCGTCAGAGTCTATACGACGTGGAAATGTCGACTTGTGGTACAAAGCACGGTGAGAATTACTCATGTATTGGACAAGCGGGCAAGCTTTGCTCGCATTTTCCAATGTTCTGCACTTCACATCTCTGCTGAGTGGTAATCTCTTGCTAGAATCTCCTCTCTTGGATAAAGAACTTTGAGAACAGGAAGGCATTCTCCATGTCTGGTGTGAGCAACAACTCGGCGCTCTACTCGACGCGGTGGGTTTGCCTCGGAGAACTCTACAATGCGAAGAGGAAGTAGACGAGATTGAAGAACCCGTTGGAGTACGGCAAAGGTATCGTACGTCACTTTCTGGCTTCGGTAACGTCGTCGAAGACGGCCTTGACAAGCTGGAATCGTAAACGGATCTAGAGCAGAAGCTTGCAGTGGAAGGCACTCGCTGGTGTGACTGTGTACACGATGAGAAAACCAAGCTTTTCATCTGCTCTCTTCGCGATAACAATTTTTGACGAGTACACTGCTCTTTGAGCTTTAATTTCTCAACAGTATTAGCTGGTACTTGATGGCTGTACTGGTTGGGCTTAAAGACAAAAAAGAAAAGTACAATTTACAATTGACGGAGCCGAAGGTAATCCGGAATACCATAGAATAAAGAGGGTAAGTTTCAAAAGAAACTCTGGTGATGCGTCGGTGAGGGGCGGGTGCGTCGGTAGGGGGGGAGAGGGTTACAAGATTATTTGGTTTTTGGCCACCGTAAGAGCTTCTAAAGCATTTGCATTATCAACTCAATAGAAAAAACCACGCTATCTCGGATTACGCTGTATGAGTGGTCCAAAAAAAACAAGAAAACCAACCAGTTTTTATGTAACAGGTATAAAGGAGAGTGTGAAATAGTTGCGAGAAGTTTGTCCCTGACTTGCTAAAAAGAAAGGGTACATGTTTCCGAGAGAAATCGGAGCGCGAAGTTACACAAACCAAGACAACATGCATCGTTTTTCTTTCTGCATTAAGTTGAAATTTCTCTAGTTCAAAACAAACTAAACAAACAAACAAACCTGGGACAGCTGTCTGGCTCGTTCAGTGTGTTTCAAATCAGCAAGTTTCTTTATCACTGAAGACAGCTTACTCTCCACATCACGCTGCATGAAATACGAGAATAATCACCATTTTAAAATTATTGTGAATGTGGTTTTCAGTACATTTTATCTTTGGCTTCACCAGCTTGAAACTGAACAAGAAATAGAAGCGTTTAAGAAACTGTCTCCTTGGGGCTTTTTTCTCTTCGCTGGAATGAAGAACGCTGAGGCCTCATTTACAACAGCTGGGGTTAGGCTTAAAAATTATGTTTCATTGTGCAGCACTTTTACTTATTGTTTGGTCAGTAAAGCTCAAAAAAAAGGTACGCCCGCGTGTAACTGGGATCCATTTGTAATCTTATCTAACTGGTAATCCTTTAATCCCTGGGTGTGACTAACAACTAATTTCTCCTTACAGTAGCAGTGCTGAATCACACTTTGAGGTCACGAGAATAAAGGAAGTGATCACCAACCAAAGAAGCTTTTGATTGTTACACAAATTCTCCTAGTCAGCACCTCAGGCAATGTATGGAGAACTGTATGGAGAATATGCATATTGATGTTAGGGTGTCGAGGGTTAAGAGGAGAAGACAGAGATTCGTCAAGCTCTCATTGACTCCTTATCTCCTTCGCCGCTGTTCTTGCACCAAAAAAGGAGTGCGATGAAGATGATGGATTAGTCTAAAGAGTAGGCGTTATTTCTTTTACGTTTCAAGACGGATGCGAGCAAACGCGTAGAAAACGCGAGGGAAGGCATGAGGAAAGGAACGTATCTCGATCCTCGCGTTTGCCTCATACTTTCCTCGAGCTTGCTTCGCACTCCCCTCACGCTTGTGTACCTATGCCTGAACTCACAAAATGATACTTCTGCAGAGCAACGTTGAAGGTTGTCTTATGAACGGGTGAGTATTAATCTAAACTAAGGTCCTACGTGTTGTAACGTTTTTTTTTTTTTTTTTCCAATTTCTTATTCATTAGTTCTCTAACCTTCTTTTTCTCCAATTGAAACTCCGCGATTTTCTCATTTTCTAATTCTTCCGGAGGATTGCCTTGTCTCGACATCATGACAAGACGGGCGCGCTGATCCATCAACCGAGACGTAAATGTTTTGCTTTTGTCCCTGCGATTTATCAAAAGATAAAAAAAATCAGAAAAATTTGACACTAGACAAGAATAAGTAAACGGTAAGCATGGAAAGCGTACTTGAAAACCAAACAGCGTGTGGGTCACGCGACACGTTTAAAGAATTTGGGCACATGTAGGTTTGAGTTTCAAGTAATTATCTTGAAAAGGGTACGCTATTCAGTGTGTAGGAATATTTCTGACAAGTTATTCTGATGACGTTTTACTTATGGAAATGTTTCAATAAAATACAATTCCTTTTGTTCGTAAGTTCGTATGATAATGATGTAAAATGTGGAGCTTCCCTTCGAGGGAGGCATTATTGATTCAACGAACCGCAAGCAGTATTCCAGAACTCACCAAAGCGTCTCCCTCTCAAGTTCGAGCTCAGCTATCGTTACATCTTTTTGTTCAACTGGCTGATCAGTCCCGACAGACGCGTCCCTTTGGTGGAGTTTCCTTCTCTCTCGAATTTTGTGCAGGCTGGTCTGAGTACAAGGCTGACCATTTTCAGGCCCCGGCCGCTGAGGGGTTCTGTAAGGGTAGTCTGGAGAAGAATATTCCTTTCCATCGGTCGTTGGTCCCTCGTGTTCAGTGGTGAAAGAAATGCCACTTTCCTGGGTGGTAATACTTTCTCTGCAAGAAAGTATGCCTAGTCAGGTACTACAATGACATTCTTCATTAAGACATCTCTATGCAAGAGACACTTTCTCATCCCGTTGGTTCCACAGGATATCGTAAATCAAAGCTTCCTGCAACAACCAAGGTAACAAGCCCAGCAAACAAAGAGAGTCCGTAGAAATGAAAAAAAAAACAGAGAAAAGAAGGAACGAAGGAACGAAGGAACGAAGGGACGAAGAAACGAAGAAACGAAGAAACGAAGAAACGAAGAAACGAAGAAACGAAGAAACGAAGAAACGAAGAAACGAAGAAACGAAGAAACGAAGAAACGAAGAAACGAAGAAACGAAGAAACGAAGAAACAAGGAACGCAGTGCACTAAGGAAAAAAAGCAAAGACGGATTTCAGAACGGACAGAAGGACAGGAAACAACGCAATGGGCTTATGATCCCAATCAGGTGTCACAGTCTGACCAATGGCTCCTTCCTTTAACAGAATTCAAACTACTATCACGCAGCTATTTATTTTTAGAAACAAAATCCATAATGATCGCACTTCGCCACAGTACCCCCCCGCCATTTAAAGCTGAAGATTCCTAGAAAACAAAGAGCAACATTGCACAGGGATAAAATTAGTTCGCTATTCCAGAATATTGCGGTCTCAGTGGAATGTGGCAATACTTTTGTGGCTGATTGCATGCATCCCGCCTTAGTGCGCTTTCTGTCGCTGCGACCCATCACTCTTATCATAACTAGCTTATAAAATAGCCAACTGGTTTGTGATTCATTTTCCACAGTTAATTCACAAGTCAATCATTCTGTTATTGTTTAAAAATTTGCATTAGTTCTCTCCCGCACAGTTGAGAACGAAGAGTTCAAGCAAATTGCAAATGCTTGATCTCCTCACCAATTTCACCCACAACTTTAATCAGGAGGGGATGTTCCTGAACTCAAAAGTAAAGCGTGCCGACGCGTCATACTCCGGCCTGTCGAAACAAGTTACGCATTAAAGCGGGTAACTTTCTAAAGAGCGATCGACGAAGGGTTAACGATCGAAACATCAGCTTTGAAACTCTTTGCGGTGGCCAATTTACGTTATCAACTCAGTTGATAATACTAAATTACCAAGTTACGCATTAACACCAGCTCATAGAGGCAAACCCTTTCCAAATTGACTTGAATAACCACGTCATTCCGGTTCGAAGGGCAATTTGAACTGTCTGCATGTGTTGGTGAGATACATCTGGAAATTATTTCAATGGGGAACATTGATACAATTCTAAACTACCTCATATCCAAGATAAGCCTGATAATCTTCACCTATCCCTGACCTGAATGAAGGGCCTGATCCAGGATAAAACTAAAAAAGGAAATAAGCTACTCTGCCAACATTAAATTTGTTTTGTCGGCAGTTTCCGACACAAGCCTTATTATAAAAAGTTATTGTCTTCAATCTCGATCATTCCAAGTAAACGCTCGGTACTATACTTCAAGTTTCCAGTGTTACAGAAGAGGTATACTCCAAAGTTCTAGCAATTTTCAACTCGGTTCGAAAAATTGTCTTCGAACGTGCTAGAAATTGGACCAAATGTGATCATTATATTAAACGTGCATTGCTAGATTTTTCTGTTTTAGAGGAGAAAATTCTTGTATGCTCCAAAGTTCTGGTGCATTTTACCTCCGTTCGAAAATTCTCGTCAAAAAACGCGCCATTTTGAAATCAACCCTGTGTACCAAAGCAAATGGCGCAGTTAACACAGCTGGTGCGAGTGAAGAATGCATTTTTGTGCAGTTTCGCATTGTTCAAGCATTTACCCGACAAACAAATAAAAAAAAAAAACATTTGTGGGATTAGCATGATTAGCACAACTGAGGATAAGGTAAAGTTACCCTTTCAAATCTAAAAACAGAGTCGGTGTCATCATTAAATATATTTTTTTTTTACCAGCAGGAGATAAACAGGACGGTTTCTTCAGCATATTCCTCTTTAAAACGAGAAAATTAGGCGCAGACGTTGAGGAGAAAGATCAAGAAGTAGAAGATGTTTTTACAACAACAACATCAGACGCGTGTCGGGAAACTTCAGGCGATGAAAGAATACATGACTCAGATTACGACACATCAAGCCACGTCAGATAGCACGAGTTGTACTTTGATCACGATATCGCCGCTTCACACATTTTTAGCATCTGTTTATAGCAGACCTTAGACTGCCACTTTTAAGCGTTTTGGTGAAAGGAAACAGTTTTAATTCTATGAAAGGACGATTGTTTAGCATGTTGAATTTATAATGAATGTTACTTTGAGGGTCGTATTCAGAGAATGGTCAGCGAGGAAGCCACCCACAACATGGTATATTCACTGGAGCCGGGTTTGAGCTTTCTACTAACCGTATTACCAGCATCTCCAATGGAGGAGTAACAGCGTTAAAGGTATTTATTACTATAAAAAATGATTTCTGTGTTAGTCCGCTTAGATATTCCGGTTTTAAGAGGTTCGCATGTCCTTTGTGTGATTATTGCTCAATATTTTTAAGTAAATATATATCTGGGCCTTCGAGTTGTCCCTGCCGAAATATTAATCTAATGCAATCCTTTTTAAAGGACTCAAAAGTCTATCAGAGTTGCAAAATATAGACTGTAACAGGCGGTTTAGAATTCTTTTAGTAATACCGCCATCTAAAAAAAATATCCGCTACGATTGACGAGAGTGATAAGCTTGTATGTACCTTGGAAAGGACACGAAAATCACAAGCATTTCATTTAAATAAGTTGTTGCAATGTCTAGAACGTTACATGCAACTTAAAGTAATCAAAATGTCATTTATGTAACTATCAAAGACGACTAAATCTACGAACAGGGTTTGAAATATAACCTATGTTTGAGAAAAGTTGTTCAAAATAATCAAAAGCGAATTTCCTGACGGCATTCTTTGCAACCGATTAAGGGTGTAACCACATTACTTTCTGAAATGCGGTTTTCCTTCCAAATCCCAAGGTCAATGCCGATAATTTCTCAAATAATACAGCCTTCATGCCTAATCGAGACAAATGACTAGATTTCTTTCTTGATCCACACGGCGTTATTGCGTCTTTAAGATTACAACAAAAAGGAAAAAGAAAGAAATGGTTTACTTTCCTGACAAGCAAGAACTAGACGAAGATCACACTGAATTTCCACTTAACACGTTTTTTTACGGTTATGCGATGCATTTCAACAGAGTGTTGTGAAACAACAACCAAAGAAACCACAATGACCAATCAGAACAAACGTAAATATTACAGCGCATTTCGTTCGAGTGACGTAAAACCAAAACCAACGTAATCGCAATGTTTAATAAAAGAAAGAAAATATCACATGGAACGAGTGAGACCTTCAAAACAAGCAAACTGTCTAAAAGCGCGGGAAAACGCGAGTAACCAAGTCATGATTCCTTTAGGGTCGGTTTAGAATTTGATTGGTCGACAGAGTGACACATGTTACCTAAACCAATCACAGATTGGGATAGTGGATTACTCTCAAGAGCGCACTGAATATTTTTAACAGCCTCCTGCACGGGAAACCACAAGTCATCAAGCTGCGATTGATTGGTTGAAAAAGTGGCGCGAGTTTTCCTGACTAATTATGGAACAGTGGGGCAAAACCAATCACGACTTGCTTGCAACGCTCAATTGTAAATTGCTCTGAAGACGTAAATGGACACAAACCACAAAACAGGTACAAGAAAGAGATTGGTCCTTTAAAACAAGTATAGGCAAAAAGAAATATGTTGATCGTTTTTCAAAGTAGCCTCTCGTCAATGAAAAACTGTAACACTTTGGAAAAAACTGTCAAGTATATTACATAAAAGATTCCGAATACGCAAAAATGCGTTTTCTCTTGTTATAACTGCAAAGAAAATAGTTCTATGCCAACAGGATTGCGCGCAAACCATCGTCACATGAACATCAACTCTCTAGAATTAACCTCAAAAGGTTTTTTCTGTTTTTGCAGAAAAGTGAGAATCAAGGAGATCGTCATGGGCATTTGATAAGTAATTTTAGGCAGTAAAGCTGTCCTTACGTAAAATGGCCGCTGTAACAAATGGTTACCAGAGGATTGATGGTAAGCGAAGTTATTTCCTACGCCCACATGTTCACAGATATAACCTTTGAATGGATGTTTCAACAAAAAAGCGGTCGTTTCAACTCAGCTACAATGACTGAGCGGACGGGAAAACATTTGGCTGCGCTTGGTGTGTAGTTCACGCCCGAGAGCCAGCTATTTTTCCGTTCGGCTCCATCAAACTCAGTCAATAAGCATTGTATCATATGACGACTAAGTTTTGAAACTTAGAACATTTTGGTTTTTTCTGAATAGGACGTACTTGCAGAGAAAGAAGGGCGCGCACTAGATAGCCACTAAAACGATTCTACAGTAGAAAATTCAGAAGTGCGACTCCTTTGTTTCATTCTAAGTTCGGAAAATGCAAATAAGCCGTGAAAAAGCAGGGCCGGACGACTCAGGCCAAGGCCAACCCTCCGGACCTACACACATCAGCTTTCACTATTAATAAAAGGGGTACGTGTCTAAAGAAACTGTGGTGCTACGTCGGTGGGAGTATCACAAGGGAGTATCACAAGATCATTCGGTTTTAACTACTAGGTTGATAATGTAAATTGGCCACCGTTAAGAGTATCAAAGCTGACGTTCTTGAACGTTCGAAACGAACGAACGCTCGAAACGTCAGCTATGAAACTCTTTACGGTGACCAATTTACATTGCTAACTCAGTTAGCTTTCACTGTGGTTTGGGGATGTTGCGCAAATCCTTGTTATTTACCTCACAACGATATCATCATCGAAAATCATCTTCCACTTTCATGCACTCGTGATTTTGTTCATGCAAAGCCACTCCTCTGTTCACTGAAAGTTAAGAATTGCTAAACATTTCTGGCTCCCCAGAAATAATGTGAAAACTGAAAACTTCTTTGTGGTAAACTGTTTTCTTATGGTGAGGATCCTCGAAAATTATAAAACTGAAGTATTCAATCAACTAAATGGCGACATACCTGTGTTGAGACAGATCGCCAACGGGAAAAGGCAGCTTTTCGATGAAACTGGACACCAAGTGCCCGTCATTTTCCCCTTCGCTGGTCAGTGGCGATGCAGGCTCACTGCCCGTGCGTACCCCGCTATCCTTGTCATCTAAGCATTGCATTCTCACTTCCCCAAGCACCCGACGCAAGTATCGCAATGAGGTGCGGAACTTCGTAGGTGTATCTATACCTGTTATTGACCACAAAAAAAACAGTAATTAAAAAGGATATTTTTTCCAATTACGAGCCGAAATTAATTCGGGACTTTCATGGTTTTCTTTTAGTAAGCGCTGTGATTGTTTGGAAAAATCGGCCTAACTTTCCTAACTAATCAGGGGAAGAATGAACCCTTTAACTCCCAGAAGTGATGAACGTGTAACTTCTCCCTATAATATCCATAATTCTTTTCAGTAAACAAGTCAAGAGAACATGAGAACCTATCAGCTAGAAGTATTCATCTTAATCCAACACCAAATTCTCGTAACTAATTTATAAATGCGTGGTTGCATTTATAAAAAGATCCAGCTAAAAATGAACCCATTTTCCAAGTTGTTTCCTCAACAATTCGTTCTTTTATTCTAGACAAAATCTTCCACAGCTACAAATTCTCATCACCTGCGCACTTGAGTTTCTCATTTAGAGGTAAGAAGAATTTATAGGAAGATGTTTTGAGTTCTCACCGTGTGACACCGGATCTCTTATTCTACCAGCAAGGAAAGCCTGCATCACCACTACACAATCTTCTTCGTCGTTAAGGCTGTTCTGATGATCCAGCGGTAAAAACAGCAACTTGTTATGCTTCTGAGTAAGACAAAGACGAAAATCATTTCATCCGGCGACAACTGCCTTAGAAGTGCACCCTACAAAGTCTATGGGGGTGAGCAGGAGCAATTTAGAAAGTTGACACACGCGACATTTGCGGCTTACATTTTCACGAAATAAATTGCCAACAAAGCCTTTCACGCAAGTTTAGTTTAAATGACGGCCTCCTGATACAAATTGTATGCCTGTGAGCAGCGTCATTTCTGCTGAATTCCCAGTATTTCTCTCTACGGAACATGAACACACTAAACCCTAACATCAATATGCATATTCTCCACACTGTTCCCTTTACAACTCCTATGCTACTGACAAGGAGAATTTGTTCCCCAATTGACTGAGCTTCTTTAGCTGATGATCACTCCGTTTATTCTCATAAGCCTGATGTTAAATCCAGGGGTGAAAATATAAGGAGACTTTAGAATCCAGCCACTCCAGAGGTTTAAAGGCTAATAACCACAAGCGAACTCACAGGAAGTCCATGCCAAAGGCTAGTGGGGGCAGATGACCAGCCACGGATTAACCCTTTTGACCCCCCCCCCCCACGAGTCAATAGCATCTAATTTCTCCCTAAAATATCACCCCTGAGTCACACATTAAAGTCACGAGAGTAAAAGAAATAATCACCAACTAAGAAGCTCTTGATTTTTTTAACAAATTCTCTTTGTTAGCCCCTAAGGAAATGCATAGAGAACAGAAGGGAGAATACAAATTCTGATGTTAGGGTGTAAAGGGTTTGAGTGCAAACCCATGGTGAGAAAAATACTTCTTTTTTCTTTATTCTATTTAACTCAGTGAAACCAGGATAAGGTCCAGTAATGTGAGCCGTTATGCGCATAATTCAAGCGTCAATCAATCAATTAATCAATCATTTATTTTAACACGTTTCGTCAAGGAGCTAAGAACTCGTTCAAAATACGAACGAGTATAAATGAAATCTATAGTAATTACAGCTAACATATAATATCATGCCATCTAAAAACAACACAGTAAATATGTAAAAACTTGCAATAAATATAGAAAGCTAAATCATAAACTAAAAAAATGACAAGAAAACTATAAGACACGTCCTCAAAAGCTACAATCTTGCAATTTACTTTTGAAGTCATTTAAATCCCTTGAAAGACGCACTTGAGAGGGCAAACTGCTCCATAACTTACTTAATAAATAAAAGAAAATTTAAGGTTAATATTAGGTAATTCCAAAGTCGAGCCCTCACCTCTTCACCCATACGGTATATACCAGTATTCAAGATAGCATCACTCCATAAACCACAGGAAATAACAAATACCCTACCTTGTAATGTGCTAGTTCTAAGTGTAGTTTTGCCAAAGTTGTTTGAAGCCGTCTTATAACCATATTTTTGTCAATCTCTTCGTTGCGTCTGAAAGTGAAAAAGTACGAGATGCTCCTTCTGTACACAGATAAACAATGATTTCACAATTTCAATTCTTAATACATTATTATCAATTTTCTGTAATGTCTGCTATAATTTGCGCATCGTTTAATCTCTAAGAATTTGGTGCTAAGTCAGACCATATTCCCTGACTGAAAATGTGTATGATGCATTGTAATGATGGATGTATTGATTCTGTGAGGAGAAAAATCCCTTTTGATCACTTTGGTTAACCTAGAAGATAGAATCTAGCACCCCAGTACAGCAAAAGGTCTCGTTAAAGTGCTACTATCAAACCTCCACCCCTTGAAATTATATGAGTGTCATAGAGACTTAACCCTTTAACTCCCAAGTTCAAATTGTTTATTCTCCCCTCTAGCTGCTAAAAATTTCCCTGTAAATTAGTCATAAGAATTTAGTGCAAGATGAAAATAACAACCTCTACTTAATAGGCTTGAGTATTCCTGTTACCTATTTACAGGATAACGAGTGGGTATTATAGGGAAAAGTTACATGTTAATCACTTCTGGGAGTTAATGGGTCAATAGAAATATTTAAAATAGTATTTTCCAATTTGAAATATCAGCATCAGGGGACACTTCTTTGGTCACCCAGGTACTCCTTGAATGAAGGGCCTACTGCATGCATTACCACCACAGAAGGGACTCCTCCAATCAGGGAACACTTTTCCTAGTCCTGTGAGTGTCTCTTTAATTAAGGGACTAAAGTATGTTTTACCATCACAGAAAGGACTCCTCTAATAAAGGAACACTTTTCCTAGTCCTGTGGGTGCCTCTTTAATTAAGGGACTACAGTATGTGTTACCACCACAGAGGGGACTCCTCTTATAAGGGATCACTTTTCCAAGTTCTGTGGGTGTCTCTTTAATTAAGGGACTAAAGTATGTGTTACCATCACAGAAGGGACTCCTTTAATCAGGGATCACTTTTCCTAGTCCTGTGGGTGTCTCTTTAATCAAGGGCCTACTGTATGTGTTACCATCACAGAAGGGACTCCTCTAATAAAGGAACACTTTTCCTAGTCCTGTGGGTGTCTCTTTAATTAAGGAACTACAGATGTGTTACCACCACAGAGGGGACTACTTTTATAAGGGATCACTTTTCCTAGTCCTGTAGGCGTCTCTTCAATTCAGGGACTAAAGTATGTGTTACCATCACAGAAGGGACTCCTTTAATCAGGGATCACTTTTCCTAGTCCTGTGGGTGTCTCTTTAATCAAGGGTCTACTGTATGTGTTACCATCACAGAAGGGACTCCTCTAATGTGGGAACACTTTTCCTAGTCCTGTAGGTGTCTCTTTAATCAAGGGCCTACTGTATGTGGTACCATCACAGAAGCTATGTGTTATTTTTATTGAAGGAAAACCTGTTTGGGGAATATTTCTTCTAGCTCTGAGTTTTTCCCCTGAGCTGAGAAGGGGTTCCACTATTACCGAAATGTTTCAGTATCCTCTCACCTGTTGTAAAATGAACTCTCAAATTTGACTTTTACATCTTAAATATCAACAAATTTTTATTTAACATTCATACTCACACTGGCTTGTTGAGAATCCGTGCAACTCTTTGAGCAACCCTGCACGTGGCAATGGTCTCTGACAGGTTTTCCTCATCAAGGGACAATGCTGCAATCATAGCTGTGTTACAGTTTCCTCCTGTATGAAATATTGAAACAGAGTGGTAAAGAGATTTAGATTTTTCAGATTCCTGGGAGTCAATTTTTATTTCAAACATGCACATATATACAGTGGCTTCTGGAACTGTGCTGGCTCAAAGATCAAGGTTCAGGTTCACCTTGTTAAATTTTTGAGGAAGAAATCTTATCTTGCAAATGCTTCAAGATTTCAAATTCACAGTGTGATTTCCAGTCAAATGCAAGAGAAACTATCAAAAATGTTGGGGTAACCTGCAATTGATACCATCCAAGCAAAGTAACTCTACCACTGATACCATGCTGCAAAAACTCAGTGAACCTCTGACAGTTTTAGGCTTCATGAGTTTCAAAGATTTTTATTTACAATGCAGCTTTTTACGTTGTGGTACAACTTACTTACCTAAGCTGTCTTGTAATAACATGGTCAGAAGGGAATTCCCATAGGGCACATGGGTTTGGTCACAGTCAGAAGAATGGGACGACACACTTCCTTTTCCCAACTCAAATGCACTTGCACTCTTCAATTTAGCACTCAATGCTGGCTTAGGAATCAGTGCTGCATCTCTTGTTTGCTGCATGATAGCACTGGAGCTACGGCATAAACATTTTCCAGTTTGTTTCTTCCTCATACACCTCATGCGAAACCTCTGAAGAGCAATAATTACAGTTTCCAAGTGATGCAGAGAAAGATTGATGTATTTCGATTCACTACGTTGGTTCCTATCACTTCCTGATTTCCCAACTTGCTCTGATCCAGCAAGATCCACCAAGATCAGCTTTGACCTAAAATTAAAAGCCAAAAAGCAGACAAGAATAAGAATAAGACAGATGTTTTAAAAATGTCAATCTTGGTTGTCATAGAAAAACAACATTTTGTTTGTTGTGTCACAAGCATGAGAAAAGAAAAAACCAGAGTCTTCCAAAAGAAATGGAGGCCCAACACTTCATATTTCATGCTCCAATGCTCTTCAACTGAGCATCAGAGAATATAATGGCAAGCCAAGCCACACCTACAATAGGCCATTTTACAGTTGTGCACTTAGTTGCCAAGCCTTTGATTTGGAGTGAGGCTGAAGGTGACCTTGTTGTGACAGAGACCAGTATCTCGTTAGCATGATAACAAAGTAATTTACATTTGAAAAGCAGCAAGGTTTGTATCATAACAAGGTCACCCTTAGCCTCACTCCTATTCAAAGGCTTGGCAACTGAGCACAAAACTGTAAAATGGACTATTGGTGGATAAAGTCTTGGCACACTCCCCCCTTCCTGCATTTTCTATATTGCCTGGTGTTGACAAAATGGTCAATAATTTCTTGTAACATTCTTTGAGGAAAAGGGGAAGACTTTCAAGAAACCTGTTCAGATGAATTAAAATATTTCTGTTTATTTTGTTAAGTGTTAAGCTGCCCACCATCTACATTGGGGGAAGTGTGCACTCTACATTTGCCACTAATTGTAGGTTTATGCAAAACAGGAGTTAATGCTTACAACATTGCTTATCTTTAAAATTTAGCAAATATATCTGGTACAAATCTAATAACTGCTTTATCTTTATCTTAGCATCTAATGGCAAGCTTTATTATTCAATGGTTAATTTCCAAAATATGACATCGGGTTTACTTTACATAGAATCAAACTGCTCTGTGAGAAAACTTGTGAATTGACAGATGACTTACATGATTTTTTGGAAATTTTGTGGTGGATTGTCATATTTAGAGTACAAGCAGTAGTTCAGTGTTCACTAATGTAGCAAAGAAACAAAGTAACATTGGGATAAGAAGGCATTACATTTGAAATGACCGGCACCTTCTGTTGCTTCATATAGAAAAAACACACAATACAAAATGTAATGATCTATTTTGTCCCCAATCTCACACCATAACAGAAAAAGCTTTTGAACACCTGTAAACTCCGAGCGCTTTGGAGTAAGTGATATTTTTAATGAATCTTCAGATTGTTTTCAAGTAGTAATTACAATTTTATGAAAAATGAAGGTTGTTCTCTTATTTCAGTATGAATCCTCGCACACCTGCTAGTTGCTGGCAGGTGTGTTGAAATTCCTGCACTGCTTATTGAAACTAAAACGAAAAAAATAAACTCTTTTAAGATTATCATTGGCTTCTTTTTCACCCCATCACTATTCTTAGCAACAAAGGTCACCATTTCGTTTGTTTACTACTCGCCAAAAATTATCAAATGCACTCAAAAGCCTAAATATCAAAAAAAAGGTTACAGGAATCGACCAATCGAGCGAGCGAGCGAGTGCCATTCGACACATCATATCTACAACTCACTCTTGCACATGCGCGCAATTCGCAAGTTAAAAAGTAAGTATGTTATACAGCCACGAAACACAATATGGTGATGAGCTGATTGAAAACCACATGACCCTGAATAAATCAAAATGTACCTCACTCAGGATAAAGTTTAGACATCCTGTCAAATTTCTATTTCACGTGGGAAACATAAATTGAATAAATTATTGTGCGGGTTTTGCACATGATCAGAACGTGGCATTCAGCCAGAGGTGTGTTTGCGGTGTGACATTTATATTAAAAGCTCTTTTCTCTGAACTTCTCAGTGATTCCAGACTGTTTATCACGAGCTCTGCACTATCTCTTGAAAACCCAATGGAGCAGACTTTGGCCAAAAAAAACACATTTTTGTACTTCATCATAAGAAAAACTGACAGAGCAGATCAGAACGACTCCAGAAATGTGATTCTTCAAAGGTACATTCAGTGTTCTCAGTTAAATATGTTACAGTGTGACAACCACTCATAGTTTGCTTGTTTGCGATGTTGGTCATCTGGGAAACAGTTGGTTTGTTATCCCACAAATTTCAACATTTCCCTCAACTTGGTTTTGGTGAAATATTCCGACTAGTGGGAAAAGAAATCTAAATGTTTCCCTTGGGAGCAGACATTGGTTGTACTTCATAACATAATCCTGATGAAGGCAATTTTTAGTTGTCCACTGATGTAAAACTGAGTGAATTATTTTAGAAAGCAGCTATTTTTTAATAGTATTAGCATAGAAATATATAAAATGATTAAACTGAGTTAATTTTAAACAACATTTCCTGTGGTTTTAAAAATGTTTACTTAGAATCTCCCCAAAATCTTGCTTATTTAAAAACCTTACACTGGTGGTATTGGACAAGATGAAGGCTAGCAAGGATTTATAATCATTATGACAAGACAGAAGACATGCTTCAAGCTTGCAGGCCATCGATAAACAGTCTCTAGTGAGTGAGACCCCATGCCAAATTGAACCAGGTATTGGGACCTTCATCCATAAGGATAGAACATGGGAAACTGTACATCAAACCTGTTAGCTGTTGCATATTTTCATGAGGAGTGGCCAGAAAGAGACCCTGCAACAAAGTACTTGCTCTTATAAAACAAGACAGTGTCCCAAAGTTTTACCAAGAGGTATTTGTTTCTACGTAACAAATAAGTGTAATGTTTCCAGCTGTTTGCAATAAATAAAGCTTACTAGACTAAGTATATTGGCCTGTCTAAAAAAGTATAAGATAATTTCTAACCACAAAACGAGACACAAGCTGACATTCAGACAAGAATAGTGTTTGTCCTAACTACAACAATAAGGCTACATTTGTTCATGAACTGAGCATTCAGTATTGTAATATAATTACTTATGTAACCAGATTTTGTGACAAAAAACACAGCCTACCGACTAAAAGGTCTCACAATCCATTAGTGACATTTCTCTAAGAGTGTGACTAAAGTTCTTTCATCAAGTTGAACGTAATCTATCAACCTCAAAAATCCAAAGTGCAACCACATGTTAAATTGAAACCAAATCTTATCTCACCTCATCTTCACCAACTTTTAGCAAGTGAAAGTTACTGGGAATTTTTAATAGGATTATTTGACCCCAAAAGGGTGGATGCCACTGTCAATCATCCTATTCATGCACCTGAAATTGTTCTCTTGGCATAAAAGGTGAAAAGATCCTTTGCCTTACACAAATATACGTGATGGAATGCTCCAACTAAATTTCAATAACTGGGGCTTACATTTGTTCTCATGTGAACAATATCCTTCTGTTATTTGTAACTGTTTTCCCCATCTAAATAAAAACTCTGTGCATCCTACTAAAATTCTTCCATTAAGGGTAAGATAATTCTTACGTAATAGCTCAAGTGATGTAATCAAAAGCTGGGAGTTAGAAGATTAAGACGATTACTACACAATAGATATATCTGGGAGCCCATGCCACAAGAAAAGATTGTTATATTTATGCAATAGTTCCAGTAATGTATACATGTCTGAAAGCCCTTCACTACAAGAACAGATAATCGTGATTTTGCAATACCTTTGGTGATGCTGACAATATTTGGGGGCACTTTACTACAGAACAGATTATTATTAAGTAGCAAGTCCAGTGATGTATAAATATCTGAGAACCTTTCACTACAAGAACAGATAATCAGGATTTTGCAACACCTTTGGCGATGCTGCTAACACTTGAGGGCCCTTGGCTACAGAAACAGATCATTATTACGTAATAAGTCCTACAATATAAATATATCTGGGAGCCCTTGCTACAAGAACAGATTATTACGCACAGTAATAAGTCCAGTGATATAAATAATAAATCATGGAATCAGTACCATGGCTACATGAATAAATTATTAGACCAAAATTGAATTTCCCCATATAGTGCCATATTTTGACACAGAAAGGTGACAGGAAAGAAATGTATCAACAATGGAGTAATGTTAGATTTCATACCAAATTCTCAGATGCACAATCATAAAAAAATGTATAAAAAACAATGCCAAGCAATGATATTTAGACACTGAGTATGAAAGGGGTGAAAAGTTTGCTTCAGTTCAAGTCACTCTCTTTAAGTAAAAATTTCTATCTGTGCAAAATTTTGGGTAAATTCTTGTACTGCAAGAAATCCATAGTGAGGTCAAAAGACACATGTTCAGACTGTTTTGGTCATATCATTTTACACACCTCAAAAATATCTCTTCACCAGGCCTTTGACGGAGCATTTTAATGCTAAACACAGTATGTGATCTGGATGATCTTTTATCGTCAGGTGTTTCAGCAGTTTTGCAGCTTGCCATGCCCAACTGATATAACCCTGCGGCTTCATCGAATGATTGTACATGGTGATGAGAAATTCCATGAAGATGGCAGACACCGTCCCCAGCCATTGTAACCAGAACCTGTTAGAGTAACCATGAACATGGATCAAAGTGAGTAGACTCAAACAATGATTCAAAGTATATTAATTCTTTCACTTCCAGAAGTGATCAACATATAACTTCTTCCAATAATATTCAGATATTATTCAATGAACAGGTAATGAGAATACTAAATCTTATTAGTTAGAATTTGTTATGTTGATCCAACACCAAATTCTTGTTACTAATTTACAAGGAAATGTGTTGCAGCAAGAGGGGAGAATTAACAATCAGATCTTGGGAGTTAGTTATGCAATCACACAGGCCTGGGGGCAATTATGGATTGATTTTACGCGTATTTTCACAGTTTTTGTAAAATTGCCCACGTCATGAAACAATGAGGGTAATTTTTGGAAAACTTTGAAAATACATATGAAATTAATCCTTGATTGCCCAAAGGGCTCTTGCGATTACTTGTTTATCACATAAAGGGCAAATGTTTTGGGGGAATTGCATTCCCGCATGATGTCATACCATGATACCCTTTCAATGTCGTCACAAACGTTGTCATAAATGTAACTGACCAATAGATCCAATGAACATTTTATTCCTGAAATATAGTCAACAACTTCACTCAGTTAAACTGCAATCACTAAATTTGTTACTGCAAACAGCAAAAACACTCAATCAGCATCAAGTGATTGTGCCCTCTTCACTACCAAAAGTGCCCTCGTGATTAAGAAAAAATGCACTCTGTCTCGGCCAAACAGCATTCAGTAATTTTTCCCCACATACAATAAAGGGTTAAAACAATCTACCTCACCTGCTTGGCTTTCCCTGTATCTTTACCCTGGATAAATCCCAGCAAATCAAATGCCATCTCTTTGTAGATTTCCATGAATGAAACATGAATACTGATTGTTTCATGCTCAACTTGACTAATGTGGTCAAAAATCATGGACAGACTTTGCAAAATGATTCCATTGTTGTTGGATCTAAGAATGAATGGTCAAATATCAAACTATGCCATTATGTGTATATAGATGCTCAACACTTATACTGATACTTATAGAAAAAAAAGCAACTGTCATAGACAAAAGAGTCTCAAATTTTCACGCAATATTAACTAATGCAAGTATTTAAAAACAATAAAATTAAGGTCCTGAGGGTCAAGAATGAAGAAGATACTGGAAGGTCACAAATCTATATAAGCATCGAGATAATTTTAGACAAGATTTTTTAAGTTTACCAGTAGAAATTCATACCTATTCTTCATTTTTTATCATATGTTATCCGTTCATTGTATAGTCATCTAGGGCTGACCATGATTTTTTCAATTTTATGACAAACAGGAATTACAAACAATAAGAACACATACATCTAGAATACAAATGAAATTCCAATTTCTTGACACCCCCCCAACTCCTTGATCCTCCTAGCTAGTTCTGCAGTCTCCCTGCATAATCTGCTTCAGTGACAAAAAGCTACAGAAATGAGTTACAAAGAGGTTGGGTGACAGCATAAAGCTAAAAGAAGCAGAAATTAGTGCTCTATTATGGCTACAGCTTCGCAACTCTAAATACAAATGAATACAGATAGAATCCCAATTTCTTGACCCCCCCTCCCATTCCTTGATCCTCCTAGCTAGTTCTGCCGTCTCACTGAATAATCTGTTTCCATAAAAAAAGCTACAGATATATGAACCACAAGGAGGTTGTGCAACGGCATGAAATTAAAAGAAGCAGAAATTATTCCTCTATCGTGGCTACAGCTTTGCAACTCTAATGATTTAGATCATCCTTACCTCACTGGGCTCTGTAGCAATTAAAAATACTATTGCCCCAGCTATAAGACTCTACATAATCTGAATCAAGACTTAGCTCCCTTGTCCATAAAATTCTGTGATCTCACTGCTCCCCCCCTCCAAGTTTCTACAACTTTTGACCATTTTAAACAAAATTGCTTTTTGCAGGAAGATTCGACATGTTGAAATTTCCATGCGCAAAAATGTGCCACTACCTATTAAAGAATTTTAAAATCTATTTATGGCATGTCTACCCTCTTCCAAATATGGTCTAACTTGTTCATCTTGAAAACCAATTTCCTGTCCCCATCTTCTCCTCATGTTCGCCATTATTTCTACAACTACAACATGTGATTCTCAAGACTGATGTCATTACATAATGCCAACCCTATAAATAGTTTCAGATTTTAAGATGAGAATTAGAAAAACCAAGAATGAGATAAATAGCTTTCTTGCAGGAAAATGTCAGTAAAACAAGCCAAACTTCATCATTATCAAAGGATGCATTTGGAACCATGGAAATTGCGGGAGCCACTTTAAAATATATGTAACAGCCACATCAAGGTCACTTTGCCAGAAAAAAAATCGTATCCGGTATTAATTAAGTCAGAACTAGAATTAGATATGGGAACAAATTGCCATCTGTCAGTGGACCATAAAAGCAAACTCCTACAGAGAAATGGCTACAGCTTTTAAAAGATCACTTCGAATCTATAATATATCAGATCGCGAATCCACTTAAGAACGTGCAAATTCTTGCCAACTTTCCGGTGATATTGGTCATGAATAACCTCACGTGCAAGTTCAAATTGTTGCAATATTTTTGATAATCCTGTGCGTGGGTTTCCTCACGTGTTAATTTAAATCCGAGAGATACTTCTCAGGATACCAGATTGCTAGCGTAAATGACTGATAAAATTTAGCTGTCTAGTTTTCAGCTAAAAAGTCGTAACATTTTACATACAATGTTGAAAAATACCCAGTCAACCATCTTTGAGATAATTCACACGTCGTCATTAAGGTTAGGTGAAATATTGTCAGTCAAGTAACTTGAGAAGACTTGTTTTTCTTCCCGTTTGTTTTTCGCCAATGCCATCTAAAAAAACGTATTAAACATCAAGGGTATGATAAAAATAAATTATACTAGCAAAACAAGAGTAGCCCTTAAGAGTTATAACCAAACTATAGCTATTTTCAGGTTTGTCCTTTTGTAGGCTTGGAAAATACAGCTACAAGACAAAAAAACAAAATACTAACGAGGTGACACTCTCAATTTCCCCTTGAATAGTATAAGTTTTCCCAGCTCCTGTTTGTCCGTAAGCAAATATTGTTCCATTGTAGCCTTCCATAAATCCTTTGACTATATCCTTTGCGGCCACGTCGAACACATTATTTTGCGACGAATCCGTTCCAAAAACGTGTGCAAACCGAAATCTGATCGATTCCGGTAGATTAGAGGATCCAGAACTAATGGAGTGCGAAGTAACTTCCCGACGCGACTGAATACAAATCGCTTCATCTTCATAACGGATGAGTTCCTGATTTATATTCTGACACGGCTTCAAACGTGCAAATACCTTAATATTCGCCATAAACAAACTCTTGGGTTTAAGTGAGCAATAATGATGGATGCAGAAGAACACATGATACAGTACAAGATCCAGTGAGAGAAAAATTATACCCTCGAGATGGAGTCATAGCCAGATTTCTAAAGGTCACTGCGCAGAACAATGACTCTTTTTTCTGTCGAAATTATCCGCTCAATTGCTTTGAATGGAGTACGGCGGTAATTAGTTGTAAGCAAACCGCCCGCTTTTGTGTGGGTAATGCGACAAAACAAAACAAATTTGAAATACAAAGCCGGTCCAATTCGATTCAGTCGCCATATCAAATGTGCAGTCGACCGTGTCATTCCTGGGGACGATTGGGGACAAGGTGGCTTGGACATGCGCACTTACTGGTTAAAATCAAAATGGCCACTCATTCGTTGTCTTGGATTTGCGGAAATATTTTTATTCATAGGAGTTCCTGATCCGGGTTGATTTCAAATCGAAGGGAGATTTTTCGCCGAAGATATTAGTATTAACTACGTCCTTATAACTACGCGTCTATCCCCAAAAATGCGTCAGTACCGATCCTCAGACATGTTTCAACTCCCATCAAATTGACACTTAATTTTTCGCAACGAATTAACATGGATCTAAACAAAGTCAGCTCTTATTCAGCTGCGGTATTTGATCGCATTAAAACTGTGGCAAAGAATGCCACTGTCACAGCTGTTTCGGCCACTGTCAATGCAGTTGGCGCTGTGGGTTCATTGATAGGAAATCCCTTAACCAAAGACTTTGATGTTGGCAAACATGTGGCAAGCTTCGGACCGAATTTGGCGTGGAAAATTTACGAGGGAAAAAAGAAGACAACTGGCCAAGTTAGTACTTGAGACCTCTTATTCTTAACGTTATCGTAAGAAATTATGTTCCTTATGGCTCTGTAGTTCAATGAATTTTATTGAGACAATTTTAATTTGGATTAACAAGTTACACCGGTCAATACTGTAGATCTCATTCAACTTGAATGCTTCTGGTGCGTTAAGTGAACGTCAATAAATAATAGCACTTTTCATGACTTGGTATTTTAAACATAAGTTGGCTTTAACTTTTTTAAGTGTCTTGGTTCTGTGCCTGTAAACACATTGTAATCCTATCTGCACATTTTACTGAATGCACTTACGTTATTGATTATGATTTCTGCAACCATTATTTTTACGGAAATTTGATATTATGTGTAAAAAAAAAATTAAGTGTCTCTGCAAAGTGAATGGTTTTAACACGAGAGTATTAGTTGTAGTGTTAATCAATTTATAAAAAAATATGAATAACAGATTGACCCTCAGAGGACAATTTTTATGGACGAAATGGCAGGAAATGAAACTGGAAAAAAAAAATCAAAATTATTAGGTTTTGGCAAGGTGCCTCTCAGAAACTGGATGGGTACTAATAGGAGCCATAAACCTACATGTAAGGTGCACAGCAAATTTTTTTGTGATTTCTTTTATCCCTATCAACCCTTTAACTCCCGTGAGTGACCAAGACAGAATTTCTCCTTACAATATCAATACAATATTGACCAGATAAATGATGAGAATAAAGAAAAATATCAATTCAGAAATAATTAGTTGATCCAATACTAAATTCTCTGAACTAACATTATGAGAATTGTATGGTTGACAGTAAGGAGAATTACAAATTTGATCTGGGAGTTAAAGGATTAAAGAGCATGGGCAGATTTACACTTAAGACATTCGGAAAGTTTTAAGAGGCTGTCAATGGTATAACCACAAACTGGTGTGATTAAAAAAGATGCTTAACTAAGACAAATATTTTAATTATTCATATTAGTAGACAAAAGGTAGAGGCGTCTTTTGGTTTTGTACGTGATGGAAGATGGCCAACAATCAGCTATTATTAAAACCCTTAATTTCGCGTATTTTTGAGCTTCTGAGGCTGACAGAAGGAAGGAAATCCTTTTGACCTTTGAGTCATTTTGTTAGCAATTAATCAAGTTCTTGGCACTTTTTACCACCATGGTTTGACAGGGTTAGGGTTAGAATGACTTCAGTGTTCTTTTCTATGCACAACTAATGACATTTTCAGACAATATGTGACTGAAAAAGCTTTCTAAATTTACAATTTATCTAGCACAATCTTGAGATCACTCAATTATCAACTCCATCCCCAGTTATGGACACCTTCATTGTGTCACCTTTCATGTCAAATATGTAACCTTTTACCATTTTAGAATCTTATTATACAGTGAACCATTTAAAGAGTTCCTAATTGGCTAGTGATGAGAGAATAAATATGTTATGGGGTGTTATACGGTATTTCCGTACTGCACTTTCTCAAAATTTTTAAAATTCATGAGACACATCCAACTTCTGAAATATTTCCAAAAGTAAACTGCAATAGAAACCTTGAAATAACTCTCATGGTTATCATAATTGATCAATTTTGGAGAAACCTGTAGTATCAATATTTCTGGGACTGTTGAAAAGTTTGTAGAGAAATATGCCATTAGAGGGAACAAAGAAGGAGTAGAAAATGATTTTATTGAGAATATGTCAATGTATGTAACCTATTACCTTTTAAGAATCTTTGATACCGAGTTAGCCAAGTATGCAGTTCCTGATTGGCCAGTATTGAGTGGCATTTCCATGCTGCACTTTCTCAAAATATTTAAATTTCATCACACATATCTAACTTCTGAGATATTTGAAAAAATAAACTGCTAAAGGAACCTTGGAATAAGTCTCATGATTATCATAAATTGTCAAATTCAAAGAAATATGCTTTACATATTTCAAAGCAGTTGCAAAGTGTCAGACATAACATGCAATCAGAATGTATAAGGGGGTTGTAGAGATTGATTTTGTAGAGAATGAAAGACACAAAACATGGCTTGTAGTTCCTGTGCATGTGATGACTTGTGGTCACCCATGAATTTTAGTACTGTTTTTAAATTAGACTTGCCCGTGCAGCAGGCCTGCTATGCAGGATCAAAGACTTTTAAAATTTCACTTGCTCTCATTAATCACAAAGTCTCCTCTACCAACTCTGACACAATGCACTAACATCTTCATACAAATTACTGTCTAGATTGAAATGACATCTAAGCCCTTGACTACATGTGCATAGACTACTGATCACTTGATGAAAAGGTTATAAAATCCTGAAATTTTTTGAAAAACGATATACAAAAAGTAGTTCTTTTTTGTTTGTTTGATTTTATCATCAGGAGGTTTCTCTGGTTGTTTTTGAGAAAAGGCTGCTGGATAAAGTTGATAAAAGAGACAGGGACTTTGTAATGGAGACAATGAAGAAAGGACCAGTACAACTTACAAGATTGCGACATCCACGGCTGTTGGTTGTTCAGCATCCTTTGGAAGAGTCCAAGTAAGTAGCGCTTGCATACAAAAAAAATGAAAATGCCTGATGTATATTTTAATAACATTGGTATCAGAATTATTACTCAAGATGATTTTTAATTGGCAAATTGAATATAGCATTACTTGAAAAATCTGAAGGCCTACATTCAAACAGCTTCCAGCTGATCTTGGCCATTCCAGCCCAGTTACATGTAGATATTCCCAATAGATAAATAAATATGAAATAAATAAATATTAAAGCTTGGGTCTTGTATTTTTCTCATTTTTCTCAAATGAGATTTGAATATATTTAAAAGGCTTCTGTTTGCAGTTAATAATATGTCTGTTGTTAGAGACTGTATTTAACAAAAGAAGCAATACAAATGAAATGTGAAATGGTTAGCTCATTGGATTACTATGACATGTCCTGTTAGCTTCTAGTTCACAATTACATTAAAACTAGGAGATGTAAAATAACATGGCCTTGTGTCCCTTTCACTTCACTATTTTTTGTTCTTGGCAAAACCATCTCATTTTGCCTTCCTCCTAGCAGGACTCTTAATGTCTGGGAAACTTGACTTATTACTTGACAATTTGCAGCATTAAGTTAAAATACTATTCAGGAGTAGGAGCAGTTCTCCATGACAGTTATAGATTGGGTGATTAGCTCTGGCAGAAATAACCCACACAACTCTTGACACTTAATATTGTGTGTTGTATGTATGTTGTATACATGTATGTTGTGCATTTTTTTTTTCCATGCCATTGTGAATTAAAAATTCATCTACAGATGTATCTGTTACATGTCAATGGCTATGAATTGTAGTTCGTAGAAGCTCCAGAAAGAAGTCCCTCTTTTCAAGGAGGGTTTGTTAATGGGACTCATACAGGAGCCAATGTATCCAACATTTTCTTATTGGCGACTAAAAGTTCTGGTCACATTGCCACCTTCTACATATTTTTTTTAAAGTTATCATGTTGAGTGCAAAATTACATACCTCACATTGTCTAGTTTTACCTCTGCCTTTGAGAAAAAAAGCAGAAGGTTGTATAGACAAAGTCTTTTGACATCAACCAATACCTTCTTTAGACACACATTCTGCGTACCTCTATGCGATCACTGTTCTTCCTTTCTAAGATGGCACAGAATTTCAATAAGTTACTTCAAGTGTCATTCAGGATTTTAGCAAAGCCAAATTTGTGGTACTTAAAGGTACATACAGACACAGCTTTGAAATTGGTAACTAGAAACATATTTTTGGTAACCATTTTTTGCCACTTCAGAACTTTAAGAGGACTAGGAAATTTGTCAATTTTAGGTCCAGTCAAGACAGAAAAGCATGTCTTTGTTGGTATCTGACTCCTTACAGTCAATGAGAACATAAAGGGGCTTTAAATTTAGACAAGCCAATAAATGGAAGACATAAATAGAGTTATCCACTGACCCATTTTGCTGTTACATGAGAAAGTCCTAGACCATTTTACGTAATTCATGATGTGGGAAACTGCAGAAGAATCTGTTGGTCAATGTCTCTTACATAATTGTGCAATTTGTTATGATTTTACAGATGCATAATGCATTAAGAATGCTGAAGGATTCTGAGATGAATATATTCATGAACAAGCTTACAATGCACTCATTGGTGTTGTAAATTTTGCCTGATTCCTTTTTACTAGGGATTGCTTAGCCTTTGCAACTGAACCAATCTTTGCAAGTCTGGCAAATTTACTTGGAAAACATGATAACATGCCATCTCCCCTTCCACATGATTTTAAGGTAGATCTTTTAATTTTTTTCCTGGCGTTTCTCTCTTTACAGTGTTGTGGATATATTTAGCTTATTAAATACAAGGAATCATATTCTTGTCAACAGGGTATTTAGTTTCATCCTGTGAGGCTACCAGACAGGATGTAACTATCAGTAAATGTAATTGCATTACAGTCTCCATAATTTAAGCTCATTCAATGTACCCACGCAATGTCCAATTAACCCTTCAACTCCCAAGATCTCATTAGTAATTCTCCTTACTGTCTGCCTTACAGTTCTTGCAATGTTAGTTTGGAGAATTTGGTGTTGGATCAAGTTATTATCCCTTAACTGATATTTTCTTTATTTTTATCAATTTTCTGCTTGACGTTGTATTGATATTGTAAGGAGATTTTTGTCTCTGTCACTCATGGGAGTTGAAGGGTTAATTAAGATTATGTCTTCTACCAACAGATGTTTGAACTTTATGATGTGGAAAGAGTTTATGGATTGTTTCAGGTTTGTCTTTTCCAAAAAATTTAGATCGTTGTATAAATTCCTGATGCATTTTTAATTCCTATAATACAATTACTTTAAAGAAATCTTGAGAATCCTAATAGACTGTTATACAGTAATTATGAAATATGTGATACACTGTAGATGTAAATGATGCTTTTTACGAGCACACATTATTTGATTTTGATATGATGATATCAAGTAAAGAGGGGGACATGTTGGTAGTTAATACAGATGAAGAATTATGTAATCTGTTTTTAGCTGTAGAAACATTTCAGTTGCTGCAAAATTTCTGTTTACCCACAATGGGCACGCAGAAATTGTTGATGGTGTGAAACTTTTTGTATCTTAATTCTGAGGTCTGTTGTTTTTTTTGTATCAGCTTGTGGAAGGATTAACTTTCCTTCATAATGATGCTAAAATTCTACAAGCAAGTCTTGCACCTGAATTGATATGTGTTACCAAGAATGGACAATGGAAAATAGCTGGACTTTTCTTTAGTTCTACACCAGTTGTGATTGATGGCCAGGTACAGTACATGACTGTGTGACTCTTCTTTTGTTGTCAACTTCAGGAAAACCTAAAGTTTACAACATTTAGTTAACACTATTGAACATAACTGGGGAAAGAATTTAGAATTTTAAGAGACAGTGCCACTCAAAAGTTAGTTGACTGTCTCTTGAAACTCAATCTTCCACCTTGATACTCAATGCTTGTTTCTTGAAAACTTATACTGTCAGACTGTCACCTTACTTTTGAGCAATACTGTGTATGTTTCTTCTGTTTTGGCAAACTATTTCACCATCAGATGAGTTTTCATGAGAATGCTCTTGTAACAAAAACAAGTTAATCAAAGAAAGATAATTTTTTTCTCCCATTGTTAGACTGACTTTATCCAACTTAAGGTTACTTCCCACCTTCGTGGGTGTCCTTTGGGAAAAAAATTAATATGTGTACCAGTTTCACTAAAATCCTAGCACTATACATCAGAAGAAAGCTCTATAGCTGCAGTTTACAACAGAAATAAAATTTAAGTGACTTTCCTGCTAAGGAAATGTCAGAAGCCATAAGCTGCGAAATGACCAAAGGTTCTTCTATTGAATTTATCTGGTATTGGGTGCTGCAGCACAAGATAAATGGCTGCACAGTCTTATTCATAAGGCATCAATCAACGGAAGTGTGTCACACTTTTTCGATATTCTGATTGGTTGTCTAGATATTGGCATTTAAAATTGGAGTAGCTAAAAAAATATGCAAGGCATGTTGTACCAAAATCTTATCAAACTATACATCAGAAGAAAGCTTAGTAGCTGCAGATTATGATAGAAATATAATTTAAGCAACTTTTCTTTTAAGGAAGTGTTAGGAGCCATAAGCGGTGAAATGACTAAAGGTTCTTCTATTGAATTTATCTGATATTGGATGCCGCAGCACGAGATAAATAGCCACACAGTCTTATTCATAAGGCATCAATCCACGGAAGTGTTCGTGCTTTTTGATATTCTGATTGGTTGTCTAGATATCAGCATTTAAAATTGGAGTAGCTAAAAAAAAATGCAAGGCGTGTTGCACTAAAATCCTAGCAAACTATACATTAGAAGAAAGCTCAGTAGCTGCAGATTATGATAAAAATATAACTTAAGCAACTTTTCTTTTAAGGAATTGTCAGAAGCCATAAGTGGTGAAATGACTAAAGGTTCTTCTATTGAATTTATCGGGTATTGTATGCCACAGCATGAGATAAATGGCTGCACAGTCTTATTCATAAGGCATCAATCAACGAAAGTGGTTTAGGCTTTTTTGATATTCTGACTGGTTGTCTAGATATCAGCATTTAAAACTGGAGTAGCTAAAAAAAATGCAAGGTGTGTTGCACTAAAATCCTAGCAAACTAAAATCCTTTCAAACTATACATCAGAAGAAATCTTTGTAGCTGCAGATTATGAAAAAAATGTAATTTTAGTGACTTTTCTTTTAAGGAAGTGTTAGGAGCTGTAAGCCACGAAATGACCAAAGGTTCTTATATTGAATTTATCTGGTATTGGATGCCACAGCATGAGATAAATGGCCACACAGTCTTATTCATAAGACATCAATCAACGGAAGTGTTCAGGCTTTTTGATATTCTGATTGGTTGTCTAGATATCAGCATTTAAAATTGGAGTAGCTAAAAAATTTGTAAGGTGTGTTGCACTAAAATCCTTGCAAACTATTCATTAGAAGAAAGCTCAATAGCTGCAGGTTATGATAAAAATATAATTTAAGCAACTTTTCTTTTAAGGAATTGTCAGGAGCCATTAGTGGTGAAATGACTAAAGGTTCTTCTATTGAATTTATCCGGTATTGTATGCCGCAGCACGAGATAAATGGCTGCACAGTCTTATTCATAAGGCATCAATCAACGAAAGTGGTTTAGGCTTTTTCGATATTCTGATTGGTTGTCTAGATATCAGCATTTAAAATTGGAGTAGCTAAAAAAATATTCAAGGCATGTTGCACTAAAATCCTAGCAAACTAAAATCCTAGTAAACTATACATTAGAAGAAAGCTCAGTAGCTGCAGATTATGATGAAAATATAATTTAAGCAAATTTTCTTTTAAGGAAGTGTCAGGAGCCGTAAGTGGTGAAATAACTAAAGGTTCTTCTATTGAATTTATTGGGTATTGTATGCGGCAGCACGAGATAAATGGCTGCACAGTCTTATTCATAAGGCATCAATCAACGGAAGTGTTTTGGGCTTTTTCGATATTCTGATTGGTTGTCTAGATATCAGTATCTAAAATTGGAGTAGCTCAAAATATGCAAAGCATGTTGCACTAAAATCCTAGCAAAATAAAATCCTATCAAACTATACATCTGATGAAAGCTTAGTAGCAGCAGATTATGATAAAAATATAATTTAAGCGACTTTTCTTTGAAGGAAGTGTTAGGAGCTGTAAGCCATGAAATGACCAAAGGTTCTTCTATTGAATTTATCTGATATTGAATGCCACAGCATGAGATAAATAGCTGCATAGTCCTATCCATAAGGCATCAATCAATGAAAGTGTTTCAGGCTTTTTTGATATTCTGATTGGTTGTCTAGATATCGACATCTAAAATTGGAGTAGCTAAATATGTGCAAGGCGTCTTGGGTAAATGGACACCACAGGACAAATATTTCAAGTATCAAAATTTCCCAACACACTTTCGTTTGTCGTTATTCCTGGAATGTTTAGGCAAAATTGGACAAAAATCGGTCAAATCTATATGCCCTATAAACTCGCTCAAAGTGGTTGTATTCCTTTAAAAATCAAATCCGAGATTTTAGCTCATAAAGGTTGGCAAACAACTCACACCCCACCAGGAGATTACTCACCTTCTGAAACCGCAAACCAATGGGACAATGGGACAATGGGACCTCCTTGTATCAATGACAATGGATCAAGATTTCCTGACGTCAATGACAATGGGTCAAGATTTCTTGGGAAAAGTAACCCATTGCAGACACGTAAAGAGGACGACACAATATTGAACAAAGTTGCCAAAGCCAAAGGCAAAACCTGTGGCAAAAATGGAAAAACCGCAAAATGTGCTGAGGAGCAAGACAACAAATTGACAGACAGTTTCAAAATTATGATCTGAGGCAATTGTAAATGTATTTGTATCAGAGCTGGTACTTGCATAAAGAAAAGGAAAACTTATTTTTAACATTATGTATGGCAAATTTTGGTTTGACAGCGACTTCTTTGTTCGAAAATCTGGATGTCAGCGTGGACCTCCACCAGTACTAGCGGCTTTCACAAAGGAATTTTTTTTTCTTTTCTTGACAGAATGGTACTCTTTCTTTCTTTTTCGGGCTTATTTATTTATTTATTTTTTTTAATTTTCTTTTTTTTACCCAGGAGTTTCTTCCACTTATGATTTTTCTATGAGCAAAAATTTTTCCATAAGTTAAAAGCTACCATGTGTGAATTTTGTTAAGTGCATGATGTAAACAAAATATGAAAGTACCATGAAAAACAAGCCCCATTATGAACAGTTGCTGTGAACCTTCTTCCAAGATTATGACACCTTCCTGACTATTAACTTTTATTTGAAAATACTTTTTTCTGAACAACTTGGGTGCTTTTAAAGGTTTTAGAATTTTTTATGGAAATGTTAGGTTGAATGTTTGAATTCAGTTTAGTCAAATAAAAGAAAAATCTATTTTTTCGACCTCTGAAGGTGGGAAGTAACCTTAACTGTGTCAACTCTGTTCCTTGCAAAATTAATCATATAAAGAAGCTCAAATAGGTCATTTCTGAATTCCCTTTGGCCTCCTTTTCAAAATGAGGCCTGGTGCTCAACCATTCATATAAAAATGAATTTAATTTGAATGTGAATAAAACTTATATAATCTATGAAAAGATGAGCACCAGGACTAGCTTTGTTAACGAGGCTAAAGGTAATTTGGAAATAGCTTATTAATGTACTAATTATGACAAGTGTGGTTGGACATCAAATCTTATTCTCTTTGTCAAATGGTAAGTGGATTCAAGGTCTGTTAATCTTTAAACTCCTGGAAGTGATAAACATACAACTTCTCCCTATAATATCCAACATTATCCTGCAAGCAGGTAATGAGAATACTCAAACTTATAAGTTAGAAGTTGTTATCTGGATCTTACTCCAAATTCTCATAACTAATTTATAGGAAATGTCTAGCAGCCAGATGGGAGAATTAACAATCAGATCTTGGGAGTTAAAGGGTTAACTGTACATGTGCTTTAAAACCAAGTATCTGTGATTTTTTGTTTAATTAATACTTTGTGGAGTAAGTTTCCCCTAACAGGTATAATTAACTAAAAACACAATCTCAACAAAAAAACTTGCCAGTGTTTCCTATCAACATGACGCGTTTAACCCTTTTTACTCCCAAGGGTGACCAAAAATGAATTTCTCCTTTCAATCTTGATACATTTTTAAGCAGAAAGGTAATAAGAAGAAAGAAAAGATCAATAGGAGTGCATCATTTGATTAAAGAATAAATTCTCAGGTATGGAATTATCACAAATGTATTGTGCAGAGTGTGGAGAAGTAACATTCAATCTCTCTGTTTTGCTTGTTAGTCCACTTACAATGCTGGTCAGTGGGAGGGACATCTTTGGCCATGGGCTCAACCTGATCTGAATTACGCTGCACCAGAGTACATATTGTCCAGATCTTGTGACCTGTCAAGTGATATGTTCTCACTGGGAGTTCTTATCTACTCCATATACAACAAAGGGAAGCCTCTCTTTGACTGTGATAACAATATGGCAGCTTTCAAGAGAAATGTTGAGCAGGTAGGTTAAAATGGCTGGAAAAACTTGCTGATATTGTTAAGAGGTGCAGTTTGAGACAAGCTTTGTTAGTAATCAGTTAATTTATTTATTCAAATTTAGGTGTTAATTCTACTCAGGAAATCACGGTTTTCATCAGAAAAAAAAGTGTTTGTTGCAAAGTCTTGTACTTGTTTCAAGCCAGTCCTATTTATGTAAATGAAAGATTGCCTTTCACACGTACTACTTTTCTACATACCTGTTGTTCAAACATAGGTAAAGGAACATTGTGGCTTCTTGTTCACAGTTTCTACTGTTTGCCTGTCAATAGAGACTTCTTTTGAAGCCAACAGCAATAACATGTGAAATGGTTAGCTCACTGGATAAGTTGTAAATGTTTTGGGAGCTTCTAGTTCACATTTACATATGTCTTCATTGCACAGTGTTTAAAATTAATCATCTAATTCCCATGAGTGACCAAGACAGAATTTCTCCTTACAATATCAATACAATATCAACCAGATAAGTGGTAAAAATTAAAAAAAATGTCAATTTGAGGATAATTAGTTGATCCAATACTAAATTCTCTGAACTAACATCATAAGAATTGTATGGCTGACAGTAAGGAGAATTACAAATTTGATCTGGGAGTTAAAGGGTTAAGCAACCTCTCAAATGTTTAATTCTCTCATCACTTTGCGGTAAGTCCCATTCCAGTTATTCTGAGCCAGCAGTTAAATGCATGGTTACTGAGGCTGTATTTCCTGGTTTGTAATGGTAATCAAACAATTATACATTTTCTTGAATTTTTCCTCACAATATCAAGCAGACAAGTGACGTGAATTAAGAAAAATCTTGAATAGGGGATTATTAGTTGATCCAATACCAAATTCTCCAAACTAATGTCACAAGAACTGTATAGCAGACAGTTAGGAGAATTACTAATGAGATCTTGGGAGTGAAAGGGTCAAGGGAAGTTCTCTTGATTGTCCTTGCCATCATGATGTATCTCTGCACTGAATCTTAGAAATCTCAATATTCCCAAGGCAGAATTCACCTGTAGCTTTAACACAGGTTGTATTATAGTCAAAGGTGTGAACTGGAGTTATTGTATCATGTTCATATGTAATGGTAGTGGGACTGAGTGTAGTAAAACTTGAGGAGTTATCTAGTGAGTGATTTCAAATAGGCAGAACTTGAACTCTGAGGCAGATTTAAACTTACAAGCACAAGATTGTTAGGGTTATTTAGATTCTACTCAACTGTGTCATTAACAAAATGCAAGAAATTCAGGAATGAAAAATTTGATGTAAGAGCACATTTGCTTCTTACTGATGCTGTTTGTTTTCTTTGTGGACCCCTCAACCTGCCAACTTAAGAAGTTTTTGGCTAGTAGTAGCTACAGGTGCAGGTTGTTGAAATTTGGAGGCTGATGGCTGTTGTGCTTAATATTGTACTGGCTGCTTAACTGTCGAATTTTTGCCTGTTTGATTACAAGTGTCTGTAACCAGACAGGTGAAATCAGGCAGTTTGGATTTGACACAGCCAATTAAGCCACAAATAAAGACTGTTAACCCTTTAACTCCCATGAGTGGTCGAGACAGAATTTCTCCTTACAATATCAATACAATATCAACCAGATAAGTGATGAGAATAAATAAAAATATCAATTTGGGGATAAAAAAATTAGTTGATCCAATACTAAATTCTCTGAACTAACAATATAAGAATTGTATGGTTGACAGGAAGGAGAATTAAAAATTTGACCTGAGAATGAAAGGGTTAAGAACCATTCATACTCAAGCATTTTGTTGTAGGCAAAATTACACCTGGATGAGTCTAACACCTGGTATTTTGAACCATTTTTGTTTGGACCAAGAGGCTTAAGTTACAAGTTAGAAATAGTAAGAGACATAAGTCATTTTTGTAAAACGTGCCTTGTTCCAGATGTCAAGGAACAGCTCAGCACCCCTTGGTTCTGTTCCCAAAGAGTTGCAAGAGCATGTTAGAAGTTTACTAAGCATTACTGGCACAGTAAGACCAGATGTTCACATGATGTCTAAGGTATGTTAAACAAACAATGTTAGTAAAGAAATGATGATGTTGCACAAACCTGCAAATTCTGTCATGGTGTGTTCCTTATAAATTTAAATCTGATGGTGACTTCCGCTAAGGTTGTCAAAACGGAAGTCACTACTAACCCTGGCGATCACATTACATGATCAAATGTTACTCTTTAATTCAAACCGTTTATTTTATGGCTGCATGTATGTTATGTTATCAATTCTCACAAACAAGGCTTTTCACTCTCAACTGAAAAAGATACTCTCACTTGACTCTGATAAACCTCTACGTTGCTGAAGCATCATGCAGTTCCACCGACAAAAATTTCTTTCAGGACTATAACCCTCACCTGGAAGATCAGGCTACACGATCTCATGACTGATTGTGTTTGATTAAAAATCTGTTGAATGAGAAAGATAGATGTTCCCTGATTTAAACCACATTTTATATTGCAGCATAATTTCAGAAAAACTTAGATTTGCACCTACTCCAGCCATTCATATGAACTGTATTTTTTTTAAATAAAAATCCGGACTGTGAGATCAGTAGGATATCTAAAACGTGCAAGATGGTCTCAGCTATAAGCCTAAAACTCCCATGAGTGATCAAGACAGAATTTCTCCTTACAATATCAATACAGTATCAAGCAGACAAGTGATGAGAATAACAAAAATACTAATCAGAAGGTTCTACGTTGATCCAACACCAAACTCTCCTAACTATACATCTATGAATTGTATGGAAGTCTGTAAGGAGAATTGCTATTGAAATATTAAGAGTGAAAGGGTCGCACATGCATTCTAATCATTTTCTTTTCGTTGCGTGTCAGATTTCATTCTTTGAAAATGTTGCAGCTATGACGTTACAGTACTTAGACTCTTTAGTGCAGCGTGATGACATGGCAAAGTCACAGTTCTTTAGGGGACTCTATAAGGTCATGTCAAAATTACCAAAGGTGAGTTCCTTTCTGCAAATATATTTTTCTAGATTCTCTATCTCTTTCATCGCGATATTTTGAAGAGCCCACTAGATATTTAGGACTAATGGTAAATCCACCAAATTCCACCTCACGTTCAAATCCTGCAGAAGTTCAGGAAGTACTGTGCTAGACTTGTTCTCTGGTCGTTCCAAGTTCGAGTCTACTACCCAGCCACTCATGGCCGGGTTTTGTTCTCGGTTGCTCTGTACCCAAATCCCCTCCCTGTGCTCTTTAAGTAATCAACTGTCTCAGTAAAGTAACTTGCTCAGTTTTGTAGAATACTAATGTCAATTTTTTTAAAGTCCTTCAAAAGTAAGGTTGTTGGAATGTTGATCTTAAGTGCTGAAATCATTTCTGTCGCAAAGTACAAATTAAACCTCTAGTTCTAAGGACACCTTAGGCACAATTTGATCTTAATTATTTTCGATAAGTGTTTTTTTTTTTTAAGTCCCAAAGGGGTAGTGAGTAGCATCTAATATCTCCTTACAATGTTGCCCCGTGAATCACACAGTAAGGCCACGAGAATAAAGGAAATGTTTACTAACGAAAGAAGCTCTTCAAGGTCAAACAAATTCTCCTTGTCAGCACCTTAAGAAAAGTATATAGAACAGTATGGAGAATATACATACTGATGTTAGGGTGTTGAGGGTTGAAGGGGTTCAAATTGTGAGTTGAGGGTTGTACTTGATTTCCATTTTTTGTATTCCACCATCAGCGTGTTGTTATACAGAGAGTTTTGCCACAGTTATGCTCAGAGTTTAGTAATCATCAGATGGTGCCGTTTGCTCTGCCTAATGTGTTACTGATCGCCGAAGACTGCACATCACAAGAATATGTGGACCTGATCCTCCCTGAGTTAAAGCCTGTTTTCAAGATACAGGAACCTGTTCAGGTGAGATCTTTTCTTTCCAGCGCTGATAAACATGTTACTTTTTTGAACCATTTCAGTAGATTATTCAGTAAACGCGGGTAATGAGAGTAAAAATCGATCTAGTAATGGTCTAGCTCGCCTTAGAGAGTCTCTGTGGCTCAGTGGTATATCCTCGAAGCGCGGAATTCGAAGGTTTGAGGTTCGATTCCTTTTGAACTCAGAAATTTATCTTTGTCTTTGGCTCGTGACCAAAAGAAAATCATCCTTTTCGAAAAAAATTTATCGGCCAATGCCATCTACAAGTTAATCCCATCAATTCTCTTCTTTTCTCCTCTGCAGGTTGTAATCATATTTCTCAAGAAAATGGACATACTCCTAGCAAAAACACCCAAGGACGATGTTAGAGATCACGTGCTCCCCATGGTCTGTAAAGCTCTTGAGACTCCTGCGGAACAACTACAGGTACAAAACGCTTGAAGCGCTAGAAAACGCAATTGGCTGAGTCGCAATGGCGATTGGTTTTAGTTTTGCATATGATTGGTTGATAAAGTAGCGCGATGTTTCTGGACCAATTACTGAGCGAAGTAAAGCAAAACCAATGCAGTGCTGAATTATTTTTGACACTCAACCGAAATGCGCCTTATACACATGAAGCTTTTGTACTTTTTTTTAACCTGTCGGAAGATGGCCACTCAAGTTACTCGCTCGATTGACTGCGTGGATTGTCAATGATCAACAGGCATTTCTGGATAGCTTTCATCTCTTAGAGAATACTTCTTGGTTTCTTTCTTTTTTTTAATGTTTGTTTATTTATCTGATTTAGGAAATGGTTCTAAGCATTATTCCGTCATTTTCAAACATGATTGATTACTCCGCCATGAAAAACTCCATCATCCCTCGCATCAAGAATCTCATTTTGAAGACTTCTTCTTTGAGTGTAAGTGAACGGTAACTGAAAACTTCATTACAACTGACAGCTCTTGATTCCTCATCAGAGAAGGTCATCTGGCTTAGGAAGCAGTCGTCGCTGTAGCCCCGGGTTCAATTATCGAATCTGGCGTTTCATTAAGATGGAGTTTGTTGTTGGTTGTTGTACTTGCCTCTCAAGCGTCAGGTACGGGAAAAGGCGTGTGACGAAGTCACGATTGGTGCCAGTCTTGCGTCTGAATGATTGAAAAGGTGACGCGGGTTTTTTTTTAGACCTCAAGCGAGGGAAAACGCGGGTGACCAAGTTGTGATTGGTTTCAGGCTTGTATGTGATTGGTTGAGAAGTTGACGCGGGTTTTCTGGTCCTAAAGCGCAAGAAAACGCGAGTGACCAAGTCGCAATAGGCGTCAGTCTTGTATCTGATTGGTAGAAATTTTGCGCGTGTTCTTTTGACCTATCACAACGTGCAGGAAAGCAAACTTAATTTAATCCCGAATGTCTTTCAACTTTATCATCGTGATTTTGCCTTTTTTAGATTCGGGTGAACGGGCTTGTGTGCCTGGGTAAGATGTTGGAACATTTAGATAAATACGCTGTCCTGGATGACATACTGCCGCTGATGAACCAGATTCCTTCCAGAGAGCCACCTACACTGATGGCCATCTTAGGTGAGGTTGATCTTAAAACTTCAATGGGAATGGAACTTGGCTTTGGAAAAAATCTTCCTTTGAGGATTTTGTTTTTCGCGTTTGTCTCGCGCGATAACACTAGATTTACATTTCGATCTTTTGAATTACCATTTGAAGTGCATTTTGTGTTCTGTTTTCAGGAATTTTCAAGCAAACCATGCTTCATAAGAAGCTCGGTATGGACAAGGATTACCTGGCGACAAAAGCTATTCCGTTTCTCTTTCCTTTAGCAGTGGAGCCGGGACTCAATCTTTCACAGGTAAAACAAACAGTGTAATACCCCTTAATAAAGAAGTGTTTGTCCCACGATGTAGTTACTTCTTTAACTTATGAGATGAAATTTCGATATGCTTATTGGTCGTTTTTTTCAGGAGACTGAGTCATCTTATGACGGTTGTATGACGCAACGCGGTGAACAGCTGTGATTGGCGCATTTCAATCCTCGCTGTTCTTTTCTACCTTTTAATTGTTTAATGAGCGATACGCTGTCTCTAGGTCGGGGGTATTCGCACGTCTCGAGTTTTTTTTTTTTTTTTTTACGTCCCCGTTTCATGACGGAAGGGTGAGATCTTACTTTAATCGGTCTGTGCCCCTCCCTTTTGCGTGAAACAGCACATCATGGGCATGCTCTGACGGTGATCTGCATTGGGGCAATTTGATATCTTGGTCATGTTCACTGATTCTGTCTTGCATGGATTTTTCAGTCTTATATTTATAGAGGGAAAATCTGGGAAACCATGCCATTTTCTTAAGCCGGGTGAAGAGCTTGCATCGCCGTGATTTTAGTGTTGTGTTTGACCCAAAACTATGCGTATATTTTCCTTCTGACTTCCTGAACTTCGCACTGAGATCTTCATTCTTGTATTGTAACTTGGTAACAGACGAATGCTGATCTGAATACTTAAGTAGCAATTGACAGAATGAAACTTAAAACTTTCTCGAAACTGTCGTCAGAGCAGTCAGGAAGATTGTGTAGAATACAGGACTTCCTATAATCCTCACCTCCCTATGACTATACACTGTTACTTCCTTTTTACTATTTCTGGCATCAATGACGTCTCTTGGAAAAGAACCTCCCGTGCTTTATTGGATTTTTTTGCACCCTAATAGTATTTTCGGAACTTTTTACCCTTTAAACCCAAAGAGTGACGAGTTTAAGATCGTAAGAATAAAGGAAATAATCACCAACTAAAGAAGCTCTTGATTGTTAAACAAATTCTCCTTGTCAGCACCTTGGGAAATGTATAGAGAACAGTAAGGAGAATATGCATAATGATGTTAGGGTGTAAAAGATTAAGGCCAGAACAAACCAAGATTCTATTTTCTGTCTTAAGCCTCTATGCGTATCAGACCGCTTTGTGTGTACACATCCAAAGCAAGTCTGTGCGACGCAGTTTATTTCTGTGATTTTAAATTCAAACCAGTTTGAGTTTGTGCGACTTGTTCTAAACAATTCTCTATGTCAACCAAAGCGAATTGTCTTTGCCACTTGTGTCTCGCTCTTTCAAGCGAGCCACGGCCACAAAGTTGCTTAACGTATCTTTAAAATTATCCGAAATTCAAACGAGTACGTTGTTTATAGACACTTTCCTTTTTTGGGGTCAGTTAAAACCCGGATGGCAATGATTGTAACGTATTTGTTACCCATTTTTTTTTTAAAGACTATTACATTAAGTTCTAAGCTCGATTGAATTGTCGGCGTTTGTTTGGACAAATTGAATTATTTCCCATAAGTTTTTCTTAACTTTGTTAATGTTAAAAATACTAGTTAAGTGAATTATAAATACATCGTAATAAATATGCTGCTTGCTATCTATCACAACTCAACCTCGCAAACTCATAGTCTAATGACCTCATGGAGAGCACCAAACAGTTATATTTTAAAGGTACACAGTCAACTTGCGAACCTTTAGAGGAAACCGAAAAACTTATAAGCTATTGGGAGATAAGAACGAGACACCGGAATAGGAAAAAATTCTGTGTTTTGTGCTCGCTCGTGAATTGTTACCCATCTTGTCACGTGCGTGGAACGAAGATAAATCAGAATCCCCATGGGGAAGAAAATGACAGACCTTCGGATTTGCACTTTCATGCTCTGCCACTGAGATTAAGAGACTCTGTGATGAGTCAGGGCAATACCAGGTTCACTTGTGACAAGCGTTTGTTTGCCTCGAAAATAAGAAAACAACAAAACCGTCATGTGAATTAATGATGAGCATCGGTGTAATCCGAAGGTCTGTGGTCCAATTTTTCGGACTATAGACTTCCTCCCACTCTCTGACATTACAAAGAACGTCTTTCTTTATTTTACAGATCAGTTTTGAATATTATCTCCGCGAACTGACCAACTTTCGCTGTTGTGCCGTTACGACTGCGTTCGTTGCTAAAATGGAATCTAACCCCCTCACAATCGAGAGACAACTTGCCTCCTTCACCAAAATCGGACTTTGGGCCTTGCATGATAACTTGCGCTATCAGATCCGTATTGTGTTTCAAGTAAAACGGTGGATCAACGGGTACATCAAATCCGTAGTACTCACTGGTCCTTTCTTGGTCGCTTTGAAAAATACCAACAGTAGAGAAACTTGGTAGATTACGTGTGTCACGGTCATGAATAGTGCGTGACGCGTGGTAAATCGCCAATTCCACGTAATACGAAGCTCGTTCAAAGCCGTACAGACGAATGCCGCATATAACGATTGGAGCCTCGACTGAGAATCTAATGCTGTCCTCGTATCCTCTCTTATAACTCCATTTTCTATTCCGTGGCAATACTTCCGGATCAGACGCTTTCGAAAATCTGTTGCATCTGAAAATTTTACCCCTTGGGAAACTCTCGCAAAATTCCTTGGGGGTCTCTTGGCAGAACCCTCCGTAGAATTGTGTGATGGCAGTAAGTTCTTTTTCCTTAAGCACTCCTGAGTTCGATACAAGGCTGGTGAATTCGGTAAAGGACATTGTTGAGAAGCGTAACAGACGAATCATTTTCTCTCCAAGAATATCACGGATGTTGCTCTCTTTACCGTCGCTTTCTGGTAGATTTTGACGCACCTTAGCCCAGTCTAACACTCTCCCAAATAGGTTAACTTCTCGGATCGTTAGCTCGTCTCTTTCGAGCACTTTTTCCAACAAATCTCTTTCGATCTCATAGAAGGAGTCCTGATTGATCGCTTGCTCCGTGTCAATATCGATGACCTTCCAGCACTGTTCAACGAGGTCGCCTTCGTCAAGGTGAATGACTGAGGGAAGGATTTCGAATACACTTGTCGCATTAATCATGCTGTGAAGCCTCTTTTTGGCCATTTCGTGTAGTAAAGGCACCATGTACTTCTTAGCCAGGTACAACAACTGTATCACGGTGTCTTCGCAGATACGAACCTCGTCACAGTAGAGAAAACTAAGGAATTCCTTTAAGCTGTCGGCATCGCAGTCAGGAAGGTGTATTTCCTGAGCTCCTTCTGTCGCTAAAGCGCCGTAGAACATAGTGAAAAACACAGGACTGCCCACAGAGAGAACGTACTTGTGAGCGTAAACGGTGATTTCCTTGCCTCCATTGCTGTCGTTTACGATGAACGTGACATCGCTTATGAGGCTGTTATTCACCATGGATTTATTTCGATCCTTGAAGGACGCTTTTTTAAGTGGCTCGTCTGCTCTTTGAACATTTTCTAATTCACTTGCCATGTTTTCCTGCGCGAAGAATTGTAATCTATTAACATAAACTGGTGGTTATGAAACGTCGAATCCTATTTCCGGTACTTCGGACGCCCGCTGTTTCATATCAATGGTACTTTCGAGTTATCGTGCTTGCCAACTTTCAGTTCCTGTCATTATGTCTGATACGGGTTCAGATTACGAAACATAGTGACTTATTCTTTAACTGAACTTCCTTGTTTAATATATCTGACAGGTCAGCGAGTACGAGCGCATTTTAACTCTGTAAGGCGACTTAAGATTTTTTAAAAGAATTAATTAAAAGGGATTTTGCATACTTCACAATTAGAATTTATATGTCGCATTTTTCTTTAATTATATTCGGCTGACTTACCGTAGGGTCGCAACTATGTGAAATTCTATCACGTACGTATCACCAGTTTTAACCGTTACATAAGAATAACATTGAGTCGCCTTCCGTTACAGCTATAAAGAAAGATTCCCAAAGTAAACTTCCCGTCAGTATTTGTAAATACACGAACGTGACTCTCACATGTTATTTTAGATGATAATCACGGGTCACTCGATCGAATCACAGATACAGGTTTGATTTCCATCAGTTGTTTGTTACATGACCAGGTAAATCACATCCTCTCTTCTGCAATAGAGTGCAGTGGTGAAAACAAAGCATTATATTGTGCCCGTTTCTCGAAAGTCGCGGTGGTTGTTGCTTCGGAGAAGGTTTTTTTTTTCTTTTCTGTGCTGTGTTTGCATGCAAGATCCAAATTCCAATAGTTTTGAAATAAAAACAATGAAAATCATGATATCACGCAGTGAAAAGAAGGGACTGGATTTTTCGTAAAGACCCGCACTAAATTTCCTAAATTTAGCTTTGGGCCTGAAATTCACACAAGAATTTTCGAGAAACAGGTCCTTGAAGATATCTGATAAGTTTGAAATGTTCGGAATACTTGATCGAATTGGACTCCGTCTTGGCAGTTTCATTTCCTCTCAGCTTGCAGTTTCATTTCCTCTCAGCTTGCAGTTTCATTTCCTCTCAGCTTGCAGTTTCCTTCGCAGCTGTAATCAGTGATCTCCGGCTGAAGTACCAATAACCTGTGCTTTCTTTGGCTACTTGTTTCACCCAAGAAGCGTCTTTAACTCCCACGATCTGATTGTTAATTCTCCCCACTGATTGCTACACATTTCTTTGTAAGTTATTTACGATAACTTGGTGTTAGATCAAAGTAGCAACTCCTACCTGATACGTTTGAGTATTCTCATTACCTGTTGGCTGGATAATGTATGGATGTCGTAGGGAGAAGTTACATATTAATCACTGTTGGGAGTTAACGGATTAAGTAAACAGTAAGTGACAGTAGGGGGCATGAATCGTAATAGGAGCTCGTTCTTTTCGTTCCCCTCCCCCCAATACTTTACTAGTTTTACGGTTGGTTTCTTAAAAATATGTGGAAAACTCTGGTTATCTGTGAACCACATCACTGATAATATTGTCTAACTTTTCTGTTTTATTTTGCCTCTAGTTTGGCCAGTATATGAAACTTATCAACGAGATGGTGAAACGAGTGGAAACCGAACACCGCACAAAACTGGAACAGCTTAACAAGATGCAAGAACAGACGAAGTAAGAGAATTTCAGTCCATTCCCCCAACTCAGTGTTCCACGCTCCCTCATTTCCTGTTACTACTTTCCCTGTTTTCCTTCTTTTCACCCTTTCTTTGTTCCCTCAGATCTTCCTTCTTGCCTTCCTTCTTTCCATGTTATCCTCCCTTCTTCTGTATCCTTCCCTGACCCTGCACCCCTCAGGCGTATGCCTTCCCTGTCCCTGCTCCCCTCAGGCCTTTGCCTTCCATGTCCCTGCTCCCCTCAGGCCTATGCCTTCCCTGTCCCTGCTCCCCTCATTTCTTCAGGTGCCAGGTTTGTACACTGTTATTCCTCTTTCTCTCCCATCCTCTCGTCCTACACCCTGCTTAGGTTATTTCTCCTTTGTTCACAATTAAGTGAAACGAATCATCTGTTAATCTGCGGCTGAAACATGAAGAAAGAAGTGATCCTCTTATGTAAGATGTAAATAACCCTTTAACTCCCAGGTCAAATTTGTAATTCTCCTTACTGTCAACCATACAATTCTTTTAATGTTGGTTCAGAGAATTTAATATTGGATCAACTATTTATCTCCAAATTGATATTTTTCTTTATTCTCATTACTTATCTGGTTGATATTGTATTAATATTGTAAGGAGAAATTCTGTCTTAGTCACTTACGGGAGTTAAAGGGTTAAAGAAATTTCACAAAAGAAGGCTGAAAAAATTTAAGCTTGGACAGGATTCGGACCCGTGTATCCTAGATGCTAGTTCGGCGTCACAACCAACTGCGCCACGAAGTTACTTGTTAGGACATGTGGCCTCGTAGTGGCTTTGTTTCTTACGCACCGTTTCTTCCTTCATCAGTTTTCACCTCCTAATTTGTTCATCAACATCCAAATCGCATTGCTTCTCAAATTTTGCATTACAGAGGTGGTAGTTAACATGCAATAACTGTGGTTCCTTTTCACGTGGTCAGATCGTCTTTGAAGTTCGTCGAGGAAGTGCAGGAAGCAAAGCAAATGGATGATTTGATGGGCAGAATAGACAAACTCATGGGTGGTAATACTGAGGCTGAACAAGCAGGTATTCATCGGTTCATCATCAAATTATGCTCTTCTGCTTTGTCTGCCAACGGACAGGGGCCTGTTTCTCGCAAGTCCTGGTAACTCTGCGGACCCTAAGTAACATTTTTTTAGGCTAATCTTGAGGAATAATATAACAGGTGTTGGGTGGAAAAAAAACACTTCATTGTGTCTCGTCTCCTGATATTTTTATTGTTTAAATTCCAAGACAGTCAATATCATGATCGTGAATAAAACACAGCAGACAATAATCAGGTTTTGAAAGACTCAGGCAATTTAGTGTTAACAACTGAGTTGAAAACGTGAATTGACCACCATAACGAGCTTAAAGGCTTGAAAAGTTAAAGAGTTGAAAGACTCAGTTAAGTTACGGTGTCTTTTAAAGACACGGTCTCCTGAGGTCCAACTCCTTGAGACTGCACGACCATCTCTCAACCTTTAACTCAGGGTAATTAACGCAGTGTTTCGTTTGATGATTATTTCTTCCCACGGAAGGCTGCTTCTTTTATCATCAGCAAGTAGGCTTGTGAGAGGTGTTGTGCGCCACGATGATTGTAGTGGCGCAAATGTTGAAATTCCTAACTGATTTTAATGCAGATTTAGAGAAGTTGTTGTGGTTTATTGAGTTACATCATGATTCTTTTTTTCCTTTTTTTTTTTTGTTCTTTTTTTAAGTCAAAGAGTTAAAAAGCAGCAGCGGTGACTCTTCTTTATCATCATCCACTTCAATCGGGGCAACTAGTTCCACAGAGGTAAGAAAAAAAACCCAGAACCTTTTCTCGTGTAATCTCAGGGTTAGTTTCCAAGTGAGTCGACTAAGATTACTGGAGAATGGCGTTTGTTGAAAGCTTCAACAAATATCTTTATATCGGAGGAAGATTTGAACTTTAAATTACATCCTATTCTAGTTCAACAAAATGTTTGGTTTGCCGGGAAATCCTTCGTCGTCGAAAGGCCCATCCCTGAGTGGAAATCTGCTGGGTGTGGACGAATTTTCCATGCTGCAGCCTTCGAAGAAGAACCATGATGGACCAACAAACCCAACAACACAACAGAAGGTGAACAAGAGTCTTGATAAAACGTACTTGTGTAGCTGGGCTTTTGATCAGACCTTCTGCAATGCTTATTTTTTTACAGTTGCCTTTTCGAATGTTCGACTTTCAGGAAGTTATAATTTCTCGTAAAGAAGGGTGTTTAGCTTTTAGTCACGGTTATGGAACTTCAAAATGAGCCGCGAATTGGAACTTGTTTGGATGCTCTACCGCTGACCAATAGGCAACTTTTGGTGAAATCGGCAAAACTCAAGGTTGATGTGTAACACGCGGTGTGCCTTATGATAGACTCAGCGGTATCAAAAACGTCCTGAGCAGCGATATTGGATGCAAATGTGTGAAATTTTGGTCGTCTTATTTGTAGCGAGTTTTGAATTCACACATTCATGTGGTAAATATTCTGAATTTTTTTTTCCGCCTTTTGTTTCGTCCGTAGTCCACAACGTCGAAGAAAACCTTGGCGTCAAGCTCGTCATATCCTGCTACCTCTCGGCCCTCTCAACCTATGGCCCCTTCATCCTTGTCGCAGCCTGGTATCTCTGGGGTTAATCCCTCAATGGGGATGTCTACAGCCTCATACGGAATGTCTGGGCTTCATTCTGGTAATACCGGAATGGGTTCTGGAATGGCCAGCTATACAGGAATGTCCGGTATGAACTCCGGTATGACTGGATTATCAAGTCTAAACACGTCCATGACGGGATCATTTCGGATGAGTCCCGCGAGTTCCTCGCCACGTTATTCTTCAGCGGGATCCGCCGCGGGAAATCCAGGAAAAAACACGAGTGGTTCCTCTGCACTGGATTCCTTATTTGCTCCTGAATTAGGACATTTACAGAATAAGGGTAAACCCTCGATGAACACCTTGCAATCACAACAAGGCGGTATGCCGGCTGCTATGAATCCAGGTATGTTTTTCTCAGGAGGCATTAGCTCCTACTAGAAGATGGAAATAGTTTTCCACTCGCTTTCAGACAGTAATGTTGGTTATGGTTTTTCCTCATTTGAAGTTTTATCGCTTGCTATTTAACTTGTGTGTCACATAAACTCTGCCTGTCTGACCGTCGATCTGTCTCTTTTTGTCAGACCGTCTGTAAATCTGTTTTTCTTTCTTTTAAGTGGGCCTAAAAACGCCTTTTATTGTATCTTGATTTATATCCGTGAAATTTTTCTTTAAAATCGCAATTGGCAAAATGTTTGGTGGTTTCGAAAAGTAGTGCAAAATTGTACTCGTCTCTTCCACGACAAGGTTAAAGTCTTCTATCGCAAACACCTTTATGATCATTTGTGTTTGTGTAGCTGTTGTTTGACGGTTTAGTGGATCGTCACATAGTGGCTGCCTTACTGAGTGACACATCAACTTTTTGGCCCTAGTACTAGGGAAAATTAAATAAGCACCGAGAATCAGCACGTGTCCTTGTGTTTAAGGTGTAAGAGGAATGAGACCTATGACACCACAGCAGTATGGCGGAGGTATGCTGACGTCCTCATCCGGGATGTTTCCCATGCAACAGCAACCGTTGATGGGTGGAATGGGGAGCCAGCAGTATCAGTACCAGGCCCCTAAGAATCAAAATTCTATGAACAACAGCAATGACTTACAAGATCTGTTTGGTTAGCAAAGCGAATTAGCCGTGTTCTTGAGAGGGGTACTCCCCCTTACACCATAGAACTTTAAAATGTAGACAGATAAATATTGTTTTACATCAGAGGTCAAAACTTCTTTCAAGCTGGTTGATTGCCATGGGAAATGATGGCTTAATACGAAATTGATAGCTCTTGGTTTAGAGAAGAGAAACCTTTCCGCGCCCAGTGATCCGTAGAGTTCCGTGAACTATTGAAGCTTGCCTACGAGGCTCTTGTTTAAAATTGTTCTGATAGAATTTCAACGCCTTTTCCCATCGGGTTGGGCCTGCTGTCTACTTTAAAACGGCAATTTCAGTCACTGGAAACGAAACCTTTCAAAGACCGTCACGCAGCTATTTTGGAAAGGTCAGTTATTGAAAACAAGGCTTTTCGAAACGGTGATTGGAAATGGCCACGTATCATCGTCACAGGCTTCTTTTTGTTATTATTACAAGTAATCGAAAGGAATACATTTTCAATTTAGCGCATGCTCTACTCCAACCTATTGCTGAAGCGAACAAATAGTTATACCATTAAGTTGGTTGGCTCGTTATCCATATTCTTTCCCACACTTTCCCTTAAGCGAATTGGATAAAGTTCACTACCTGAAAAGATAATGTTCCCTCGTCATTTTATCATCTCATCCATTCTGAGTAGCTCTGATCTTATTTGGAATTAAGTCAAGATGACACTCGACTTGATAAGTTGATTCCCCTCAGCACCTTGCAGACAGATAATGTGACACTGTAAGAAGAAATTAATTGACCATTCCAAAGATGAGATATTTAACGGCACGATATTTAACGTAACTTACTGTAGAATATGTAAATCAACGAACACACTTTAGCATAATCTACACTCATGTCAAGATTTCATGTTAGTAGATACTACGTTTTGGTTAACTTTGGTAAAAGGTTAGTCTCTATTTAAAAAGCTACTTTTTTATTGGTAAAATTTTGTAATTTAAACATAAATCCAGTTAAGGTTTCATATCCATTCTTGAGGTATATTGTCGACAAAATACTACATAAAACGTTATGAAAATGATGGAAATATATTTGGTCACGTGGTGCTCATACATTACAGACATGTGCCCAGGTCTACCCCGCGTGAAACAAAAAAAAAACTGGGTACCAGATCACTTTCAACCACCAAGTTTGATCACCTGGGTCTACCTATCGCATGGTCAGCACGGAGAAAGAAACCAAGTAGAGCCTTAAAACGTGGCTTCTCAATGAATCTACTTTAATTTGTGAAAATAGTATTGAAACTTTTTGAACTCAGGGATGCATCCGATCTGGAGACAAATACTTCACCTCCATACGACAATGTGGCACTCGATTGAGTACCGTGAGACCAAAATCGACACTTGTAATTACAACGGCCAGTCAGAATCAAGGTAAATGTCTGAGCTTCCAAGGAGAACTCGAACCAAACACACGCAATCGGTCCAAAGCGCAAGGGAGAGGCTTGCAACTGATTTTGTTTTGGATCAGATCGGTTAAGAAAGTGGTGAAAGTTTCAAACCATTCAGAACGGGATCTTTCGTCTACCGTCTATCGTCTATGTTTTAGTACATGCCATCAAATTACAAAGTAAAGCAAATCCTGGGTAATTAGGCTATTCGTGAAAAGACTATGAACATAAGAAACCCTAAACTGAAGCTTAAGATTGGGGACAGAATGTTCTTTTCCGCGAAATTATTTACTTTATCTTTACAAACAATGTTATTTTTAGGAGAAATTTAATACTTTTATGGGGTGTATGCCTCTTTTTTTTCGTAGTTCATTCATGGTAAACATAACTTTTTATTTCCCTTTTTTTCAAATTCTCCTTAACATTCATTGGATAATTCATGATATCCAGTCTCGGCTGCTATCAAATATCTTATTTTTTGTACAAAAATATATTCCTAATGTTTATGGCTAACCTTGATGTAGCTCTTTCTATGTACAGCAAAAATGATGAAGAACAAGCGATGTCGTTTATTTCCGAGTGCTATGCAATATTTGTATCGGTTTCCGATTGCTTCCGATTTTTACCGACACCAAAGACTTCCGTTTTTTCGTCGATAACCGAGCTTACCTACTAAAATACTGGGTCCTAGTATAATTTCGTCAGAATGCCACAGGTCTTAGCTTGCTGCCAAAAGCGTTTCTTCAGAAACGAGTACAACTTCACATCAGCCCAGTTTGCTCTGGTGATGTCTCTAATAAGATCTCTAGGAATGTCGTCAAACTTATATTCGGAATTGTACTTAAATTTACTGATATCCTCTAAGGGGATTTTAGGGAAAAACTTAGGCAACCGCTTATTCAGTATTTGAAGGTAGACATCGTAATTTTCCAGTAAACCTACTGTGGCATAATATCGTTTGATGTTACTCATAGCCTTGCGCAGCGCCCTTCCATTTCCTCTGCGGCAATAAGAATGTTTCCCGCAGAAAAATCTCGTCATGACGTTATTTTGACATCCTTTATGTTGCAATCTGAAACATTTCTCTAAAGATTCGTCCTGTTCTCCAGATGCGCGAAATTCTTTAATTCTATAGGCAGGCCGTAAGTTGCTCCTCATGTAATGATAGTGAGACACCAGCCGTCTTACAGGATCGCGTACTTGATTGATGTACGTATGAGCCTGCGGTAAGTTCAATTTTCTCCGAAAGTAAAAATGCGCCACAAATGCCATGCGCGGGTATTTCTTGAGTTTGTTGGCTTTTCTTATGATAAGTCCCGGATATGGGCGGGACGTGCCTTTATCGTACCAGTCTTCCGTCGTTCCTTTTAACAGAGAAATGTGGCATAAGCAAAAGAGAGATTACCGTTGTCGTTGTAGGGAATGTCACGCAACGATGCTCTAAGGCGTGACATGTCAAAAACAGCCAGAAAAGAGACCAGCTATTGTGATTCCTCATTAACTGAATTAATGAAAATTTCCCTTAATTACCCTAAAAAATGATTTAAAACAGAAAATTCCCGATCGCCTGATGTTCCCCGAGATTTTAAGACTTCGCTAGCTTAATTAAGAAAATAAACAAAAAGAATGCAAGTCTTCGCAAAAAAATCTCAATCTCTTATCTTCATGATATTTCATCAGTTCTAACAAGAAACACCGCCCTCTCCCGACCCCACCTCCCCCCCCTCTCTCTCTCTAAATGACTGTATGAACCTCAAAGACTAGATAGCTAACATGAAGGACTTAAATTAATTGATTCCTCCTTCTCGGTTCCTTGGCCGATGTTCAATAACTAATGATTCTTTAAGCATGGAAACAATTGATGCAGTTAACAAAATATCCCATTACACAGTCAAGAAGCTCACTGTTATTCTACAAGCATAGTATCATAGAGTTGATAAAGCCACTTGATATTATACTTACAAGAGAGCAATTAGTAATTAAGGTTAATCACTCATTTTTAAGAAAGTGGGCGATTAATGATGATCAAAGAATATACGAGAACGAAAAATATGATTGAAAGAATGAAAATGTTATGTGTTATGCGTTATGTTTTGCGAGCTATGTTTATTTGGTATTCACGTTAGGCAGCGTTTTTCGTTAAACGTTATTGAAGAGTGACGTCAGTGATTTTGTTTCCTAACTTTCTTAAGTTAGTCAATCGCATCAGGCAATGTTAGCTCCTTATTCTGGATCCTGTTAAAACCACTGGCACTAGTTCTTCGACCACTCACCAAATTATTTTCAAACAAAGACTGTGCTTTGGGGTTTTGGAAGAAACAAGTCTTACCAAGATTACTTTACCGGAAAATTGTCGAAAATTGAAGCCTCATTCCGCAAAAGTCATTTGATCTCATTTACATACCTTTAGTTTGTACATGTACTTTAGTTTCAGGCACAAAAGTGAAACCCAAGTATTCCTTTAAAGAACTTCTTCTCACCTATTTTATAGTGGTAATTCATTCTTGAACTCGAGTTCGTAATTATAAATTCTGTGGTTGAACTCCCCGTCTTGAAAATACGATTATACAACAACACTTTTGGATCCAGGGCATCACATCTGATCGCGTCAAACTTCAATATTCCATTAGAGCCATGTTTTGATTGTTTGTTCATCTCAGATTTCTCCTCTACCCTCAAGGTTTTACTGTTTTGGTTCTCAAAGTCGACACTATCATAATCAAAATAAAGAATTGTGCGCTTGAAAAATTGTCTGTGATATATAAATATTCTGTTTTATAACTGACTTCTGTTCAAAAAGTTCAAGTTTTCGTTCATGTTATCCTGAGTCGAGGTAAGATCACGTCTCAGGGAAAAGAAAGTTGTGCCACTTGTCAAAAAAACATTTTTTTTCGGTACTGAAGTACCATGTTGTGGTAAGACAACTGACAATTACTGACTGACTGCCAGTTTGAAAAGTTGTATCGAATTTCAGCAAGAGAGGTTCGAAATCACCCCAATTGTAAAAAGCTGTTTTGTTGTGACTAGTACTAGTGGAGCTGTTTGATCTCTGTCATGTTGGTTTGATGTGAATTCGTGATCTGAGATGTAAACGGAGTTAATGATGCACAAATGGTAATGTTGTATGCGGATCGTTGCGAAGGAGAATGGGTAGTGGTCGCGTTATGTCAAAGCTGCTAAAACAAACCTTCTAGAACCTTCATCCCCGGGCTCTTCTGAGCCAGTTCCGCTCGAAACTGACGCATGCTTTTCAATGATTGTCGCATTTAAGAAATATTTCAAAGACGAGAGACCTTCCTCGCTCTTTGAAGAGTTACTGGGGTTTCTAACTGTGTTTAAAACCAACTCCGGTGTGCTAGTCCCTAGTTTATCCGCTTCTGGCCGTATTATCTTTACATCAGCCTGGGTCTGACTAGACCCCTGGTCCTCGAGTTTTTCATGTCGCTTTACTTTCAAGGAACTTCCAGTGATTTCTTTCAAAGCACTGCTCAAGTTGAAATCGCGAAGATCCTCCCACGTACTTTGGTTTAATAGAAGGGACAAGATTTTCAGATTGGACTTCTCCTCCTGAATTTTTGGATTCGTCGTCCTGGAGTCATTATCTTGCCTAGCTAAGTCAATATGATTTGCCAGTGCTAAAAGAATTTTCTTTAGATTTAACGGAGACTGTTGTTCACTTGTGTGGCTCTCTAGCTTCGTTCCAATGACTTTAATGTAGGCATCATCAGTGTGAGCAGTTGTGTCGTTTTTAGCAGCGCCTGATCTGTTACGACCACCTTGTTGGAGAAATTTAACTAGGAGAGCCGTGCTATCTGGCGGTGAAGTCTGTTTGGTATCTGTTGCAGGAAGATTTTGACTTCCCATACCCTTGGTTAGTTTTCCAAGAATGTCGCTTAAGTTGAATGGTTCTTTTAAATCTTTAGTGCCATTATTGAATCCCAACAAACTATCTATCAAAGGTTGAAGACTATCACGCAAATTGCCTTCCCTACGATCTCTTTTTTCGCGCACGTGAGCTGTATCAGCGCCCACCTGCTCAAAAGCCATGTTCGCTCTTTGCGCCATATTGGGCTCTATATTCTTGGTACCATTCCCCTCTTGAGTAATATTTAACACCGGTCCAAAAAGCGTTCCGTTACTTTCGGTGTAATTATGAAGAAAATTCATCATTTCTCGTTCCTTTTCAGTAATTTTCAAAAACTTTGCAAAGAAAGGTGGAGGGGTGATTGTAAGAGCTTCCCCCGTTTTGTTGCTTTTGGAATCGAGAATAGTTCCATCTTTTTTGACCGCAGATGTATTGTTTATTGTGTTGTTCACCTTAGATGTTTTGCCAAATCTTCTTTCGTACGATGACTTGTTATTCTCACTCATCAAAGTTTCGTTACTCTTTTTCTCCACTGAAAACCTTTTAATCGCTGTATTACTTGACGCCGCTCTTTCCTGAAACCGCGCTTCATAAACTGGTTTGACAGGCTTTTCTTGTTTTACTTGTTTTTCTTGTTTGAGAGGTTTGTCCTGTTCTGGAACTTCATCCTCTTCTTCTTCGTCAGTCAAGTCTACTCTTTCAACTCGTACCAGTTTCTTCTCTTTGCTCTTTCCTCCATTACTTCGCGACTCCTTCAACTTTTCTAGAAGAGAATGCTCGTGTTGTTTTATTCTCCTTCTTTGTTCTCTCTCCCTGTCGACATATTCGTCGACTTTCTCGACGCGTATGAGTTCTCTGTTGGCTTCTTCTTCGGATACGTTAGCTTTTCGTAAAATTTCTTCTGCGATCTTTCCAACAATATCAGAAGGAGGCAAAAGGTGTTTTTTGAATTCATGAGTTTTTTCTGCTTGTGTATTGTTATATTGTTTCTCCCCTCCAGTCATTAAATACGAGTGATCAGTAGTTCTGTTCTGGTAAAAATGGAGTTTTTCAACATTTTCATTAGTAACATTAATAGTCTTTCCTTCATGTCCTTCTTCTTTACTTTTCACGTGAAGATCACCAAGTGTTCCTGAAGTCTCGTGATATGACCCTGTGGAAATTCAAAAGTGCTTTAATTAAGAATCTAATGAAGTTTAACGCACTCAATTTTTAATAAAGAGCGGTAAGGTAATCTCAGATTAGAATCAGAAAATTTCGTAACATCCCCTTAGCCAATTTGATGCAAAACTTAAACTGGTATTACGACTTGGTTCCTCATACGCGTTTTCCCACGCTTCAGACAATTTGCTCTGTTTTGAACCTGAGATCTCGTTGCTTCATTGCAACTTTTCCCCTTTTTTGCCTTCCCTTCTTTTTGTATTCCGAAATTCCATTGTGTTACGCGCTTTGGAGCTGATGGGTAGAATTGTGGCTCAATACATGAAATTATCAACTGATGGCCTCAAGCATTCGCATTCGGTGAATTCGAGATACGAATTATTTAGTTCCATTTACGAGTTCAAATATCGAGTTTTTATTTTTGGTTGCTATTTATGAGGTACTTACAATTTTGGGTTGCTATTTATGAGGTACTTATAATTTTATTATATCACTTCACATGGCTATCAAGTAACTTGGTTAGTTCAGCTCAGTTTGATTGCCGTTATGTCGCTCATTCTTGGTTAGTTCCGCTCTGAAATATTTTCGCTTCTCGCGTTTTGTTGGCTAAATCTGTCGCGAGGCGGAGCAAGCCAATTCCGCGCTATGAATTGAACCTTTGTGAGTGCAAGTACGTTCTTTAGAACATGCAGTTTTCTATTGAGTGTCGAAAGTAATCCGAGGTTACATCGATGTTGTTATCCTTTGCTCTGTGATTGGTCCAGAAAACTTGTGCCACCCTCTGAACCAATTAGATGCAGAACTAAAACCATTTACGTCTTGGTCGCCTGCGTTTTCCCGCCCGCGTTTTCCCGCGGTAGTTTGGTTGTTTTTGCTTCGAGTTCTCATTGGCTCTTAAAGTTATTTTCCTCTTCTGATTGGCCGTCATGATGACTTTGGTTTTGGCTTATGACTCCCAATCGAAAAGCGCTCTAAAGTGATCATCTATTTAGATAAGCCCTGAATTGATGACAGGGCCTTCGAACGATTTAAGATTTAAGATTTGTAATAACTGAAGGTGTGGGTGTTGAATGAATGGTAATATACCTTTCTGTGTCTCCATAGGTGTTCTCATTTCCAACGGTCGCTTTGCCTGCACGATAACAGAAGCCACCAAAACTTCCGCTTGTGGCTTGGTATCTAGTCTGTCTCGGTCCAGTCCACTTAAGAAGGGAAAAGTGTAGCAAACAGAATTTCCATTACAATACGAGTACAGAACCACGAGTGTGACTATCACAAGGAAACTTCCCAAGCATAAACTTCGCTTTGTCTGCGGCTTCATGATGGATCGGTACCTGTAGAAAGGAACCGCAGATAACTTAACAAGATCCCTTCCGTACCGCATGAACGTAATTTTTCTCCTTGATTAACCCCAGCCTTGGCCCCTAAGAATGAGTAGCATCTAATTTCTCCTTACAATATCACCCCTTAATCACACATTAAGGTCGCGAGAATAAAGGAAATGATCTCCAATCAAAGTAGCTCTCGATCACAGAAGGATAGCGAGCGACACTGCTGTTTGCTTCATGTTACTTAGATTGAGATATCCCCAATCTAAATGTCCACCCCAAAAATTGGAGACACCTCGCACTAAGAACCGACTCAACGGTGTTGTTAGTCCACAAATCTTAAAGGGAAACTAAATATTTAATTTTTGGTTGAGAATCTTAGTGTGAGAATTTACTCTTTTAAGTGTTGACTTCAAGTATAACCTGCGGTGAGAGAAGATTTAAAATCAGTTCTTGCAAAAGGACAATCACATAAAGCAAAACTCGTTATTTATAGGATAAATTGTATGAATTGATAACCACCAAACTTTGGATTTTCCCTGCCGATCGCTACCTATTAGCTTAACTAACTTAATAAAGTTGGGAATTTTTCTTTACCAGAAACGAAACGGTAGACATAAAAATTACCGTTTTTTTCCAAACACTAAAACAAAGTGGTACTTTTTCAAAACGAAGAGACGAAATGAAAATATGATAGGCCAGGCATTTTACTGAAAGATAGATTGCTATAATCTATGCTAGGAGCATTTTGTAACCTTGCGGTTACAACATTTCAATTACCATTCGAATCTTGGGAAGATCTGTTTAAGTCAAGACTTGCTTAAAGTCCTTCAGTACCAGTAAATATTTTTTCAGCGAAGTTTTTATCCCATTAAAGTCGAAAGTTTTATATCATTGTTGTTGAAAAGAAAACAAACCTACCTGAAATAGGCCGCTCTTTTGATTTTCCGGTACAAACAGAATTGCAGGGTAACCACAGCTATCGTCACGTACCAAAAAATTGTGAGTGTTTTAATAGCCCAGGAAAAAATGATTCCATTGAACTGAGGGTCGTACGTCTGCTGAGAAAGAAATTAGTTTCAAGACTTTTTCAACGTGGATATTTAAATCTCATCGTTAATTTCGGGGCAGTTAGACGATTTTCAGCTCAATTTCTGGTGACCTGTTGTATCTCTTGAATACTCCACCAGTAAAATCAGCTGGTATTTCTGTAGACGCTGGCGGGTGCGTTGTGTCAGAGGGTGGAGTCGTTGCGCGAATGCTCTTTTGTTTATAACATTCTCGGAAAATCTTCGGTGAAGCTCGAACATTTCCGATTTTAAAGAGTGCACACGCAGGGCCTCGCTTTTGGTAGACGACATGAGAATATTTTGGTTTTTTTTTTTTTGCTGTAATCTCACTGTAAATAAAACTGATCTAGTCCAAACATGTTACTTTAGAGCTGAGTTTTTCAAAAGTTTCAAATTTTATAATTTGAATTCAGAGCATTCATTATATCATTCTCCAGCAATCTAGCAGGCCGTAGTTCACTGCGCGACCCGCAAACTTCAAAAATTTGTATGAATTTAATCTTTCCTCTCCATTTGAACCCAGAGACATATTAAACTATTTTACTAACCTCGTTTTCTCGGTCCTTACTGTAAGTTACGAGACCTCGTAACATTTTTTTTTCGCTGATTCTTTTTTTGACGTTTAAGACGTCGAATCTAATCCACCTATCACGTACGTGTTCCGGCTCTAAACGCTTCTTTTTTCTTATCACTTTTCAAGATTATTACTAGTACTTTAGGTACCTTTTCAAATAAGATGAGTTCGCGTAAAACACCTTTTTGATTTCAAGCTTGAAGATCTGTTCCTAAAAAATTTCATGGATCGAGTATTCTTTTCCAAAACATTGCGAAAATGTACTTCGTTACTGAAGCTGTGTTCATGCACTTAATGCGAACTTTCTTCAAGCTTCACTGAATTACACGACAACAAAGCATACTCGATGTTTTTTTTCAAATAACGCTACCTTGCAAAACAACAACAGTGTTTATAAAGTATTAAAACCTGCATTTGGAATAACTCCCGTAGTTTCAGAGGCGCTGAATTGAATAGAAACAGTTCCAACCGCCATCGAGTTACAAATGTGTCTCTATGGACCATTCTTTGCTACAATTACCATGAATATGACAGAGTGAATACTTAAGTTACTAACGTCTATGAAGCTTTTGAATTTCCCCCTCTTAATAACATCACCGCTATGTAATGACCATTCGAATGTATGGCGAGACATTACGAGGACGTAACCTTAACTTGATTCATAATTCATTCCGTGAACAGTCGAGTAGCCCTAAAATAGGCAACTACCAGTTTACAAAAGAAAGCGCGGTTGGTCTGCTCAGCGGTTATAGTAGCGTGCAAGGCATTAAGACACAGCTGGTATCGTCCCTTCCTGATGCCAGAACTTCCACACTCAATGTTTTTCTCCATCCAACTGTGTTATGGATACCAGTGCGGACAATCGGATATGATATTAACCTTAGGCAAACCTGCGAAGAGCATACCAAACGGGTATCTTGTTTGAAAGCTTTTCGGTCGAGTTTCTTGTAACAAAACGCAAGGTATTCGAAAAATTCAATCAGAAAAAAGGGAAGTATCACAAGGAACCAGTCAGAAATCTGTGTGGAAAGACGCAAACTGCCCGAAGTGCGGGAAAACGCGAGTCGCCCAGCCGCCATTGGTTCTAAATTTACATCTGATTGGTTAAAAAACGGGCTCATATTTTCTAGTCCAAGCTCTGAGCGGATTAACCCCTCGGAGTGACTAGCATCTAATTTCTCATCACAAGATCACCCCTGAATAAAACATTAAGGTCGTGAGAATAAAGGAAATGATCAACAACTAAAGAAACTCTGGATTGTTAAACAAATTCTCCTTTTCAGAACCTTAAGAAATGTATAGTGAAAGTATGGAGAATATGCATACTGATGTTAGGGTGTAAAGGGTTAGAGCAGGCCCTAGTAATCCTGGGTCACCAATTGAAAATTGCTCCACCGTGAAGTTGTTTCAAAGTCCTACATGCATATCTGAATTTTGTAAGTTAGTTTGTTTAATGCCAAAAAAAAAACAAAAACAAAAACAAAACAAATATATATATATAAATATATATATATATTCATATGACAAAGAGTTTTTTATATATACATTACTTTTAATTCTTATTAAAATTTCTGTACAGTTTAGACAACTATGTTACTGCCTACAAAAAGAGAACCCGAAGAAGGAAAAACTGATGTTCTAAGATAAGATATATACCAATTACCATGGAGTTACACTTAAGTTAAACTATTGTGATTAAGAATTTATGATAACAACAACAGAACATTCTACTTTTAACGATACTCATGTTGAAGGGTAATAACATATTTTTGTCATTACAGCAAAAGCTTTAAAAGCTGATAACGCCACCCTGTCGCACTACTTTTCACATTAGTTTGTAACACTAGTTTGTCACACTATTTTGTCACACTAGTTTGTCACACTAGTTTGTCACACTAGTTTGTCACACTAGTTTGTCACACTAGTTTGTCACACTAGTTTGTCACACTAGTTTGTAACACTAGATTGTCACACTAGTTTGTCACACTAGTTTGTTGCATAAGTTGGATGTCAGATATCGGTTGAGATTTGAAATCGATAGCCCAAAGTTTAGTGTGTAATGTGTGGACACAGCCTTATTTGAACAGTTAGATGTTGTCCTTAAACTGATGTCAGCATATTACACCTCCTTTCTCGTCTTCTTTCATTTCGACGTCATTTTCCGCTTTACCGTTCACTTGCATCGATGACTTCACTTGGCCACTAACCGGAAGTGACGTAGGCGTTGTTTCACTGGATTTAGATTGTTCATTGAGTCGCGCATCTTCCTCAGTTGCTTCCTGGAATACGTCACGAGTCTTTGTGTCTGCTATGGTTTCGCGTTCTTCTTTGCGTGCAAGCCGTTCAAACATGTTCGCTACAAGAAACAGATAAGTGAAGAACACTTAATTTAACTTTCAGGAGGGGCTCGTTGAAGGCAATTATGATTCTGATCTACGATAGATCTATTCAGAAAACTTCCGTTGATGGCAAAATCACGGCCACCATACAAACACGTATAGCATTTGTATAACGTTTCCTTGCATATATATTTTAAGAATTTTGGAACGATGGAGTGACGACCTTATTGCGGACGAGGGCGTAATAGAAACTTACAACTGCAGACAGGTGGCTGTCAAAAAGAGTCAGAAGACGACCAATATAGCCGGCTAGTCTGCCATCTTAAGCCGGTTCTTTAGATCTTATTTCATCTAATTGCTGCTGAAAAATTGTTCAGTTAATGAGATAGCACTGAAGAAACTTGTATAGCAGCTACTTCCTAGGTTTTTTCTGGTTTTTTGTTTTGTTTTGTTTTGATCATTTTTAATTCCTGTGTGTAACGTTTTTAACTGAAAAAAACAACATGGCGTTCACGTGAACCTAGCCGCCTACTACTTTTTTTTTTAATTTCTATTTTTCAACTTATTGACAGCCCTGGGCAAATCGGTGCGAGCTGACTACGGACCTTAAGTTTTCGCTTAGCACTTCCTTGCAAAACCTTACCGAAAATAACTCTTTCCTTGGCTACATGATGTTTAATTCTTGAATTTACTACGTTCAGCTGTTGCTGTGCTTCTCTGTTGTTGGGCTGGACTTTAAGCACAAGCTCAAAGTCTTTTTTTGCCAGATCTAAATCATTGATGGCAGCTCTCGCCTGTCAAAAAACATTAATAGTACAAGGTAAGGTTTCTTCAACACCACTATACAAACTTCCCAAATAACTAATCATTTACATGGATAGAGCACATCTACAATGAGTGCCGTAAACCCAAAATCAAAGTTATCACAACAGCCAATCAGAGCGAGGGAAGTACAAAAACGAGCCAATGAGAAGGCGGAGTAAAAACCAGTAAACTGCGTAAAGCGCGGGAAAACGCGAGTGCCCAAGGCGCGATGGAATTTAGTATTGCATCTGATTGGTCGAGAGAGAGGCGTGAGTTTCTGGACTTATCACAGAGCGGAGTAAAGCGGAGTAGAGTAGGCTTTTCATCTCGCACTCATGCATAAGATAAAAATTAACATCCAATTATTAAAAACCTTTCCTTACTTTTCCTCTTCTGAATAAGGCCTTTACATTATCTTTATCCATTTCAAGAACCTATGAAACAACAAGAACGGGGGAAAAGCACCTGTGAGGTGACTCATTACATTGATCATCGTCTTCACAATTAAAAGGGCGTACGACTTTTGAAACAAGCTCAATTTCCCTCTTTTCTACACAATGGAATACCCTGAAGCTTTGGAAGGAGAATCTAGCATTGTGAACCTACTTAAAGATTATAATTATTTCCATGCATTCCTCCTTGTCTTAACCAAAAACCCGAGAGGAAACGAAACCCCCAGAAATTAATTTGCCATAATTGTTTGGAGGTTGCCAAGTTTGCAAGGCATAGGTCATCATAAGCATCCAGTATATTCAGATTGGTCTTTTTTGTGCTTTTGAGTTTGATGAAAATTTTTCTTGAGAGCAATTTTCTTCATTCTCTGTCCAAACACCAGTACTCAAACGTGAAAGAAACTCAATAACTTCAACTACTTTTAAATTCTGAGTTTTACAGAGGGGGGCTGCACCATCAGTGGCAGATCTAAGGGGAAGGTCCAGGGATCGGGACTCCCCCCCCCCAAACGACTTGTGGGATTTTCTTAAAACTATGTCCGAAATTACAATTCTTCCAACCATAGAATCACGTACAACTACTCAACCTGAAACATTTAAAACTTATTTGTCTTGAAATATTTCTTAGCCTATTTAAGATCTAGAGCGAAAAGAAATAATGATCTGTATTCTAAATCAAAGTTTGAGACCCCCCCCCCCATGTCAAAAAATTCGGAATCCTCCCCTTAACAGTTCTTCCATGATTTCATGTTTTTTAAAAATACTGGGTTCAGGTATGTAACGAGAAAGCCATATTACCTTTTCACACTCTTTAATGCATTTGAAGTTGTGATTTAGTTTCAAATGACACGCAGCAAGATTAAGATGGCCAGCCAACAGTAGGGGATCTCGTTTCTCTTTTTCGTCATTGCTAAAGTATCCATCCAACAACCTGACCACTCTGCCATATTGTTCAACTGCTATGCCAAATTTCTCCTCCTGCAAAACAAACCAATCAAAACATTTTACATCCATTTGGGAGCTGGCACTCTTCTCCTCTGTAAAGGGGTTAGTGCACCACAAGAAGAGTCATGATTGATTTAAACCTTTGACCTCTAAGAGTGACCAGCATCTAGTTTCTCCTTACAATATCACCCCTGAATCACACATTCAGGTCAGGAGAATAAAGGAAATGATGACCAATAAAAGAAGCCCTTGATTGCTAAACAAATTATCCTTGTTGTCACCTTAAGACATGTATGGAGAACAGAATGGAGAATATGATTACTGATGTTAGGCTGCAAAGGGTTAAATAATGAATAACAACAGCTGTGATTAGAATTGTTCAATGACAGATACTTCAATACTAATGTATACACCAGTAACACTAACCTTGAAATACTTGGTGCCCTTTTCCTTCAGTGACAAGGCTGTTGAGATTTTTTCGTCATTGCTCAACTCCCAGTTTTCTTTGACCTTCAAATAATATAATATACAGTACATCACATTCAAGAAAACTGACTGCTTTTTGCTGGCAGACACTGGTGCAATGTGGCTGAGATACGGCATCATGCCTCTTTCAATTCTAGTGGTGAAGACTTAAAATTCTTGAAAAAATTAGTTGCCAATGATATAACATCTGCAAGGCCACTTTAAACCCTTCCTGTCCCAAGATATAAAGAGTCATTCTTCAAACTGTTTGTCATTCACCACTTATAATTTTAGATCTGAAAATTTGGTGATCAATTACCAAATTACTTTGAGGAAAATTTTCTCATTTGGTCACTTTTGGGATTGAAAGGGTTAAGGTATTTAGAAAGAAATTTCAAATGAACTGCAGTATGATTAAATACCTCCCACCCCCCCACCCCACCCCACTCAGCCTATTGAAGGTTGAACAGTCAAAGAAAGCAAACAAATTGCAACACTATATGGAGGGGGGGAGGATGAAAGTGAGGGTATTAGTAATAAAATTGGTATGTTACTGTACTCCAGAATATTGCAAACTAGATATAAAAGCGTCCACCATTTTGCTGCTGATTACAGTTGCACCACCAATGTTGTCTTAGTGCATGCTCTTCTATTAGTTTTCCACCATAAAAACCTACAGTGGATGTCAGGAAAACATGAGGAAAGTTTGACGTTTGGTTACAGGTCACTAACAGTGTATGTACTAAGAAGTGAAGTTGAGGAATGACCCAAAAATCATCCCCACACCTATAAATTAAGTTTATTCTCCTTTTAATCCTTTCTCTTTTTTGACAGAAATATCGCTTAGGTTGCATAGAGTCCATTTGGTAAGTATTTATTTATCGATATATGTACTCACATTTTCAAATTTCTTTAGATGTATCATGTATTCTACCACAGCATCTTTAGGAATATTCAGCTCAGGTTTCCCTGCCGTTCCAAATCCCCACCTTCCAGGCTTAATCCACACATATGCCTTTTCACCATCATTCATTTTCAGAATAGCCTGTTGTACACCAGGGAGAAGTCCTTCCTCAGTACCTAGATACAAAAAAAGTTTGTTAGTACTTATGTTGTTGCTGACAATGCATAAGACTGAGTTTTAATAAAACAATAGAATTTATGTTCACAGCATTTATGTGCTTGAAGCCCAACTTAAAGTCATTTTAGCCTAAGCTGTCAAGCAAGGGTTAAAATGACTTCAAAAGGGGCCTAACCATATTTACACACAAGAACAGAAGCTGTATGGTCATATTTATCACTTCAAGGGACATTGAGAAAAAAATTAAAAAAAGATGACAACAGAAGAGTCGGAACAATAAAGTGTGCAAGCTAAAACACATTTTAACCCACTAAAATATCTATTTTAGCCACAAAATGCGCCACAATACCCAACAAAGTGATAATCGTTTTGTTATTTATGTATTTCATTTTAACTTTAGACCAGACATCTGTATTAATCCGTTACAGTTTGTAACTTACCTTCTTGCATGAGAAAGGAAACTTCGCGATCCTCAAACACTTTGCCCCGACACTTTCCAACAATATGAACTAGAGAAGGGGTAAAAGGAGCAAGAAGAGAAAGTTCAGTGACAAGATTCTCTGCCAAAAGTCAACATGAAGCTGCAACACATGCAGCCACAACTTCATCCTCAAACTGAACCTTAATATCAACCCTCTTCACTTTAACATTGGTATGCATGTTCTCCATACATTTCCTATAGCACTGACAAGGAGAATTTGTCTAATAATCAAGAGTTTTCTTAGATGATGATCAATTCCTTCATTCTTGTGACCTTAATGTGTGATTAAGGGGTGATATTGTGAGGAGAAATCAGATGCTGGTCACTCCTAAGTGTCAAGAGTGCCCATTTGTCTTTATCTGTGGTTCTTCTACAGTCACTCTCTTAAAGTTAACAAATCCCTGTCCATCTCTACCTCTCAGTGGGCATGCCATGTTTTAGTTTGAATCCTCAACAAGTTGCTTTTAAAGCCATTTTGAACTTAAAATTAAGAAAATCTGCTGCATACCACCAACAAGAACAATTCAAAAACATTTAACCCCTTCTTTCCAAAGAACAATCAAAAAGTAATTTCCCCTTATAGTATTGTCCAATAGAACAGTGAAGCAGGGGATATGTTTTTTACCTAACACCAAATTCTCAGAGCTGGACTTAAAAGAAATATATGGTGGATAGAAAGAAGAATTGATCTTGAGATCTTGGGGAAAAAATGGTTAAAGGAACAACCACATGAGTTTAAAATTGACTTTAAGCCTCCTATTATAAATGCTGACCTTCACAGAGTGCACCAGTGTTTGGACAGACATAGCCCTCGCCTTTTTCTAACACAATCTTTGTCACATGTCCATCTTTTGTGATATCTTCTCCTTTCCATTCAACCAAAGTGATCTCAAACTGTAAACAAGCATCTGGGGGGATTTTGGTTCCACTTCCTTCTGTCCCATAAGCATATTCTGGTTTGATTGTAATGAGGCTGGTCTCATTAACTTCCATTGTTGCTATAGCAATGTCCCATCCCCTGATCACAACCCCTGAAGGGCAAAAAAGTTTTTTTGATTTGTCAATATTCCTTCTGTTGTGTTAAACTGAAGGAAAATCAAAATAACCAACGTCAAGTGTCACATCTTTGCTTTAATCATATCTGAGCCATCAATGTGAGCTAACAGCTGGCCAAAACCCCTGCCTGGTCTGCCATCTTTGTTTGGCTATTTTCACTTCATTTTACTTAAGAAAAAAAATTTAACCATAATCAAAAAATCAATAGAGAAATAAGTACTCTAGGTATTTCCCTGTTTGCAAGTGGAACCAAATGTATTATTTACTAGTCACAAGTGTAGATGTGTGATTCATTTCCAAGTTCAGAGTTTGCTACATGATTCAAACAAACTTTGTTGAATGTGTGGGACATTATTTAAATAACAGACTGCACTTTTTGTCACTTTACCAACCTAATAACCCACACTGGATGTTGGGAGAACATAAAAAATTTTTGTCAATCACGAGCCTCTGGCATACACTGCATGAGCTAAGGGGTGATGGCTGAACTTTGGAATCACCTAATTTTAGCCTTAAATTTAAAAAGAATTCTTTCTCTTATTTATTAACTAAGTTATGGAACAGTTTGCCTGCTCAAGTACCTCTTTCAAGGGATGCAAATGACTTCAAATTAAAGTAAATTGCAAGACTGTAGCATTTTAGAATATTTCTTATAGTCTTCGTGTCATGTTTTTAGCTATCTTTTAGATTTTTTTAGTTTAGGATTTAGCCTTTTATATTCTATGTATTTATTTCTAGTTTTTTAAATATTTACTGAGTTGTTTTAAGATGGACAATATTATTTGTTAACTGTAATTACTGTAGATCTTATTCATACATGTTCGTATTGTGAACAAGTTCTTAGCTCCTGGATGAAATGTGTTAAAATAAATAATTGATTGATTGATTGATAACTATGGGTTTACCAATGAAATAAATGAAATGTTTCTAACCAATCAGGGTCGTCTTAGAATTACAGTTATTTGACAAAACTGAACAGTTCCCAGCCTTGCATTTAATCTGACCAAACAATATACAATAACCTGGTCACCTATGAAATTTTATTTCCCTTCTACTTTCAAATTTATTGACTGTCCTGCTTGGGTTTAGGAACTCCCTTTATCATATCCCTTTTTCTGGTAAGGTGTATACAATTGTCTCTCCATAACTAAGAGTAGTGAAAAGCTGAATTAAAGAACATGTTTTTACCTTCCAGCCATGAGAAAAGCTGTAAATGCAAACATGTAAAATTACAATGGGTTTTCCCATGTGTTTAATATTGTGAATCAGCTGCAGACACACACTCACCTTTCACACCATACTATCTGGTTAATTCATGATTAAATTTGACTTTACATACCATTTAAGGCCCATGGCCTTTATACAATAAACAACATGATACATGTTTTGTTTGTAGATATAGTAGAAAAAGTCCTTATCTAAGTGCATCAATGTATTATTCTTTAATTCAGTTACATAATAACTAAACAAAAACTCATTTTTTTTATTTCTGATTTCACGCTCTCTGATAGATGCTATTCACATGAGATCAGAAAACGAAAGTGAAAAAAATTAAAGGCAGATTTAAGTCTAACATGAAAATGTTGTGAAGACGAGAATCGCAAGCTTAGTGCATGTACGTCCTGGTCTCCCTGATGTGCAAAAATAAGCAAACTATTGTATCGAAGGTTTCTCTTAAACTATATCCAGCAAAAAGTAATGTGTTTTAACCCACTTGACTCAATCAAATAAATATAAAATCAACTCATCTATGTTTTCACCTAATGAGATTCATGCAAACATGTCAACGGTCGTACTAATAGATCTGTAAAAAAAACAACATAAAAGCCTCCCTATACAAATTTACGTACATCACATCATATTTTCCACTATTTTCCCTTCTTTCTACCCCAAAATCAAAGGCTAATCATACCTTTTCCATGTTCAAATTCAAACGGATCTTTTTTGCCGATGTTTGAGTCAAACTCTTCGCCTGTCAAGAATCTACCGGAATAGTAAACCCTAACTTTACTTCCGATCGGTGGCTTATCTCCACCTCCACCTGCCACCTTAATGATTTTCCGCACTCCGCCATCTTTCTCCGGTGAGATATCTTTTCCATATTTTGCAGAATCGCTCTCGTTATCCAAGTTCATTGGGGTACTCTCTGCCGCCATTTTCAGTATTCGGACGCTGTGAAGCCACAAGTTTCGGTTCCAGGCTCATCAATACCCGTGAAAGTCACGAAAATGACGAAACTAATGCCCTCTACTAGTGGGGAGGGGCAAACGTGCGGAGAAAAGACACCATCAGGGTTATTTAGTATTATTCACTGATTTGAAATCTTAAATTGGTCACCGTAAAGAGTTTCTAAGCTGACGTTTCGAGCGTTGATCCTTACTCGGAAGCTCCCCGTTTCACCATGGGGGGAGGATACGGCTACACGTAGGCTACTAAGTACCAGTCTTGCCTATCCCGCCTAGAGGGGTGGGAATAAGCTTAACTCGACTTAGTATTTGGTCACGCAACTTCTCATAGTGACATGATGAAAGATAAACTTGATCCTCGAAAAAAGTAGGCAGCACGCACATAGAATCTTCTGTCTTAATATGGCAACTGCATCTGCCGAGGTCTTGTTGAGGGTGATTCTTGCTCTTCTACTCATGCTACGTTTAGATTATGGCTCGGCGTTAAGCTCGCCTCCTGAAAAGTATCTTTTCAGCGACAAAACGCCGTATCATTTTAGCAGCAGGCCAATAGAGAAGCCTCCGAGATGCGAACCAATACATATCAACATGGTGATTCGCCATGGCTCCAGATACCCGGGAGGCTCTCGAATCAAAAAAGCGAAAAAACTGCTTGAAAAGATAAATAGATTCTTCCCTAATAATTCCACCTTTCACTACAAAGGCCTGTCACTTCCCTGGAGTTTCCCGCCCGATATCATAAATTCGGCTAGCAAAGAGATGTCCGAACTAGGAACAGAAGAGATGTACTCCATGGCAAGGCGTTTCCTCTCTAAATTCCGCGGGATCTTAAAACACGGCTATTCCAATACTAACTACAGCTTTATCGCCACCGACAAACTGCGATCAAGTCAGAGTGCGGTAGCTTTCGCTCAAGGCCTTTTTGAGGGAAAAGGACATTTAGGAAGCATGAAATTTCGTCCAGTAGCGGTGAAGTTTTCAGGTTCTTACAACGACGACATTGTTCTACGAATTTTTGAAGCTTGTCCAAGATGGCAGAAGATTACAGCGAGGAAAAGATCTCAATCGGAATACCGAAAATTTATGAACGGTCCAGAAATGCGAAAAGTTTCGCGTAAAATCGTAAAAAGGTTGCGACTAAGCGGAAAGTATTCCCTTCGTCCTGAGGATGCTGTGGAAATGTTTTTGATGTGCGCATTTGGGGTTCAGACTGACAGCGCTGATAGCAGCTGGTGCTCAGTGTTCGAAGACGAAGAATTTAAAGTTTTGGAGTATCTGAACGACTTGAAACTTTACTGGGACCGAAGTTACGGGCGTAAAATTAACTACAATATGGCTTGCCCTCTCTATGCGGAGATTACAGATAGCATTGAAAGATTCCTCAAGAATGGGAAACCTTACGGTATTTTCCGATTTGCGCATACGGGAACTGTGATACCTCTTTTCACTATGCTTGGACTCTACAATGACTCAGTACCACCCCGAGCGGACAATTTTAACGAACAGGCCAACCGTACTTTTCGCATTTCAGATGTAGTACCCATGTCGGCAAATGTTGCCTTTGTGCTTTATAATTGTAATCGTGACGGTGCGAAAAGAGATGCAAAAGCAAAGAATGATTGCATCGGACAGTGTCAACAATCCGTTAGCACTGACAGGAATGAATTCGGAGGGACATTTCAGGAATCTCATATAAAAATACAGCTTCTAGTAAACGAAGCGGTGGTCGCAATGCCGGCCTGTGAAGGAAAAATGTACTGCAGTCTTGAAAAGTTTCTGTCTTTTTATTCGCATATTAAGGATAACTGTGACATCAACACAGTTTGTAATATACATAGTAAGTGCAATGCTAATAAGGGAACCCGACCTAGAGATTAATTGTATTTCTAAGGCCTTAATAGATAAATAAATGATTATTTGCACGAATTCTGCTGCAACTAACGGCGTAATTTCCTTCAGTCCGTAGTATATATATATTTACTGTAAGATTTTACGCCAACAACTAACGACGTAATTTCATTCATTCGGTAGCATATACTCACTGTAAGATTTTACGCCGCAATTAACGACGTAATGTTTATTCAGTCAGTGAAATATGCATACTGTAAGATTTTACGCCATTAACTAACGGCGTTATTTCTTCCAGTGTGTATATACATACTGAGAGATTTTACGCCGTTAGTTAACAGCTTGAAATCTTACAGTATGTACACCGACGTAGATAGTGGCGTAAAATCGTACAGCCATAGACTGCGTTAGTCACATATTACGCCATTATCTAATTACAGGTTAGTGCATCATGATGTTGCCACAATTTGCGTGATACAAGAGAATAGTCTCCGTGGCTTTATCCAGGAATTGTATATCTTCTAACGACTGAACGAAAGCGAAACAAAGTAAGGAGTTGAGGTGAATCGAGTTTTAAAGCCGTGCGAGCTAACGGGAAAACTAAGAGATATTTTTTCTAAGCCCTCTATGCCTTTTTATTCACTGGATGTCTCAGTTCCTGATATCTTGGTCAAAAACCGAACAGCCAGAAAAAATTAGGCACAGTAAACTTGAACTATTGCATTTCCATCAAGCCAAATCTTCCCTATTTCCTTTCCAAGTCATGTGCGCCGACCACGCAAGATTCACCATCTGGAACTTGTGGAACACTGGAACGGGTAGGATCTCGTGTAGTCAGTATGAAATGAGAACAACAATTCGGAAAGAAACTGTTACGTCATATTTATCCTTTGAACATTACACAGAGGTACAAATTATCATAAAATCCATTTCTGAATTATGACCAAGGTCAAAAGCGATGATGCTCACGATCGTCGGGCAAATATTGTCTTTAAACTGGCCTTTTGTCACGTTTATAATATAGTGAAATCAAAATTGGTCCCAGATTTACTGAACAAAATTGTTTTCCTGACACCGAGAATAAATGGTTTTAACACACTTTCGAATCTCCCCAGAAAAAAGATCGTACTTGCATTTCCTTGTCACGCGTTCTAGCACATGTTTGAAGTCACTGTGGAACCTTTCACCAATAGAAACTACATATTATGCAATATGCAATGAACGCCGTACTGAAGATGCAGATGATATTGGAGATCTCGCGGCAACGCGATGGAAACCCTGTGTCTCTGCTGATCACACTAAACGCCTATTTTTCATAAGCTATTTTTTTGATGTTGGAGAAAAACGGAGATAAAAGAACTAAACCTTGAAAGGCCAGGATCCTCCAAGGGTAAAAAGCGGCTACAAGTAACACAGAAGGGTCCGCGTCATTACTGTTTTTTTACCAACGTTTCAAAATATGCAATTATCAGCAGAGGCATTGTTGATTTAAAGGCAAGCCAGTTTTCAAAGGCAGAAAACAGATAGACCGCCGATTGAAATGCTCTAGTTGAATGACAAAGCTATTGCGTTACACGCGGTAACATACATCACCGGAAGCACGTGAAAAGTAAAATCACGCGACTGCGAGATTTCTATAATTGGTGCGTAATTTCCCTTAAAAAACGGGATGAACCAGTTGTTATGACGAAATAGAACACGTGATCACTCTTACTATATAAACTGGCGCTCCCCACAATTTAGAGGTACTTTCATGGCGGAAAGTCTGGTAAGGGTTTTCCTTTAGACGTAATACCAGAATAACGAATTTAAGCGGTCACCGTCCTTTCCTCGAGAGATTGTATACAAGGTAATTTCAGTTGAATCACATCTTTAGTTTCTACAATGTTTTGCTTGAGTGTTGGGTAAAATTCGGAATTTCGTTGAAATTTTTGCGGTAGTGTTAGGCCGGTCCGCCGCGATTTTTGTTATCCTGGACTCGATGGTAAAGCCCAAGTTATCTTAAGAAATGTGGCATGCTCTTTCTACTGTTTAACTTCGCGTTTTAAGAAATATGAACTTCTGTAACAGCTTCTTTGTTTCCTGGATTTTTACACTGTTTTGTTTCTGGAGAACTACATTGACTCTCTTGATATATACTAGCCACAGTTGTTGCCCTGTTGCTTGGAAATCGTTAATCGATAGCTTACAGTGAAATTTTTACGATCTATAGTTAGGCGAGATAGCGAAGGCGAAATGTTCGTTTAATAAATGTGTTTTCTCTAGTCGGAGAATTTCGAATTTTGTCGGCCGACACTTCTAAAGATAACTATCGATTAGCCCTCTTGCCGGTAGAATATTTTAAATAGCGTTATCGCTTGCACTTTCGCTTAACTAAGTTATCCGCCCAGATTGATAACCGGTGAGAGTTTCACAAATTTTATATCCCGTGTAAAGAATTTTCGCAATTAACTCGTCAGAGGGTTCTTGAATCTTTAGAGAAACGGAGATAACTTTAAGGTTAAATATTCAGGGCAATATTCGTCCGTGAAAATGGTATGCGGTAATTTTGTTGACACTCAAAATATGCATATGGCCGGAACCGGATTTGGGCAAGGAAATAAAAAAGTTTAAAAAAATTGATAGTTTGAAAGTTCTGCATACCATATAGTCTAGAGAGTACCATTTACACCCCAGTGCTAGAGTTGACTAAAAAAGTCATGAATTTTTTTCGGGCTCTTACACATTGTTGCCTGCATGAGGAAGAAATATGATATGCCTTAAGTGCTCTCCACCAGAAAGATTAACCTGTAAAACCTCTAAGTGTTCAATTATATCTGTTATGAAGTTAAATCAAAGTGCATAAACAGTGATAATATCAGTTCAAGACTAAAATTGCAATGCCAAAATTTTCAGTAGTTATGTTATACTTAAATTGCTATCCACCAGGGTGAAAAACCTGCACAAACTTTTAAATCATGACAACATGATGACTTCAATTCCTCAAAGAGAAATTAATCCAATTATTCTTTTGAGATGTGCAAACAACCAAAATATTGATTATCACTATTTTGGTGTTATTTATCTGTGTTGTGGTGACAAAGACAATTGCCATTTAATTAGTGCTATATCCAATGTTTCACTGATTGTGATAAAGGGAAAAATCATTGTACCTTTCTCATAGTTTATTTCTGATTGTGGTTTGCAGCTTAAGCATTTCCCTTCTGTAAAATGGCATTAAATAGACAGGCAAGGAAAGTCTTTGGGCTACTTCAAAGAAGATGTATAAGACAGGTCCATTTTAAGAGTCAAACTTCCTTTAAAGGTAAGAACAGGGTTTAAAGTGTGGCAAGTGATATCATTGGAGTGTGTTTAGTGAGAAGCCTACACATTAGAAGGAATACGAGTTTCTGTAAACAACAAAGCAAGGAGTACATCAGGAAATTATATTTTTACAGTATTTACAAAGCAACTTCTGATGGAAAGGTTATGGAATCTCTAAATTTTAAAGTGAAAACCTTGAGGTTGAATTAAGACTCCAAGCTGGAAAATTGTAATCCTCCCATTGAGTTTCATAAGAAAAGTTTGTTCCATCTGTTTAATAAATTTGCATTCTTCCTTGTGATGAGAATGTTGTTCTTGAATTTTGCAGGGATATCAGCTCTCGGGGTGTGGAATGAGAGACTTGGATTTGGTATAGACAATGAAGGAAAGGTTGTTCTTGTGGCACAAGCTTCTCAGTAAGTTACAGTTAATGGTTAATGTTGATTTGTTTGATGATATACAGTAATTGAGCAGTGTTGGCTCTTCGTTATTCTGCTTCTTAGGGTCAGTGTAAAGGGGCACATCAAGGCCTTCCCAAAGTTGAAGTTACCAGGATTGTGCCTTGAATGATCAGTGTGACATGGTGGTCTTGTTTTTGTTCTTTTTCGTTTTTTCCTTTTTTCCCTAATGAGACACAAAAGGGGAGAGGGGAACTTTGCATTTTTATTGATTGATTACCTTGAGATCATCCAGCTTTACATATTTTATCCAGTGTGAACTCTAGACCACTTAATTTTGAACATAGTTACAAGTACATGTAACTAAGAATAAATTACCTTTACTTAATTATTCATGTTAATCTTCAGACATCTTTTTACAATGTAACAAATTTGGATACAACTACTTATAGTGACTTTGACAATAACTTCTGACAACTTTTATTTCTAGTGCAGTAACACTTTTACTTACGTAAAACTAGCCAATGTCTGAAATGACTCTAGGGCAAAGTAAACAATTGGGCACAACACACATTGCAACTGACTGAATTTCTTTTAAACTCTGTTTAAATGATTGGTTCCATCAATGACTTTTTCTCACAAACATTTTCACTTTGGAACTTTATCCTAGGTAAACCAAGGTATGTTTCAATTCCTTGCTGGTCAAGATCCTCAGTGGAGAAAATCAGAGTTCTCTGTAGGCCCAGACGACTGGCACAAATGTTGTATAGTTGTTCTGGGCATACAAAATCCTTTGAAAATTTTTTTTTGGGGTTTCATGATGAAAAGAAACTTGATATGACAAATATCAAACAACTCTTTAGTTAGAAAGAAAACTAAATTTTTCAGAAGAATTGATAGGACACAATTGGCCCACAATATGAAACCAAATGAGTGCTATCACAAGATTTTGTGGATAGCCAAGCATATAGTTTGCAAATTTATGCAGCCTAGTCTCAACACTGGAAAAAGTTTAAGTTGAAGTGGCTTAAAAAAAAGAAGTTAATTGGTAGTAAATTGACACACAGCATTAGTGGCCACTTTTAATTTCAATCAATTTTTTAAATTTTTGTGGAATTTGAGAAGAAATTCAGAACCTTTAATTCGACTTTCACTGGAACAGATTAAGTATGTTTCTCAAAGCAGAAATGGTAGATTCTGAAAGGTTAAGCTGTTTTTTATTTTGTTTTGTTGGTTTTTTTAGCTTTCTATTTGTGTATTATCATTATTTTAATAGAAGGGCTGTTTGTTTGGATGCAAGGCTGAATCCAAGCCTAACAATTTCTGATATTGTTTTCCCAAAATATTGGAATATTTAGCCATGATACAAAGTCATTCAAAAGTTGTAATATTAGTAGAAAATAACAAAAACAGGTGGTCTTTCTCAACTGTGTGACAGTGTTTTGAGTTTTAAGTTTCTGGCTGTGTAACTTGGTTTTAAAGTATGAACTGTTGTAATCTAACCTTGGTAGTACTAAATGAATTGTAAATGAATTCTTGTATAAATTGAATAATCAGGTAAGTGTTATAATGATCAGTCTTTTGATATAACCACCTCCTCACAGTCCAAAAAAAAGAAAAGAAAAGAGAGACATTTCAATGGTCCTTCTCAGAATTTAAAGTGATGCTTGTTCTAAAGTTTCAAAGATTTTAGCATGAGAATTTACATTTGGCATTTAAATGTCACATTATCTTGAAAGTGATAGTAGTCATGTGGTGTTTCTAAATAGTGTTGGATACAGCAAGCGAGGTTGTTATATTAAAGCTTTAGTTTACTGTAGTTGTGTGCAGAGGCCTACAAGCTTTGCTTGTTAAAGGCCTGATGTTATGTGGTGCTGATATGTAATTGTCAACAGGCAAAGTGCTGATGGGTTTGATTACAACAAGTTTTACGGCCCTCCAGCTGCCCCAGAGCAAACCATTCGAACATCAGCAGTGAAAAAAGCATTTATTGACAAAGACCTCTGGAACCAGGGTCCTAGAATAACAGGTATCCAAAGGGTTACATTAATTGTAGGAACTGTCATATTCTTGATTGATAGTGGCATGATTCCTCAAGATGACAGTAAGCTATATCTTGGTTTTTAGAAAATTTATAACCCATTGTCAAAAGTTTTCATTAATTATCTTTTCTGCCTCTGGTGTAACTTTCCTGTCCTTGAAAGAGGGCATGTCTTAAGTCACAATCTTTAAACTAGACATACACTCAACCAAAAACAGATTCCCTTGAGACTATTTTATTGTAAAAAGCTACCAGAAGGTTTTTTATTATTATTTAAGAATGAAAAGAAAATGAGAAATGTTACAATGTTATTTAAAGTTTGGCAAAAGTTAGCTTGAGAACAGGCTTCACTTTGGTTTGTTCGTTTTTTTCAATAAAGTAGTTGTGGAGTGTTGTTTATGTAAGCAAATTATGGTTCCATGGTATAAAAGCAATTGAGTTACTTTGCTACATGCAAAGAAATCCTAATCTCTCAAGAATCTTTCAGAAATGATCACATTTCCCACACTTACCTAGATATGATTGACATGTTAGGTTTGCTAGTCACTGTCTCCCACTTCCCCCCTTTTGTGTTGCTAATATCACTTGGCTCCTGTAGGAAATGCCCCTTGGGCTAGACCTCAGCTCCCTCGACGTGGTGGCTGTTCAGCAGGTTTCTCATCCCTTGCTGGTGATGGCCAAAGCAGTGGATCATCTTTCCCAGACTCCATGGACCCTTCCCTTGTGATATTTGACAAAGATGGTACTCTGATAGATTTGAATAATGTGTGGATTCCTTGGATGGAGAGTCATGTGAGGGAACTGGAAGAGGCAACTGGTCTTGATCTGGCTGACAAAATGTATGAAGAAGTGGGTTATTGTCCTAAGAAGCGCATCTACTCTGACGGAGGCTTGCTAGCCCATGCGACTGTTGCTGAAATCAGACAAGCATTTGTCACAGTGTTAATCAAGAGTGGTTTAGATAGAGAAAAAGCACAGAAGCTGGTTAGCAACTGCTGTAAAGATTTTGACAGTGGTGGGCATGATACCCTGGAGCCTCTGGGTGACCTCCCAGCAATTTTTGAAACTCTGAGGGCAAAGGGTGTTAAGACTGCAGTCTGTACAACTGACAGTCGAGAAGGCACTCTGTCAGCTCTTGACAGGTTAGGCCTCATGAGCATGATTGACAAAATTGTTTGTGGGGATGATACAGACATCAAACCAAAACCCAATCCCGAAACTGCCTTGGGCATTTGTGAAGAGTTAAATGTTTGTCCAACTCAAACTGTTATTGTTGGTGACACTATTGCCGACACCACAATGGGTCGTTCTGCTGGGCTGGGTCTAACAATAGGTGTTCTTAGTGGGGCTGGCAACCAGAAATTTCTAGAAAAGGAGGCTGACATTGTTTTAAACAATGTGGATGAGCTTCTAAATGCCTTATATCCATCAGACTCATCATCTTCATCGTCCTCCTCTTGATCTTAAAGTAAACAAAGGTGCTCACATAATTTTTTGTGCAAGTCCTGATTAATATGTGTCTTATAATTTCCTTTTGTACTCCCTGGCAATCAATATGATATGCAATTTTGGAAATGAGTTATCAATATCAGTTGTAATTATTTGTTACATGGGAGAGTGAAGGAAGTTAAACTTTGCCCTAGTTCCAGAAAGCCTTTCTGTAACTAAAAGCACTAGCATCAAAGATTTAAAATTGAAAAGTGTTTTTTTTTAAGGTTCCCAATTACTACTTGTATCTGACAGTAACAAACAGAAACCCCTCAAATGTTGTTACATAAACATATAGTGGACATAGTCAACTCATGAGAACAACATTGATTTGTAAATAGTCAAAAATGTATATTAAGCTTCCTCAAAAGCCTTTTATTCACTACAATTTGAACTTCTTAGTTGTTCAAGTGTGCTACAAATATGCATTGGGCTCTCTTTGATGGGTATCTTTTGTAGTAAACTGAATTGTACAGGCTTGAATTTTTTAGTGATGCACAACACCTTGAGGGTGATTTCTGCATAACTGAACTACTTGGTGGGGACTAATTGATAACAGATTGCTGAAGTTTAATCTCTTAGTAATACATTGAGAATGCATAACCTGATTTAAGGAAAAGGAATGAAAATAAAGAAAATACTGTGTATTAAAGGAGACTGATCCCATCTTACCTTGCTAACAGCTGATGTTCTCCAATTGCACTAAATGATCATGTTTTATTGATAACAGCATGCATGTGTAGTATAGGAGTATCCACTGCCTCTTTGTTTTACCCCTTTTCACCTTTTCTAATACCTTAGGAACAGTAAGAAAACCACAATGAAAGTTCACATTCCTGCAAATAGGCTCTAAAAACGACATGTCTCTCCATAGATGTGGTTCAAATTCAGACTTGACCTTTGGATTCTTGAAGCTTTCCATAGTTGATTTCCTTACAAATTGAATTTCCTCAGAGATAAGACTTTTGTGACCCAATGACCATTTTAATTTATAATTTGCATCAGTCCTAGGATTTAAAAACGAAAAACCACCTTTGCAATGAAAGCTTTCCTCAACTAAGTATTTCTGGGAGTTAAAGAGTACAAGGATTCTTTAGAAGATATGGTACACCCTGATGGTCACAATAAAGTTTCATAGAAGGGTTTTAGAAGAAGTTAACTTTTAAAATCTGTATGGAAGACTTTTACCTTGGTGACTTAAACACAAATTAATCTTCGAGAGGTGCCTATTGAAGACAAAATATTTGAACAGTGGAATTCCCATCCCTTGCTAAGAAAAGAAAAGAGGTCTTTATTTAAAAAAGGGGGGGTTTGTTGAAATAGGCTGTCCACTCATAATTTGCATTAGCTGACCAGAAACGGTTATTTTTAGATCACTGACTTGTGTTGATAAAAATGTGTCTGAGAAGTGTCCTATTTAAATCTTTTAGTGTACGAGTTACTGCAAGGGTAGGAAGAAATGACCTCATTTTTCAAGGGCGATGGGTTTTCAGAAAGGTGTTGGCATGACGACGACGGCATGGGAAAGTTTTAAGAACTTTTCCGGAATTTATTGCAAGTGAAATTTCTATTGCGTGATTGCCTCTTATTGTGACAGAAATCCCTACCAGTGAAGCTTTAGTATTTATTGTATTTTGCATTTAATTCTCTTTCACTCGAAGCTGAATTTTTTTTTTGTTTTTTTTTGAGAACAATGTTTTGTAATCTACGAACGCGAGACTGATGTAAGCCACTTGTATAGGAGTTGTACTATTTATTGTATTAAGTATCAATACACTCTAAGGCACAAATTAAGAGTAGAGTAATCTCCATTATAATGACATTTATGTAAATACTGTCCATGAAGAGTTGTGTGAATTGTAAATATGAAGATTATGTCCATTAAATATTTTTTTCGCCAAGTGGTCGAGTACGAGTCACCATCTACCTTCGAATGGTGTGCCGAATTATTTCTCGGTTTAAAAAGATTAGTAATTTACTGGTTGTCTTTCACATTCTGCTCACTGTCGTAGTGAACTTTTAAACTGAAACGGCTGTTGTGCAGTCTCTCGCGTAAGCACTGGGAATTCAGACAAATCTAGGTAAGTACTAAAACAAGGAACGACCTAAAACGACCTACAACCACCTACAACCATCTACAACCATATATGCCTTGTTTCAGATGGTTTTAGATAGTTTGCGAGTGGTTGTAGATGTTATTGAGGTGGTTGTAGGTGGTTGTTGAAATTTTTGAGGTGGTTGTAGATGGTTGTAGGTGGTTGTAGGTGGTTTTAGATAGTTTTAGGTGGTTTTAGGTCGTTCCTTGTTTTAGTACTTACGGACAAATCTACCCAAATAACTGTTTCCTCCCAACCTAGGCATTGCTTTATCTTTTTGAAATTAAAACACCTGGGAGTAGTTTTCTTTCCGGCTACCTTCCCAAAATGCCTTTCTCTTCCTCTTCATGGAACGGAAATTGTGGTCCTCGGTCACATGGTTACAAGTATTCGCTTCCCGGACGGAGTTGTAGCCATGTCATTCGCTCGAAATAGTTGACCCTGTTTGCTCAGGTAAGAAAATAGTAGTTTTGTAGGAAATATTTAGGAAAATTAAGCTCTTGGTGTAAAATCATGCACATAACTGTTTTACACAAAATCCAAAAGAAACAAAGCACTGGAAGGAATGAAATATTTATCAAGTGTTCCTTGCATATGTTCTTAACATCTTCAATATTTGAATCATGGAAGGTCGCTCGTATTCGGAGAAATTTCGCCGTAGATTTCTTATGTAGTGTCATCAACTTATAAACTATATTCTCATTGGTGATAAACCAGCCACCCTTGCTGGTGAAGTTCTAGCCTGGTTATATTTTGCGTAACCAAGTACGCAACACTGCGTTTGATTTCTTATTGCATAATTTGTAGATATATTTGCTGTATTTCAATCGCGGCAGAAATTTTACTAGTACTCACGTGTGAAATTTCTTAAACACACATGGGAATTCAATTCAAAACTTTAACAAGTAATTGTGAAAGAAATGTTAGGTGTTAAAATTTGGAAAGCTCATCTCATTTCTGTCATGGAAAAATTAGAACGGCTTTGTAAATTTGAAAATTGTCCATTGGGTGTGCATTGTACTTTTCTGAAAATTTTAATCGTTCGGAAGTGCGCCTTAGCAATATATCTCACGACTTAACTGAGAGGAAACAGACTTTACCGACTCAATTGAATCTCCATAGCGGTTTTGTGAGATCTAATATTCTGCACTGAATTTAGAAACGTCGCAATTGTGGTATTTCTTTGTCTCATGACAAATTTGATCCTATCAACACTAGATTTTTTAACTTTCTTGAAAGTTATACAGCGTGGAATCAAATTTGTGAGTTCAAACTTGACCCTGTAGGTGTTTTAGCAGGTTGTTTGTGGTTTGCCTGTATGTTAGTTATGCTGAAAAATCTCACTATCTTTAACTCTGTCAATTAAAACTTCGTGTGGCTTAATCAAATTTTGTGGAAAGACAACTTTTCAGTCATTAGCTGTTAGCTGGTGTTCTATTTAGTGTGTACTTAGAGGGAGTGGATTGTGCCAAACGGTTCTTAAATGAAAAAATACATATATATTAAACCTCAAATCTTACAGGCCCTTAAGTTCCTAGTTATAATGGTAACTTGGAATCAGAAATACTAGAAGCATACCATGTTATGGCTAGAATGATAGAAAAAAAAAGAGTTTGTGTTCTCAAATAACTGATTTGTTTTCTCTTTGAACAGAAATTGGAAGAAACTATAGTTATGGCCCCTCAAGGCATTGGGAATCTTCATTTTCTCCCTGTTGTCCTTGGTTGCTTTGCAATCATTGCTTTCTTCACTGCGTAAGTATTATGGATGTATAAAGTTATATAAGATTACCTACAATTTACTTGTAATCAACCCTTGCGTGACCAATTAAGATTTACTATTAGCAATAATGATAAAGGTGACAATTTCCTCAAATGTGATTCCTCAAATATCATTCCATATAATTGTAATCAGACAGTTGGCTTTTATTGCACCCCTGTAATCGGACAGTTGAAGCAGTCAATCATACTAAGTCCACTTAACTAAATCCACTAATCAAGTAATTGATCACAGTAATCACAGCAACAACCACTTGATATCCTAATAGATAAAAATGGGACATTCCCAAAAATAGAGAAATTTTTAACAGGACATTTTGTCATCCAATTCTGTCTATAGTCATGGTCATGATTGACAAATTGGACTCCTACTTCGCAGTCATCTGATTTTGTTCATTACTTGCATGATTACAGACTAAATTGGAGTCCTCCCGGTCCTATTACCAGTATGAACTGATGAAAATTTATACTTTTTGATGAAAATGCAATGATCCTTGGATATTAATATTGAAGTCATTGTTCTTGAGCAGTTGATGAATCTGATTTTTCAATGGGATGGTCAATTGCTGTTATTGATTTTTATTGATTGTCTTTGTCCATCAGGATTTATCTTTATTTCACATTGTATCAATTTGTAATTTGCACCATGACAAACAAATTGACATCTGATGATGGTCGTAGAATTTAGCATTTAGTATTTTTGATTATCTGTTGATCAGTGTTTATTTTGTTGGTCATGCCAGGAGAATGACTTTATGCATGTAGTCACAAGTCATTGTAAGTCAGTGAGTGTAATAATTCTGTAGTTGAAGGTTGAATATAGTGCAAGGGCAAATTTAGCAGGTAACATGGGACATGGATGAGATTCTCTTTCCAATCATCATGTATATAAGTAATACATTATATTTCTATTATTAGCTATGGCATGTCTGTAAAGAGAGGGGATGTCAATGCTCTTTGGCCGTATATAAGGTTTGTTGGAACTAAAAATATGTTAATGTTGTATTCAACTGGTCTCAGTGACGGCACTTTATGTGCTGTAGCATATAAATGGGTTGATTTTATAGCTAAGTTGTAAAAAAGTAGTCATAACACTGAGTGCACCCTTAAAAGGACATTTTCATTTCCTACTTGAAATAAACACAATCAAGTAATTTTGATGGTTGAATATCCCACTAGGTTCTATTTTAGATGGCAACAAGATCTTTTTTTGTAGGAGTCCTTAGGAGATCATGCAGAGGGAAGGCATGGAACATCCTATGATTGAACATGCCAGCGGCACAAAATTTTAGTTTCTTATGGCCAATATTTGTTCTGTTTGTTTCCTCAAACTAAGTGCTTTAACCCTTTCACTCCCAAAATCTCATGAGCAATTCTCCTTACTATCTGCCATACAATTCTTATGATGTTAGTGTGGAGAATTTGGTATAGCATCAGCTAGTAATACCCTAATTTATATTTTTCTTTATTCTCGTCACTTGTTTGCTTGATATTGTATTAAAACTGTAAGGAGAAATGATGTCCTGGTCACTCATCAAAGTTAAAGGATTAAATTCTTATTTGGTCCTCCACATGTTATTTTCAAGATCATTTTTAAAAATTCTGTAATTAAATCCAGTGGTGGAAATTTTCTTGTGGGGAAAATAATAAAAAGCAGGGAAGGATAATTGGATATTTTTGGGATAAGATTGGGCTCAAATTGGGAATTTATGAATTTTAAATGAACACAATTAATGTTGTTGTATGATTAAATTTCTGGAGGGGGGGAATAAATCTTTTGCAGACCCTTCCATCCTTTTTTGTCTGTATCTAACAAGTTTGAACCATGACATTTCTTTGGTGAAATTCATGTTCTTTGACTGTTTTTCTGTTTGTTTCTCTTTAGTGATGCAGGGTCTCGTGCACCTGAGAGTTGCATCTTTGGACAGTTTCTCAATATGGCTGCAGTGATTGGTATTGTGAAGATCTTTTCTATCTCATAGTTAAGATGATACATTCTTAAGAATTCTTTTGGTAGATAAACTGAAAGAACTTTGATCATAAATGAGTATTTTATCTAGCTTGCTCTTACCTTTAACACCATGGAAACAGTTGTCGAATGATCTGAGTTGTTCATGCTGACTAAAAATCAAAACATATAACTTTATTTAAAAGTTGTTTGTTGGACAGTATTTATCCTCAAGGTGTATATTCCCTCTAGCCATGATCTCTATAACTAGGGTTAAATGTTATTATTTTTGTATTACTGTTTCATTGAGTGCAGCCAACTAAATAATTTGATCAAAACTTAATTCCACTCAACAGTATGCCTATTTCTTTATGAAATTACACATTTTTTTTTCCTTTTTCCACATAATGCACACAATACTTTCAGGTCAGATTTTTCAAATCCCCATATTTGCAAGAGCCATCTTTGACATAAATGTTTTAGATTATTGTTTGATTAATTTGCAGCATTTGTAGTAATGTATATCCACTACAGACATGTAAGAGAATCCAATGTCACAGACATGCCGATAATCTCGAATCTTAACTATTGGTCCTTGTGGATAGCAGCCTTTACATGCTTGGGTCTCTCCATGGTTGCAAATTTTCAAGTAAGTTAGGCAAAATCTGAGTACTGAAATTATTAAGTTGCTATCAAGGGTGTGTTATTGTGAGCAAAACCCCATTATTTTTGTGAAATCCAATTTTTGTTTAACACATTTGGGGAACTGTTTTATTTTTTAACTTGTTCTTTTTTGAAGAAAATTGTAGTAAAAACAAGTGATGTGTTGTGAAATTTTCCCCATGACAATTACCATTATCAACATAAAAAAAAAGCAATCTAGCTTCAACATCCCTTGTACCCCTCCCCCCTTGGAGGGGGGTGGGGAATTTGAACCTTTCCAGGGTAGTGGAGAATTTGAACCAGAACTGCTCTCCCGCTAAATGAATGTGTTTTATCCTCTAATGTGGAAGTGTATAAATGTAGAAAGTTCACTTTTGTAAGCAGATGGCTCAGAAGAAGAGGTCCACAAGAATTGCACAGTTGCTAATTCAGCACTTGGGTGGGGGCACTTGAAGAAGGGAGGGGGGGGAGGGGTGTTGAAGCTTTAAATTGATCAACACCTAAGTTCAATTCATTTGGTTTTAAATAAAATGAATATCACTTCCTCCTCTTGGCAAGAGAGAGGTATTTTAATAGTTCAAGACACCTTCTGGAAAGTTGATAGGGAAAAAAACTGTGGCTGATATCTTGAGTACAGTCCAAGGCTTGAAGGCACAGTTGATTTTTTTGTTGTTGTTTTTTTGTTTTTTTACATACAGACTGAACTAGATTGGTTAGTAACTTGTTTATTTTTTCTGCTGGTTTGCTTTTTTCCTCTTGGCTGGAATGGCAGAGAAAAAAACTCCAGACACTGGTCTGTATTGTAAGAAGTTGGACTGGTTATGGGCCAGGCCTGCTCGGATACTTCAAAAAGATAAAAACTATAAAATAATTGTCACAAAAAAAGGGGGCCTGATGTTTATGAAGGCAGGCATTTCTCAATCTTCCCAACACTCTTTCAATTACTGACAGTGTAATGATATAGATTGCTATTGTTCTTTTATAGGAGACAAATTCTTTGCCAACACATTTGACAGGCGCTATCATGGTGTTTGGTTTAGGAACACTGTACTGCTGGATGCAGGCCTTTATTTCCCATTTAATGCGAAATCAGGCAACAAGCTCTGCCCTTAGCTCTTGCACCCGATTTATTCTTTCAGCTCTCATATCTGTGTTCTTTATCATCAGTATCCTCTTTCAGTTAGATCAAACTTTGCTATCCACATGTCAGTGAGATGGAATGTGCAGTGTGAGTTCATCATCACAGTGCACTGTATACTAGATCAGAAACATAGCTTAGACAGTTGGTCAGGATCATAATACATATTACCTTAAAAGGCCATTGAGTTTATATAAGTACCAGCAAAATGTCATAAAAGTTCATCTAAATTGTAGACTAGAAAATGAGGAGAGCAGGATGGTGCTTTGGTGATACCACTCAACTCCCACTGCTCTGGCCTTGGGTTGATTCCCAGACCTGTTGCCATATGTGGGTTGAGTTTTTTGTTGGTTCTTATCCTTGCTCTGAGGTTTACTCTCCTAGTCTTCTGGGTTTCTTCCCTCCAGAAATACTAACTTTTTACATTCCAATTCAACCTGGAAACAGTGGACAAGAAGAGCTACCTCGTGGGATGTCCACTGCTAAATGCCCATTGTTCCCCTTATCATTCCCATATTATCTACAACGAGTGGCAATATTCCTTTCTGTTGTATGGCACAGTTACTGGGATAGGCTCTTGAAGCTATGCTAGTCTTTCATGCACGCAGTCTTCAAGTATAGAAGCTGTTTTTATCCTTGCTCCAATATGCAGATCAAGTTAGTATTAGTAATTCCAATTTTTGTAGCTTCATGAGTTAAGCAGAGGGTTTTAGGAAATTTAAGATCTGATGCCAAGACAAATTATTGCTGATTTTGTCCTTGATGTTAAATTAATTTTGAAAATAGCACTAGCAGCTGGAGGTGCTGCCTCAGCGGCATACAAAGAACAGCATAAGAACACAAGTGACATGACTGCTGAACTCAAGTGGAACAAAACAGATGATGTAAGTACTCAGACAAATCGCTTGCCCATCCTTTGCGTGCACAGGGAATACCAGTTCTTACTGATTGAGGAGTATCATTCTCCAGTTTAGCCTTAGATGTTTCCTAGATTTTGTAATCGAAGTTCCCTATTCTGCTATCAAGTTAATTGATGTGTGAGGAAATTCTCTGATTGTATAATTTTGTGGCTCATTTGGCAATGATTTTACTGTAGAGATCCTCCTAGATCCAAATATGTCTCTTGTGCCTTTTTTTTTTTTTTTGTTTGTTTTTAATCTGATACTTCATCATTTGCCCTGACAAAGAGCTAACACTCGAAACTTCAACTTTTTAAAATGTTTACAGTGGCCAATTTACGTTATTAACTAAGTTAATAGAACCAAATTACCCTGTTGTACTCTCCCAGCAACACAACACCACAGTTTCTCTAGAAACTTACCCCCTTTAATCATATTTCTTGCTCTAACTTATTGTGATTGCATTTTTTTGTTTACCATAACAGGGATACAATGCCCATCTGGCGAGTACTTTCAGTGAATGGTTGATGAGCATATGTTTCCTTCTCTACTTTCTGACATACTTCCGAGAGTTTCAAAAGATAATTGTCATCATTCAAGTACAACCGAAGAATGCAGAGATCTTCTCCTCTGGCCAAAGTCATCATGATGAAGCAAGAATAGTTGTTTAAAGTCACAAAATGATGTCTCTTACCAGGTTTTACTAAGTGGATGTATGATTTTTAGGTCTGATTATTTATGTTTATATCAGGAAGAAGAATTTATAGCAGCAGTAGACCATGGGAAGCCTTCCTGTACAAACAGTTCAGTGCTTCTGCTGCATTAGTGGTGGTTTACTTTTTTTTCGGTTTTAGAGCATTTACAAGTTGTTAACCCTTAACCCTTTAACTCCCAAAAGTGATTAACATGTTACTTCTCCCTATAATATCCATACATTATCCTGCAAGCAGGTAATGAGAATACTCAAACTTATTTGGTTAAAGTTGTTATCTAGATCTAAGACCAAATTCTCCCAGCTGCTTTACAAGGAAATGTTTAGCAGCTAGAGGAGAGAATTAACAATCATATCATAGGCGTTAAAGGGTTAAAACCCTAAGAGTGACCAGCATCTAATTTCTCCTGACAGTAATACTGCTAAATCATTCATTAAGATCATGAGAATAAAGGAAATGTTCACCAATCTAAGAAGCTTTGATCTTCAAATGAATTCTCTTTGTCAGTTCCAAAAGAAAGATATGGAGAAGAGTAGGGAGAAAATGGATACTGATGTTAGGGTGTAAAGGGTCAATGAAGAGAAGTGTTCAGGAGTCTTTCAAGCAGCCTATCAAAAACAGTCACAGATTAGCACTGCCGTAAGGTGCAGCTTAAAGGCTGTGATGAGTACAGATAATATTGAATGGTTGTAAAATTTCTGCAAAACTCTTAACAAATCTGAGTGCATAAGGAAGGTTTATGTCCTACATAAATGTAAGCAGCTACATTACAAGACAGAATTTTCTCCAATATCAATGCACTAAAAATCATCAATTGGAGGATTTTTTTTTTGGCTGATCCAAAACCAAATTCTCCCAACTAACATCAGAATTGTAAGGAAGACAGTAAGGAGAATTAGTAACGAGATCTTAGTATTGAAAGGGTTAATTAAAGTTCTGTTGATCTTGGTTATGCCGTGGTTTCATATCCTGGAATTAAAGTTTAAGAAAGAACACAACACATTTCTCATCCTCGGAGTCCAGGGGCTGTGAGTCGATTTCAAGTCAGGGCGGGAGAGCCCATGGGGACATAATCTTATTAGGCCAGTTCCAAACGGTCACAGCCGTTCTGGCTGGTGGCAGAAAATCTTTGTTTTTCTACCCAATCGGAGTGAAGTATGCTTTAGAGTCCTTTCGTGTGCTTTAACACGGCGAAGTGTATGAAGCTCAGTTGCTTGCCAGTGTTGTTGATCCTTAGGGGCTCTTCTGCCCTGACTTGAAATTGACTCACAGCCCCTGGGTCTCCGAGGATGCACACTTCTGACAACTACCATTAAACTACACATGAAAGGATATGACATACTATAGCTTATACCACGTAAGTTCCAATTTTCCCCCACAACTGTAAACAGGAAACTCTTCAGCAAACCTTGAGTCATCCCTTATATGTTTCGAAAGTAGTGTTTATTGAAAGTGTCGGTTTACCCTGTAAACAACTGAGATAGCCTTAGTTCAAAAGGTAGGTGATGCTACCCTTGCCTAATGGCTGATTAAGCAACAATAGCAGTAAACGGGAAAAAGAAGACAATTCGGATGTCACTCTCGTAATTCAGACTCCTTAGAGCCTGCTATGCCGGGTTTTTTCCGGTTTTGGAAAGCGGTTACCATTTATGCACTTTAGAGCGTAATCCCGTGCGTCTTTGTATCCAGTGATTGCCATAGCAATGGGAGAAAGGCTCTTGGTATGCTAATCGTTTCAGTCTTTGTTCAAGAAACTAGCTTGGGGCCACTTACACCTAAGAAACGCGTCTCGGCAAACTTGGACCTCCTGTCAATAATGTTGATGTGTTGAAGTTACCGGAGGGGCAACTTTAATTCAACGTGAATACGGCGCATTTTCGTGCTAAATTTATTTATTAATTTGACTGATTTGAAATGTTCGAAGCTTGCCAGAATTTACTTCTAACATGTCATACATTGTCTACATTGATTCTTTTGCGTTGTTTTCCGTCATTCACTTCTCCTACATAAAAGTCTTTCAGTCTCACGAGGTCAGATGGGGCGGTTGACAAGTCGATAGGAGCGTTAAGAAATAGGGGTGCGGGAGAGCGGGGTGTGACACCCATGGGCTCGATTATTGCTTTGAATAGGAAAACACAAAGCACTTTTGGCTGGGGGTCGAGAGGCCAAAATCCTGGTGGGGGGGGGGGGGGAATAAGGTGAACGTGCAGGAGGGAAGTGCGAAAGGCCTTTTCTTAACCCTTCACATCCTAATATCAGTATGCATATTCTCCATACTGGTCATCGTACATTTGTTAAGGTGCTGACAGTTAGAATTTGTTTAACAATCAAGATCTTCTTTAGTTGGTGATCGGTTCCTTTATTCTTGTGACCTTTATCTGTAATTCAGTGGAGATATTGCAAGTAGAAAATTAGATGTTTGTCACTCCCAAAAGGGTTAACATTTGATGGGTTGAAATTTGCGATCCGACGATTTTGCCTTGGCTGTTCGTATTTCAAATTTTGTGGAAGGCGAGACTTCTGCATTTTTCTATTTCTTCAGAGCTGGAGAGGTCAGAGTTTTCAAACCTAAAAGAGGATCTCGATAAAGTGTATATAAAAGCATTGGGAATGATGAATCTGTTATCAAAAAGAAACTGTTTTGAGTAGTCTTACATGAAAGATAACGGTGAGAGGGCTTACAACCACCCCCCACCCCCCCCCCCCCTCCTACCGCCTACCACCTCTCTGGAATGATCCGTGATTGTTGTTGATGAAGATTTTTCAACATCCAAAGGAAGTCTGTTTCGAGGTTTATTTACGCTGTGCTGTAGGAACTCCGTGAGTGAGCAAATTTTAGCATAACACAGTGAGAGTTAATGGTCTCTTAAATTTTTTTCGTGTACCTTAAGCTATTTTTTCGAGAACGTTTAAAATCTCCTTATATGTCCACAAATACTCGGCGCGCCTCAACGAACCCAGAGATAAACTTACAAACTCAAAAAAAAGCTTTATGTCCCTCAGAACGGTATGTAGCAAACGCTCCAAAAACGATGGAAATGCACTTTTCGATGGCTATCTCATACCAGAGATGTCTGGGGAATAAACTAGAACAAATGCTTAGAGTTTCTCGCCAATCAAAGGAACAGAGAAAAGTGTTGAAAGTGAACGTCAGCCGAGCATATGATTGTCGTTTCCGGTAATCGAGGTGTTAGAGATTTTCTACATGTCTTAAACAACTGGAGAGAATTCTTCAAAACTAACTCATTGATGAGCTGATCAATGATCCAACTCTCTAAAGGGCATCGTCGAGCAAAACAAAAAGTAATTAAATTCTCTTCGACCCTAATAAAAATAGCGAGGTTGTAGGTTGAAGCTCATCATTGTGTTGTTTGGTACGAGATTCTATCGAATGCGCTGACTCTGTTTGTGCATTTCAAGGTAGGTCATACATTCCTAGCTTTTAAAAACTTTCTCTTTCTTAATTGTGTCACAAATGGAAAGCTATTCCTTCTTCGGGGGATTTCAAAGCAAATTTCGTAGATATCCGCTAAAGACGATATCTATACCTAGTCAGGCGACATCCTAAACCTTGCAACTTAGCAGAGTTTTGATTTGTCACTGCTTCTTCTTCCGACGAATGTTTCAGTTTATTGTGATTGTTTTGAACGAAAAACTATCAACATCAAACTCACATTAAACATTACAGCTATCTTTCAAAGCAGGCATCGGTAATGTTTGGCAAAAAAGGAACAGCCAAAGAAAACATTTGGTTTCGTTTGGTATGCAAACTGTTATGTCTTTGATGCAAACATATCTATAGCGTAAACCGTGTATGTTTTGGTTTCTTTGGTTTGGCCAATAGAATTATAAAAGAACAGGTAATTATCCTAATTAAAAACTGTGCATTTCCAGTAGAGAACAGCAGCTGTCTATTCCAAATCAGAAACTATGGAGAGAGAATTTGCTCCTATGAGCACGGGTCTTTTAATTAAGGGAACAAAAACTCATTTACCCAAACCTCTGGTGTACAGAAGCTGAAATCATCGATATGTTCCGAAAAAAAAATTTAAAAAATTGAAAAAACCTTTTGAAGGAAGGCAGCTTGCAAACCATAACACTTGAGTGTGTGTAGCTCGGCTGTTTCTGAGGTTCTCATGGAGGTGATGACTCTTCTAGCAAACGCCTCAAGAATTAGTCCATTTTGCAGCTAACGATTAATTCAAAAGAAATTTGTTTACGGTTAACCCTTCTCACGACTAACGATTAAAATTTGTCAATTTTTACGCCAGAAGGATTTTTTGTCGTGTTACGACTAGCGGTTAACCCCATTAAGGCCTCCTTTCTGTTCTATATTTTTTTCTTCAAATGATCAACACTAGTTTCCTCCAAGATAAAAACGATAAATACTATTCAGTTCTCTTAGCTTCAGAAATTATTTTCAGTAGATTACGTTTTTCGGGGGGAGAGAGGGGGAAGACTGGAGAGAATAAAAAGTTTTGTTGTGACGTCCTCATGTTGACAGAGAGCATCGTGACTTCAAGCCAAAAATTAAATCAATTTTGATGACGTCACTAACCTTTACATTATGAAGAAATCTACGATTATAAAATAAACACCTTTGTAGAGATCATTTCCCAACAATCCTTTGAAAAGTCTTTTTTAATTTAGAGTGATTTTCTTTCTTTTCAGTTATTAATTTTATTTTTGTTTTGTTTTTTTTAAATAAGATTCATCGATACTCATCTCATATTTATTATTATGATATAATAGGAAGCCAACATGCCTTTTACTCCAGCACCTCAAAAGAAATGCCAGAGATGTGCAAAGTCCGTTTACCAAGCCGAAGAGAAAAAAGACTCAAACGGCAAACCGTGGCACAAGAGCTGCTTCACGTGTACGGATTGCAAAAAAGGCTTGGACAGTACTACTCTGACCATGCACGACGGTAAGTAAAACGTGATAACACCAAAGATTTAATCCTTTCGTTCCCCCAACTGTGTTAGGACGCCGACCAGTTAAAATGGATATGATACACCGAGAGAATATCTCTTGACACCAGGCTGCTGATGGATGACACTTAGTCATAGCTGTAGCTTAAGACAAACCTTGGATTTGTCTTAGGGCACTGGTAATTTTTGTAGTTGTTGTTGCTTTTGGTCTCACTCCGTTTTCCTTTGTCATCTTACTTGTCGTTATTTTTTCAGACGATATCTACTGCAAGAGCTGTTATGGTAAAAATTATGGCCCCAAGGGATACGGATTTGGAGGCGGGGCTGGGGCGTTAACAAGGACACAATGAAATGGATTTTCTGATTGGCTAGTGTTTATATCGTTGGCACAGGCTGTTAATTGACCAATTGATTTATCTGTGATTGTTACGTTGATAGAAATTTTCTCTCTTCTTCATTTTTGTATTAATGACTGATAAAATGACTGGAGTTAAAAAAATTGGTTTCTTTAGTAGAGACAGGAGGTAATGGGCTCCTGTTAGAGAGGACATTTTTTTTTACTTGTTCTCGCCTATTATGATTTATAGTCACGATTAAAATTCGATATTTAGACCCAACTGTATCTTTTGTTAGGAATATCGAGAGATCTCTGATAAATAAATTTTTTTTTTTAACCATTTTGGTCCAATCTGAGGACAGCCATCTCACTGCTGGTCTTGAGGGTCACGCGAGGGTGATGCGCTTTGCGCGCTACTCAAGGTACGTAATGAAGGCCCTGTTGACTAAACGACACTCACTCGTGAAACTTTTTGGAAATTTAGAACAGGTAATAAAAAAGGGTTTCCCTGTCCATAATTTAGAATGCTATTGAAGTAGTCTGCTTTTCACCCTTACCCGGTGGGGAATAATTGTACTGTTTACTTTTGTATCCCCTGTGGCTTTGGACTGTAAATTACGCTTAGAATGCGGAGGCTTGGCTTCCGAAAGTCGCTCCTTAATTGGCCACCTAGTGTAGTACAAGCGACCATATTTCTTGACTTGTTAGTGAAAGCTGTCTACTGTTGACACCAGAAATTATGTCTGGTAAGTGAAATTAATTTTTTCTTCTGAAATTTAACTCAAGAGCGAAGCTTATGTTAGATAACTATGTACATTTTGCGATTAGGTGCAACTAACCGTCGCCCGTCCTTCCATTTTTTCACTTTAATCTCTTCTTGACGAATTCGATGTGCGATTTCTCTTCGAAGGGGCGAAATCAAATTTCAGATTCATGCACAAAGCAATCTAGTCTAAGCAAAGGGACAATTGTTTTGGCACACGATTGTTAATCTTTCTAGGTCATCATAAATAACACACAACTGAGTTGCAATTAGAAACTGATGTCTCACGCTGACAGCTCTTTTTCCTTTCTCCGATAAGCCGAAGAAAACTCATATTTCTGTAAATTTAATACCAGAGAATCGCCAAGAGCTATCAACAGCAAGTGGAAAACACTTTAGTGGTAACTGTAACAAAACCACTGTAGTTTGGAGCGATTCCGTGACCAAATTGCGAGTAGACGAATGTGAAGTCGAAGAAGCTAAAAAACTGTTTAAGTCATGGTTTATTTATGGACATAAACCGATGCGTAGTTGTACAGCTCCGTAATTGTTGTTTATTTGTATATCCCAGGCAGCCATTTTCTTCTAAAAGAATTCTTGATCACCCACCAGAACATGTAAAATTATGGATGCATGCCCTATAGTTATACTTGTCTGAACTCTTTTGTTTCGCGTGGCTTCACAGAACAGTCTAGAATCCCTCATTGCATTCTTTAAATGCCTTCTCTCTACAATGAAGTAGCAGTGTCTTGTTTGTCCTGCTGTTTCATCAGTCAGCATTTTCTATGATATCTGAGGACTCTTACTTTTCTTTATTCCAAGCTTTTGATGAGACAAAGAAACAAAAAATATTTTTAAGCTATTAGGCAAATTTTTTGGCACCAGAAAGTATGGTGATGTATTTTGTAGACTCAGAATGATGGTAAATTTTTTTTTTAACTACCTTGTTTAAGTCAGATTCTTTTGTAATTCAAACTTGCCAGATGTGAAACAAACATCTCTAATTTAATAGGCATTGGGTTGCTTATTGTCATCCAGAACTCATCATTTTGTTTACTCAATCAGTTGTTTTCAAAACATTCCACTTGTAAGACAACTTCTATAGCTGTAAGAGCTTATCCTGGCTTTCTGCGGCATGAAGTGAACAAGAGTATTGCATTTCTGCCTTGAAAAATTTTTTTTAATAATTGAGGTTGTATTGCAGCCTTTTAAGGTAAAGTCAACACTTGAACTAAGGAATTTGGGTTTGTCAACTGAGTTGATGATGTAAATTGGTCATGGTAAGGAGTTTCAAAGCTGACATATTGAGTGTTAGCCCTAAATAAGAGCTATGGCAAGGGGCTTGCATTTGAAGCATCAGCTTTGAAACTACACCAAATTATTTTGTTACACTCACCCACCAATGCAGCACAACAGTTTCCTTGGTAACTTACCTCTATTATTCTTTGGAACCAGTTGGCCTACCCTGTGTGACATTTCCTTGTTTCCCCACCATGAAGAGACAAGGAGTATTTCTATGACCCCAGGATGGGGTGTTAGTGTAGTGCAGTTTACCCACTCCCTTGCCACTTCCCCAGCTTTGCACTATGATTCTATGACAGCTTGCCGTTACCTCTTTAGACTCCTGGGGAGAGAGAGGCACTGAGAAAATGAAGTTTCTTGTCAAAAAATGGAAGATATGACTTAGCCAGGTTTTGAACTCAGACCCCTCGATCTGCAGACCAGCACAGTAAATGTTGACCCTTTTTACACCCTAACATCAGTGTGCATGTTCTCCACACTGTTCTCTATATGTTTTCTAAGGCACTGACAAGGAGGATTTGTTTGCCAATCAAAGGGTTCCTTCCCTGATGACCATTTCCTTTATTCTCATGTCCTGAATGTATGATTCAGGAGTGATATTGTAGGGAGAAATTAGATCCTAGTCTCTCTTAGGGTTTAAAGGGTTAAACCGCTGTGTCTCACATTTTACTCTCACATTGCAAGCACATTGTGCTTGTTATGGAGATGTTATATTTAAGATATTTTGCAATTAAACACAAACTCAACAATTTCATTTATTTTATCATGTACATATAGGACGGTGTCCTCGTTGTAATGACCGTGTCTATGCAGCGGAGCAAGTTATAGCTGGAAAAAACAAGTATCACAAACGATGCTTCACTTGTAACAACAAGCCCACTTGCAACAAGTCCTTAGACAGTGGCTCATTCAATGAGCATGATGGTATGTTGTTATTCATACTGTTTGTTTGATCTGTTAATTTTTTAAAAATGCTATTCAGCACTGAGGGTTTTTTTTTTTGCCTTTATTTCACTATTTAAAACTGAACATCCACTAAATTTACTGTAGTGGTCATGGCTCAGCACCATGCAGTAATGATATGCATGTAGTTGTCTTCCATTAATGAGATGCCTGGTTTTTGTCTTCCAATACCAGGCCTCACGGAAAAGGATAAATTCAAACAAAGTTCCTATTTGTTTTCCAGATCAAGTGTACTGTAGAGGCTGCTATGGCAAACTATTCGGACCCAAAGGATATGGCTATGGGGCTGGGGCTGGTGCACTCCACTTGACTGGAAAGTAAACCCCTAATTTTGGTCACATTCAGTGACATGTAACTAAGTTACTTTGCACAATGTATTTTTATGTGGATAAATGATCAAACACTTGTCAACTATATTTTGATACAAGCATTGTAGACCCTTTCATAGGGGGTTAATTATTAATGCCTTTTTACTGTAAAACATAAGTTTAAGAATGTGATGTTGCCAAGGGAAAAGTGATCTACTATGGTTTTATTATAGATTTATAAGACTAGTTTTGTAAAAAAATAAAATGAACAAAACAGAGTTATTTGCTGTATTATGTAATTCTCTGTGTAGTTCTACTGATGAGGGGGTCAAAGGGATATCAAGTGCCTTGATTGTTTGTAAAATCACTTAAATTTGGGGAAGTAGTTACAGCCAAACCTGTTTTGAGTAGTCAGTTGTGCAAGTCTCAAAAACACTGATTTTCACTTTTATTAACTGTTTAAACCCCCAGAGTGACTAGCATCTAATTTCTCCTCACAATATTACCCCTGAATCAACATGAAAGTGATGAGAATAGAGAAGATGATCACCAACTAGAGCAGCTCTTGATCGTGAAACAAACTCTCCTTTTCAGTCTTTTTGGAAATGTATGGAGAACAGTATGGAGAATTTGCATACTGATGTTAGAGTGTAAAGGGTTAAGAGGTCACCTCTCTAAAGCATTTGTGTCCATCCTTTACTAAGTCCCAGTACTGAATGGTCACTTAATGCAGAATCACTCAAATAAAACTAAGAAAAGCTTTCAAGTGTATTTAATCCATGTTTATCTCCCAAAAGTATTGCTAATATAGTATTTTTGAGCATGATTTTGTACATTTTGTCATCAATTATGGCTTAAAATGGGGTTTTTAGTTGTCTTTTATACTGAGGAACCTGTATGAAGTAATGAACATGTATTGAGCAGTCACCCTGCCTTTTCCTGTGGGTTACCACATAATAAAGTTTCAACTGGAAGATGGTGAAGTAAATCCTGTGTTCTGGATAGCTATTCAAGAGCAACAAATGAGCTTAACTTGTGCTTTGCGCTGCATGGATGACTTTGAAAATCTTTTATAATTGCTTCCCAAGGGATAGGATTTGCCATATAATATTGATATTGTATGACAAGAAGAGAAACAGAACAGTTTAAGGTAGCTCTGTATGGTATCTTTTATTTCTTAACACCAATTCTTTGATGGACTGATAAGACCACACTTTTCCATGTACTCCCTCAAAAGCTGATATTAACAGGGTGTCCCATTGTTTCTTGACGTGTGATAATTTTTTTAAGGCATAGTATGAGAACTTAGATAACTGTTCACCCTTAAAATAAAAATAAAAAATGATTATCTACAAGAGGGAGTTGTTTAGGAGGACTTTTTAGGTATATCTTAAAATCGAGTTTAAGTAGCTTTCGTGTTATAGGAAAAGATAATATGCTCGGAAATTGTTGCTGTTAGAGGTGAATGAGTTCTAGTCGATGTCCTAAGTGCTTTTCAGAGAGAGTTAGATCATTGAGATTTTTTATGGCACGGATGTGTTTAGCCCAGGGGATAAAACAGATGGCTGATTTGATTAATTGCCCAGAGGCAGGCCTGTTTTTGGTATATCATCGGCGGATGAAAATTAACAGCTTTAACCAGATTGTTATGAAGATAACAGTTTAACCTCCACTACCCAGTTAATCTTCGTTGAGAAGTGGAAAATGTGATCCCCGCAAGCGAAACTCTTTCAAACGCCAAACGTTTTCGAAACGTATTACGGCTATTAATTGTAGCAAAAAAAAGGGTCGAGCATTTATGCCACTCAACACTTCCCGAAGTAATAGAAAATACCTAAAATAAAGCCCAATAAGGCAATGTGTGATTTCGATTCAAAGGGATTGTCCTCAAGCTATTTCCATGTTTTCAAGCGCATATGTAAATGACATATGAAGATCATTCATTGTACAGAAGAAATACCATTAGAGGAATGTAATCGGTGGGCAACATGAAAATATTGAAGATTATTGGATAAGGGTCGATGTAACTCACCACACGTAAGTGAACGTTCGAATTTGAAAGACGTCGGAGTCAATCTCATCGTAATCATAACACAATTATTCTCAATGATTATCATTGTCACCATTTTTTGAACATTTAAGGAAAAAAATGTTCAAATTCTTAGAATAAGTGTATTTTTAGAATGTTAGCCTGGTATAATTTCTCAATAATTATAAGATATTTAAGACAAAGATTCAATGACGATATCGTGCCTGGAATCCTCGTCTGAATTGCCACGAAAGGGACATTTCAATGTCAGAAAAAGTAAGAATATGAGTAACAGAAATGAAGTCCGGTTTCCTGGATTATAACTTAAGGTTTAACCAAAGCTGCCGAACAATTTTGCTATCGGGGAAGAAATCTTTAGTAGATTATGTCAAATTATGATATAAGCGCGGGGTAAGAGAGACATGTCTCCGAGTTCTAGACAGCCTCAATTTCAAAACGAGGTCACATGCAGAAATTTCTTTGTGAAAAAGAGTTTTTATTGCATGATAACTGAAATCTGTTTGGCACTCGGCCTCGTTTTTAGACAAAGGCTCCGGGCATCTTGGAGCTCAGAAGACGGTAATCAATGAATGACACATCTTTGCATAATCACAACTCGCACAAAGGAAAATGAATTAAAAGGTATTAAAGTGTCTGCACGAAATCAGAACTGGTTATAGCGTTCGACATGTGGGGAGATATGGCTTTTCTCGAAGAAACAAGACTGGTTCACGTTTATAAATCATCGATCTCTACTCAGAGTTCTGTAACAACAGCTAAAGGTCATGATGTCCCATATACTGGAACGTGTTCCTTAGGCAATGGCGACTTCCCCAAAATAGAGTCTGCGGCTTTTTCCGCCATCATGAGCGTAGAAGCATTAAGATTACCGCTAACTATACTAGGGAATACAGACGCATCCACGACCCGGAGATTGTCGACTCCGAAGACACGAGTTTGCGCGTCGACAACAGCCATCGGGTCATCTTCGGCTCCCATCTTGCTCGTTCCACAGAGATGGTAATCAGTCTTAGCGTATCCTTGAACGAAAGCGTCTATTTCGTCCTCGGTTTCACAAGTCTTAGCTGAGAGGAAAAAATCAAGTTTAAAATTTATCTTTCTAGGATTCCAGGGTCAAGTAATATAACTAGGGTGTAACGGATTCAAGGGTAGGTCATAAAGATTATCAAGATGTCCATATTTTGCTTAGTAACATGGCTTTAGTTCGCCCTTATACTCTGTTAACGACTACTGACCCCACCTCCCCCTCTGTTCTCCATGAAAACCAGATGTTCCCCCTAAAATTCTCCGATCCACTCCCCACAAGATAAAAAACGACTGCCGGTCCTTACACCCTTTACACTCGGACATCAGTAACCACTCTTCACCATACTCCTCTCTATAAATTTCCTTTCGTACTGACAAAAAGGTTTAATAACTTGTTTAACAATTAAGTTTTCTTGAGTTGGTGATCATTTCCTTGATCATGGTTTGACGTTTGCTTCACATGGTCTTAGGTCACTCTCGTGGTTTAAAGGGCTTCAGCATTATAAATCATCTAATAAAATAAGAGAAAAATTACATTCAGGTCATTTTTCATGTGACTCGTGGTTTAAAAGGAAAATTATTAAGCCAAAAACGTTTTGACTTTCTGTAATGCGTTTTTCATGAAATTTATTTTTCAAGACTACAAATTTTGGTATCTGAAATTTTTTTCCGTGCTTATGCACTTTAAATTGCACTCTAAACCATACTGTTACCTATACAAACCTGGTTTTATCGGTTTTCCTCTATAAGGTTCAAAGGCCTTCTGGTTGAGTACATCACGTGCAATTCGCACACAGGTCCTCATTAAGCGACGATCACTGTCACGTGACAGATAGTTTGGTTGAATGACAGGATGGGAAAGTGGGTCACGTGATCGCAGTTTCACGAAGCCCCGGCTGCTGGGTCTAAGAATCTCAGCACAAACCTGAAAGAGAATCCATCAGGAAGGTAATTATCCTATAAGCCTGTTCTCAGAAGTCTCTGGTGAGAAATTGATGCGAACTCGGCAACAAAAAATAACAAGCTGCAAAACTTGCGTCTTCCCTTTCCCTATATCCATTCGTTTTTCCTTTGGTTGCCAACTCTTTCGTTTTCAAAGCAGGACTTTGTCGACAGTTTTACCTGGTATCCATGTTGAATAATCTCAGAGCTGCCCGCCTCTTTCATCGCAGTAGGAACAAACTGCATCTGTATATCGGGGTGTGACACGCTGGGATCACTTTTAACGAACTCACCGCTCTCAAAATGGTTAGAGGCACACACTCCATTCTTGAATAAAAACCACTGTAGGCCAGCTCGTATCATGTTGTGCAGTTTAAACGTACTGTTCAACGTCACTGGCTTGAGGCTTTCCTGTTGTGTTCGTAGTAATAAAAATTATTTCCAATCGAGGTAGATTTTAGTAATAAAATGTAACAGGGATACCAATAATAATTATGATAACAATAATAAAGATGAGGATGATGATGATGATCATAAGCCACTGTGAACAGGGTGACAACTTAAGTAGGGTAATTTGGTATCATCAACTAAGTTGATAACGTTAATTGGCCACTGTAAAAAAGTTTAAAAGCTGACGTTTCGAGCGTTAGCCCTTCGTCAGAGCGATCGCTCTGATGAAGGGCTAACTCAGTCAACTCAGTCAACTCAGTTGATAATACTAAATTACCCTGTTATTCTCTCCCACCGACGCAGCACCACAGTTTCTTTAGAAACTTACCCACTTTGAACGGCATAAGGGCTGAAATTCCTGTGAATGGTGCAATGCTCTACATTCCTAAAATACATTCAAGATCTCTACAATCATGTAGGTTATCTGGTGCTAGTTACTTACATATTGGACATACACTTGGACGTGATCTTGCAGATTTTTTCCCACTCCTGGTAACTTTGCCACCATAGGTATTCCCAGCGACTTCAGCTCTGTTTCATCCCCAATCCCAGACAGCATAAGTAACTGTGGAGAATTAACTACTCCACCAGAAAGGATGACTTCTTTAGAGGCGCGTGCTCGTTTCACTGAATCCCCAACCCGATATTCTACTCCAATGGCTTTACCGTTTTCAAACAACACTCTGTTTGCCAGTGCTCTGGTCCGGGTCGTTAAGTTATTCCGAGGAAGAGCTGGCTTCAAATAAGCGGATGCGGCACTCCATCTCTTCCCTTCGTGTATAGTACGATCCAGTGAGCCAACTCCTTCCTGTTGATAACCGTTGAAGTCATCTGTAAATGGGTGACCGGCCTCTACACCCGCAGCGATGAAGACGTGGTGTAGAGGATTAGAATGTGTTCCACGATACACTCGCATTGGCCCACTTCCTCCACGATACTGACTAGCACCTAAACACAGAAACTCGCGTCATGTCCATGAGGTAGACACAGCAGCCGGAGAAGGGTCGGAAAACCGATTGAGAGGTTCGGTGCGAGTCCTCGGTGTGGTCACTGGTGTTGCATTTTTGAGCAAAACATTTTTCTGTTACACTGCTTGTCTCCACCTAACAGCCTTAGTTTAGATAGTGCATGGTTTATAAAGGAGTGCTTTGTATCGAATAAAAGTGCATTTTGCTGGGTAACTGAGATAATTTAAGATAATTTTATTTGCTTTAGACCAACAAAATCCAAATAGATTAATTTTTTTCTCTCATCTTGTGTCAAAGAGTGTATTTGAGAAGACAAACACCGCTTGACATGAAAGTGTCTGCTAAAAGCAAAAAACTTATTGGGTAAGGCATAGAGGTGATCAAGTCCTTGTGTGGTAAACACAAACATACCATGTTCGTATCTTTCCAACCTCTTGAAGTAAGGCAAACAGTCTGCATAGGACCATCCTGTGGCACCTTCCCTATCCCATCTGTCATAATCAAACGCATGTCCGCGTGCAAAAATCATTGCATTTATTGAGGAGGACCCGCCCAGTACACGACCTCTTGGATGGTAAATAGTCCTGCAATATACATGAAGAGCAGCCATTTGAGTTCACTAAAAATTATTTTTTGATAGATTGATAAATCTCTGGTGAGTGTGAGTTAAAGCTAAAAAGCCTCCAGTGAGAATCAAACCCATAAATTAACGCACTGTTCAACTGCTCTACTCATCACTTGCCCAGTCCTCTGACAGCCAATAGGCCATTTTATAGTTATTTACTTAGTTGCCAAGCCTTTGATTTGGAGCAAGGCTGAAGGTGACCTTGTTGTGACAGAGACCAGTATCTAGCTAGCATGATAACAAAAAAATTTACTTTTAAAAAGCAGCACCATTTGTATTGTAACAAGGTCACCCTTAGCCTCACTCTTGTTCAAAGGCTTGGTGACCAAGCACACAACTGCAAACTGGACTATTGGGAGATTTCAATCAAGATTTTCAATTCAGCTGAGATCTGGGTATCCAAAACATGATAAACCAATGAGCAGGGAAGGAGAAAGAGAGACTGAAGTTTGTAGGCTCTTCTGTATGACAACAATATATGTTAAATTCATTTGCTTTGGGCATGAGACAAAGAGAAAATCTGAAAACCAAAAATAATTTCAGACTAGAAACATAAACACTTGTGGCTTATTAACCAAATCTACATGAGGGTCAAGAGCTGGTTAACCCACTTTAAGTCCAATTTCAATACTGCACCCCCCCATCCATCTTTCCCATGATATTCCCCATTTTTCCCCAGGCTCCTACCATCCTACTTCCTTGACCCTTTTAACTTCCAGAAGTGATTAAAATGTAACTTCTCACTACAATATCCATACACTATCCAGCAAACAGGTAATAGGAAGACTCAAACTTATCAGGTATAGGTTGTCATCTTGATCTAACATTAAATTCTCGTAACTTTTTTGGAAGGAAATGTCAAGCAGCTAGAGGGAGAAGGAACTATCCGATCTTGGGAGTTAAAGGGTTAACAGATCTTGGTTGGACTGCAGAATCACCAAGTTAATTAATGTTATGATTAGCAATGGTGTGAAAATGAAAAGAAAATTAAATTTGTTTTAACACCTATTTTTTAAATATTGCTGAGGCTCTGATGTATAGAACCAGTTGTGACTGTCATATTCTAAGTTATATGACATGGCTGCTGGCATCTGTATTTTCCATGTGTTATCTGATGGTCCAGCTTCAAGGAGGAGTACCCTTAAATCTGGATTAGCTGACAGCCGATTGGCCAGAACACACCCAGCTGATCCTGCACCAATGATAATGTATTCATGGGTGGAGGAAAATGATGTGGTTGACTTAGAGTATCTTTCTATCACTTGGCCTCCTGGTTAGATTAAGAAACAATAAATTTCACTTCACTGCATGATAATGTACCCTTTACCTCATGGGGCCACATGGTTTGGCAAGGTTACTTTCCATGGCATATTTTTGGCTCATTTAACTGTATGCTTAGACTTACACCCATCACAAGTTATCTCCACAGTATTTTCCAAATTTCCTTGACAGTTCACCACTGAACATTAAGTTATCCTCACCTTATTAAATATTCTAATTGTGGGTTCTTTAAGCTTAATAAATGTACTAAAACTTTATTTTGCCTTAGAACTTCTTTATGCAGTTATCACAGAGAAAGTGCAATTCATTTAAACCTGAAACAATCCAAATTGGTTACCTCCTGACCATACCCCATGCCATGTCACAACCTGTAACATGCATCTTATCTTGTGTAGTGCATCAAATCCTTCATGTGTCAACATAGGGTCAACTCATGTCAATCAGGGATGGCTCCATCCACCCTCTTCTACATGTTTGATTGGTAAGGGTGTGTGATGGGAGGAGTGTAATTTTTGCATTGAAGATTATCTTTAAGGAAATTAACCATATCGATAAGATTTCAATTGGCTTCACACTAACCAGTCAATTTCCAGGTAAATTTTTTTCTGGATACCTTATAAGTGCTCTGAACAAACCCCAAGGAAAACCTGTTCATGTTCAATACCTGCAACAAAATAAGGAAGTGTTAAAAACCATAGTCTAGTATGGTCCATTAGTTTCATACTTACCTCTAGATACTCTAATTTATTGCCTTGTGTTTCTTTTTTTCGAACAAGGGTGGGAAGGGGGGAGAGGTTGATGCAGAAGTATATTTAGTCTATGTAATAATTTGTATCTGTTTATGGGAGTTGTGTATCTAGAGTAGGTCTACTGCAATACTCGACCCTAAGTTAACCCCGCAGACTTTGCAGTTACCTCTTAAGTGTTCGCTTACACTTTGAGCAAACGTCCACTAAAGGCAAGTCTTGTATCAATAGATTGTAAGATACAGGTCTAAATTTTAACATAGGCTCAATTGACCCTAACTACACCCTGCGGCAAGGTCCGTGATTCTGGCGATTTTTCTCGCTTTTTGTACATACTCACCCTGCTAATAAGTTTTGTACAGACTCACCTTAATAAGTTTTGCACATCAAGCACCAAAATTTATCGCTATCTGAACGCCAGATCACTGTTGCTTGTGTCAACGTATAGCTGAAATTTTATCCTGGATTTCTCGAACCCCTGCACCTGCAGGAGTGTATTAATTTTGTCGAGTCACCGACTTTAATTTGCCAATATCACAGAAGAATGTCACGGGTTGATGTCACGACATACCACCGAAAGTGAATCAGCGGTTCATTGCAGTCAAAATGAAATTGAATTTGCCGTTCATAATATATGTAAAACACTCTATTTTTAAGAAAATACAGCAACTTTCATTTTTCACTCTTCATTGGACCTCTAAGAACATGTAAACTTTAGGTACTAGTTTCCAGTCTTTCTATCGCTAAACGTCCAAAAAACAGTTCACTGATTTGTCACCGGTTCTCCAATTCTTTCAATTTTATGATAGACTGGTAAGTAGTTCATCAAAAGCAAGAAAAAAATAAATGTTCTATTTATTTTGTGGAGTACAAATCATGGAAAGATAAAGCAGTGTTCACTTGGTTTCTAAGTAATCGTTTCTGATTGGTTGAGAGTCGAAATCTATCGGCACTCATCGGATTTTCGCGCCAAAAAACCCAGCTGCAACTCTGCTGATCGTTTCCACCTCAGTAGCAGGTCGTCCCTCAAGAAGTTTTGAAAGAGTACAGGAGCTTCGAATTCATCAGTGAAAAGCTCACTTCTATCGACTTTTGAAGTCTATTTTCCATGCTATACAACTTCACTTGGACGAGCTGCCTTCGATCTTATTTTTCCTCCAGATGTCACCGTTTGATGCTCATGAGGAAGAGTAACAAAGCTTTGAAAAAGTGGGTGAGAAGCTTGAACGATGACACTGTCCCATATATTAACTTGCAAATTCTAAATGATGAATTGAGTGCAGAAACGACAAACGGTTCACGTGTTCACTGTTTTAAAATTTACAGGATAATTTGCTCGACTCATAAGTTAGCTGCAAAGATCGTGTTCACAATACTATAACAACTAAAATAAATTCGTTATTTATCCTCAAACAGCGAGGAACTAATTGCACCTGTAGATAGCTCATTCTTTTCGAAATTGTTTTTTCGAAGTGTTTCTCAAAACAGAATTTTCTTCCATAAGGTACTGGAGCAGTTCTCAATTAAATGTCGAAAGTAATCCATGATTGCTTGATTGGCCTAAAAAATTCGCGCCACCCTCACAACTGATTAATCAAATCTAAAACTAAAACTAATCATGATTTGGTTACTCGCGTTTTCCCGCGGTGAGTTCTCACCGGCCAATGAAGTCGATCTTCACTCGGATGGGTTGTTGTGCTTACTTTGGTTTAGTTTTTCGAAGCCCCAGCTGAAAACAGCTCTTAACAGTAATTCGATTTAGTAAAATGACACAAAGACCTTTCCCAAGCCACAATTTTTTGAGATAGGACAAACTTTGTCTCGAATGGAATCACGATCCTTATACGTTTTAAAAACCTACTAATATACCTACTTTAATTCTTACGTCAAAAAGCCAGCACATATATTTCAAAACTTTTTTATTCTGGCTTTTTATACACTGGTGCTCTCGATTTAGGAAGAGGGGGATTTCCTAAAATTATATCTGCAGCCTTTTCCGCGATCATAATTACTGGTCCATTGATATTTCCACTCACAACACTCGGCATGATTGATGCGTCGACAATCCTTAGGTTCTCCACACCGAATAACTCCGTTTTATTATTGACAACAGCCATCGGGTCATCTTCGGAACCCATTTTACAAGTGCATGATGGGTGATATACAGTGTCGGCGTTCTGTCGTATCCAAGCGTCAATTTGTTCATCTGTCTGAACATGGTCACCTTTGTAAGCGTACAAACAAACATACTGTAATTTAGCATTTCACACCAACAAGTGCGAGACACCTCAACAAACAAACTTTTATTAAGAACAAACTTCAGGCAGCCAGTCACAGGAGATCAAAGGAGAATGTCTATAGAAGGAATAAGGAATCAAAAGTGTAACAAACCGAAGAATGCACACATGGATCGCCTAGTGGGCAAGTGGTCTAAAAGGTGTCTTGACGTGGTAGTGGTCTGCTTCTTTTTTTTTTTAGTTAATTCTCATGGAAATTAAGACCCTAAAACCTGCTGAGATATCTGCTAAAACAAAGCATTTTATAGTCATCATACTGTTTCACTGTAAGTACCTGGTTCTAACTCTCTCCCACAAAATGGCTCCAAAGCCTGTTGGCTGATTATTTCTCTGGTAAGTCTAACAGCATTTCTTAGCTCCACCCGATCTTCTTCAGTGGACAGGTATTGAGGGTTGATACTGGGATGATCATATGGATTTGTGGACTTCAGTCTTACATATCCACGACTTGTAGCACGTAAGGTGCCAACGTGAATCTCGTAAGGAAATAAAACAACGTGATCAACAAAAGCGTTCAGAACGTTTTCATAACTATTATTTTTTTAAAATAGACTACCATGTATTATAGTACCGCACTGAAATTGACGGAAATTTAGAAAGTGTGGCAACACTGACAGAGTAATTTCCTTCTTCTCAAGATTTTGTCCAAGAGAAAGTTTTTTTACGCATAGCCAGATAAATATAAAGAAAGGATAAATTCTACTTGGTTTAGTATTCAGTATGAACAAAAGAAAATTCCTCTTAAGTATGGACAAAACGTTAAAAACAGACATAAAACAACAACAAAACCCTTTACACCATTACATCAGTATCTATATTCTCCATACTATTCTCTATATATTTCCTAAGGTGTTGACAAGGAGAATTTGTTTGACAATCATAAACTTCTGGAATTAACGATCATTTCCTTTTACGTTAGGAGAAATTATGTGAAAGCCAGTCACCCTTAGGATTTAAAGGGTTATGGGAAATACGCCTGAAAATTTGCATGATATCCTAAGAGCTTATCTTTCACCCACCATGAAGGCATCCCTCTGGAATATCACTCTACCGTCATCTTTGTACCCCAGAGGCACAAACTGAAACTGGATGTCAGGATGCGATATGTCCTCCTTGCTGCGAATAAAGCCACCTGCCTCCTTGTGTGCTGTTGCACATGGTCCAGTCCTTGTGAGGAACCATTTCACTCCTACTGGAATCATGTTCCACCACTTCAGAGTACGGTAAAGCGTCAGGGGCTGATTACACTCGTGAAACAAGAGAGCAGTGGTGTGATAACTTACGATTGCATAGCACTCTCTGGAATACCTTGATAAATACTACATACCTGCATAAAAGCCACAGACATATGATCCTGAAGATTGTAACCAACACCGGGAAGATGAACCTTCACGGGAATACCAAGTTTTTCCAAATCAACAGCATTCCCAATGCCTGACAAATTCAGTAACTGAGGTGTGTTAATGGCTCCAGCAGCTATGATAACTCCCTTTCTGGCCCCAGCACGTTTTATTTCATTGCCCAACTGATACTCCACTCCTACAGCACGGTTGTTCTCAAACAAAATTCTCAAGGTCAAGACCCTTGTTTGTGTTTGAAGATTCTTGCGCTTAAGTGCAGGTCTGAGGTAGGCATTTGCTGTATTCCATCGTACTCCCTTATGGATCGTCTTGTCCATCCAACCAAACCCTTCCTGTTGGGAGCCATTCATGTCATCTGTGAAGGGATAACCAGCTTGGACACCAGCATCAATGAATGCTTGGTATAGAGGGTTACCATTTGACTTACCACAGGATACATGGAGCGGTCCATCGCCTCCTCGGTAATCATCTGGGCCTACAAGCGAGAACGAGCAGATTGTTAACTTGTCCATTACATGACCTCTGAAACAAAAACAACAGCAGCATGCGTAACAACAACCTCCTTTACCCATTAAGGGTAACAGGTAACGGTGTTAGTAAATAAAGAACTTTTGTCCCTCACGGAATAGGTTTTACATCGCCTAGAATGCTTTTGTCTATCGCGACAAGGCTATAAAAAAATTGCGCAAAAGATCTTCAAGATTGCAAACGACACCGGAAGGACGAGTCATCACAGGAATACTAAGCTTTTGCAAATCATCATCTAAAGAAAACGAGAATATCGCAGTATCCCAGCTTCAGTAAGGAAACGTTTGTGGTGCCTTACTGAGACTTAGAAAATAGAGACTTTTAATCCCTGTTTGTCCGATGTTAGGTCTGTACGGTTGGTCGTTACGCGGGCTACCAGGATTAAAGGGATGTGGCGCTCCAATAATAAAAAAAATACAGTGGAAGTCGAAAAATGAAGTGAACACCTACCCAGCTCATGGGTCTGAGATTTCCTGAAATATGGCAAGCAATCTGCATATGACCATCCTTCAGCACCTTCCTCCTCCCAACGATCATAATCATACGCATGACCTCTGATGTACACCATTGCATTTAGAGACGAAGATCCGCCCCATACCCTCCCCCTGGGTTGATAGATCCGCCTGTATGGAAGAAAATTGGCATCTTATGAGAGACACATAAAACTTTGAAACTTCGTCTCGACAACTTCAATCTCAAATGCTGGTGGACAACGAGCAAAATATCCTTTTGTTTTTCTAAATTTTGTTTCATTGGGCAACAATTTGCAGGAAGGTGGGAGTGATTTTCCAGTATGGGGCTCTATACCTGTAGCGTGCTAGTGGTTTGAGGCAGGGAGCATAGGCTTGGTTGTTTTATGATTTTATATCACTTTTTTTGACGACACAGGTGGAGGGGGGGAAGTTTACGAACACCAGCTTAAGACTTATCTTTGTTACTGTCCTTTAATAGTTTTATGTTTGATTAAGCTTGGTGCTCAAAACACTCCAAAACTGCATTACCTGTTATTCGTAAACTCTTGTGGTTCCGTTTCGTAATACCAGTTGTATTTGTCATTCCAAAGATTATACTTGACAGCAGCTGGCATGTGGATCTTCCATGTCCAATCTTTTGGTCCTGCCTCTAGAATTAGAACTCTGTTTTCACCACTGACCGAAAGACGATCGGCAAGGACACACCCTGCAGATCCAGCTCCACAGATGACATAGTCGTAAGATGAAGAAAACTTTACAGTGGACTGAAAACATCGTCGCTGGAAGCTAACGTGTTCGGCTGAAAATAACCAAAAACGAGTAAGGTTACTTGAATTAAGCTTGATTGCTTCGAGATAAGCACAATATTACAAAAATCAACTGCAAAGATTGTTGAGGCTTATGATTCGTCTTACAGAGTATGAGAAATGGCCTCGTGAAAAACAGTGTTTTGACCTTCGCCCAAGAAGCCATCGTGGTAGAACACACAAGTATATCTCATTGCCTCATCTGAAAAGGAATGCAAAATATACAAAGAAATTCCAAATTGATAGATTATATTTTGTCTTAAAGGAAGTTTTCGGCGTTGCTTAAAGTCACGTAACAATTACATTACAGGGTCATTTTTTCGCGTAATGCAATATGATTTGTATACATCGTATGGGCAGAAGCTTATGTAAATTTTTTGAGTATATAATATCCTGAACATGATGAAAACATATCTGTTATCCTAAGAGAGCTAAAGAAGTACAGGCAAAGGGCCGCCGGAGTGAATCATGCAGTGTTAAGGGAGGTGAAACTCTTCGCTTCTTCTAGCCACTCTATCTGCTGACCGATATTGATGTTGCTGGTGGAAGCTTCTTTAAAAGCGTTTCCACGTTTCAAGAAGATTCTTATTTGTATTTTTTCTGAGTGTGTCTGATACAAATCTGATGTAAAACCCGGAAATCCCTTTCAAACTCACACTGTGTCTTCTGTATTAGAATTGTTCAATATTGATCCCTATGAAAATATGGGCTTCAGGTCTGCGTCGTAATGTCACGCAACCTCCTGAATCAGATCTGTACAGTTCACCATCAAACAGCGGAAGTTTTAGCACATTGGGAACACCATAAGACTAGATACGAGGCAGGAGGACTGAATCATGCCAATGCACCCTGACCAAAGGCCGTGACCAAAGGCCGAGTTTGCTACGGGTATTATGAAATATTTGCATTTCTCAAATTAGGAGATGGTAGAAATGATTAATATCGCCGTAATCACATCTTTTCGCCTGGCGGATCTGGTCATCGTTTCAATGGAAGAAGGTAGAGGGCAAACAGAGAATACTAACCTCGGTTAGCTCGAATTGTACCCGATCTCCGCACCTGTTGCAGTCACAAACCGAAAATGTTAAAAAGCTGCTGGGAGAAAAATAAACTGACGAGGAGGAGGTGCGGTACGAGTCTTTAGGAACGGGAGGGGTGGGGGCCGCCTTCTGTGCCAGCGGTTTTTGAAATTTCCAGTCACGATACTCAGCATGATCAACGATCGAAAAAAACCTTTTTCATCTCGAAATTACTTTGATTTGTAACTGGCGACATCTGCCGGGTGTATGGAATATGTCCGGCACACGTTTCGCGGCTACGTAATTGACAGCTTGTCGAATGGAGGGCCTGTAAGGTCATTGCTGTCACCGAAAATCTCCACCTCCGATGGATAGTGGCGCATTAAGAAAAGTTCAACTATGTAAAAAAACTCGCTGAAGTCTGAACACTCAATAAAGTCAACATTTTATAGATCAGGATTTGTTCCTTCTTTATATACGAAGACATTTTACCTACGTGATACTCCGCTGACCGATTTCGTTCATTATTGTCAACCTCGATAAATTCTCTTTATGATGCCACTACTGAAGAATGCTTCATCAAGAACTTTATTCTAGTGGTAAATATTAGTATTCTAAAATGCAACCATGTTCTGTTGTACCATAACCGTAAACTTTTATTTTATCTCAAATCAAAGTGAAAGTCATTACCAGTCTTTCAACCTTACTAAGTTCTAGTCTTTCGCGGGCACAGCTCCGAACGCTTACCGCTGTTTAGTTCATCTCTGGGTTAATTACGGATTTATTTTACGTTTTTATACCGTCTGGCTGCAAATTCAGGTAAATATCCGTCTGGATATAATAATACCTTAGTTTTTAAAAAATCACGTTGGCAAAACGGCGCTCTTCTCTTGTAGTTAAGCCATATGCATAGAAGATTCGCGAGAGCGATCTATGGCTGTAGGTCAGTGGTTTTACTACATCGATCAGCCTTGACGATCACTGTAAGGGGGAGGTGCAGAATTTTTTAAGTGTGCCAACACGATTTTCCAACAGAAAAGAGCCTTCAAAGTCAGTTCGGTCCTAAGATATTTACGTTAAAAAGAATCCACGAGCCGATTCTTGCATGCAATTTTAGGATTGCATAAGTCGCCGGAAAATCACTGATTCCTTTTTACCCTAATATCATTATGCAAGTTCTCCATACTATTCTCTATACATTTCCTAAGGTGCTGACAAAGAGAATTTGTTGAAAAATCAAGAGATTCTTTAGTTGGAGGTCATTTTCTTTATTCTCGTGACTTTAATGTGTGATTCAGGGGTGATATTATATGGAGAAATTAGATGCTGGTCTCTCTTAGGGGACCAAAGGGTTTACTGAATGATGATAAAACTGATACTATCTCTATTTATTACATCTAGAATGATATTAATAATAATAAAATTAGAATATTGATGATGACAATGATGATGACATTTATTACTTTTGTAGATTTTAACATCAATCTTTGTTGATAACTAAACTATTTTTTTTCAAAGTAGAAATTAAATATTTGTGGTAGTGTTATTTTAAGGTTTTAAGGTCAAAATTAGAATTGTACAGTACTATGCAACATCATGTGGTAAAACAGTAATCAAATTCCTATCCATAAAAGCCTCGATCATTTCACACATCATGGATCTAATTACTTGCCTTGTAAAACCAATTAAGATTTGTTTTGTATGCAAGATAATCCTAGGAAATCAAATATATTTTGGAGTCATATATGAAACATCACTTTTTTGTTCATGTCATTTTTCTCTGCTTTGCATTTAAGGGTGAAATTTTTTATAATAGAGACCTCATACATTCATTGTAAATGAGTTATATGTAATATTGTAAATCATTTCTGTATATGATATGGTAGATTTATTTCAGTCAGCCAAGGCTCAGATGATTTTTATTTACTACTGTGCTTCAAAGTTTATGTCTGAGTAGAGCTGAGTATCTAATTTATCTATAAAATTAACTATTTTACCATCTCTCCTTTTTAAGGCAAATTTGATGGCGTCTTTCTTGATGCTTAAAAGATGTTTCTACAGAAACCTTGCTCCTTCATTTCATTTCATAAAAGGTATGTGTCTGAATATTAACTTGCTCTTTAATTTTGTTCCTATATTTTACTGCCACTGTGACCATTCACACTTCCCACTGCTGGACATTGTTTTATTTAATGATATGCAAGGCTGTAGATAAGGACCATAACCTGTAACAGTTGTTAGGGCTCAGATCATGCAATGTTATGGGTGAAGATGTTGATTGCTGTCACATTACACTACTACAGGTGATGTCTGCAGAGTAACAGCTGCGTTATATAATGCACTGAATTATACACCCGGTTTGATAAGTCATCTTTTGGATGACAGCTGCATACATCATTGAAGTCACCATTGAAAACATTTTCCTTTTTGATAACATTTTGATTCTATTCTGTATACATCTCTTCCATAATGATAACGGAAGTGGACTTGTGCACCACTTTTTTGTTCTCACCACATTTTGCCATCATCTGTGTACAGCAATATGGAATCTATTTCTCAACTTGTTTACACCATGGAATGACCAACAAGGAATTTCTCCTTGATATCCATACATTTGTAAACAGTAAGGCAACAAAAAGCTAGAAAATATTAGCACAGGGATATTGCTTTATTAACATTAAATTCTCAAAACCATAACTATAAGCAATATATAGGGAATGGTGCAGAGAATTAATATTTGGATCTTGGAAGTGAAATGATTAAGTAAATATTGATGACTATCATGGGTATCTTTGACTTTCCTCAATGTATAGTTTTCATTATTTTGTCCTTAAGTCCATAGACCAATAGTACAGCAAAAATGTTTCCTAACTGGAACTGGTATCACAAGATATTCTTCATCTCATGACTACGTTATTTGTGGAGCTGGATCGGCTGGTTGTGTTCTTGCCAATCGTCTATCAGCCAGTGGTGAAAACAAAGTTCTTCTTCTTGAAGCTGGACCAAAAGATTGGACGTGGAAGATCCACATGCCAGCTGCTCTTATTTATAATCTTTGCGACAATAGATATAATTGGTATTATGAAACAGAACCTCAAGAGTTTATGGATAATAGGTAAATTGGTATTTAAATTTTCTTTTCTATTTTTTTTGATATGTGTACCTGTTGTGTAAAATTTTGTGAAATTGGTTACCCTTCCATACAGGCGGATCTATCAACCCAGAGGGAGGGTATGGGGTGGATCCTCATCCCTTAATGCAATGGTGTACATCAGAGGTCATGCGTATGATTATGATCGCTGGGAGAAGGAAGGTGCAGAAGGATGGTCATATGCAGATTGTTTGCCATACTTTAGGAAATCTCAGACTCATGAACTAGGTAAGCTAACAAAAGTCCACAATTCTATAATAAGGAATTGTTAGCCCTTTTACTCCTAGGAGTGACTAAGAGAGAATTGCTCTTTACATGTCAATGTCAAATCCCTATGCTGTAGTGCTAAAGATAGACCTGACACGGAAGAAATGGGAATGTGTAAAAAGTCCTTTTCACATAGAGTTTACTTATACTGGGATGTCCACACTCTAATAAGTGCCCTCCAAACAAGCACCTACCCCCCTAGCTTATAATATGGAAGAGGAGCCCCTCTCAATTAATTGCCATCCCCATTTCCTCCCTTATTTTCTCAAATAGTAGAGATTCAAGGAAAACCTTTTTCTATTGCCTGTTTTTAAATAACTTTTTAAGCCTCAACTTCAGCAGGATCATTACAGGTTAATAGTTTCCTAATAAGCACCCCACTTGGTTGAGCACCCTCCTTCCATTGAGTGCTCTTCCTTTAGGCCAAAATTTTAAAAAAGCACTAGGGCACTTTCAAGGAAATACATGTATGGTGTTAAAATTTTCAAAAGGCTTTTAAGTCGTCTACAAGAGACATGTTTCTTGTTGAATTTGATACTATGTGAAGCTGTTGCAGAGGTCATACTGTTGACAAGCAAACAATACTTGCATTTTCTTTTTTAGGTTCAGATGATTACAGGGGGGGTGGTGGACCTCTTCATGTATCCCGTGGTAAATCAAACAACCCTTTGTACCAAGCGTTTATCGATGCAGGTGTTGAAGCTGGCTATCCCTTCACAGATGACATGAATGGCTACCAACAGGAAGGGTTTGGATGGATGGACATGACAATTCATAAAGGATTCCGGTGGAATACAGCAAATGCCTACTTGAGGCCTGCACTGAGGCGTAAAAACCTTCGCACAGAGACAAGAACACTGATAACTAGATTAGTATTTGAAAAGAATCGTGCATCAGGTGTTGTCTACCACCAGGGCAGTCATGTGAAATGTGCCCAGGCCAGAAAGGGAGTTATCTTAACCTCTGGTGCAATTAATACACCTCAGATCCTAAATCTGTCAGGTATAGGAAATGCAGATGATTTAAAAAAGCTTGGTATTCCTGTGAATGTTCACCTTCCTGGTGTAGGGCAAAACTTTCAAGACCATTTGGAGATGTATTTCCACCAGGTTTGTAAATTATTCTCCACCTATTCTACATGTAGAAAGTTGACCATGAGGTGGTGAGGAACAATTGGTGATGACATAGTGCATTCATTCAATCAAGTGCTCACCTCAGCCTCTAGGAAGTCAATTGACAACAAGTTAAGGTTAATGTTGGGTAAAGGGAGGGATAGGTGGGCAGTTGCCCAGATACTGATATTTATCCAAAATTTTAATGAGCACCAAGCCTCTCTTAGGCTCTAGCAGAAGTCTAGCAACTTACTTTTTCTTTTGGAAAATTGTTAAAATTTTCTTTAATGGAAGTTTAGAAGAGCTGGGCACCCCAGAGTTTTGAAACAATTTACAGCTCTCAGACATCCAGTGACACCATGAGGAGGAAGCTTTATCTAGTAACCTTATATAGATTTTGCTTCTCTTCTGTAATCTTGTTTCAGGAATGTACACAACCTTTAAGTTTGTACCGCTCTCTCAAATGGTGGAACATGGTTCCAATAGGTGTCAGATGGTTCCTCACTCGGACAGGACCATGTGCCACTGCACATCTAGAGGCTGGTGGCTTCATTCGCAGCAGGGAGGGAATGTCACATCCAAATATCCAGTACCACTTTCTACCCTCCGCATTTAAAGATCATGGTAGAGTGACAGTAGAAAAAGAAGCTTTTCAAGTAAGTGACAGATGAAAGTCGGCCACCATGTGTAGTGTATGTTCCTTTTTATGTTCAATTTTAAACATTTCCTTCATGTTTCTATATTTCCCATGACACAAGTTGTAAAATGTATTTGTTCTTTTTAAGGTTCATGTTGGCTCCATGAGGGCAACAAGTCGTGGGTATGTGAAGATCAAGTCAACCAGTCCCTATGACCATCCAATCATTCAACCCAACTACCTGTCTACTGAAGAAGACAGAGTGGAGTTAAGAGATAGTATTAAACTTACGCGTGAGGTATTTAGCCAAAAAGCTTTTGATCCATTTCGCGGAAAAGAACTACAGCCAGGTACAGTACAAAAAAATTTAAACATCTATCATTAGAGGAAACAAATTATTTTCTGTTATATATCATTGTACATAGAACATAGGATACAAATTGAACATGCTCTGCAACAAATAATATTTTAATTTTAACCCTTAAGGTGACAATGTCCAAACTGATGAAGAAATTGATGCTTGGGTACGACAGAATGCTGACACTGCTTATCACCCATCATGCACCTGCAAAATGGGCTCGGAAGATGACCCAATGGCCGTTGTCAACAACAAAACAGAGGTGTTTGGAGTGGAGAATTTGAGAGTTGTTGATGCATCAATCATGCCAAGTATTGTTAGTGGAAATCTCAATGGACCAACTGTTATGGTTGCAGAGAAGGCAGCTGACATCATCCTGGGAAATCCTCCATTACCCAAATCAGATGCACCAGTTTACAAGACACCAGAAGTAGGCCAGAGATAAAAATGTTATTCACTGCTGTGATAACTACAGATATAGCACCCAGACATGATTTCAACATGCCTGTGTAAGACTCATCACAAGTAGAGATGATTACCTCAAAGTTTAAAGCAAGTCAGGCAGTTTTAAAAACTCTCAGGAGTTGAAAGTTACAGACTGCAAAATAATAGCTTTCAATGAAAAATGAAAACAATAAGGTACTGTTAATTATTTATTTGAAGCAACAGTTGTTGTCACCATGTGGAAGATGCTTGGGGACCCTGTGGTGACTTCAGTAATTTCAGTAGCACATCAGTATAGCAGTTGGTTACTTTGAAGTACATGCATTTTAAGACTTCTACCAAACACATGCAAATTTGGCCATACCATTGCAATATTATGTTTTATTGAACCATTTTGATTGTCTTTTTCATTATGTTCATTTAAAGATCAGTAGGTTGCAAAATTTGAGTTACAAGTAATTCATTTTTCTTTTGCATCCCGAGGGTGTGCTCTCCGACATAATTTCCAGGCAATTGGCTGTGGAACTATTGACAGGGAAAACTTGAATAAAGTTTGCAACAATGTTGAATACTTCAAAGACATTCCTGTCACATGTGTAATCCTCAGACTGTAGTTTGGTATCCCCAGAGTCAATTTTAAGAACAACTCCTTGCTCCTTATCTCCTACACTAGCAACAAAAACATGGCAGGCTGCTGCAGTTTGAAGTTATGAGTAATGTAGATCCTTTTGTTTTAAAGCATTGATGTACATGTATTGTACCCTTTTGTAGCTTCTTTGCTATGCCAAACACCTACTGATACCTTGACCTGAAGGCAAGAGTTTTAGGGAAGGGTACTGGGGTTCCCATGAACCCCCCCCCCCTTTCCTTTGTAAGCCTTTTTTATCCATTAATTCCCATGAGTGACCAAGACAGAATTTCTCCTCACAATGTCAATACAAGAATTGTATTGCTGACAGTGAGGTGAATTACTTAAACGATCTGGGAGTTAAAGAGTTATGCAAACAACCTACAATATTCTGGTGAAAAGTCCTGGCCATGCCCCCGAAAAGGGCTCTCACCAATTAGTCCTTGCCTCTGTTACCTCCATCCCTCAACCCAGTATTGTCCATGAAATGATGCAATCATGAATTTCAGCCAAATTGATAACATGAACTCTAGCTCCCTGGCTTGCATGTAATCTGATGTAACTTAATGGCAGTGTCTCATTGCTTTTTTTCCCTCTACTTAAACTTATTTAAAGCCTTGTCATCTTCAATTATCCAATTAGTAGTTCTTCTGTTTGACTGCCACACATTTCCTTGTAAATTGGATGGGAGAATTTTGTCTTCCATCAAAATAACATCCCATGGCTAATAAGCTTGTTTGTTTTCATAATCTGATTGTGAGATAACATTTGAAATCAAAAGGAGAAGATGGATGTTTGCAACTTCTGAAAGTTAGAGGGGATGATAAAGGGGAAGATAGCAACCACACCTGAACTCAACAGAAACAAAAATGCAGTCAAATTAATGATAAATATTTATTATTTAAAGTATAAGGTACTTGGTAAAAATTCAAGCCACATCAGGTCCAAATCTTATTTTAGACACAGCTTGGAAAGCAATCATATTGCAACCCAACAAAAATCTACATCGAAAAGTGATTCTTCAACCCCCTTCCTAAGAAAGATTGAGTACTTATTATTACACAAGAACACAATTTGCTCTAACAATTGAACAAATAAGTTAAACTTATTTGAAATTTGACAAGTTTGTAATATTAAAAAGATTCCAATAACCCAAGGGTTTAGTCACAACATTTCAGATGAAGGCTTTTTTCCTTACATTAAGAATCATTTACTCTATTACAAACAAATAATTACATTTTGTGTATAAAACTTTAGTAGTTATATTCCAGTAATGTATGTGTCATTATGAAATAGATTAGGAGATTATGGTAATGCATGCATGTGAATATAAAAGTTTTGATCGGTGTTTGTTGGCAGGATTCAACTTAAAGATAGTGACCAAACTAAAAGTTTTCAGGATATCATTAAATAAAACTTAAACATATTTGCATTTGACTAGCAAACAATTGAAAAAAGAGAGTTATCAGAAAGACCATTTGATTTCCAACATACTCAACTCACAAGGGCAGAATCCTAGTATTATTTACATGTAAGTGGCAACAAAATATTCAGGAAAGCACTCTGCATATACTTTCATGTTGCTAAAAATTTTGTTTAAAAAACTGTGCATGGTGATGCCTTCAAAAGTAGTATCATCCAGAGGTGTGTTTAGGAAAGGGAAGTTTATTATAATAGTAACGAGGGTTGTAACTTTCTAGACATTAAATACATACGTGCTACAAATATCCATTTCGCAAAATTTTGAATATTCCATATATTGAAAGCAATCTCCTGAGATATTTACTATCACCTCATACAATGTCTCCACTCAACTAGTGATGCTCACTGGCATTGAATGAACCTGAAGTATCTTTTATGTCCAAAATCAGTGGTTTAATCTGATCATTCTCTGTAGTCTGCTCATCAAGTTCTGGAGCTGAAACATTCCCAAAAAATTTTTAATTACTTGAATTTAAGCATGAAAATAAAAAACCTTTAATGATCAAATAACATTGACAAAAAACTTTAGGAAAATAATAGTTTACTCACACATTTGTTTGAAGTTCTCAGAATTGAACACTGAGTGTGTGGGTAGCGTATTAGGTGTGACAATTACAACTTCTCCATCTTTGTTAAATCCAAAACCATGCTTGTCATCCCAAATGAAACAATTTTCCAAACCTTGAAACAAAAAAAAAACAAAAAAACAAAAAAAAAGCACTACAGTTATTAGCAAGAAAAGAATCAAAGGTAAGAAAAAAACATATAAAATTATTATTGCATTTTAAAAACTAGTGTTGGAAAGGTCTGAATTCAAAGCGCATTTATTTGGAAAATTATTTGAAACAGTTACCAGATAGATAGATAGATTGATAGATAGACTGTTTATTCACAAATACATTGCAGTCATTAGACTGAATTGTGTATTTCACAGAGAAATATATAAATAGGCAAATGTTAAAACTAATCACAAACATATGTACATGATATAAAAATATAAGTATCTAATGGGATTAAAATATGTATAGTTACTAGCTAAGTACTACGCGTTGTTTGTTGCTAGGCATCTTTGGACATTGCATACACAAAGGACTGTCTAAAGCGGTCTGTGCGCGAGCGTGGTAGATTATATGTTCTCTGTTGTCGCAGGCAGTAGCTTTGTTCATTTCTTGGAGGCAGTAAGTTGTGTTTACAGTATTTCATTGACTTCCTTCTAAACTTAACCCTTTATGCCCTAACATCATTATATATATTCTCCATACTGTTCTCTATACATTTCCTAAGTTCTAACATGGAGAATTTGTAAAACCATCAAGGGCTTTGCTACTTGCTGATCATTTCCTGTATTCTCACAACTTAATCATATGATTCAAGGGATAGACTATTAAGAGGAAATAAGAACCTTCTCACTCTTAAGGATGGAATGGTTAAGGATTACAAACCCTACATTTGGTAGAAATCCATCCAATTTTTTTTTACCTGTGAATTCATTTTGTGTTCTGCCAGCCTTTAACAAGATTGGTGCTGATCTGAAATGCCTCACAGTACATTGCCTTGCCATTGTCAGTAGCACTTGATGACCTCTTTGTAACATTGCCATGTTGGTTGTGAGGGGTCAAATTCTCTTGTTCACAAGTTGATTCCCTAGGAAGATTTGAGAAACAATGAGTCCTAAGTAGCTGGTAAGTATTTGGATTATCTTTTGAAGGATTTAATTTGTCCTTGTCACCACCCAAAAACTCAATATCTGACCTGCATATAACTTTCTCGAAATAATGGTTTGCTTATATGCAATGCTGTTTAACTATGTTCTGAGGCAAATGATGATCCAATCATGGCAGTCTTGTCCATGCTTTTCCATGGAAAGTGGCAGATTACTTCTCTAGGATATCAGGCAGTGATTCCAGAGGTAATTGAGAAAAAAAACTTGTTAATTGAATTATAAAAGTAATAACCTTCTGTAGGTTATCACTGATGTCTCTCATCGCCCAGTTATTTGCCTTTAAACCTAAACATGTAGCTTTAGAAATAATTGATCTACTTGCCAATGACAAATCAAGATCAATTTAATTACCTCGTTTTAGTTTAAATGATTATTTCACTGTTTGTTTGCATTGGTTCAGAGAGGCCTGATTGTAAGAGCAGTGAATTTAAATATTTTGAGAGTCCTAGAACAATATCAAGTATTAAAGGTTCATGGAATCTTTTCCTCATAACGTTTTTATCGTAAGAGCAATCACTGTCAACAACTATTGGTCATCTGTTTGCCTCTTTTTGATCTGAACTCATACAGTGATGTACTTCATTTTCAAGTATACATTAAGAGGGTTTTCCACTAAAGAGCCACTTTAAATAGTGGCTTTGTGTCTTTGATTCAAGGGGTATAGCAGAAAATTATTTGATGGGATAATACTAGCATACTCGGAAAAGAGCAAATCTACGAGCTCTAAGGAACTTACAGGGAAGTCCTGGGTATTTAAACCAGGAAAACAACCCTTGCATTTAAAATTTAAAACATTGATATTCAGTCAAAGGTGTAGTCTGTTACTTCGTTGCAATATCATCAACGTCATTATCTCAGGAACTGAATATTCATCAGAGACTTATTGAAAATAAGCTTATGTTGTTGTTAGAAAGATAGTCGGAAACAATAGAAAACCTTGAGTCAACTGGGCGAAACGATGATTCGTGGGGATCTTTTTGGTTTTTTTCTGCCCCACGCATGATTGAAATGAACAAAATTTTATGTGTCGAAGACAAAATTGTATTATGCATTGTATGACAATGTAACCCGCTAACACATGATAACGAAATCATGAGACCGTCAACAGGTGTTCCATTTTTATGCTAAACTGGTAAAATAGCAACTGGTGGAAAGAAGGTAATGAGCTAAAGAATTTTCTTTCAGCGAACGGCTATAGACGTGTTTCTAGCTCCGCAATCTCTGGTTTTTAGTCTTCTGGCTGGGCTTTTATCATTTCGACTCCAATAAATGGAGTGCGTGAGTGGCAAGAATCTGGCGCTGAACGAACACGCATGACTTACGTACGCGAAAGCGACACTCGAAACTTATACGAAGAGTAAGATTTTAAACGAGATACTTAGCGGACTATCAGTAATGATCCTGGCTAAACGGCACAGTATTGAGCACCACAAGAGTAGCACACCATCAAACTAATAATAAAAAAAACGTGGTGTAGGCACGTTTTTAGCTGGGCCGGAAGATTCACCGTTTGCATCGTGCGACTTAACATTTTACAAATAGTTACTGCCTTCACAGTGAGAGAAACGTTTCAGTCACTAACATTGAAAGTCTAATCTCACCTTTGACACAGCCTTTTATAAAAGGATCGATCCTTCCTTCGACGTGTAGACAGGAAATAACGTGTTCTGCTTACGCTGAGAGATTCGCAACGCACTTTTGTCCTTAGCTCGATAGAAAAACAATGTCATGTGATCATTTATGCTGAGCACTGCGCTTACTATGGGGGACTGTGTGTGGTTGTTATTAAATAGTGAGTTACAATAACGATCCAGAGAGGATTATATGATATTGCTGTGCAAACGAAGATTACCTTATTTCATGTGATGGTCTAGCATACGAAACTGGGGAGAAACTCCTCAGAGGAAATTTGATAAAGGAGTATCGTATTTGATTCCCAACCGTATACCCGATAGGTCGAAGTCTCGTCAAACAAGGAAAACTCGTTTGAGAACTTTTCCACCGGAAGCGGCAAGGTCTGCAAGCGGGAAAGATAAAGCGAACCTACACATTTACACTATCGCCATTCTCGCGATCGAAGAATCCCTGAGAGGAAAGCATCTCATACATTGACATGCTTTTGAGAAATTGACATAACTTCTAAGGAATATTCTTTCCGTGCTTAGATCTTCAAGAGACCGTGTGCAAATTAATTGTGTTGTTATTATTATTTTCCACACCATTGTAGTCAAGTCTCATAGGGATTCTTTTAATATATTCGTACCTGATTTTATTCATTTTGATTCTATAAAATGACAATATACGGCAACCATGAAACTTCGACGCTTTTAAAAATTTACCAAGGGTCCCTTAAATTTCGCAACGTTTCATAGATAAAGGCTCTTTCTTTTAAGAAAGATTAACTTTCGGGGGACACTTTTTACGGTGATGGAGTTGCATAACACAACAAACATTTTATCTGATTGGTCAAGTTGAAGGCAAAAAAGTATTCAACCAACATCCAAAGAGACTCTGTTCGCTTTTCACCTGTCAGTTACGTCATTCTTTTGTGGTGCACCCCCTGCTTAGGAAAATCCTAGATCCGACCATGCATTTATTTCTTATTTTGTTTGTGTTTACGAGGGCAGTTTATGGTTAAATAAGTGGATAAATAAATCAATAGATTCATAAATGGCTGACAAATAATTGAAGAAACAGAAGATGAATGCATAAAAAGGTTGGTTGTCTTATCATTTAAAGTCCCTTTATAACCGGCTTCGAGGCTTATGCTTATCCAATGATAACGATATTATTTAGCCCCATCGGGGACCTCAGGTCATCATTCTTAGCCTTCCATCTAAATGTGATCGTCTCTCTTCTTGATGCAGTGTGCAGAGGCATCTCAGCAAAGATCGTTATCAGCAGAGCTCTGCAACAATCACAGATTACACAAGCTGAGGTTATCGCACAATACAAAAACGTGATCGAAAAGTACTTGTTAACTTGAGCCTTGGGCGATACGAACTTTTTATTAACAATTACAGAGTTATCTAAAAGTTCGTTTCGTCGTGGGGACTCAGATTTTTTTCCCTTGTCCCTCACTCGACACGAGGCGAAAAGATATCTTTCTTGCCTAAAATTTGCGCTCTTTCCTATGTTCTTGGAAAAGTCTGCTTGGAGTCTATGAAAACATACAGCAATAAACCGCGATTTGCATCTCTTACCTAACTCTTGAGCAACTACATAAATGGCTGGTCTGTGATGTTGTGAACTGCTATCTGCTCCATCATTTGTAGGCTCGCCCCGCTCCAAGTTCATTCGATTCGCACCCTGACAAGGGAGCCTAAACAACCGCTTCAGGTGGTTTCTGAAGCGCTCATTGACGAACACGTAAACGAAGGGATTAACGCACGAGTTGAAGGTGACAATTACGATGCCGATGATGTATACAATGTTTCCATACTGCTGTGAGTCATGAAAGTAGTTCAACATGTAGATGATTAGGACTGGAAACCACGTGACGCTGTACACTAAGCTGACCTGAAACCGAAGAAAAAATAAGTCTGCACGTGCGTTCTCGTGTGGTTAGTCCGCGCGAAAAGTCAACAGGAAACAAAAAATAATTTACCACTTTTTCTTTTGCTAATGTAAAGTTCCTTCAACGAACTCCTCTCAGTTGACAATGTCACAAGCGCTAGACTCTTTTTTATTATTATTTTTATTATTATTATTATTATTAGTAGTAGTAGTAGTGGTAAACATCAATGGGTGTATACCATACTGCATTATATATTAAGCTGAATTGGACACGCATTTCGATTGTTTCTTACCTATGATCTATCAGAGGACAAACGCACAGGAACATGGAATTTATTGGGTTTATATGATAAGCTGAATCATACAAGCATTTTGATTGGTTCATGCATATGATCTATTAGAGGACAGATGCACAGCAACATGGAATTTACTGGGTTTTAAATGATAATCTGAATCATTCAAGCATTTCGATTGGTTCTTAGTTATGATCTATTTGGTTTATATACTATTAAGTATATGCTAAATACTTCTTGTTGTCCACTGTACTATATTGTTGTCTCTCGTTTTCAACCTGGAATATCTAGGACATATAGGGCTAATTAGTCAGTCGTGAGTGTATGCTATCCTGCCGTTCGAAATCAGTAAACCTTCGCTTTTATTTCATGAAACGTGTTGAATTTATTCGTCATAAGTCCTGAAGAAAAATTTACCAGAGACCTACGGGTTACCATTGGGATGCTCTAGGGTCTTCTAGCATTCAACCACGGATAGGTCGTATCCATTTTTGATTAAAATCAACGTAACTCACCGTAATCACCATTTTTGTCACGCGTTTGCGTGACTTGAGAACCGCTGCTTGCGTGACGCGAGAACCTTGATCTCGTTTGAACCAAAGTCGCCTAATGACCCGTGCGTAAAGCACGGTCATGAGAGCAATAGGTAGCGCACCGAAGAAAATTAACCAGGAGGTGCTGTAAACACGTGCCATCCACATAGCTGGCCAATACTCGGTGCAGAAGTCAATCTCTGGATTATACTGCATTGTGAAGAACAGCGGCAGGTTGAATGCTACTGCGAGAACCCAACAGCCCGCTATGACATATTTAACCCTCTTCATCGTTAGCTTGCCTCTGTTACCGTACGGGTGGACTACAGCGAAGTAACGCTCGACAGAGATGGCCACCAGGGAATACACAGACGCTGAGCCACCCAACCAGCTGAAATTGCTGCCAGTAAACAGTTTGCATATAAGCGTTCCCAGCAGTCCGTCTGGGTGATCGAATGCATGAATAAAGATGAAGCGTGGAGTGACAAAAGACACAACCATGATATCTGCTAACGCCAGGTTAAGAATGAGATAATTCATGGGTGTTCTCATGGAGCGGTTTGCGAGGATCACGATGCAAGCCAAAATGTTGCCAACCACACTGATCAGCACCAGTATGGAGAACACGCTGGTAATAGCAATCTGAGCTGACAAAGACTGCGTGTAAAACGTCATCATTGGTACCTTTCAAGAATGTAATCTATGAAGATAACAAGTGCGAAGTGGATCAAAAAGCTGTCTCTGTTTTTTCCTTTGGAGGTCTTAGATAGGTGAGCAATATTCCCCGTTAACTCTTTTTTTAAGGATTCAAAATATTCAATCGGTTTAGCTTTCTTAAAAACTGTCGACCACCGTGTGCCACCGAAAGGAGAAGAGAGGCCGAATCGGAGTCTCACTGGGGAGATGGTTTTTAAGGCTAACCGTTAAAATTTTGTTCAATCGACGGATAGCGAATTTTATCTTTCCATTGTAGTCTCCAGAAAAATATTTACGGCCAATTTTATTTTTTTTTACGACTTACGGTTTCATTTGTCAATTTTTACGCCTAACGGCTAAGTTTTTTTGGCCGTTTTACGGCTCACGGTTAACCCATTGAGACCTGGCGCAAAAAGTTCGCGCGAGATCTGGGACGATAAGTCTTACGGCTCCCATATCTTTGACTCGAGACTTCATTAAAATTATACCGTCGGTGCAGCTGCAGGTTTTTTAAACGCAGAATTAAGGATCGCCATCAGTTGGAGATGAGCTCTTATACCTTCTCGAGGTTATCAAAAAGTAATGAGAGTCAAACACATTGTTTCCGAAATTTCCATCCATGAATAACCCTGTACTCTTGATTGTCTTTTGTTAATTATTTTTTATTCGTATACAGGAGATATTTTAAGATAACGATTTACGGAGGAGTGACAGAGACCAATATCAGAATACGTAGGAAGCGGTTGTCTTTAAAATTTACAAAGCCTGGACATTTGTTTAAAGCATCCACGATGAAAATGATTAAAAAAAGAAGAAAATAAAAGAAACACATGGGATGCGCAGCCTTACAAAGGCGAACGCGTTCGTTATACATAGGTTTGTTTTGTTTTGTTTCTTCAGTTTCATTTTTGTTTTCTGTGTTGTTTTTTTTTTGTATTTTTTTTTCCCGTAAATTTCACTCATTTTCTTCTTTATCGACACAGAATATGAGCCCTCCCAACTCCTCTCTCCATCTGTCTACAAACCCAAAAGGCCCCTTTCTTCGGCATTGTGCGAGGCCTGGGCTTATCACGAGATTTAACGGCTTCAGCAGAAGATATCACCGAAATACAATAGCAAGAATATAAGTTGGCAGAAGTTTTGGCTGATAAACTCATTTAAGTTTATATTTCTTTAGTGTTTGGGTACGCGAGAGTAACCACGATCTTGTATTGACTTCTCCAACCACAACCAAGAGAAAGTAAATCTCTCATTATTTTCTCTTTCCCGCACAACTGAGTAATTGTGATTAAATTACTACAAATATATGTATGTTTAATTGTAAAAAAGATGATTAATTTTCGTTTCATTTTGCCTTCTCTGCCAGTCGGGTAAGAATTTATACTTAGGCAAAACTACAGCGGCATAGGGCTGTCTAAACCTGTATCAATTGAAGTATCGAAACAATATATAAAACTGGAGATTGCTCTTGACGGTGTAAAGAAAGGCTGAAGACGGAGATCAAGTAGAATTTTCACTGTAAAATTTTGCCATTAAAAGGCAATCAGTTATCAATACAGTTCTCAATGTGTGGTAGATTGCGTTCTGGTACAATTTGCGTAATTTTTTCTGATAAATCCTCGTAATTTTAGTCATCATTACGATTGGATTCACTAACTCAAAGGCGTATATCTCAGATGTCATTTGATTTCGAGTAGAGAGAACGATCAGTTATGCAAAATATATCATTAAAAGATTACAGAAGAAAAAAATTTACCACGAAAGGGAAATATTATGCATTTAGTTCCTAGTTTAATCATTGTTCCTGATTGCAGTTTTTCTTTCGAGACCTTCCAATATGTGTTAACGTTCATGCCTTCTTAACAAAATTCTACTTTAGTTCATGCCTTTCCCAGTGAATCTATTAATTGAATTTTTATTTTCTGAGAGTGAAATGAAACATAGTCTCTCCCTCCGCGCAAAATAAAATAAATAAAAATAAAACAATAAAGATAAAAACTAACAGAAATTAAGGTCAATTTTATGGTTATCCCCGCTGAGAATAAAACGCTTCAATAGATCAGGTTCCAGAATCCTTGTTATCCAAAACCGAAGATTTTTTTAAAATTGCAAAGAAATAATTTTTTCCGAACCAAAATCTCTTCTTTTCGTTCGTAAAAGGGAAAGAACAAAGCAAAACAGACCAACTCACCGTACTTGAGGTAATCTTGAGGAAAAGCGCTCTCTCTTTTTCACAGAGAAGCTAAGCCAATGTTCCCCTCGATGGAATAATTTCAAACTACATTTGCCGCATAATAAACAGTATTTTCACCATGTTGCTAGCCTTTGACAAGCCTAAGAAGCGCCTCTTTATTCAAAAGTTATTTTAACAATCGTTGTCTTATCAGCAATGACTTTTTGGACATGAATACAATATTGAGCTTTCATTAAGACTTCTGCAAAGCAGTTATGACGTAGTCGAATCTATAAAAGAATAATTATTTAAAATCTTTCATAATTTCCTAGATATTTTGCCATAGCTTTTTTTCAATTCGTGACTGGAATTTCTGTTCTTCCCATGCAACGTTTTCAACAGCAATTTTCAGATCTACCAATAATGACTTTGTTGTTGGTTCCATCACGTAGATATTTGGCCACACGCGGAAGGAAAATATGCATTTGCCTTTTTTTCTGTGCAGTCTCAAATTTCAAAAGTCATTTAGTCTCCCGTCCTTTTAAAAGCCATGAACCTTGTTGTCTCCCGTGAATATGGCCTTTTTTCACTTCAAAGACGTATACAGAAGGACAATTTCCAACATATTAGAAGATACCTAATTAATCAGCGAAATCTATGACATATCTCACCTCACATTGAGGAAATATATTGTTCACTTGAGAGCTCTCTGAATCTCCGAAAACTAGTTCCGGAACAGATGTTGAAAAGAAAGGCCTTTTCATTGGAGAGACTATTTTATGGTATCTGATATCCATAGAAAGTCCTCATTAAGTTGACGAAAAGAAATAAAAATTTTATAAACGGAAACACGGGACCCCATTTATCATTTTAAGGAGTATCAATATCGCTTGGAACGACACTGGACCAAGCGATGCACAAACAGTATAATTAAATATGAGCGAATTGCCATCATATTCCGCTGATATTTTTTCTATTTACATTGATTTTAATTATGTTTTCAAGATTCGAGACGGCATTTATAAGAAATCACCACAAAGAGGGTATTTATATTCTGTAAGAGATTAGAGGAGGAATGGACGGCAAAAAGTTTACCGAAACTCACGTGTTACCGCACGTTCACTGATTACGCATTCGGAGAAGGGAAAAAAGCCCGAATTTTTCGCCCGTCCTTCATTGTAAACAAAAACACTAAACAAAAGAGGCCAGAGTTCTCGCTAAAAAACCATTTTGATCGCACTTGAGAGAGAACTAATAACTTGTTTTGTCATTTTTCTGCCGAAGTTGTTAATTATGCCTCTAGATTGCAGCATTTCACTGTTAACCCTTTAATCCCAAGATCTCATTAGTAATTCCCCTTACTGTATGGCAAACGATTCTCATTATATTAGTTTGGAGAATTTGGTATCGGATCGAATAGTTATCCCATTATTGATATTTTTCTTTATTCTCATCAAATGTCTGCATGATATTGTATAGATATAATAAGGAAATTCTGTCTTGGTCACTCACGGAAATTAAAGGATTAATTGATACTGTTGTCAAAGTATGTGATCGATTGATACCTCGGCTGTCATGCAGAGTAAGGTTTCCAATGAGTGGGAACTAACTGAAGCAGAAACACTGAAAATTAGTAGATTAACGTGGGAAGGGGGTCCGTAAACTATGGAACAATTTTTTGAACTAAAGCTTTGGTGAGGTAGAAATTTACTACTTACACCAAAAACTGAGCGGATGAATCATTGATTTAGGATGTACTTCACAAAAGCTGAATACCTACATTATCCACTTTACTATGGCCGCTGCGAGAAATAACACCAACTGTACTATGAAAGTTGAGAGAGATAACACCATTCCCTTCAGGGACGCAAAAGGTTTCTTCACCATCAACGTGTACAGAAAACCTACTCACACTGACCAATATAGTACCTAGCCTATGACGTACACCACCCTCAGTCAGCAAAACGTGGTGTTGTGAAGTGATTATACAACCAGGCCAAACACCTCACAACAAAAGCATAAACTATCTCTCAAGAGAAGAAACGCTCACCATCTGTTCTTGTTTCTTACGGGTATCCGTTTTTGTGGAATTTTGTTTTTCAGTCTTTGTGACACAACATAGCAGTTGTAGTATTGTTAGCGCACTACCAGCAGCGCGCCTCAAATGGGATTAGCATCTGCGCTTCATAGACGTAGACTTTGCTCAATTTCACCAGTTTGTATGGCATGATATGACAAATAAATAATTAAAAAACAAAATCGTTTGTTTTACCAAAATTTGGAAGCCTCCGAGGATGGACCTACCGGACCTCGTCTCCTTTGCAGATTGAATAAATTTTTTAACAATTCGCATAATTTTAGCAAGTTCTATTAATTGTGTCTGATCGAAAAACTGTACATATATCGTTGGGACTATTATCGTCGTCGCTTTTATGACTTTTAAAGTCTTTTATTTCAAGTTTAGTGTACTTTAGTATATTTCTTCTTCGTTTGTGATGTCTGGAAATATGTTACACGACATCGTCTATCGTTACTTGGTCTTATTCTCTCTTGTCGATCGATTTTCAGTTTTCTTTCACTTCATATGATTTTCGTAGCACATGTAGTGTATTTGTAGTTAGCTATTTTCTCGATCTTGTTTGTAATTTATTCACACCTCTCATTTCATTTCTTACGATGCGATTTTCTTTGGGTCGAATCAATATACATCAGTTCTGGGAAATTGTTTGAATTCACTTATTTACTCAATCTCTTTGAGCGACTCGGCCTCTTTCACCCTTCATCAAAACTGTAACAAAATTCTCAAACGTGATTGGTTACCACCAGCCCGATTTGAGCACTAACAGGACAGTATGCGCGTCATGCGTGTAATTGGACAGTGTAATAGGACAGTTGACAAGTCATGCCTGTTAAAGTGGACAGTACGCATCATATGCGTGCACTACTGTCGCGCATTTCGCCTGACTAACTGTTGTTGTTGTTTTTTATTATTATTATTATTGTTATTATTATTATTATTATGAAAACGTACAACCGATGTCTTGTTTCTTTCTCAAATCTTGTTATAGTTTTAATTAATTAGCTAAAGGACTTCGTGTCGTCCAATAATATCTGTAATCGTACTCATGATTATTAAATCGGACTCCTGCTTTGCGGTCATCCAATTTTGTTAATCACTCGTATGATCCCAAACAGAATTGGACTCCAGTCGGTCCTATTATCACTATCAGTATCGCTGCTTGAATCCCTTTCTGTCTCAAGCTTGAAATCTGGTTTTGTATCAAGGCCTTTAATGGGGAAGCAACCATGTAAACCGAATAACAAGTAGTGCTTGTGTATGTGCGCGCTGCGTGCCTTTCCTTCAACAACAGATCGATACAAAATCTGGAAAACTTGCAATTTTCTTTATCCAATTGAAAGTACTGCCACAACATCATTCTTAAAACACAAAGCCTCTGGACAATTTGTCTACTTGTTTAACTTTTAAATAAATGCCTCTGCAACCAGCTGAAAGCAGATCGACTTAAAGTGCACTCAGAAACATAAGCATCATTTTTAGAATGCACTCGCGATTTTTCGAAATTGTCGCGGACCCACCCTCCCTGAGGTGTTATTTTTCATCAAAATTTTTTATATTGTGTGATCATCATGTCTCCTTGCAATTGAAGATCTTCACTGAGAAGCACTGATCATACCTTGTAGAGGGAGAGGGAGGGAGGGGGGAGAGGGGTGATGGTGGGGCGGTGATGGTGGGGGAGAGGGGTGATGGTGGGGCGGTGATGGTGGGGAGAGGGGTGATGGTGGGGCGGTGATGGTGGGGGAGAGGGGTGATGGTGGGGCGGTGAGATATACGGTGATAAAACTCTGCTGATAAAAACTATTTATAAATTTTTACGTTTCTTTTCTTTTTTTTTTTTTGCATCTCATTTTCATCTACCCACCTTCGCAATTGAAAATAAAAGGGTTGAAGCAGTCACTTAATTCTAAATACAAGGATAAATGTCAATTGTTTAAAGAAAAAAAAACAAAACAACTGAGATGAAACGTTTAACACTTATCGATAGATCGATGAACGAGATCTCCTATGGCAGTAAAGTATGAAATCAATTAGCGTTCCACATCATTACAGTGTGGTGGGAATTACTTTTAGCTAACAGATAAGCAAAGAACGTAGACTTCACCCCACTCTTGTTATCAGCCTTCCCACACTTGGTTTGTAAATGTTCTTTTAACTCGCAGCTGTTTGTTTTTCAGCACCCTCCCACTTCGCAGTCATGAATTTTGATTACGCACGAATCTTTCGCATGAATCGCACACCACGTGCACGTTACTTAAATCCTGTGCCAAGACCATGATGTAGTGAAAAATTCTTGACCTTTATCTTTAATTGCAAGGCTCAAATGTAAAATTGAAAACGATCATTGTACTTTTATCTCACATTATAAGAAAATGAATGTGTTCCTTTCCCTCAAAAACGTTTTTCTTTCTGCTGGTAATGTTCTCAAAAACAGGAACAGTATACTCAAAGCATTTATTTCTTCCAGTACATTGTCGCGTAAGTTACTCAATCACTGATCTTTTTAGGCAACTCCATCATTTAACTGAGAAAATGCCGAGTTTCCAATGACCCATTAGTTCCGTTTTTCCTCAGCGCAACCGGGATTGTTATCACTTTCACATAAGCGCGGGGGACTCAACTTTTTCGTTGTCCCACGCTTGCGACGAATATTTTAAACATCTACCTCTTAATTTGGTAACTTGGTGCAAAATGTAACATCTGTCATATGTGCCACAGACCGTCTTTGATATTGCTGACCCTTGCAGTACTCGGCCGGATGCTTGTCTTAAAAGAATCTGCTACACAAGCAAGTACTTTGAAGCTCAGTTCATAGACATGCCACCTCGAATTCGAATCCTTCTTTTTTATCATTCTTTTTGCCCCTCGCTTACAGCAGGCGTTCAGCATCCTTGTATATCTTGGATATAAGGGTCGACTGATGGTAATTTCTGATAAATTTTGCTTAAGCACAAGATATATTTGAAAAACCGGCTTAGCCTTCTTAAATGAGTGCAGAATTTTGATGGGAATCTTCGATCATTTTTATAATATAATAAAAAAAATTGGGTCGCATCGAATGGAATATTCATGAACAAAGTTTTTTAGGGTTGTTAATGATAGCTTTGGCTCATCAAAAGCTAAAGTTAACAAATCCTGTGAAGTTCTTTGTTTGAGGGAAAAAATGACGATAGGATTACACGATAAGAAAATGATTTTATCGCGGAAATTTTAATTGCAAAATAGCCTCGCCCAGCTAATCAGAGCGCATTTTCAATTTAGGATCTTGAGACAAAATACGAAAATGGAATAATTTAGATAAGAAAAAAGCATTATTGCGGTCACTGAGAAAGTAAAAATTTTTCTGATCAAAAGGAATGGATCGAAGCGTCGAATTAAGACTGTATTAGTGTTGATTCTACAGACAATCATTCTGTACTTTAGAGCCGTAACATTTAGTTTATTCGAGCAGCTATTAGTCTTTCTGAAGAAGACATGTGCTGCATGCATGGGTGTATTATAAACAAAGAGTAGTTAACGTTAGCAAATTATCCGCGCATATGCACTCTCTTCTTAAACCACAACATCTCTGGAGGCGCCAGAAAATGCAAGCAAGCACTTTATTTATTAATAAAGTGAAAAAGAAGCGTGATTTTGATATCAGTCGCGTTAGCTTTTCGTGCTATTGAGGAGGAATCGCTCAGGAGCAAAGCTCTAGAACGAATTATAAAGAGTGTGATTAGTCGCTTTGAACCAGAAGAAGAGGAAGTACTGGAACTGGTCGCAAAATGAACAGCGAGTTTGTAACGGTTCTGTTTCTGGTGATATTCGCCTCTTGGCAAATCTCTGCTTTTGACGCGGTAAATGGAAATAATTTTGATTTCCAAATGAAAGGGAATCTTGCCGAAGAAAACGACAATGGTATTGAGGATATTGAGACAAGGGTAGAGAGGGAGAAAAACAGAAATTTTTACGCTGATGATTTAGAAAACAGTGATGAAGATCTATTTTTTTCCAAAGACGATGATGAACTCAAGAAAAGGTAAGCTATCGAGACAGTTTTGAATTTTTGTCGATTCATCATTTATATCGGAACAATTATGTTAGAAAAAATTTCCCGCAACTGTGTACTCAAATCATTTCAGACAAATATGTCACCGAATACCAAATGAATACAATATGTTGGAGTAAAAGGAGTGTCTTACAGATTACGAAAAAATATGGAACCTATTTGATTTTATAACTACAACACTTTCCGACAATTTAAAAGCGTGATTAGGTCGAGAATGTTAAACGCATTTCCAGTTATGACAAATCGTAACAGATGCAAAACAATTAAATGAATGGTTTAATTTCGTAGCAAATCACGAAGTATTCCGCTCAATAAAACCAGTGGAAGCAAACTAATTGAAAAAAAATTTTTGGTATTATACTTAATTATGAAAGTGTTTCCTTCGGATGTTACGGTTCTCTCGAAGGATCAGGGTTAATACCAAATTCATTAGATTTTAATTCCTAGATGTCTTGTTTATCAGCGAATTACCAAATTTTGACAGCTTTGAGAAAGCTGAGTCGAAGTCAGATGTGAATAGTTTAAGCTGACCCAGCTTCGATTAAGATGGAGAGATTACCAATGACGCGTTTGACAAAGGAAAATAGAAAAAGTTGGAATTTTTAGTTGTAATGATATGAAAAAATTATATTCGTTGTGATCGAATGGAAGATAGCTTTCAACCAACTCACTGTGCATCTGTCTTAATGTGCAACGTTTTAATTCCAGTCATGGTTCGACATGTTTGTTAACGAGTAATTTTTTCTTTAGCAGAGAGAGAAAATAAAAAAAAAAGTTTTTAGATAGTGCGATTTCTATTTTCCATCTCAATGCATCTCTGAATTGTTATGATTTAAGAATTCCAAAAGCGGTAGCTTACAAATTGAACTGAAAGCTTCTTTTCAATCTTGACAGTATTGACTATAGTGATTGGGATGCAGCTGACAAGTTCACTGAGATCAACGATGAATTAGGAAAAGAAGCTGATGAGGAAGAAAAGGACGAAAACAAAGAAAAAGAAGAAAAGGAAAAAGAAAAAGAGAAAGGAATCCTGAGAAGGTTGTTCGAAAAGTTTAAAAACTGGATTCATAAAGTTGGCAAATGAGAACGATTGCAAGACACGGTAATTGCTGAACTTGACTTGTGAGTTTTTTCAGCGCTTGAAAACTGACTTGGGTCTGCGATAATAAATCTATTCATCACCTCTGCTATAGAAGAAGGATATGCCTAAAAATATATATTTAAGGGGGGTTATGAAGTTTTCCATGAGCAAAAGGCCCTAAAGGAAACACAGTTACGTTCAAAAACTCTGTAAACATTAAGTGCAGTGAGCTAGATACAAGAGATTTTTCGCTAACATATTTCAACACATATGATAAAATTTAAATGTTTAAGATGCCTAATCTTTTTCATACCTTTTCAATATCGACGGTTTCATTTTTATCTGCCTTGACCAAACTGACAGACCGAGTCGTTTCTAATAATTTTTTAGTACGGATTACTAAAAATATCGAAAAAGAAAACTTGATAAAGAAAAAGTGAAAGTCAACCTGAAATTGTATGCTCTACGCGTCTGAACTGTAACAAAAGGAGCAATTCCCTTCATAAACTAAAAACAATCTGAGATAAGATGCGGCTTTCGGAGCCACATCATAAATTTCAGGTTCGAGTCGTTTCCGAACAAAGTCCTTTATGAACTCATTTCCTTGTTTATCTTCTGAAAGCTGGATTAAAAATTAAGGAAAATGAGATGAATTCAACATTGTTCTGCATTTCTAAACTTTATTTAATAAACGACTAAATTATACTTTAAAATACAAATAATTAATAAAAGCCAGGTAGTTAACGCGAACTGAAATTATTCTTCTTAATTTGAATACAACTCGTGCTCAGAAATTTTCGCTGTAATTCTTCAAATGGATAAAAATTAGTGTGAGGCCAACGACACCCATATCCTCCAGTTATATCCATCGATATCAATGATATCACCACGATTTTCAATACGATTCGTTCAGCGTTGCCGCGCCCAAATTTCCACCGACGATAAAACCTAAAGAGTAGAAACAACAGCCTTAAGGTAAAGCCGTGTATGAGAGCCAAGCAAAGAACTCTTTACACCCTAACATCAGTATGCATATTCTCTTTACTCTCCTCTATACATTCCCCTTAGAGCTGACTAGGAGAATTTGTCTCACAGTCAAGAGCTTATTTAGTTGGTGATCATTTCCTTCATTCTCATGATCTTAATGTTTGAATCGGCGATGAAATCCGACACTAGATGGTAATATTTAAAAACCACCCAAAGAACCAATGGCGAGGACTTAACCTAAAGCAACGTTTGGACCTAAAACATGAGGACGGCTCCTCACGTGTGCAGGGGTGTGAAGCATTGATTATATAAACCACTGAATAATATGGGAGAGCCACTTTAATTTTACTGAAGCTGTGGCATCGTTAGACATCTAATCAAAGCTGACAATGTAATTATCCCAATAACTGTCAAGTCTCAAATGAAAAGAAGTGGTCGAGGCTATATTTGGTCACTTTTTCAAATATTTCGATTCTGTTTCATCAGTTCCATTGATCGAGGCATTGGTTTCAGGCGAATTAATAAATATATTATAATTTAAATCATTATTATTATTATTATTATTGTTATTATTATTATTGAAACTCAACCAATCCTAATCAAAGGAAGGGACTCGACTCGCTTCTGTAGTGGCTAAAAAAATGCTGTTTAAGAAATTGTCTTGATCTTCATCTATTTCCGAGATGATAATTTCAAAATAACAACTATTTTAAGCTCTCCATTGAATTTCTTTGAAAATCTGTCTGTAGGGAAGCTTCCAACTCCGTTTTATATCTGAAACAATCAAACCAAAGAACTCGGTGTCGCTTATTTTAAACCCGCCTTTTGAGGTCGAAAAACTCATTTGAAATTCAAATAATTTCCAAAATTAATATTCTTATTTGCGCTCAGTCTTGCACGTGGAAAGAGCTGACGAACTACAAGAAAATTTGAGCATCTTTTTCAGCTTCTACGAAGTCAAGAAACACGTTATTTTAACCCTTCTACCTTGGATATTGTCTGTTTAGTAGGTCGGCGAGTGTTTTACTTATGCTCAGATCGAGTGGTTCAGATACCATGTCGAGGATTCATACTTTTCACTGCGTTACGACTTTTCTTCAGGTAAATAACTTATAGAAAGTTACATTTGGATGGAAATACAATGTTCATCTTTCTCGTTGTAGCCCTTATAAAATTAATTCACAGTCTTAAATGTAAAAAGGTAGAGAGGAATGCAGATAGCGCAGTGTTGGACAAGTCATCAGACAAAGCCGCCATGACAGTTCTTCTTGAACGTGATTTCATTGGCAAGGCGAGAAATTCGTTCTTAATTGTTCGTATACTTATCGCTTATTTACTAATTTTTCTATTTATCTTGTACATATTTTCAACTAGCTTTTATGATTATTGTGTAATTAACTAAAATGTAAAGTGTATAGTGTACTAACCTTAAGCAATTCTATTGCTACATTTATCCTGGTAACAATAACTTGTATGAAATAACGATGGCAACTGTAAGCTTGTAAAATAGTCATATAGTTCTGAGGTAAAAGGGAAATAGTCAAAGTTAGCTGGGTTATTTTCAATTAATTACACATTTTGTTTTCGAAGATCCTCAGTAAAGTATTATTTAACAATAAAATTTCCAAATGCCTTTGTTCGATAAGACTTAAGCACTCTTTTTTGTTAGCAGAAGATGTGGTGGCTCTTTATGAGGTTTTTGTTTCAGACATTCACCCTTTATTATTTAGAATGAATAGAACTCAGGTATGTACGTAGTTATAATATACTTCTCTCTTTTCCTCTATAGGACAGTACTGCGAAGAAAATGAGAGCACCTCTAAAACAGGGAAGTCAAAAGAGGAAAGAAATACAAGGCAACTTCTAACAAGGTTAGATAGTTTTCTATTCGTAAGAAATTCGTTATCTAGGCCCCTTTTGACTTATCTATGTTGAAAGATTTAACCTGGATTTACCGAGTGTTTGCAATTCGAAACTAATTCGGTCAATAATGATTTATTGGATCTCGTTCTGATTGAAGAGGCTTTCGATTATTTTCGGCGGTGTTCTTTTGATAAATTGATTCTACCATGAATACTATTTACTTTTTAATTGTTCACTTGTATCAAAGAAATACCTGGTCATCATTGTGCATGTTGTGACTGTCTATCTGACCTACTAAGTTACCATAGCAACGGTTCACTCCATCCAATTATCCTCATATTCTAAGATCAAATAATAATTGTAAGAATGATATCGATCATCAAAACGTTTCCCAGATTTTTTCAAAAAGACTACTTACCAGCAAAGTGCAGACATTTTACAAGGTGTAAGTCTGTAACTCAACACGTTTCTTGTCTACCAAGGGACTCATCCAAGACCTTGAATTTGTCAAATATTGCATTTGGATTCCTGCTCGAATCAAAAGGATTGTCTGAATCTAGCCTGGCTTCACCCTACGATTACCACTTTTTCACCTTCAAATACATATAATACTACACTAGGTTACGATTAGAGGATTAAATTTTTTTCGGGATACTCTACTTAAGCGAGACAATCTTTATTTAAGAGTAAAATGATTAAGAAAATGAAATGGAGTCTGACCGAGCCTATTCATTCGAGGAGCACTAACAACAGATATACAGATATTGGGCCAAGGAATTATTTTTCAAGGCATCCTGTTGTTGCATAATATGCCAGGATGAGGGTCATAGCATGGTACAGAAGGCATTCATTTAATGAAAAATTTCGGTCAACCCAAAGCTTAAATGTCTCGGATCTTAAGGCTTACACAATTTACCATGTTCAGATTTTTTTCCTCTCAAACTATGTCGGATAATTTGGTTTTAGATCTCCGATAAAATTCCTCGATTGATTTTTTCCAAAACTTCAGGTTTCCTTTTTTTCCGAGATAAGGCCTCGCAACTGAATGAATGAATTCTAGCCATCTCAAAATTATGATACCCGCTAAGTTTACAGTTGATTGAACTGCCTCGTCATGATGCTGTTTACGGAAGGGGCTCTATATCCTAAAGCTTTGGGGAAATCTATCGAGGAATTTCCGACACTAATAATAGCGATTGTCATGCAACGCTCACAATTTCAAACTTCACTTTGGTCAACATATAAGTGAGAAATTATTTCGACTGCGAAGGAGGAAAGTAAGTAAGTTGGTTTTTGAGCGCTTTGGAGGTAGTCGGTAGGCCCAATGTTTAATCATTTAAAGGTTGTCGAAAGATCTGCACATGGATGGCATAAAATCATGGCCCCCTCCAATTTAAGACTTAATTCCCCCCCCCCCCCGCAACTTTTGGAAATGTTTTGTCTTTGTTCTGTTTTGGTAAAGGTTAAATCTCACAACAATCAATGCCCTGAGAGCTGCAATTTAAGATATAGTTTAGTGGTATAGACAATATGCAAGAGGCGAATGAAAATATTTCAAAGTATTTTATTTTTCACTTTGGACACTTTTCAGCCTTTTCAGTTTTTTCAGTTTCCTCCTCCACACCTGTTGGTGTCATTTATAGCATACCCCAAAAAATACCCATAACATGATATATCATAGGTAGCCTGAGTGTCAAGCAAAATTGATTCTTGAACCATATTTTTATGTCAAAGTTTCTCTTGCGTTTGTCATCAAATTATATTCATAACTTTTCTGAGGTTATCAAGAGAGAGACTAAGTAACATTATTTGTGTGTTCTAGAGGTTATAGTGTGCTCCAAAACTGATTTTGGTTTCTCAAATTGCTTCCTGACTTTATGGCATGGATCTTTTTTGACGTGATCTCAATAACAATCCTAAAGATTAAAATTATTGTCAAAAACATAGCTCTTAGGGCCAACAAAAAATTGGAAAAGTGTGTTCCATGAATTCTTGTTTCTTTTTCAAATTTCCTTTAAGACTTACGTCGACTTACAAATTATTTTATTCTAAAATGATTCTTCAAAAATAGATAGTCTTCTGAGTTCGTTAGCCAGGCTACAATTAAAATGAACAGTTAACTCAAAAGTTGGTTTTTGTCTCGCAAATTGCCTTTAGAGTTTTTCATCAACTGAATGATTCAATACTTTATATTTAAGGCGATTTTATAAAATCTTAAGGCCTAACTTTTTTAAATTCTGAGCTCTTGAGGTTGAAACTAATCGAAGAGTAAGCTCAAAAATTGATTTTTTTTTCAAATTGCTTCCTCAATTTATCATCAACTGACATAGATAGTTTTTCACATGATTACAATACAAAAACCTCACTTCTGAAAATGTATGAGCTCTTAGGGCTAAAAACAAATTGGAAAATTATGTTCCGTGGATTAATGTTTGTCTCTCATAATGCCTTAAAGGTTCATCGTCAACCAATAAATAATTTTATTCTAAAATTATGACCTCTTGAGGCCAATCGAAAAAGCTTGCACAAAAATGGATATTTGTTTTCTTAATTTTGTTTAAAGGTTATCATTAACTCAAAAGGAACTTTTTTATCGTAATTCAATGAATATCCTTAGGCCTAAATATTGATAATGTCTGAGCTTTTGAGTCGAAAACCAAATTGAGTCAGTACGCTCCAAAACTTAATGTTTGTATCTGAATGTGCCTCCACCGTTTATCATCTACGGATGAAGAATTAT